TTTATGTGTATAAAGGAGTGTGTTGAGTTGTGAGTAGAGACTGTATGAATGTCAGCATTGTATGAAAGAACAGTAAACAAATGCCACTTACAAATTAAGGATGGAAGAAGAAATGGGAATGGAAGCAAAGGTGAAGGTATATATATACCAGGGTAGTTTAGGGCAGACTAGATCTGATCATTTGATAGACCAATGGGGAATGATTTGTAAGCAGACAATATATGCACAAACACAACTTATGTAATCAAAAAAGCGGAAATTGGCACAAGTAATTGAGCAGCAGGAGTCCATCGGAACTGTGTAACCTTATGAGCATGATCTAACCTTAGAAAAGAATGTGAAACCATGTATTAACATGAAGTACATACAATATCCAGTCAGTTCATATGATGAAACCGGATGAGTTGACGATATGGGTGATGAATGATACTCCAGAAAGTGGTACCGAAATCATCTTCGACGATGGTGTCAGTGAAGACAACAGGGATGGGCAGCATAAAAGGAAGTTATGAAACCAATGACAATGAAGACACAAATACGAATGAGGGTGGTGTGGAGTATGTGTACAGTGATAATGTATACGGCGATGACTTGTTGATGGTGATGGAAGAACATGTTGATGATGATGAGTGGAAGCAAACATTGACAAGGCGGATGGAAGAAAACATTGACGAGACGGGTGGAAGAGAACATTGATGATGAGAAGACAATGATGATGGAGGGAAGAGGCATGTGACAAGTTTTGAGAGTATCATTGATGATATCGTGAAAATGTTGGTGGCGACGATGAGCAAGAGGCAATGACGAGGAGAAGATATGAGCACAAGGAGATTTGACGAAATTGAATCATTTGAAATCAGAAAAAGGCATTGTCCCGAGGGCCCCCTCGGGACAAAAGTGCCCGAGGGGCCCTCGGGATGTTGTTATATAGCTAGGTTTGATAGAAGTGGAAGCTGATGGTGCCTTCGGGATGTCAGTAGGACATGCTTCTCTGATGGTCCGCTATGGCGTTCTGTCGGCAGAAGGTAGTCAAGCTTCTTTAAACTCTGTTACTAACAGGTTGAGTCATCTTTGCTGATATTCGCTTACAAACACGGGCCTATGCCGGGCCGCTTAGCAATCAGCATAACGTCCCTCCAATGAGGGCGTTTCATTCTACAAGTTCCCACGGCAAGTTCTTTCTCAGACGAGTCCTTGCTTACTCAGGCGTCCTACTGCGCCCCGGTCGCTCGTTCCTCGCGACGATGCGACTCAGCTAACCAAGCGGATCTGAAGAGCCCATAAAAACGGGCGAAACTTGGGGGTGGACGGCATTCCACCCAAGTCATCCGAGTCAGCCACTCAAGCCTTCAGCAAGGCAGGTCGACACTAAACCGCCTAACCCTAAGTGCCTGACTCGTAGACGATGAGCGAGGGCTTATGGACAGTGCGTCGTCCTGAAGATCGAGCGAGGAAGTCGAGAATGACCACTACCCCAAGCGAAGAGGAGCAGAGACTTGAATGAATAACCAGGTCGAACTTAGGGTTCGACCGACTAATGGTACAACTACTTATACAAGTACCAACTGCGCACGGACCATCATGTTTATGTGGTTGTGTTAGTTGAAGAAAGAAACGTAGTGGTACGATACCAGGCACGAAGTGCGCACGGACCCCATTATGTAAGCTACATAATGTTCAACCTGCGGGTGAGCGCTAAGACAGGCGCCAGTATGGGCGCTGGTAGTACAAGGAATAAAACGGAAAGACAAATGTTTCACTCGGTGTGTTCTTTTGTTTCGACGGGACAATCATTATCATCATTGTGATCCACGTCGACGACTGCACTTTTGTTGCGAACTCAAAGAGTGTCATGACAAAGCTGAAGCATGACCTAGGGTCTCATTTCGAGATCGTCGACCTGGGTAAGATCCGCTGGCTACTGGGTTTCGAAGTGCATCGCAATCGTTCTGCGCGCACCATCTCACTCTCACAGGCTTCTTATATCGACACGCTACTCGATCGCTTTGGCATGATTGAAGCCCACACTCTCACTGTACCCCTCGACTCCCATATCAACCTCTTCGACATTGAGATCACCAACGAGGACCATCACGAAATGTCACGCAAGCCATATGCTTGTCTCGTGGGCAGCCTGATGTATGCTGCGATCGGCACGCGCCCCGACATCGCATTTGCCGTCTCCACCCTTGCGCGGTTCATGGCGACCCCTGCACCTATTCATTGGGACGCCGCCAAACGTGTACTGCATTATCTCAAGGGGACCCGTGACCTACGCTTGACATTCAGCACTTCCTCGCATACTCTCGTTGGCTACTCGGACGCAGACTGGGCCTCGCAACCTCACCGTCACTCAATCTCAGGCCATGTATTCCTATACTCGGGAGGTTCCATCAGCTGGAGCTCCCGCAAGCAACCCATCATCGCATTATCAACGACTGAGGCCGAGTACATATCCGTATCAGATACCTCCCGCGAAATGCTTTGGCTGCGCTCCCTTCTCGCTGAACTCACCTCTCCTTTGCCTACGCCGACGCCATTATACTCGGACAATCAAAGTGCGATCACCATCGCGAAGAGCGGCATGCTTCATGCCCGCACAAAGCACATCGATATTCAATACCACTTCATTCGCGAGGTGATCAGCTCCGGGCGCGCGACGTTGGCGTACTGCCCAACCGACGAGATGGTGGCGGATATTTTGACGAAACCTCTTGTGCGCGACAAGGTCGCGATGCTCGCACACCTCCTCGGACTTCGTCCGGCTTGAGGGGCAGTGTTAACGACCAAGCGCGTCCGACCGATTCGCGTGTGCGCGCGCATGCATGATGCCGCGTTATCGCGTCAGGATCGGCGCGATGTTGATGCGCCCCTGGTGTCCCTGTACCTGTAACCTCATTCCCCTTTTCTTTGAACTTTCTCCCGAGATAACAATCACTCACCTCGCGTAGCGACTGGTTATATACCCGGTGTTTCGTGGCATGGACTTCAGTCGTTGTTTGCACACCTACTGAAGTCCGTGAGTACTGTCCCTTTGATACTACGTACCGTGCCCGTACTGACTCGCTGTAAAGGATCGTTACCTCGTTAGGTACATCAATAATTAACGAGTCGTTGTTTGCACACCTACTGAAGTCCGATCGTTACCTCGTTAGATCTCTCGCTCGCCTCTTTAAAAGTGTACCCAGAGGCGCACCGGAATCAACTGTGGATGCACGAGCGCGTGCAGGAGCATCACCTGGGAACACCGCTCGACCTCACCATCCCGCACAGGTGTATTCCTAACTTGACTATCCATGTTCTCCTGAGGCTCGAGCGAGTGAGAAATGTGCGCGGCCCTGACGTCGGACAGGCCCGGACACGCAAGCCAGTGCATCGCATACGCCAGCGTGACGCCGGCTGCGAATATGGGCTCGCCCGAGGAGATTGCGGGCACGGGCGGAGGTGCAATCTGCAACATGCTGCGAACAGACAGAGGGAAGGTGGGTTAGAGTATGTGTGCTGCTATATCGTATTTCTGCAGACGCACCGCGGACCTAGGCCATCTCCAGGCTGACATTGGCTGAGCTCAAGGATTAGAGCCTAGCGATCAATAACGCGATTAAAAAGAGTAGTTGATCAGGCAGGGCACTGACACCAGGTAGCATTCGTGAATCTAACCGTCGATCACTGGAAACGCTACGCGATGTTTAAGGAAGTGAGCATGTTGAATGTATTGCCGACCCCATGTATTATTTGAGAATGTGTAATGCCCGCTGCTTACCTCCTAGTTCAACAAAAAGAAGGTACGGTTGACTGCTAGTATTCGTTAGAGGATCATGGGATGAAGCCGACTTGTGGAGAAGCGTATCGAGGAAGCACTTGCACGTTAGCACTCATCATATATATATATGATTGAAATACTTACTCGTAGCGAGCTACAGACATTACGCTGTCGACGTTGCTAATCGCGCTGGGCAGGGGATCAAGGGACGATCAAAGTGCAAGAGTCGCTGGAGAATGGGGCGTGATATGAGATGATGTTCGTCTCACCTCCTGGGGCCCAGTCATGCACTGCCCGTATCGCCTTGTGCCCTCACGGGCTCCTCTCGTTCCTCCCTGTGCGCATGCAAACCGCGCTTGGCACTGACGGCCGCACTGGATCGGGCACCCGCTTCCTGGTAAACACCAGTTTACTGATATGCAACTCGCCTTGGCTCCTCAGCACTGCAGCCCTCCGGCTCGTGCATCCATGAGTGCTGATCCATGCGTTTGGAATGCGACACTAGCGGAGAGGTCAGTGACAAGAGTGAAGCGTGGGAGATGGCCATACAATGACTGGAGCTCGGTTTGCAGGGACTGAAGCATCCGTGGGTCGAGATGAGCGAGCCGGCTGAGGATGCTCAAAGAGGAAACGATCGGACGCCGCGGCTCTCCAAGATTGTGGCAAACCTGTTGCAGATTGCACTGCGTGCAGGCCGACGGGGACCTTCTCCAAAGGAATGGATGAAAAGGATAAATGCGGTCGATGGTAGATGACGCTCACAAGCCAAGATGGGAATGTAGGACATGTGGATTACTCGTGCGCCGTGAGCCCGAGTCTCTCCCCGCGCAGAACCGTCGTCGACTAGATTCAAACCCTACGCCAAGCTGGAACGCGGGGTTGACCGAGGCGAGCGTCCTGTGAAAGCACGAGTTGGGCCAGGGTGGTTGGGAAAGCGGGGAAGCCAAGGCCGGGAGGACATGTGACCGAGCAGATTCTAGACGTCGGATATATAGCCCTGTGCGGTGAGGGGGGATCTTTCCCGCTCTTTTTGCTGCTCCCATGTCGTCGTCCGCATCCGCGCCGCCGTCGTCGCCAACGCCGAACAAAGCGGTAGACAGTGAGTGTTTCGATTGGGTATTGTGTTATCGACATTAGGCTTCGGCGTGAGCGAGCCGAGGGGCGTTTAATGGGTGACGCCGCGAGTAATCGCCGCTTATCCAAAGCTCCTCTTTGCCGCATGCTCTTCAGTCCCCTCCTACTCCTCCGTCTCTCTGCGCTCGACCATGTCCTCGTCGTCGCCCCCAGCGGCGTCCACGTCCCCGCCGCCATCTTCGGATGCAGCGTCGGCAACGAGTATGTCCTCTGATGCTTCGAGCTCCGCACCCGCGGCCTCTGACCCTGTCGTGTCTTCTTCCTCTTCTTCGTCCTCGCAAACAGCCCCTTCCGCGTCCGCAACAAGCTCTGATCCGCATTCATCCACGTCCACAGGTTCTTCTTCGTCAACATCTGCTTCGTCGTCAACGTTGTCTTCATCGTCTTCGTCTTCGTCCTCCTCGTCCTCCACACCCTCGTCGACCTCACCCAGTACTACCCTGTCAAGCACTACGCCGTCAAGTACACCGTCGAGCACAGCGCCGTCGAGCACGCCGTCTTCAACCGGCTCCAGTTCTGGCTCCTCGACAACGTCGGCCCCGCCCTCATCTGGGGGCGTCACCGGCTCTGGGTCCTCCGGCACCAGCAGCCCCCCGTCCAAGTCGTCTTTCACCTCCACCTCATTCTCATTCTCAACATCCACGCATACAAGTACCTTTGTGTGAGTGTTCTGTTTTCCTGTATGTTTACATCGTCTTGCGTTGCTGCGGATGCCTTGGTCGGTGTCTATATGCTCCTGTGAATGCAGGCCAAGTCGCGTGATGGCTCTAGGTTCGTCTGTCCATGGCGCCATCTGTCTGCGACTGCACGTGTCTTCGTATTGGATATATGCCAGAAGAATGCATATTGTTGGTACCACAGCGACGTCTATATGCGGAAGCAGCAGACAAGTTTCAGGTTCTGCCAATATACATGACGCAGTATTCCATTCAACGGCTTTCGTGATCATCATAATTGGCCCTTCACATTAGCATTCTGGTGCTGATACCCCTTTCCTGACAGAACGACTAATGCTGCCGGCTCCGCCTTCACCTCCACCGTCATTTCGACCGAGACCTCCACCCAGACTATTCTACCAACGGCCAACAGTGACGCATCCTCCTCCAAGTCACACACCGGCGCGATTGTGGGTGGTGTCGTTGGCGGTGTCGGCGGTGCCCTCTTGCTCGCTGCTCTCGTCTTCCTGCTTTTCCGTCGCAGGAGGCGGTTTGACTTCGACGGCAACTTCGACCCTGATCGTGTCGGCGGCGGCGGTACACTTCCCCATATCGACCTCGCAGGTGCCGACGATGTCGAGCCGTACACGTACAATCCTGCTGGCGCGGGCGCTATTGGACCTGGCTCACAAGGTCCCTCGAGCTCCGCCACGGGCTCGGATGAGATGCGCCAGCACGGCAACGTCCCTGCATTCCTCGCGGGCGGCATCGCAGGCGCTGGCGTGGGTGCCGCCGCAACACACCGCTCGATGAGTCCCCCGACAGTCTCTGCGCCGTCACATTACAGCCAGAGCGCGTCGCAGTACGCTCCCTCATCCTCGGAGCACTACCCCGACTACTCGGCCTACAGTGGCGGTTACGCCCAGCCGGGCGCGGGGTATGCGCCGGACTTCCGGCAACCCTCTCCAGGTCCGTCGCTCGCGATGACGGGGTCGTCGTCTGGCGGTGGCTACGGCGCTGCTGCCGGTGCGGGTGTGGCCGGGATGATGCTGCCGTCGTCGAAAGAGCGTGAGGCAACAGGGAGGAGAGGTTTGCAGGTCGCGAACCACGGCGATGTGATGCAGCATGAAGATGGCGGGCGGCTGGACACGACGCCCGAGGAGGAGGACCCAGCCCTGAACGAGGTCCCGCCCCGGTATGACCAGATCCCCAGGGATCGGTAGGTCATTCTCCTGTTCCGAAGGTGCGTATAGACCGTCCGGATGTTTGGACCGTAGTGTGTTCATAATATACGCATCCAGACCTGCTGTGTCCGCTTAGACCGTGCGCCCTAGCACAATCGCCGTATGACGGGATCATGACGAAATAACTCTGTCCGGTAGTATTTACTGTTTATGCCTTCTCTCTTGCCATTCGTTGCTTTGACCGCTCAGCCACATTACGCCGCTTCACGCACCCACATAGCTTGACGATGCTTGTACGCTAGCATTACGATACTCCTCATGTCATAATCCCAAAACCGACATCAGCATCATTACACTTACATGGACGATCTGTGTAGTAGGTAGTCTCAGTTCGGTACGGGAAATATCCATGTTTGCGTGGGTGGCCATTAATGATTGTGGGGACAAGTGTCTAAGTGTCCGAAAGATGCAAGCATGGGGATGAGTCCAGTAAGCATATGGGTCCGAGTCCATACGGAAAGTCCAAGCAGAAATGCATAATGTACACAATTGCGATCCAGGCTCATGCAGTATAAGGTCAGCGGGGCCACCGGAGGCGATCCTAAACGAATTATGCTGAGCAACAGAAACAGAAGGCGAGTGTTTTCGAAGCAGACAGGCCAGCCTAGAGTGCCTCACCCATGGCGTACGTGCCTCCCTCATCATCATGACTTGGACGAGATTGCCCCTGCGAGAACCGGCTGCGCGCGCCGGGCGGTGGGCTGGCTGCCGTGCGTACGGACGCGGTCTCGGAACCCATGTTTGTCACAAAGAGCGGACTGCGCCACGTGGGTGTTCGTGGCGAGTGCGAGGGCGACTCGAGCTCGCCGCCCATGAGCGGGTCCTCCGAGGGTGCGCGCGCGTGCGTCGACTGTCCGGCAGCAGCGACTGACCCAGGAGAGCGCACAGCGCCGCCACCGAAGCTCGGGCTGTTGTCTCCGCCCGATGGGTTGGCGGGACCCATAACGTCGTCAACGATGTGTGAGAGGTCTTCCGAGGACGCCAGAAGCGGGTCTACAAGCGCTGAACGCGGGGGAGGCCAGACGGCCTCCTGGAAAATCGAGCCAGACTCAGAGGTGCGCATACCCATGAGGTGTGGGGAGTACGAAACACGGCCCTGGTCGGCGAAGGGAGCAGGAGGAACAAGAGGTGCACCTTGGAGAGAGCCGGCGTTGTAGGACGTCGCACGCGAAGCAAGGGATGGCACGGAGCCAGTGCCGGGGGTATCGCGGTAGGAGGACATGGGCGGGCCGAGGTCATAATCGTCCATGTCCTCACCGGCGAGAAGCATATTGCGTGGCGGGGGACGGGAACGGCGGAAGAATATGGGCTTCTTCTGTTGGTGTCTGCGATAGCAAACGGCCATAGCGAGCGAGAGGACGATGAATGCAGCGACACCGACGACGCTACCGGCAATGATCGCATGGTTGCTGGAGGGGGCCATGCTGGCAGAGGGCATGCTGAGCGTGGTCACGAAGGGGATATCGGTCTGTATTGGATGTGAAGAAGTGTTGGAGGAGAGTGAAAGGAGGTACACGTACTGTTGTTCGCACACCATTGATCGTGGTCACTACAGCACTGGTGAATGTGGTCATGGGGAGGGTGTTTGTGACGGTCGGAGCCGCAGAGGATGAGGTCGACGACGACGAACTTGAAGACGATAGGCTTGAAGATGTCGAGGTGGATGAGGTGGATGAGGTGGATGAAGGGGATGAGGTAGATGGCGTAGTACTAGCGCTGGTCGACGATGAAGTAGACGAAGATATACTGCTGGAGGAAGTACTGGAGGACGACTGTGTTGAAGAGCCCGTAGACGCGGACGACGATGTCGAAGACGATGTCGTCGAAGTCTGTTCGGACGAGCTTGATGAGGAGCTCTGGTTGGCAGTACTCGCATCGCTTGTCCTGAACAGGGCTGTGAACGGTTGGACGAGAGAGAACAGATGGGCTCATACGCTGTAGACGACGCCGTCGAGGACGGCGTGCTCGAGGGCGGGTCTGATGGTCCTGAAGGTTCTGCAGAGGCTGCGCTGTTGCCCGTGGTTCCACTCGCCGAAGCAGTGGCAGCAGATGGGCCTGAGGACGCAGTCGCAGTGGCTCCTGTTACTGAAGTGGGTAGAGACGCGCCATCTGAGGCACTCGCTCCGCCAAGCACGCCGGAATTCAACAAGCTCGGCAATTGTCTTGGGCGAGCTGGCGGATGTAGGCTCTATAAAGACAATGTTCAGAGCTGGCTGCGAAGATCCGTTTACGACATACTTGGGGCGATCTCGTTTCGAACGCGATGATCCTCATGTCCGACGACGTCCACGACAATGAGCCTATATGTTAGTATGATTACGAGGGTTATGACCTCTCTGCGAACGGTGAATCAGGGGACAGACAGAAAGAGCAATGCGAACAGTGTGCGGTTGTTAGAGACCCCTCACTGCCTCCGAAATGACATCCACGCGCTTATTCTACATCGGGTACCAGCCATCTACTCAACTCGGCTACTGATGCCCGCATTGATGCATTCTGCTCACTCTGCTACCCAAACTTGAAGGGCCAGTCGATAAAACATCATTCTGCTTCCGCACAATGTCCATCAACGTCCTTCTCGTGGGGGCTGGTGAAATCAATTTTGGTAAGTGATCGAGTCAATGTCGCAACAGTACGAACGGAGGGTCATCAGTAACAGGATCGGTCGAGGGCCCGTGGAACCATGTCTGTAATGACAGACTTGTCCTTGACTGAGTAAAGGCTTATTATTCCTCACCGTGGCAGTCCTTGCGCCTTGAGCGGTCTGTGGCCTGTGTTTGTGACTCTTGACATCATCGCTCACTAGGATGCAGCAAGCTAGGGGACAGGTTAAGGGTTGTTGCCCTTGTTGATCCAGATATTTCACGGGCCAAGGCGGCCATCGAGTATAAACTCGCGGGTTTGACGGCGAAAGCCTATCAGGATTGCCATGCATACGCCACAGTCAAATTGGCTGCGGACAGTCTATCTGCAGAAAACAACAACCAACCCCAGTAGGCATCACGCCGCGAAACGAGCAGAATCGTCTAAGATGATATAATTCACAGGCTTGCGATCCTCGGCGCCCCGCCTGTTGTGCGAGGAAGCGACATCCCAGGACGGGACCTCGAGCTGCAAGTCGCGCGTGCGTTTCCCGAATGCGCGCTCTTTGTCGAGAAACCTGTCAGCAGCGGCCCAGAGGATGCTTGTTGGCGTGTAGCTGCCGAACTTTCCAAGAGGCAGACGTTCGTCTCCGTAGGCTACATGCTGCGATACTCTCGAGGTCGGTGCCTCGACGGTATACACGCTGGTTGCCTAACGCAATCACATATGAAGCCGTACAAGCTATGCAGTGAGCTTTCGCGCGGTCTACGCTTGCGTCTCGGCCGTTAATTTTCCGCAGAAAGATAATAGCGGATAACAAGTTGGTAGTGATGGGGACCAACGCGCGATATGTCATGGCCTAGTGAGTGTGGATGTGAAGCTCACGTCGAAGTCAGTCTAAGCTTGCGTCCGGTCCAGTGAATATGCAAGAAAACTGGTGAGTGCGTGAACACTCCATCAATAACTGATACAGAGACGCAAGTGGACTGTTGCAGTCTTGGTGGGACAAGACATCTTCGGGCGGTCGTGCGTCGCGCACTGTATGCGCATCGGGCTTGTATTCACGTCCTCCCTCTTTCAGCAATCGTCGAACAAGCGACGCATTTTTGTGCGTCCTCCTTCCCTGCATTGTCTGTCACCGTCGATCTCACCGCACCTCGCAGGCGATCTGTCCCGCTATTTCGGCGGCGACGTCTCCTTGCCGTCCGTCACCGCACACACAGTCGAGCACTATGATGCGCCTGGTGTGCTATCTGCCAAGCGCTTTGACGAAGAGGACATCGCGCCGGAGCGGCGCCTTCCCCGCTTGACGAGTGCGTCGTGGAAATATGTCAACGGCGCGGTCGGCGCGCTAACTCATGTCATTGCGCTGCATGGTGAGCGCCTTGCGCTGTCTTTATCTGCTTAGGATATGTGGAAGATGACGCCGGTGGGCTGTGCGCTTTAGGAACGACGTATGACACTGAGTTCGAAGTATACGCAGATGGATATCGGCTGAAGCTGATCGACCCGTACGGAAAACCCGTACTTTCTGTGCGGAGGCCTGGCCTCGAGGGCGAAGGTACTTATACATTAACCTATATGTTCATGTGGCCCCTAATATACAGTCAAATTTCAGAGATCATCACCTTCTCTGACGTAAGTTCAATGGTTCTCCTGTAACGACGCTACCTCACGCAAGGCTGTAGGACGACCCGTTCTACACAGAGCTGTCGACGCTCATTGATGCACTGCATGACCCAGCGATGCGCGACAGGATCTTAAGCACGTATGGGGATGCAGTCAAGACATACGAGTTCGTGAGTGGTGCTAGATCTCGATCGCATGCCGCGCTTCATAGACTGCTGTAGACACTCCGTATTCGGAGCGCAGGAGAAGCTTCAGCTGAAGAGGAGTTAGCCAGGAACACGAAATCCGTGTCGAGCTAACACTTTACACGGCTTCTCAGTCTCTTGACATTATTGGCTTCGGCCACATGTTCATACTGTAGAAAATAGTTTGTATGCAATGTGATTCCTAACGTAGCATAAATATGCAACAAATAGTATGGCGAATACATAGGGAACCAATCAATCCACCTTTCGTGCCCACTTCCTGCCAGACGTTGATCTCGGCGTACCTGGTGCGGGTGACTGAGGAGGAACTATTACCTCTACCTGCGAGCTCTGGGGTTGCCAGACCTCTGGTTTCTCCTCAACAAGGGTCCCAATTCGACCCTTTCCCGACTGATCGCGTTCATCTTGTCCCCAGTACATCCACATCTGGACACCAAGCACGCAGTTCAGGAGAAGTGCAAGCGCAAACCCGGCGCTGACGAGGGGGTCGCCGACCTCAGTGGCGGTGGTGAACAAGCGGGCGAGGCAGCCGCCTATTTGTGCGATGACAGCAAATGCGGAGAGCTGGCCTGTGCTGTGCGCGCGGTGGTTTTGGCGAATCTGGGGGATCTTGGAGAAGAGAGAAAGTGGGAGCGTCGCTAATTGCAGTAACGCAAGCGGGGCGTCAGGCGCAGCGACGAGGGCGAAGGCGCTCAGAGCCATGGGTACCGTAGCGGCTGCAACGCGGCGTATTGCGGCGGAACGAGGGTGCGAGGAGTAATAAGTGATGAGGAGGGTGATGATAACGTTTTGGAAGGTGAGGAAGAGGTTCTCTCCGTAGGTAGAGAAGGGGAAATCCTTGCGATACGAGTATGCAAGGGTGATTGCATACGCAAGCGTTTCGAGCGAATATGCGGATAGTGAAAGTCCACGCGCCGAGCGTGCGGATACGACTGGGCATTTTAGTGCGTGCAGTCGCTTTTATGCAGAGGCGCACTTACTCAGAAGTAGTTGCGGCACTTTCATGATTGAGCCTCCGACGACGATACCGACGCCCAGCCCCTTGGAGATGGAGTATTTGATACACTCCGTGTCGTGAATATCCAGGTTCTCGACTAGCGATGTGTAGCATTTCTGGCACAGGCGTAAGCAGAAAACCGTGATTGGGTAATGTTGAAGAGCATACCGAGCCGACAATGGATATGCCGAGATCCTTGACGAACCAAGGCAGGTTCTTTGTAATGGCTGTCATGTTGGGGGGTGCAGAGGCAGGTAAGTAAGAGGCGAACGGTCGTTGGTCGCGTCGCGTGTACGTGTAGGCGCACGTGCCGCAGACTTGCCTATTCGGGGTACTGATTTTTCTGTTTTCTGACTGTGAGGGCTTGCTGCTCGCTGCTTTAGCTTCTTCAAAATGGCGGACTACGACCTCACGAGGACCATTATTCCCTACTGTGACCGTCACCTCGTCTTTCCTCTCCTTGCCCATCTCGTTGAAAATGAGGTCTTCCCCGTCAAGCAGGTGCAGGGTGCACAATATGAGCTCGCAAAGGAGACCAACATGGTCGATTATGCTGTGAGCTTGTTACAGCAGATCCATCCAGATGAGGAGGTCCCAGAAGGTGTGTATTTTCTCTTTCGGTCATATATAACTCTCAAACTGGCTTAGAATTCGCGGGCAAGCGCGAAAACGCCGTCTCGACCAACGAACGCTTGCAACAAGAAGCTCAAGCCGTCTTGAATGTCATCGAAAACCCTGAGGTCGCTCAGGCGCTGCGTCAGGACAAGAATCAGAACTTGCAATATCTGAAGGATCACTACGGCGTACGTCTCCACACTCTGCCTTGTCCCCCTTGTCCTCACTAGGCGATCAGGTTACGCTGGAGCAAATCAACGCTCTTTATAACTATGGTCAGTTCCAGTACACCTACGGTAACTACAGCGGTGCAGCAGACTACCTGTACCACTTCCGCGTCCTCTCTACCGACCCCGATCTTACCATCTCCGCTCACTGGGGCAAGCTTGCCTCGGATATCCTCACTGGAAAATGGGATGTCGCTCTCGAGGAGCTCAATACCCTCCGCGAGACCATCGACTCACGCGCACCTTCTGTCCCTGCTTTCGCCTCTGCGCCCTCCTCATCCACGACCGATCCTGCACTCGCACAGCTCCATTCGCGTACCTGGCTCCTGCACTGGTCGCTCTTCGTCTACTTCAACCATCCTCAGGGTCGTACCTTGCTCCTCGAGACATTCCTCTCCCCAACATATCTCAACACCATCCAGACGTCCTGCCCGTGGGTTCTGCGCTACCTCGCGGCCGCCGCGGTGCTCTCGCGCAAGTCTGCGTCTGGCGCGCTCTCAGCGCGTGTGCGGCACTCTATCCGCGAGATTGTTAAGGTCATCCAAATGGAGGAGTATCAGTACCGCGACCCTATCACCGCGTTCTTGAAGGAGCTCTATGTTGAATTTGACTTCGAGGCGGCACAGCGCGAGCTTGGATTAGCAGAGGGCGTAGTTGCAAATGACTTTTTCTTGGGCGAGTTCCGTGAGGAGTTCATGGACAACGCACGCTACCTGATCAGCGAGGCGTACTGCCGCATCCACCAAAGGATTGACATTAGGTGCGCTAGCAGTGTCCAGACTGCCCTCAATCACTGAATGCCCTTCTTGTCACAGCGACCTCTCTGAGAGATTGAACCTGTCAAAGGATGAGGGCGAGAAGTGGATCGTGAACCTGATCCGGGAAACCCGCATGGGCGCGGATGCAAAAATCGACCTCGAAAAGGTGTGTACATCTGCGAACAAGCAACTCGCATATGTCTTGCTCACTATGCACGCAGAATGTTATCGAGATCAACCGACCGGCACTCCCAGTGTACCAAACTGTTATCGAGAAAACGCGCGGACTTGCATTCCGCACGCAAGCTCTTGGCGCAGCGATGTCGCGGACACCGCAGGCGCAGCCGTTAGGTGTCCAAGAGGAGGGGCAACCTGCGCTTGTAGAGGGCGCGCGGTGAGTACTGGGCCTGTAGTCTTATGATGAGTGTTATATTGCTCTGCTTTTGTATCGTTACGAGTTATACGACGATTCCGTCATCCAACGAGGAGTTGTATATTTATCCAGATAGCAAGCTGCAATACGGATGTGTGTTCGCTTTCTTCGTCGCATCACAGGTCTGCGATCGACTTCACGCGGTCCAGTCCTCCATCATCCCAGTCGTCCCAGCACAACGACAGTACCGCGGTATGCCTCGCCCACCCTTCCGGTTTCTCCTCTCCCCTACGCTTGACCTCGACACCCACATTCTTCATGCATTCGATGTCCGGCAACGCCCAGAGCCAGCGCAACAGACCCTCCTCTTTGAAGCCCATCTTCTTTGCAAGCCCAATGGATGGGGCGTTGCCCGGGTGCGCGCACCACTGCACACGTCGGAAGCCAAGGCCGGGTGGGTTGGAGGTAGGTGTCTGAAGGAGATAGCGGAGCATCAACGCGATAGCTGTGCGGGCGACGTGTGTGCGTTGGAAGGAAGGGAGGATCATGACGAAGCCGATCTCAGACCAAAGGTTGCGTCCGGAGGTGTTGATCAACGACAGCATACCGGCAAAACGTTCTTCACCGCCCGTGCGATCGAGCACAGCAAACGTACACCACTCTTCCTTGCTCCGGAAGTATTCCATCCACTCCAAGAATTCCGCGAGGTCTCGCGGCGCGGTGGGGTAGTAGCGAAAGAGCGCGTCATAATGCAGGGCGGCTTGGTTCCAAAACTCTTGAGCGTGCAGGCGCGGTACAAATGGTGTGATGCGGACGCGAGAAGATGTGAGCGTCGCTGGGTGCAGAGGAAATGCAAAGTTGATGTCGTATGGCTCCGTGGAGGAAAGGTCACTCGGCGGATGTACGGCCGGTGCAGGTGGTGAATAATTGTTCACAAATGCGGGCTCCATATTGACTGCTGGACCGTAGGCTGCAGCCAAACTTGGCTGGGCATCATGTATTTATACACCTGCATGCCGCCTTTGTGTTGGTGCGTTGATGACTCCTTGCGCGCGCCTGTTCGATCGCACCGAGTCACAATCCACGAGGACGCGATTTCCCACAATTCAAGGCTGGACGGTCTACCAATAATGCCGTTGACACTCTGATTATCACGGTGTAATGCTCTATCTGAGTGGAAATGAGATGCAGGTTCAGCCTTGCTGCTATAGCAGTGCTGTAGTAGTCAGACATACGGAGATACGGAGAGGCTTCAATGTGTCAGCTGACAGAATCGTAGACCACCAGATGGCTTTGGATGAAAGGGTCATCATTTTGCGAGACAATAGATTGTAAGCAGGTATAGAATACCAAACCGACAACTGTAACAAAAAAGGGAAAGTGACAGCAAAACGAAAGCGACTGGGAGAACGTGAAGGGCGTAGTAAAAAAAACGCTAAATGCGACACGACGCGACTGGAAGGAACTTCTGGTCAACTACTGCTCGATCAGCGGGGCATTGAGCAATGCGGGCCGCTAAGTTCTCGTGTCCGATGTCTTATGATGCGTTCACTTCGAACGCCGGTATGGAAATAGCATTGCTATGATATCATGAAGCTATGAATGCAGACGTTCAGCTCAGAATATCCAGGAGAGGCGAGGGCAACTCACGCAGAACGCAATGAGCGACGGCGATATACCGACCACAAGCCAGAAGAGGACCTCAACGTGGAGCTGCAAGACGGCAACTTTACAACAGTTCAGCGCAAGGAATCGAGGTACTTACGACACGGAGCGCCCTGGCTCTGTCTTCAGGGTAGGGATGATAGCGTGGTACCATGACACGGCGAGGTTTGCGAATGGGGGCCATCAAGCGACGGATTGGGTGTTGAAAGCCGATATTTGGAAGTTGAACGGATTGGCTTTAATAGCCTGGAACCACGCTGGCAGGCCACATTCTGTATGACAATACATACGTAAGACGTACTGGTGTCCTTGGACGTGAAAGTCGAGTGGTGATCCTGTAGCCATTGTGCTGCGGTCATACTATCGGGCGGTGTCCACAAAACGAGGCCACCGCGCCAACAAGTAGACAGATGTTGCACGCGTGGAGAATCAGCGAGCCGCAACGTCTGACGGAAGCTCTTCCAGACAAATTCAGTCGCGTAGATAGTAGCCATGAGGTTGTACTATGCGACGCTTGCCTAAGAGTGAGAAAGGCAGACAAGAAATGCAGCAAATCGCGGGAGCACTTATCGGGAGGTACAGTCTATGTCACATTATTAGACAATGCGGTGCAAGTGATTCTACCACGACATTATTCTTTCATGAATGTGCTCGTGATAAAATGTGATGTTAATACAATGGCAATCCTTCCGCAAAATACCGAGCCATCTTCAGCCTGCCGCCGAGAGCGCAAGAACACCGCGGAAGAGTAAGGATCGGCTAGGAAGAGAAGCATGACCAGCAGAATGACCAAAAATGGTGAGTCAAACGGACAAACTGAAGCATGAAGATATGTTGTCCTGCAGGCTTCGACCTGTAACTGTCACGATATAATAGGCCATGACGTCCATTTGATAGAGGACAGAGAGACATTTAGTGCATGGTGAACACATGCGCCGAGGAAGCCAGCACGGCACATGGATTGAATAGAACGCGCCTCCCTGCCGAATATTAATAGCTGAGTTAGACGTCTGTCGCGAGTCGGTCTGCAAGCAAGGATAGTATGACATATTGATGCGCATGTATAGCGCCTCGGTATGCGATCAAACGACCAGTAGCGCCACGATAGCGAAAAGACAGTTTCCGCCAGTTCTAGGCCTAGGTGGATCTTCAGAATACTCGCTGCGTGCACACAGGCAAGTCGTAGTTCTAGCGATCACGGTCAGAACATGAGACGCTATACGTAAGTCAACTTGCCAGTTTCTCTGAAGAAGGCTCGAGTTGAAGCGATGCGATGCTTTCACTTCGGAGAAAGTGTCGTTGAATGCACTTACGCCGCCTAAATTGTCCCTGTTCCTTTCGAGATTAGCGGTCTACCTTGGTGGTAGATCTCAGACAGCGTCTGCAATATCTGTGCAGCGTTTTCGGTGATGTTAGGCGCTAACGCTGCCGGCCTGCGCGTTTGCCGACTTCCACTTACATAAATGATGTGGTTAGAAGGCTCGTCACGGAAACTTCAGGGGACTTCACATGTATCCAGGAGGCCCTAGCATGAACAATTAGAGACCTCGACAATCCTGACCCTTCCTGACGGTTGACCCTCCCGAGCGTGATCGAGTTACTAGGATATGCGGCATTTCCCGGACCTGAACGCTGGCTCCTCCTTGGACTTAGATGAATAGTCTGTACTCTTATGTCCATTCCTTTCCAAGTTGACATTAGGGCTATTACTTGATTGAGGAGTCCAGCGGTGAATGAGCAGCAGTGGCAGGTTCCCATGATAGTGATATAATAGATATGGAACTTGCGCAGGTTGAAGCTTGAAGACTCATGCTCTGCTTACCAATGACTATTTCATGTCGGCCATGCTAGTATAAGGCCTGTAGATTACCATCGGACTATTTGTGACGCCTCCGTCAATGACAAAGATTACAGCTAAACCAGAACGTTGACTCGTGCGAGAATATGTATTCGGCTACAAAAATGCAGGTTTTACGTGCTACAACAAAGCTATGTGTACACTACGCACATCTATCACATCACCTCACGAAAGATCGAACCCAGCGCCAGAATTGATAGCTTGCAGCAACTTTTCTCGAAGGACCCTTCCGCTCGTGTATCGCGGCAGCTACGCGAAATTGCCTTAACCTCATGATGCAAGAGGACGGCAGAGCCACTCACTTTCAGAAGGTTCACACATGTACTCGCAGTCGGCAGTCGATTCTCGTCCGTGCCTGAATCACGTATGGAGAAGTTGGGCACAAGCTCTTTGAACCCTCTGTATGATGATGGATCAGTCAGAGATCATGTCATCAAGGCGAGGGATACACTCACAGTAATGGCGGCCGGCTGCAACTTGTCGCAAAGCGCAAAAGCGCGCGCCGTTGGTCCTGATCGAACGAATCGACGACCTGCAAAGCACAAAGTCTGATCAACTATGCATGGGCCGGTGGGTGCAAACTCAGCGCACCGTCCAGAATATCTCAATCGTAGGATGGTGGTCGTCGAACAGACCTCCGTAGTTCGTATGCTGCCGCAGATCATCAAGAGCAATCGGTGAATTCACGCCGCCCAGCAAGATTTGTAGCTCTTGCTGATTGAACATTCTGCATCGCGTTTTAGTCGCCGAGTTCAACACAAATCATCGCACAACGCACTGAAGCCACTTCGGATCGATCATGTCTGACAGCCCTTCGAAGAATGCCTCGCTTTGCTTTTTGATCTGCTTGTTCAATCGATAATGCGACACAAGGTAGATGTACTGCAGCCTGTTCTCCCGCGTCACTGCGACATTGCTGCCGTTCGGAATCAGCTCTACTGTCCGCGCTACACCGAACTCTGCTGAATGGTTCAGCACAAACATCGAGGGACTATCAACAGTACTCGCCTTCCTCCGCAACAGTGAAGTTCAGTGAGAGATCTTCCGGGTCGCTTGTATAATGCTTAAGGAAGATCAAGCCCTGATATAAGGCCGGGTCGAGGGACGCCAGGTCATCCAAAAAGCTCTGCTTCCCTAGCCACTAGCACAATGTCAGTCGATCAGTTCTGCTGACATGAGTGATACTGGCAAACACACCTTCGCAAGAAAGAAGCCCGCAAATGCGACGTCTACGAGGATGCCGTTATACAGCGCCTTACCCAATATTCGCCCAAGAAACCTGTACCAGTTCAAGCTATGGGCTACACGAATGATAGCCTCGTCAGCCACTACCTCCACGCCGAGCCACAATGGAACGCATACCTTCTGTGGCATACGAATGCGGGTTGGGATACAGCTCGTTCTGCTTAGTCTCGAGCCACAACCCGCGGTCCGTATCAAAAACCTCCTTGCACAACGACGTGAGGAACTCCTTGAACACGCCCCCACCGTCAATCCCCGCCCTGCAGCCCAACGCCATCAGCTTGCCACAAGGCTAGAGTGCAAGATCGAACACGTACTCCTCATTCCCCCACTGGTCCACAAACGTGATTGCTATCGGCGCATGCAAATCTGCGTCGGCTAGTCTATCGAACCCGTCCTGCGCGACTGATCCCCGGCGCACTGTCACGCGTGTCCGGCCATGCGGTCCAAAGCCGTCCATACCGCGGTTCATCATGTCGTTCATTACAAAGTGCCGGAAAATCGACACACGCGTCTCAAACGGAATCGCGAACGGGATGCTGTGCAGCACGCCGAGCCGTGGCGACATCAGGCTGATCTGGCGCTTCGTCAGCGTCCGCCCGCCCTGCGGTTGCAGCAGATTGCGCTCTTCAAGTCTATATGGGAAATTGTAGTCGTGCACACAGTCACACATAAGAAATGCGGCTTACACAGCCGCCTGAATAAATGTGGTCATGTCAATCTGAGATGTCACGAGCCAGTGCTCTGGCGGCGTGAACGGCCGTCTCGAGCTGCAAGGGGTGTGAATGTCAAGCAAGCTGACTCCAAAATGCATATACATACTCTCTGGCGTGGATCGCCTGCAAGCACTTGGTAAGCTTATCCCGCACCGTTTCCCATTTGACGGCCCCGAGCCCTGGAACACCATCCTGCTGCACGCTCGATGGGTCCTCGCGCCAGTACAGCACGAACGCAATGTTCAGCAGCTTGCGCGAAAACACAACTAGCTCGTCAAGCGTCAGCGGATTGCGCGCGCCACCTGCGCCCCCCGACCCCGCAGGGGCGAAGAACTCATCATCGCCCATTGTTAGTAGCGCCTGCGTGTACAGATCTGCAAGGAACAGTAATGGTGGCCACGCCTCCGCATAGTCTGGATCTGTTCGTCAAATCTCTTCAATGAGTATGCATGCTGGTACTACGAAGTGCTCACTCGTCACCGCGCTTGACTGTTCGTCTCGCCCCAATGGCGAACTGCGAACATACAACCGATAGACCTCGCGCACGAGCCCGCCTCCATTGAAGGCCACCACCGTACCGAGCACTTTGTCTCGCTTGGCCGGCCATACTGTCGTCAGTGCGAAACAGAAAGCGATGAAGCTCAGCCGCGACGGATGGTGCTGCACTGCTGACAGCAACGACGTCAGATGCTGTACCGATGGGTACGTTTGCAGGCGTGTGAGTGTGCGCTTGTCAAGCTGGGGTAAGGGTGGGGGCGCAGGATTCATGTCGAACGACGTCACTACCGTTACCTGCGGCGTGCTCTCGTTATCCGAATCGTCGTCGTCGTCCGCCCAACTTCGCGCAGGATCCTGTTTCGGTAACGGTGGCTCTAGCGCACGTGTGGGCAGCGCGTTCATGAGCATAGCGGTCAGCTGTAGGTATGTATCGAGCGCCGTGGCAGTTAGCTTGGCATAGCGCGGTGGTGTGAACATGACGAGGTTGGCAAGCAGATGAATCTTGGGTTCTACTGCCGACAGTGGGGAGCTATCGACGATATCTGAGATGGACGAAGATATCAGGTTGAAGGAGGAGATTGGAAGGCGCGCGGAGAGGAGGGTGAGCGACTGGAGTGGTAGGCGGTTGGGAAGAAGAGGGATTGTGAGGATGTGAGCGACGATATCTCGCAGACAGACTTGCAGGAGGTCGGAGTGGGTTAATGGGACGGTTAGTAACGATACAAGTGGCGGCAGGATCGGGGAAGCCTTGGATTCGACGGGCTATGAACAACGCAAATCAGCTCGTACCACAATCAGGTGCCAGCAAGGCTGCGTACGATTTGCACCAACGCCTGCCCCAGAAGCTGGTAGAAGCCATGACGGAGCAAGTACTGGACGTACTCTGGAGCGGCAGGAGTGTTTGAGAGGAGTTGGGTAAGGACATTCAGGTGGGACACCGCATACTGAGATCTTCATAATGTGAGCGGGGGACTGGCACATGGGCAGTAGGAACGTACTGAGGGTCGGTTGCCAGTGATCGGAGAAGCATCGAGGATGTCTTGCGGAGGAGGACGCACCAGTTTTCCTCAGAATGATGGAGGATATCTGGGGCAGAATGAAGGCGCGAGGCTTGCGTTTTGTTCTGACACTTACCCTGCGCGCGGCCGGACACGGTAGTGGACCAGAGACCGAGGGCGTGCTGATCCTGGCCGAGGAGGACGAGACATCTGAGACCTCGGATACCTGAGACATCCTGCTCAAACGCACGTCGGAGATCTTGCCGGACAGAGCGTAGTTGTGTTATACCCCTCCACCACGCCTGTATGCGGACGGCGCTGTCCTGTTTGCGCTTGAGTTCCAATCGCTGCGAGCGTTGTATCTTGGCGTCATTGAGGATGTCGGAGAATGCAGCCGTGGCTCTGTCGCCTCCAAGGTCTATGTTTCTGCGCTTGCCGGAAGGGTCATCGCCAAAGAGAGGGAACATGGCGGTCAGAATGAAAGTCGTTTACACTCGAGGCAGCCGTCCTCAATCCTCGAGCATGACGTAAGCCCGCCGTCCATTGACGCGCAAGCGCTAGGCCGGACTCATTCTGCCGGCGCTCGCGCTCAATCGCGGTCACGCGCAGAGGAAGGCACGCGCCTGCACGCCGTCATCACGAGGCCGGATGCGCCCTCTAGCATTTTGTTTTGTTTCTGTCCTTCCAAAGGCAATTCAACGCGCAGGTAATTTGAAGTATGAGGCAGAGTGTCACCGTGACGACTGTGGGGAGATCTTGTGAAACACATTGAAGGTGGATTCCTTGTTCGCCTCGTCTATAAATGTCCTAATGAATAGCCTTTCCCTAATGATTAAGAGGCTGTTTGATAACTTCCATAATCATGAAGCGTTTCGCTCAGGTTTCGATTATCACCCAGTGACCTGTCCATCCTGCGCCGCGTACTGGTCAAAAGATTGCATCCATATCTGCCAGATGGAGGTGTAAGCGATCGATAATGATGACTTAGCTGGCAATGTGCTCAATGGCACAGCCTACGGATGGCTATGTACGATCTATAAAGGCAGGGTGCAGTTTCGAGCGACTTGCAGTGTGCTCATACGAAAGTGCCGGTCGGTGGGTTAGAATCGTCTGTCACGCTTTTCCATACTGACGACAGTCCTCCGGTGACACGCAGCTTTCACCATTGTAGGCTATACTCAGTAACATCCCCACTTCCACAGTCGACATGTCATTTCGCATATTTTTCATGCTCCTCGTTATCTCTACTTTCACAAACCTCAGCAGCTGCATAGCCGCCCCCCATGCGTACGTACAGAGAACCTTAGCGCTGGCTGAATCTTGCTTAAACTGACCCATTCAGTAGTGTTCTTCCATTTGAAAGCACTGGGGGTATTATGTATGTTTGTCTAATGCAAGTCTTCCGCTGGCTTATTTATTCAATTGCAATCACCTGCTAGGATACATCCGGATCGTATCCCGAGGATACAGCACCCTGAGGCTCGACATAAGGTGTCAAAGGTGAGCAACCGTGATATTGAAATGGGTATACAAGATAATGATTTTGATGCCACAGGTTCAGACGAAGCGAAAGCCTATTGAGACGACTGACTCCTACCCGCCGCTGACAGAGCTACAGTTCGGTACCGATGCAATCCGGATTGGTTACTTCCCTGGTAACTCGGGAAATTGGCTCACGACCTCAAATACTGTGTGGGACGGAAGGGCGCCGCCAGTAGATCGTAATCAGCCACCGATGTAGGACTATTGTGCATAATGATCACCGCAATATATGATCATGAGAGCCTATTTTGATGTTCTTCAACCCCTGTGGCTATAACTAGTGTATGCGGGGCAAGTTCCAGAAATTAAGGGTTAGTAATAAGTTTCGGCTCCTTGCACACTTGGCAGCTCGGACTTGCGCAGTTGAACCCGGAAAGGTTGGACAGATCGTCCAATAGTCATAGTACTACTACGTGGAGGTTGGACAGATCGTTAAACAGTCATAGTACTACTAGATGATCAGGTTATATTAGACGCAGAATCATTTGTCTAACGTAAGCTGGTATGAAGTCCTACAAGCTATGAATTGAGCATCTATGATTTGTCACTGTGTTCTAGTGAAACTACTATCAGTGGGCCCAGTTGCGCATGTCTGCGGTGGTCCCTGGGCTAACTCCCGATCCCTGCCAGTATGTTAATTCCTGCAGTGGTGGCGATTGTCACACCTCAAAGGGGACCGACCTACTGCCAGAGAAACGATGTAGTGCATCTGTAGGATAGTACTATCCAAGGTCAACGGATACTTACTTCTCATGTCGGGCCATCCATGTGTGACGTAAATTGTCAACATTCCACGTACACGAAAATCAATATGTCGTGTACGGGCTCGACGTCAAACTAAGAACTCCAACGTATTGAGCAGAAGACCGCATGCAAACCGGGGTTTTGCATGTGTGTTGTATTCGCATATCAGCGCCACTAATAGTAAGACACAATCGCGAGTAAGACGCGCATGTATATGACACTGATTATGAAAGCTTTACAGAAATACCATACAAAAGCCAAGCGTATCAAGCAAACTACAAGGTCCATGAAACATGAAACCGTCGGCCCCCTACCCCGCCATCAAGTCATCTAGGAGTCACCCGCGAGCTGGGCGCACACGGCCTTAGTGGGGCAGTTGGTCTGCGCTGTGTTCTGCAAGTTCCCGAGCTGCAAGCACGTTATTAGTACATATATTCATGCCTGACGGGGGAAAGCCACATACGTAATCCCAGGTGCATGCACCATTGGCGTACGCGCACTGGTAACCCGTGAACTGATTGATCATGACACCAGAGTCGCCGTTAAGGTCCGTGGGGCAGCTACAGCCGCTGGTGAGGCTGCAGGATGCCGAGCTCGGGCAATTCGTCTGAGCAGTGTTCTGCAAAACGCCGGTCTAGAGTAATCACAGTCATCGTCAGCATCATCCCCAGACCTCCAGCATAATCAGAGAGCGCACCTTGTCGTCCCAGGTGCACGCACCGCCGGGATATGCACATTGGTATCCGGGGTAGACGTTGATCAGCACACCTGCGCTATCGCCCGTCAGGTCTGTCGGGCACTCGCAGTCGCCTCCGCCGCCATAACACGAGAACGCGACAGTCTGGCCCGTCAGCGAGCGGCGGTGCGCGTTGAACGCGGAGGGGTTCGCCTGAGCGACGAGGGCGAGGGCGAGGGTAGCGAGGGCGGCAAAGGGAGTGCTGGCGAACATCTTTTGTGTCGAGTACAAGTAGGTGCTGAGAGATGGTAGCTGTGTAGGCGAATGCGAGGTGGACTGCTTTGATGCTGGCCCTTACCCCGCTGTACATGTCGCCTTTATACTCTACCGTCTGCACGTCACGCCTGCATTAGTTTTTCCTCGGCTGCTCCGTCCCAGCGGTCTTCGGCGCACACAGCATCCTAGTAGCATCCTGGAAGCAGGACAAGAATTGAAACAGGCACGCCGGCCGGTCCTGTCAATCGCTCTCTCCGACCTCCTAAGCCCGTGCTTGATAGCATCCGGCTATGATCGACATCCACAGAAGACGGCCTCGCCGCGAATAACTGACCTGCATTCTCACAGCTATCAGCTTTGTAGCTTGGGAATGATCGATGTTCCAGTATCAGCGACGCATACATCGTACCATGACATCGCTAGCGAATTATGTTCCCGTACAGGAGTCGACCGTACGAGGCTTCCCGGCGAACTTACAAGGTGCCATTAGTTTGAATAGGAGGGCGCGCCAGGGGACACAATGGCCGAGCGCCCGTTACCTCATGTCCGCGATATTGACTGAACCTCCGCAGAACGTGGTCTTTGGAACATCAGCCCGCGCTATGGCAGTGCTCACGTTTAGGATCGAGAACGCTCAAGTCCGATGTTGTACACATCGAATCGATGACAGCTTGAACGCTCCCGCGATAATTATACCCTACTCCTGTAGAACGCGTACCTCCAGAAGGCCTCATCCATACCGTACATCCGTGACAGACGCACCATCGTGAATACGATGCCTCCCCCCGTATTAGCTCGATGGCAGTGGCATGTGTCATGTACAGCTAGTCCGCGCATAAGCGAAGCGCTCTTGGCAGGAACGGATGCACGCTCAGCAGCGATGTAACAACGGAGGCGGTAGAAGAGCCCCGACCCAGGCACAGAAAACGCCCAACGTGCGCCCCGGCAAGCGCACTCGCAGCTTGCTTGGCTAGCGACGAGCAGTCGCAGGGTCTAACGCCTAGACAGACCAGACGACCACGGAACTTCCGCTCCTGACAGATGTAGATGGGGGACGTCATTATGCACTGCGTGGTTGCGCGCCGCAGGGTGGCAGGGCATCGGACGCAACACACGAATCCGATCAGCATTTGGCGTCTACAGTCGAGGTGATAGCGAGATAAGCGCCGAATGATATTCACCTCCACATATCACCTAACGCACTAATAATGAGCGATGCTGTCGCTCGGTTAGTTTGGTCAATACATAAGCAGGAACCGCTGACCTGTGGTATCAGAGACAATGCATGGTCCGCCGGATCATGTCTGACACACGGCATTTTCGAGCAGTGTACTGTCAGTTTGCAAAGACGTCCATGCTGATGAACTGCTAATGTGCTTACCACCACTGCCTCCTTGTCTTCGCTCTTGCCATCGCTAATACCGTCGCGTATTCAGATACTCCAGGGTCATCTTGTTTGCTGCGGAGACATCTGCCGGACGATGAGGCGTAGTTCGAAATGTCAATGAATCATCAAATTGAGTTGGTGCCTGAAACCGTGAGCCGGCGGGATACCACAGGAGGATGGGGTTGGAGGTGACGATCATGAAAGGTTTATTGACATGAGTACTATCCAAATTGGGGTGGCTGCTTTGTGGGCAGATGTAATGCGACCGTCGGAGCGAAGAGACCGCCGTGTAACGTGGAGATGTCGCGAAGCCCAAAGCAACCGAGGTTGTGAGAGACCGGTATGATGAGCAGTTTTCCCGCTCATCGTCACAAGCTCTGTCCGAGACACACAGTACTCATTATCCGCGAATAGAAATCGCAGACAGTTGGAGGCAGAGAGCGCGTTTCTGTCAACCAACCTTTGGCGCTCGACTCAGGCGATCGAAGTGGAGCAACACAGTGATCAAGGCAAGATCAGACCTTGGACCGCCTTGGACCTATACTACTCCCTTGCTCATGTGGTCATGGAGCTCGCAATAGCGTGACGTAGAAAGGACATCGTCGAGCCTCGGTCGCTCCCCGCGTTCTTGTTGATATCATTCATCTGGCACATCCCTCGGTGCTGGTGTGGTCAGGGCCTGCCCAAACAAAGAGAAAGGAGAAGGTTGATATCAAAACCAGACTCCAAAAATCGCTGAACGATGCACCTGCGCAGGCTTCCTGGCGTAGATACATACCTTTCCCAAAGATTCCTTCTACCACTCTGTGGTCAAGATTTCCCGACCTCATGCACCTATCGTAGAGCCCCTTAGTAGGGGCACACATTCGAGGGCCCAGGGAGAACGGAGCGCTTTAGAGTCCACCATAACACGCAGCGTCGCTGTCAGGGGCATGAAGACGAGCTAGGCTCACTCAATGCACCTTAGGAAGACATTGTCAGGGACCGCGCAAGAGAGGAACAAATCTCCGAGACAGAGCGCCGGTTGACACAGGAGAACCTCCATTCTTTCGGAGCGGACGGTGAGTAACCAGGTGATCACCAGGAGCTACCGCACATCACGCAATGCTAGCCATTCTGAGCGACAGCGTCTATACGGATGGCACTGTGGTTTTATCGAAGCATCCTGTTAATTGAGCGCGGTGGCAATCGCACATTTAGAAAGAGAATGTGTAGCGTACCTTGTAGCGATCCTCCCACCCCAGGATTTCCGCGGCCATAGAACCAATACATCCAAAGTATACGATACGATTGGTGAAGCTGGACGTGCGTATTTTGTATCGACATTGTGGTATTGCAGCGATTGAGGGAACACCATCTTTATAATACCGGTGTAATGTAGAAGCGAAACCTAAATTCATAGGATGTACACTCAGATAATGACTCAGCTGAGATGTATGGGCATTGATGCTGTTGAACGTACCAGTAGTCTCATTGTATACACCACGAGAGTAATTGCACATGTTCAGCGTCGGGCTAGAGGTAGTCCTAGGGTCTTTTTACGTGGCAGGTGCTTCGAGTTTCAGCTCGTGGCTCCGAGTCTTGTTGAATGAGCTTGTTTGAACTTAGATTCCCACGGAGAGAAAGTACACGAGAGGGGCGCCGGTCAGGAGGGCGATACACGACAAGAAAATCGCACGCGCTTACCAATAAAGAAATGCATCAGATAGATCATCATCGGGTTCATGCTTTGAACGGGCTTCACAACGTCCAACAGGCTCGGATAATCACCGAGATGAGACAAATTATAGGTTTAACAGGGACAATGTCTCAATCAGACTCGGCGGTTTCTGACCATTTTCGTACAGGAAAATAGGCGATGGGACAGGATGATCCTCCACGACTTGAGTATGATATACATAACATACTGGAGAACGCAACACAGAGAAAGTCGAACAATCTAAGGTCAAGGGGATAAATCTTGGTGTAAGCACAAGGCGCACTGACTGAAGAGAGACATTTTAACGATGCCGAAGTCACCGCGAAGATTCCTGATTATAGATTCCGTAGAAGGCAAGTAGCACTGCATTTAAACAAGCAGGATCTCAGTAATCAAATCATCTATGAACTAGACTTACTCACGTTCACGCAGTACCTACGGTATGTCAGGCCACAGCGACTGTCCATTTCATCGCGAAAATCGTCATCTGTAGCCTCGTCAGAGTCAATGTCTGCGAATGGCATTCTGGGATATGTAGCGAGATGGTTGGTGAAAACATGTTCTCCGATATGATCCTCGGCAAGTGCTGTATTGCAAACACCGCTTGTATCGTTGTTCAGCGGAATGGGTCGCTGCCATTGGCAGAACACGCCAGTCTGAGAATATGCTTCATCCTTTTTTGTGAGATGGGCGTCCGCGATATGACGCTGCAATCCAAACATAGTACCGTCCAGACTAGCGCCACACGGCGGCGTGCCCCACTGACAAGCAAAAGGTGTTTTATCTCGGACCTGGAAAGTGAACAGGGTTATCCGGGAACTAAAATGAGCATAGGCGTATCATTCTCACGGTATGTTCCTCCAAGCCTATTCGTCTTTTGATATACCTTGCAATACCGGCGATTACCGGGTTACGAGGCGGCGTAGCAAATGACCAGACCATATTATATCTCTTCGTGATCCAATTGCTCTGCGGATCTTGACCATACAACTCAACCGATTCACCTAGTGAGTGGCCTGGCTTGATGTGGAGTTGGAATTGAGCAAAATCATCCATCACAAGCTGAGATACGAGCTCCGCCATGCTGGATAGGCTTCTTTTGTCCAAATCTGTATGGATGGATATAGCGTAGGTCGATTTTGAGCCGAGGCGAGATGGTAAGGTGCCTGGGGTTTATAATAAGTGAATTAGTTCGCAAAATGCTTGTCGCAGATGAACTCTCACCTGCCAGGTCAAGTTCATCAGCGCTGAGGTCTATTGCCGCCCAGACCGCGGACGTTGTAGGCGCATCGAACACTCGCAGAGAATGTAAAGAAGAGCAGTTGTACAGCCAGCGCAGGACAATATCCAGACTCTCCACTTGGCATAGCAGGCACTCTGTCAAGCGCAATTGACTATCGGTAGGAGCGTCAGGGTCGCAACTTTCCCATTTAACGCAACGAAGGACCAAGTCAGAGACGACGGGGAGCGCACGGATGATCTGTCGGAATGCGGAGAAAGAGACAAATTTGCAATTGACAAGTATCAGTGTATTGAGGGAGTGAAAAAGAGTGAAGAAAACGAGAGCGGGTGGCGTGTACGACCAGGAGGTGTTGTACATCTCGAGTCGGCGAACCGTGGAAGGCAAGTGAGGGAATAAAACAGCCAGGCGATACGCAAGGTGGTCCTCCCTGTAGCTCCGATTGGCAACGACCAGTTCTCGTAAGTTGTCCAGATAACCCGCTATGTCAGACGTGCAGGAGGTGTAGAGTAAATAATCGAGTGTGGTGTCTCTAGTGATAGAGATCTTGCGAAACATTGCTGTCCGGCTCACGTGTAGTAGCGCGCGGCATGTCAGAGCCCAGCTGCTTGCTGTCGGCGTATCGCATGCGTTGATAATCTGATGCAGTATATGAAGTGGAAACACACGCTCTGTAGTATATACCGTTTAGTGAGCGGTAATGTGTAAGGTTAATCATTGCACCCTCACCTATTCTTCTATCGTCACGTTTGGATTCTACAACTTTCCTAGGGCCTACTAATAGGTGGTATAGATAGGCGGCTATCTGTCTGAAACCTAGTCGCGGGCGTCGATTAATGGGATCAGTAGCGTTTCGATGACGGATGGTTCGCGAGGTTGCCATATGGTGGTTATCAGACGTGGTCGTGGGCTTGCCTTTGTGAGGGAATGGAGGAGATCATGTATGCCGTATTACCCACACTTCGCTCTACTAGGACCGGTGCGCTTCGAACCGCGAATCACCGAGCTCGCACGGCCTTGTGCCACAACAATCTGTGTCTCCTGACACAATGATGAAGCCCTGATAGATGACTACAAGATCGCGGGTTACATTCAAATGGCGATCTGGCATAGTCTGGGAAACGTTTCTATGCGAGAGCGATAATAACTGAGGGCGACTAAGGAGGTCCACAATGGAATGACTGCAGAATAGTAGCACCCCAGACGTGACGAAGATGCCTATGGATGAGCGCCTCAGACCCGGTTTTTAAGGAAACTTAAATTAGTGTGAGGAAATTTGACAAGTTTATATACTTCGTTACAAATGGTCTCAACTTTCCGCCCCCGAAGTTGATCACGTGTGCATGAGAACTTGGAGTTGAATCCAGAGACGTGCTCGCAGGTCTTCTGTCATCGCGCACTGAAGAACTGGTATTGACGGGACTCCACCCAAGGTTTCAATGTCGATATACCATACATTGATAGGCCGATAGACTCAACGATTAAGATTACCCGTCTTGAAAACTGTCAAGCCATCAAGGAGGTCTGTCGACTCCCTTCAATGACAATTCCCAAAGGACGATTTCACGAGGTCCCAGGCGGAAGTCCACGGATGTTTAAGGTCCATGAGGGCCTTTCTTTCAGCGACAGCGGGGGCCTTAGGCGATGACCTGTAGGCATTCACTTAGATCACCTACATCTTCGCGGCTTCCTGCGCAGGTGATGACGTTCTACAAGCTGTCCTCAGATGTGCGTACCGTTGCTAACGGATCTCCTAAGTGGCATCTCTGCAGCCAAACAGGGCATGAAGTTGTGCATAAAGACACGTATGTCAACGCAAAATCCGGGCTCCTTACATGAACAAATGACTGGAACTGCCGTGAGGAAATTCATTCACTTGTTTGACCTTACTGACAACGCACATGTATAACTACCAGGCGTATTGACTTGCTTCTATCGCACGCGACTGCTGCATGGCAGTAGCACGACACAGCCATGCTCTTTCGCAACGAGCCATCCATAACTCTCATTCGACCTCCTCAGACTTCAACCTACGTCTCTACGCAGCGACCTGCCCAATCCACATGCAACGCTACGCCCGCGCACGTCATTCAGTTCTATTCGATTCTGGCGCGGAACTCTTGTCGCCGGACGTTGTACCGGTAGACAACAAGCGATGGGATGTGGCATTTGCGGAGTACAGTGCAGTCGTAAGGCGATGGGATCAGACACCATGGTGGGATACCAACACCCTCAGAAAGTTGAGCCCCCAGATGGCCGATCTGATGCGCGCGGTGGGAGACGCGCACGGGAGCCCCGACTACCGAGTGCGGTGGCATAAGGGCGCCGACTCATGGACGCGCGCGTGGAGGCACAAGAATCCCACTCTCCTGACCCAATTCAAGATCGGTCTGGGGATGGTGATTGGAGGACCCTGTCTTGTGGTAGCGGTCCCTTTGCTCGGCGCGGTCGCGATGTTGTACGGTATCTTCGAGATACTGCGAGGCGTTCGTCTCGGATTTTGCGCCGGCCGGTGGAGCAGGGGCTTCGCGGGTGGGAGCCTGACCGCTGAGTCCGTCTTACAAGGAGGCGCGGGGATCGCATTATGTGGGATACTCTGCTGGGTATCTGGAAGTGTCGTGTGGAAGACCATGAAGTTCGGCATGATAGCGGGTATGTCAACAATTCTTTGGGTATTCTTGCAATGGGCAACACTTTTTCTGAATCCCGACGCGAACATCCCAAGGTGAGCATTTTGTAGCTGTTCTAAGCATTGACGCTAAACGTTGACAGTTTTGGGAACATGGTTGCTTGACGACGTAGTACATGGGATGAGGCCCGGAGAACAGAGGCTGTGACCCAATAGTTCTCAACGTGATGCTTACGGCCAGTGTTGTATCGCTAGTGAGGATGTAGTGTACAGCTGTAAAGGGAGCGGCAGTTGTTGATACTAGTGTCTGCTTATAAGAAAACATGTAAACCGTTTGACGGCGGTCAGGCCACCGCAGACGCTCTTACGGCAATCTCCTCAAAGAGAAGCTGTCATGCATCACGCATGCTGATGGAAGCGCAGTCCAGACCTGCAGGTATAACACACGCGAAACCTTCAATTGAAGGCCTTACCTGTCCCTCTCTCTGTCCCAGCATGGCTTACAACAAGCCGACACCGTAAGTCACCATTCATTCTGCACTTTTCGCAGCCGAAAGAATGCTATGATTGACCTACTTCATACCTTGTACAGACCCACCGACGCTGACTCTGGCGAGTCCTCCAAAGAGGGAACCCCGCCGAGTTACGACGACAGCGCTCGCGAAGCGCAATGGCAGCGCGCTCTCCTCGACGTGCAGGAGACCGTAGTTGCTTGGCAACGAGCCACCGCTGCGGGCGACTCAGCCCGCGCGGCCGAGCTCTCCGCCAAGATCCCTCAGATGTGGCGCAACGCGGGGGATATACACCCAGATCCCGAGGTGCGCGCCAGAATGTACGCGAACGCGGATCAATGGGAGCATGCCGGCGAGGGGGAGAAGACGGAGCATGCCAATGCTTTCCTCGTCGGAATCGGTGCGATCATCGCGACACCCTTCGTGCTCGTCGGTGCTGCATTGGTCGGCGCAGGTGCAGTTGTTTGGGGTGCAGCAAAGGTTCTTCAAGGTATTGGTGAGGGACTGTCTGCGGGGCCCGAATATCTGTGGAACAAGTGGAGGAAGCGCCCCAAGAATTGAAGTCTGGTGAGTATGTTTCGGTAATAATTAAATGTTCTTTTAAGTTACTTAAAGCGTAGGAATCTCGACGCGGCCGGTATAAGTCGCCCCGTAGTAGTGTTCGAAATGGTTGAATGACCCTTGCTTGAATAGCTCAGATTTTCTATTGTAAATTTCCTTGAACTGAGGTTCATGCAGTCTATCGGGCCTCGGATCATCTTGAAACTGAGAGGAGTGGTAAGGAGCATGAGCAAATAAGCGACTGCTTTTCACAATGTGCTCGCAAATTCTGGCTTACGGTATGTCACGGTTGCATAACTCATCGACCTGATTGGCTGCTACGCCCTACGTTTGTATACTTCATACTGGGCGACTGGAAGGGAAGGCGACCCCGGATCTAGAGATGTTTATGCTGAGTCTGAAATGTCGGCTGCTGAGGCAGTGTGATGCAACAATATACCGTGATAGTTGATACATGGCTTTAGACAATCAGGCTACCCATCGTCGTGTGCAGATATAGTAATTCATATCCGCCCCCGACTCCGCAGCAGCGAAGCAGATCATATCGGACAGGCAGATATAGGAGATGAAAAGAGGGGGTCATCATTCAAGGTCAATTTGGACGACACAGTACAGAGAGCACAAGGAAAGATTAGCCACAACGATCGGTACAGAATATGTCCGTTGTGTACCTGGGCCAATGTGAGTCCTAATACGTAAGTCATGCTGAAGCATTCAGTGACAATGACCTCATAGCGACTCGCGAAGACTAGCGTTCAGGTCTTCGGACAATATGCGTCCAGATGACGCCGGAGAGCATCACCTCTGGAGAATGTGGCATCGCAGAGACGACATGTCCGCTTCAATGTCTGCAGATGAACCGTCGCGGTGTGTTTGCCAAACGTTCCATAAAACATGTCTCTGTTGCAACATGCGCCGTCGGCACCCCGCCAAGGGCAAGGCCCGCGATATCTGTTGTGCCAGCCGCCGACGTTATAGTGGTGATCCTTGAGATGACGAGCGACTCCCGAAGCCGTGACGTCGTCGAGAAGGATGCCACAGGGCTGCGTCCCCCATCTGCACGGTACCGCCAGCGCTTCCATTGTAGGCTCCGTGACCAAGATCCTATCAGGGCAATTTAGATGAGCATTCTCAGGCATTTGCGTTTGTTTCACCTATTAAAGATCAGTGAAGTGGACAGCGGGGATCGGAGGAGTTGCACATCGAGCGAGCTCGTTATATCCTCGCGTAGAGGCCATCATCACGTAGAGGGTGTCCCGCAAGGAGCTCTGTCGTTGACACCGTAGGCGGTTCGCCTCGCATCGATCAAGCACCATACAGCGTCAGAATCCATTTTCTTCTCAGCGTTGCGACTGAGGATAGCAATGCTCCGGACGCAATGAAAGCGCTCAGATAGCGGCGCGATAGCAGCGAAGAGCATATGTTGATTGAAAGCCCGAGCTGAACAGTTCGGGCCTGCGGCACCATTGTCAATCGCTGGACGTCATATATCATACGGTATATCACACCTGGGGCTGATGTCGTCACACAAGTGGTCCAAGCCATTAGATGCGATTGAATGAAAGATGAAGCTTAATGGTCGGGCTTCGCTTCGTCGAACATCGAGATATCCAGTCCGACGCGACGTCTTTGCGGAAGTCCTGTACAGGTTACGAGGATGGCATCCTCTGAGGTTGTCTTTCGTGGGCCTGCGAGAAATTGCAAAAATATCGACATGATGACATAGCACTGCCTCGAGTCAGCGATCTGGACCACCTATGCAGACTACAAACAGAGCACCCTTTCTGAGTGGGTGAGGGACGCTGTACAGTCGGTTGTCCAACTTCGCGAACATGAGATTAGTGGCTGGGCTGAGATTGGCGCTTATCGACCTCCAGATCTCAGCCATGAACGCATCCGCCCAACCACCGAAGTGGCTGAAGAGTACTGGAGTCGGACACAACGAATCTTGACAATAAGCTCGGTAGTTCACCGCAAGGTAACATGAGGCCACTAAGCGGGTGGCAGTAAAGGGCTCAACGCCTGGTGGCTGCTACACTATAGCACTAGGGCTGTTAGCTTCGCACGGAATGTAGCGGATCTCATTACAAGCCCGAAGATCCGTGCCGCTGACAATCTACCCTTAGCGGGATAATCCACGCAGTAAGGGCTCTGGTGGATTATAGCCTCGCCTACGCAAGCAGGCGCATCAAGACACAGAGTACTTCTACAGGCCTCAGAGTCCTCAGACATCAGTACGCTGCTCGATATCTGACCACCTGCTCGACACCACACCCACGCTCCGCTTTACTCTGGACACACTACTGTTGACCCAAAGGGGCTTCAACTGAAGGCGCTCTGCTGGCCGCTATGTGTCCGCTATGTTATGCACTATCCCCCACCCATAGTGTGGATTGGAGCAGATAGGAATCCTTGCGGTAAACAGGCCGATGCCCATTGCACTTGGATGGATCCGGCGAAGAGCCAAGCCTCCTGGCAGGACACACATAATTACAAGGGTTATTCTGCCAACGGGAGTCTATGCGATCCTTGCGATGAAAGCAGTGAACCGATCTGGCTCTTCCCATGGCAACTACAAATTCATCAGTGTTGCTTTCGAAGTCATCCGGGTCGTAAGCTCGCCATATGATTTGCGCGTTCGAGCTTGTGTATCTGCACGGTGCGACCCCTGCCCTGTTTCTGGCATGCCTTCACCATGTGCTTCATCTTGTGCGCCGAGTACACCACGTCTCCAAACGTCATGTCGCACCACACGACGTGCACGTCGACTCTGGGCCATACCATCTGCTTGTAACCGCCGCTCGAGACATAGCAGTTGAATAGCGCTCGGCGGAAGTTCTCCGGGTACACGGAACGGTCGACGCGCTGGATGAGCATCTGCGAACTCGCCATGGTGTTGGCCTCGGCCACCTCTGGGAGGGGCATGCGATGAACCGTAGGTGTCCAGTGCGGAGCGGCAAACTCGGAGCCCGCGGGTGCAGTCCCGTGCACCGGTTTGCGAGTGATTATTAATGTATGAGCCCAGGGGACTCACAGTCGTCCTCAGGCATCAATACTGCCGGCGTGAAATAAGTAGAGACCCATATCGGGAATGCAGCCACCTTCTGCTCTGGCGTCAAGGATGCCTCGTTGAGGGCACTGAAGGTGGCGGGGAGGGGCGGGATTCCCAGCACAGTCTGCGAGGAGTCTGATTAATCACCATCGTGGACACTGTGCCTGTGCAGTGAATAGCGCACCGAACATGATGAGACTACGGAAGTAGCTTTCAAGGAAGCTCATCGTCTCCTCGGGGAGATCCTGTGCGTGTGCAAGGAAGGATATAGTCTGCAGATTTCCTGCGAACCACCCCAGAAGGGAGACACCTCCACCGCACGAATCATCGGACCTCGGACGCGCGGAGATCGGCGGGATATGTTCGGCTTGGATGAACCAGCGAATGGAGGTACCGATCTCCGATCCTCTCGCTGCGATTGCTCTCGCTTCAACATTTCTGTCAGGCGAAGCGAAATCTTTGAGTTCTTCCTGCGAGTAGGGAGTCGATCCGCGATAGTCACGCTTGTTCACTAGGACAAGACGTAGGTTGTTTGCGCTTGCGAACGGAAGCATTCTGCAGAATACGCCTCCCCACTAATGTGAATTTTCCTTCTCAAAGCAAAGTCTATCTGGAGAAGAGGGCATACCGCTATTCACCATCGCGCCGTGAACCAGAATCAGAGTGACATAGTCGGAAGCGCTCTTAGGCACCCCGCTGTCCTCGAGGTATAGTACGGTTCCCTGATCGTCAACTGGACCGACGGGCATAGCTTGTTCGAACACGTTTCAGGAGGTACGCTTGCAGTTGCTAAATACCTCGAGAATCGGGGATGCGTCGTAAGGCCGAGGCACCGATGGCCTCTGGCTTCAGGAGAGATGCTTACGCAAAGGTGTGCTCCTTGCGCAGACTACAACGCCAGTTTACTGCGTCGTGGAAAGAGTCGGGCTTATCGCCGACGGGGACGGAGGTCGCGGTGTTGGAACAATGCTCGTCCACCAAGTGGGCGCATACACGATTATCCACCAGAAAACGATAGAGTGCCTTTGTATTCAACACAAATGTGGATATGTTCGAAGAACTTTGGAAAGGAAGGCAATGAACCACTCGGGCTCGTCCCAATGTACCTATTGCCAGGTGAGTTTGATAGTAGCAAGCATTTTGGTCAACAATATTCACAAAATGATTGGCTTGCTGCATTCGAGGGAATTCGACAGCGCGGCCCACGCCCTGCTTCTTGTATGCGTGGGCTATGTGTCTGATATTATGAGTCGCGTACACGCAGCTGGACGGCGACATGTCACACCACACAATATTGATCCTCAGTTTCGGCCACACGGCCCTCTTTCTTCGCTCCCGCCGTTTGCTCGGCACTCAAACAACGCTCGACGTAGGTTGTCTTCGTACACCGACGGGTCTACTTTTTGAATCTGAACCTGCGAGCGAGGCATTACGCTGGCGTCGGTCACCACTGACACTCCTTCTGGGCGCGTACGCACTTGAGTCGGCACCCAGGGCGGATCGGGGTCGCTTCCGTGCAGAGCTTTGCGAACAGGGAGCGTCTCTTGGAACCCGGGCGTCTCGACATCCGTATCTGGAGCGGTAAGTATCTACATGAAGTAGCTCGACACCCAGATCGGGAAGAGAAGACGATGGCCTTCCGCTCGACGCTGAGCGAGTGGTCGCATACGGGGGTGTGGTGGAGGCTGCCTATTGATTGACGGATATCTCATGTATTGCTGGCGAGGTTGTGGGTTACTGTTGCACTGGTAAGGATGGCCACTGCCTCTTTTCAATTATGACCGTCATGGCCGCTAGACGCACGCTCTCGGGCAACCTTCTCAAAGAGAAGCTGTCATGCATGCCGCGTGCTGATGGAGGCCCGTTCCAGGCTTGCAGACACACTATAAGGGAAATCATCAGTTCATGGAGCTCTCCGCCCTCCTTTCCGCCCTCGCTCCGCCCCAAAATGGCTGACAACAACATACAACCGTAAGTCATCGTTGATATAGCGCTTTCCCGCCGTATAAAGCTCTGAGAACACTATCAAGCCACGATCACGGCACCCAAGAGGAGCAGTGGCACCGCGCCCTCCTCGACGTCCAGGAAACCGTCGTTGCCTGGAAGCAAGCCGCCGCTGCCGGGAATACACGCCGCGCAGCGGACCTCACCTCCAGAATCCCCAATATGTGGCGCACAGCGGGAGATATACATCCGGACCCTGCGGTGCGCGCCAGAATGCACGCGAACGCGGACCAGTGGGCGAATGCCGCCGAGGGGGAGAGGTCTGAGCAAGCCAATGCTTTCCTCATCGGGATCGGGGCGATCCTCGCGACGCCCTTCGCGCTCGTCGGCGCTGTATTGGTCGGCGCAGGTGCAATCGTATGGGGTGCCGCCAAGGTCCTTCAAGGCATTGGCCAGGGACTGTCTGCGGGGCCCGAATACCTGTGGAGAATGTGGGGTAGGCGCCCCGACATTTGACTGGTGAGTACGTTTCAGAAATAATCCTCGGCTCTTCTGAGTTGTCGGTTGAGTAGGACATTTTGACGCGGACAATTCGAGTCGGACCTGTCCTGTGCCTCATGGCCCTTGCTTGTATGTAGCATGTAGTAGTTCTTCTATCGCAAGAGCGATCATGTTGTCCGAGTATATCCTGGAGCGGGCTGACAATATACTGTGCTGTGCTTTCCTGGGTCCTTGAGCGCATGAGGTACAAATACAGACTCACAGCATGCGCCGTATCCAGTCATTCCGAGACACAGCAAATGAATTCAACCTAGTATTGACAAACGCGCATGATCAGAGAAGAGGGCCGCGCGCACAAGTCAGCAACGTGCTGTCAATGTTCTCTTAAACGAGCAGTCGTGGTCGCGAACCTGGACCTCCAAAGGGCGCTTCCTTTCTCCTTTGACTTTGGCATGGAGACAGTTGGAGTCGTTCAACGACCCTTCTGCGAGACGATACCCGCCGCCATGGGCAAACTCACAAATCGAAAGCCCGCCACGCGATCGCGTGCAAGGGAGGCTCGCACGCGTCACGCGCCGATCGCACGACCAACTTGAACTGGCTGTATTACGAACGCGAATCGGTCAGAGCACGTTGTGCATAGTAAGTGACGGTGAGTTGTGGCGAAACGAGAGCGGGCCGAGCGGAAAGTCTATCTTTTAAGAGGCGGATGGATGGCGCTGTTCAGACTAGTACTGTGCTACTGGATGCCTGCTGAAGCGCTGATGCCTCGGGGAACGTCATAGAGTCCAACGTGCTAACATGCCTTTGAACGGGCGATTCTTCACGATACGTGCTCCTCGCACTCTCTCCGACCTCTGAAGAGACGATATGAGATGGGTCATCGTTTGCTGTACACTTGAGTAACGTGTCCAGCCGAGATACTACTAGGACTGACCCGCCTCTCATCCCATACCGTCCCTGAAGCCTCCAACGTCACCAGCTCACCGTCCAAGCAAACTTTGCTCTCCTGGTATCCCAGGCACAGCAGCCATCGTGGGCTCGATCAACACCCCTAGGCTGCATTTCGAACAATGAAAGATACCCCTTGAACGGGAAGAAAAAGAAAGACACGGAACAACGAACCTCCCGGGCCACCCATCCGCAATACGCGCCGCTCAGACGTCAAACAGTGCTTAGAACCCCCTGCATAGCGAACAACAGTAAAAGTGCCTCAGCAAACCACGGCCTACCTCCGCCGCATCCCCGCAAGACTCACGCCCCCCGCTCATGGTCGTGCCCCACGGCAACGCTCACCGCGAACGGCACAAACATCCCCAGCACCGTGCACACCACGCGCGCGCGCCGCCCGATCTCCTCCTCCGCACCGCGCGCCGCCACGGGCCGCAGCACCGTCGCGACGTACAGGAACGTCCCGCCCTGCGCGCGTCAATCAACACGCGTGTCTAGACAGGAACGCCGGGGCACGCACCGAGAACAGCAGCGCGCCGCCCGGCCACCGGCCCCCGCCGCTGGCATCCGCGCCGAAGGCCACGAGCAGCACGTACGACGCGACGGCGCCCAGCGGCGTGGACGCGCTGAACAGCGCGAGGTGCTTCTTGCACTCGGCGCGCGCGAGGCCCGAGCCCATGAGCGCCGTCGTCAGCGCGAGCGCCGTCGGCGCTGCAGAGCGTCGCACGACGGCGGAAAAGGCGCCAGCGCAGAGGAGACACGCGCGCGCGAGACGCGTCCGGCACAAGGGCGGCGGTATCGTCCACCGGCGTGTGCAGGCGAGCGCACGACGGATGCGGCAAAGTCGAGGCATGCGCGTCAGCGCGGCGCTGCACGGCGGGGGGCACGCAGCACGCACCTTTGTGGATGGCGAGCGCCATGAAGACGACCAGCGAGAGGCTCGACGGCAGCACGGCCGCCGCGTCCGCCCCCGCCCCCGAGAGCGCCGACGACCCGAGCGCAAGCCCGTCCGCGAGCGCGTGCATGACGAGGCCGAGCGTGAGCGGGTACGCGCGGGCCTGCGGACGGTCCGGCCGCCCGTCTGCATTTGCGTTCGACGCCGCGGTCACTGCTGCGGGCCCCGCGTCCGGGATGCCCTCCGCGCGCTCGAGCTCGCCGAGCTCGACGTCGAACTCCACGTGCGCGGGGGGGTTCGTGGGCGACGGCGGCAGACGCGGCGGGGCGCGGTCATGCGCGTGTGGGGAGACGAGCTGCTCGAGGAGGAGCATGAAGGTGAACCCGCCGAGGAGGGCGAGCGCGATGGCGGACGTGGGCGGCTCTGCGGAGCCCGCGGCGAGCGTCTCGATGCCCCTGGTGTGAGTATGAGCGTTAGTGTCTATCGGTCTGTAGCGCGCGCCGAGAGTAAAGAGGGTGGAGGGGGTACTCTGCTGATCGAGTCGGTGCTGACATGGCTGACTGAGACACACCGGGAATGGGGATATGGTTGCTGGCAGCATGCGCGTAGTGTGTAGATGCGGGCTGCTAGAGGACTCGGGATGGCCTAGCTGCCTGCGCCGCAAGATTATGGAATGATAGTCCAGCAATGAGACTATGCGGCGACGAATTGGCAATTGGGGAGCGCGCATCCGAGGCCGCTAGTATTATGGGCAAGGCGGAGAGAAGTACCCAGAAACGAAGCTGATCGCAGGCAATGTGGGAGCTCACGAAGAGATGCCCACGGGCTGATCATACTTGCATCTTCCAATTCGAAGCAGGGCGCGCTGTAACGGGCAAGCAACAACTGTCTCTTATGACACATCGTATCAGGCGCTGAGCCACCAAGAACTAACGAAGTGCTCATCACTAGCGTGTCGTCTTTAGCATCTTAGATGTGAGCAGCGCTCGCATCCGATATGCATGCCGCCTGAGCAACGGACGATTGGTCATTGACGGGAACTGTTCCCCATGAAGACAGGATCCATCGCGCCGGATACCAGTCTAGTGTGCATACCTGGTGAAGGAGGAGAAAATCGCCGTTTATGCGACCAAACGGGCGTCCTGCGCCCTCACGATCAATGCAAGGCGAGGCTGCCAATCAGGCCCGTCGAGCGCTTGTTTGGCGTTTTAGATTCTACCATCGCGGTCACTGCAGCAGCAAGCGAAAAGCCTATTCTGTGGATGCGACACAGCCATGGTCATTTGGGGATGGACAGATGGGACCATCCTGGATCACGAGAACGCAGGATGACAGACGGCAGCAGCGGCACCACTTGACCGGACAAGACGACTCCATTTCCCCACATGAAACACCAAGGAGCACAGCAAACAAAGGAGGACGCACTCGGGGATGACGACGCCAAGCGCGGCGCCGAGCAGCAGACCCGTGCCGAGGGCGGACAGACGCGCGAGGGCGGACTCTGATTAGCCGTGGCGCAGGTGAGCGATGTAGGAGGGGCGCTGAGAGCGAGAGAGGGGGGCGCACTGGAGAATGCAAAGGACAGGGGGAGGATGCCGATGGCGAAGGAGGCCGCGCCGAGGAGGGCGGACATGAGCACAACGCCGGCGAGCCGGGACATGGCGAACAAGAAGAGGAAGTAGAGGGTCTATGAGAGAGAGCACGACGAGGACGAGAAGACAGCGACCGTGCGCACGGCTGCGCTTCAGCGAACGCGTGCGAGCGCCAGGCCCGTGCGTCGCGTCTCGCTCACGTGCCGGGCGTGGGCGGAGGCAGAGATCCGAATCGAGCCTGGCCGACGCGTGTGCTCGTGCCCAGTCCCAGTCCAAGCCCCGCTGCGTGGATCCGCCGCACACGCCTCGAATGACGGAAGTGAGCACGCCTGCATGGCCCCAGTCCGCACATGAACGCCGTCTGGGAAGGCGATCACGCCCTGCTCCTCCAAATGAGCCCGGAGATGCTCCCTCGGCCAGCGACTGTGCTTTTGCGGGGCCGCCGAGCGTTCGAGCCCTTTGCGGCCGACGCGTTTGCCTGCGCCGGCCAGCGACGCCCGCTGGCCCTTCCATCCCGCGGCCCCCAATTGCCCCGGCCATGCCTGCATACGTAAAAAGCGCCCGCGAGTCGTCACATCTCGACGTCCTGCCGACCGGGTCATAATTGTAATTACCACCCATTGATGGCCTCAGCCACCATCCTTTGCGGCAGCGCCAGGACTATATAAAGGTGCGCTCGTTGGCGTCGGCTCGCCCCATCCCCTCCACCGCTGACACCCTACGCTCACCCAATCACACCCTAATCCCCTCCACACACCCTACCTACCCACTAATCTCCCGCACCACACCATGTTCGCCTCATTCAAGTCCCTCCTCGTCCTCGGTGCCCTCGCCGCCTCTGCCCTCGCGCAGAACATTGCGATCGGCGCCCCCGTCGCCCTCGACTCCGTCCCTGCCGGGACCAACCTCACCGTGCAAGTCAACCGTCCCGTACGTCTTCCATTCCTCCCTCCTGTTTCCCTCCCGCTGACACTTCCCCTGTGTCTTCGCTGTAGGACTCCCTGACGGGCTCGACCGAGGTTGGCATCGCCATCGCCCTCAAGTCGTGCGCGGGCTACACCAACGGCTGCGCGGACATCGACGTCACCCAGGCGCTCGGCGACGTCCTCTACGTAGGCGGGTACGACCCCGAGTTCCGTGCCGGCGGCTGGTACCCGTACCAGAACTTCACCGTGCAGGTGCCCGCGGGCTTCTCCACCGGCCAGGCCATCCTCAGCGTGACGCAGCTCTCGCTCGTTGGGGTGAGTGTCCTTTTCCCTGTCCCCGCGCACTCCCACCTTCATCTCCGGTGGCTGTGCATCGACGATCCCGCATCATCGAACCCTGAGCTGACGCGTGTTGATCGCAGGCTGGCCCGTTCCCCTACACGCAGACGGTCAACTCGACCGTGAGCATCGTGAACGCCACCACTTCCGCTCAATGAGCGCACGTGCCCGTCTGCTGTCCGCGTCTGCACGCATAATGTCGCCCAAAACACAACCCGCTCACGGACAGGACTTGACTTTTTTTACTTTTCTTGGATTAACCCGTCGAACCCTACTACCCCTACTACTACGAACGAACATTGGACTCGCTGAACTCGGACTCCGCTGTCTCGCTGTTTAGCTCTCCGGCTGACTACGATACCTTTTCCCGCACCTAATACCCTACACAGGACGCCCGTCCCTTAATGACACCTTACGAGTAGTCATGTCGCTCCGCGCTCTTCACGTGTTGCGTCATCGCCGTGCTTTACGGTAAATCCTCCGAAATGCAATGCCAGCAATAGTTACTTGGTCATGCGTTTCTCTCCGAGTGCCGTGCGGAGGGGCTATCGTGTGTACCGCCCGTTCATGGTGCCAATATACGACTGTATAAGACCAGCAAATTGGGGGGAAAGTTTTGAAACATGAACAACCTTCAGCACTGCATTGTGGGGTACGGCTCATCATGCATCATGCATCAGGAGGTGCGTTAGTGCCCGGGGCCCGTCCGTCCCTCGCGCCGCTGGCCAGCGTCTGGCCGAGTGAGCAAACTTCCCCGCGTCGAGGGTCCGAGCTCTTGATCCGCGTCCAAGGTTTTGCACCGTCACGGCGTCGCTGTCCTCCCTCCTGCGCACACACTGCCATTTCTCTCGTACACTCATGCTCCGGCGTCCCCCCTGTCTCGCACTCATCCTCCTCGTGTCACTGAATAGCATGTCATCATGCTCAGAATCGCGTTGTGTGTGCTAGCTGCCCGTGGCTGAACCGCGCAGCACGGTCCCGCCCACCCGGGCGGCTCTCCTTGCACCGCGTCCCGCTCTGGCTAACGCCAGACGTCCGCCCAGCCACTTGGCCTATGGCGGCTAGCACATACACACCGCCGCGCTCCTCCTAACCGCGACGACGAGGACAGACCATGCATAGCGCAAATGCAGGACCGAACGGGGCCACCAAGCTGGGGGGGAAAGGTTATGAAACACGCGTCATCTTTAGCACTAGTACTGAGTACTGCATTGTAGGGTACGGCTTCTTCTGGAACCAGGTCAAATATCCACCGGCGTAAACTGCGGTTAATCCACCCACGGGCGTCTGCTTGACGCCATTAGCGTATCTGTGCAATGCCGAGGGCGGATGTGGACGTGGACGCGGGTCCGATTTGGGGACGCGGCCTGACTTGATCGCGATTGGCAACAGCCCGCGCGAGGCTCCGGCCGTCTCAGGCGCGTTTGAATTCCCTGCCGAATGCACCCAAATAGACGGGGTAAGACCGCGACGGCGCGCGGCTGAGTGTCCGGCGACGACGCGCCATATACTGGGGGCTTACCCCGCCGGCGCGCTCGCATTCCAGGGTGCGGTCGCGGATAGAGTATGCTGGACGAGTCGGGGAGGGGCCGTGGGAGCATCAGCGCTCAGCATCAGAGGCCGCGAAGGTGCGCACGTCAGGTCACCGGACCCCGTAACCCGTTAGCCTGCCGCTGGCCAATCGGACGCCGCGCCAACTCAGGCACACCCGTCGGCGGGCTGGGAAGTGGCCGGTGACCCTGTCCGTTGGGCACAGCTTGTTCGCTGCAGCCGATGCGCTAGGACGCGGTGAATCTCGCTTGCAACCTTGATGAACGTCGACCTGTTTTACGTAGGCGCGAAATACAGGGTGTCCTGTCTTGACCTACATGGGTCGCCTGGACTGGGGTACTTGTCAGTAATGGTCGATGAATGTCCGGATTCACCCGCTTGCGACTGTTGATGCAAGCACTTTGACGTGTTCATCTCCACAAATGATATGGAATACCACCCGTCTGGCTAGCGTCAGATGGCGGTGCCACGACAGCGTCGAGATAGGTTGCACCGCAGTAAACGATCACGGCCTTTCACAACATCCAACATAAACCTACGAGACGGCACCTCGCACCCGTCCTCCAGGCTCTCCGATGTCGTACAGTGTAGCGCGTCCGCACGCGGCCACCCGATGTTCTTGCGAGCGTGGACTCTGTGCGGCCGGTTCGCCCCAGCTCCGCATCTTACACCGCACATCTCACCCTGTCGCGTTCTCGCAAGAACCAGACCCCCGGGTGCCGTCACCCGCGTGCAGCGGCCCCGCGGCTGTGCCCGATAATTACGAACGCCCTCGACCCGTGACACGCAAAGCACGGGAGACACTATCGGCCGCGCCCTCCCCATTGGGCACCGCTCCACGTTCGAGCCGCGCGCTGTGCAGGACACAGCGGCCAGGATGCACGGACGCCGTCGCCGACACATGCCGCCCGGCCCCGGCCCGAGCTTGCTGGCGTCGAATGCGCATTTCTCGCTGCTGCACGCTGTGAGTTACCATAACCCGGGCTGCGCGTGGAAGCGTTCCGCAGAACCGGGGCCCACGGTGCATGACACGGGTACACGCGAGACGCGTCGGAGCAGCGGTGGTGGACGATCAGGAAGCGTCGAAGCGGCGGCAGCAGACTCCAGAGTGAATGCGCCTGAGAGGCGCCTAGCGAAGGGACGTCCACGAAGAGCCTCGGTCCTGAAGAGAGAAGAACGCTCGGGTCGAGCCGGAATTCCATGGTAGACCGTCCCTGTGCGAGGTTCGCGGCATATGCAGATGCCCCGCCCACGAACCGAAGTCCCACAGGGAATTGGAAGTGAGGCAGGCGCGCACTTGGTGGGCGTTCCCGACTTTGGCTTCGCTAGCGCACGGACACACTCCGCCCAGCCGGGCATTCTATGGATAGTCTGAGTGGCTCTATACAACATTACCGCCGCATGCTCGCTTGGTCCAGTCAGTACTTACGTACGGGATAAGATTGTGTGCCGTCACGTCAGTGCAGAAAAACCGGCGCTGCCATCGACCTGGAATGGAGGAAGCGTCGACCGAATCTCGTAAACCACATACCACGCGCTTGATCCAGCGTCTTGACACTGTCCGGCGAAGAGAAGGGCGAGGCCTGCGTCAGCCGTCGCTGTCCGACGCGCGGATGTGGGCATGGTGAGCTTAAACGGTGGCCGATCAAACGGGCACATGCGCCTGCACGTCATGCGCGAGAGGAAGCTCCGCAGGAGCGCGACGCACCTCTGCGCCACGAGCGCCACGTACGCGAGCACTGCGCTGGTGCCGGAGTGACTCACACAGGAAGCAAATGTGCACGTCGCGAGGCGCACATTGGCCGCTTCAAGAGCGACGGCACACACGACGCACTGGGAATGAGGCTGCCACCGGTGCTTCGTCATGACTGATCGGGAATGCGAACGTTAAAGCCCAGCGGGGCTGTGGGCTTCTAGTCTCGAGATGACTCGATCTGCGAACCCACGTTTCTTCGACTTGGCCGTGACGAATGCCCAGCACGTTGCTCAGCAGCACTACGACATGGGTCGCATGATCCGTACAACGTGCAGAGTTCGGTCCATTTATGGCTCCCACGCGCCGACGCAAAGCACGCCGGGCATAACTGCCGGGGAAGGGAGAGTACGGATATGCGCGGGACATCCGATGCAGCTAGAGTTAAACCTGCGCCTGAAATAAACCAGTGTCTAGGCTGCAGAGGCATGTACGGTCGGACTCCGCATCCACACGGATGCTCGCCTTCCGGAATATGGAATAGGAAGGCAGCCGAGGATGGCTCATTTGACTTAGGGTAAGCCATGAGGGTGCATGGCGTTCTAACGAAGGCATGATAGCGTGTCTGCGGAAGGTATGTATTGGGATAGCGCCAATGTCGTTAACGTGTACAGACGACATATAGTTCATGAACGACACACCTGCTGTTGGGTGTTCCAGTAGCAACACGCAGGCAGCAAGTCCGACAGCCGTAGTATTCCAACTCGGGCGGTTGTACCCAAGAATTGAGAGCCAAATGTCAAAATGGAGACATTATCTCTCAGAGTTCGATGGGGGAGGTTGACATTCGTGCCGCTGAGCATCTAGTACGACGTCGTGATGGAGTGAGGTGGAACGTACTGATTTCGTTGTGTGTACTCGGCCTGCGACGGTTGTGCCCCAAGCGGCCAGTCCTCATGAGTTCACGTATACCCGCGACGTTTGAATCATTCTCTCGGCGCCATGGAGTAGGAGTAGGATATTGCATGCTGTCCGATGGTCTGTGTAGTCGGGAGTTAGCATGGCGCCGAACTGTGTCCGGAATGTCATCAAGTGTGGTAATTGGTGTGTAGGCCAGTTGATATATTGATGTTACCCAGAGATAATCATAGTGTATGCTGTAGCAGAAACAACAAAATAGCGAGCTGAAAATAATGCACGGATGCTAGACGGTGACCAGATGACAGGGATGTATGTTATCGCGTCTGGAATAGGGCGTGAAATGTGTACTGGTTAAGAAGCAGACCACATAGACCCGGCGAGCGAGATGGTACCATTGCTGCCAATGGACAGTAATGTAAAGGACTAGTGTAAGGAGCGAGGAAGCACCTGTTGTTATCCAATCGTCGTATCTATCGATACGTCGCCTTCCTTATCTATTGAGACATCGTGCACATATGGATTATGCATATGGCGCGATAGGCGTGATGATACAGTGATCTTCTGCCACAAGTGCGGTCAGCTAACGACTTATCGGCAGTACGCATGCTTACATACAATTCTTCCATGGCTCACTCCAGCCCTTCGTGCATGCGCCGCCGTTTCGCTTCCTCCTTGTTCCGGTCTATGCTGCGCTGGACCTCCTTGTCCCAGTCTGTGCCCAGCCACACCACAGCATACTCGCCAAATGCGATGATGAAAAGGGCGACATCCTGCCCTGCATATGTCACGTGTTACTTCAGCAGCCGCCCCCAAACCGCATTGCAGAGCACATACCAAGCCACAGGCCCTTTAGTCCCATATGGGTGCGCGGGTGGAAGGCGACAGTGATGCCCAAGGGTAGTGCTAGGATGTAGTACGCTACAAGGTTGAATATTGCGCCGAGGTGTTGCCGTCCTATGACGCGCGGTATGATGAGGCATGTTAGTAGGGTAGCACGTCCGTGATCGAATGCAAATTACACACCCTGACCACGAAGAACCCCGCCGCACGAGCCGGCGAGCGCGTCCGCGATCTGCACGAGGGAAAGCGTCAGTAGGGACCCTGAAACGGACGTCCGGCGGCTCGGGTCCGATGACGCAGACATTCACCTGGAAGGAAGCGACGAAAGGCATGACCTTGCTCACGAGGTCCACAACCGCTTCGTCGTCGCTGAAGAGGTAGCCGAATACCTAGGAGACGTTTGGCAGATGAAGGCCGAGAAATGGGTAAAGGCGGGGAAATCACGCACATTCTTGGTGAGCAGCATCACAGTCATGACGACCGTACCGACCATCACACTTAGGAGGGCAGAGACATGACTTGCTTGTTTTGCGGCACGGGGCGCTCGGGCGCCGATTAAGTTGCCAACCCGCGTAGACGCAGCGACACCTATGACATATCAAACGTAAGTCACTCCGCCAGTACGTGATCAATGCCGCTCACTGATTCCAAATGGGATTGTGTTAAGAACTGGTGATAGATTCCGTCACACTATGACACACAACCAGAGGTGAAATTGACGGACTTTGATCGGTTGTCATTATGACCGATTGAGCCGCGAGAGGGAGGGACCCCAAACGGCCAGCCGCTAGTGCGACAATCTCGAAGGCAGCCCTAGGGGGGACACGAGTACGAGGGATCAGAGAGGATCGGACGTACGTCAAAATGTCAAACAGACGCACCATTCAGTCCCCACCATGAGGATTCCGGGAATGGCTAACTTGAGGAAGTCGAGGCAGCTGCGCGTGTCGAGCACGGTCGCAAGATGGAAATCCGTCCATGTTCCGTTACGGTGATGCACCGGGGAGAGATAGGTGAGTAGAACGAGAAGCAGGAAGCAGAGCCAGTAAGTAATCGAGATGGCGACAGGCGATCCGAGCAAGCCGAGGGGCGTGTAGTGCACGCAGAATATGTTCAGCGCCAAGTTGACCGGGGCTACCATCAGGAGGACACAGGTTGACGCGCGCATAATCCCTGACATCATCCCGTGAGCGCGCGCGCAATCAGGATCGCGACAGGTGCAAGATACCTTGGCACTGCAGATATTTCTTTACGCTCTCGAAGCCGATGTATCCTGGGGCACCTACAATCAAGATGCGCAAGAATGATTGTACATCATGACTGAGCCGCTGTTCTTGACCAAGCGCAAGAAGCACAGGCTCAATGAAGGCCCAAAGGATTGCAACGGGGATGAAGAGCAGCCAGAGCAAAACTAGACACCGCTGGAGGTGAACAGAGACAGCAAGACGATCGCCACCGGTGAAGGCCTGAGATCCGAGAGTATCGAGGGCAGTAGTCCCGCCGAGGGCAACGCACCAGCCTTGTGCAATAGTCAGTGTGAATTCGAGGTGAGCTTCTGCCCAGCGTCCTGCCGCTGACATACCTACCTACCATGGCCAGCATCAGCGCGAATGCAGCCGCCGATAGCTCATCGGGGCCGAGTCGGCCAGCGACGAGGACAGAGACGGCTTGTATTGAGTTCTGGAGGACATATGAGAGGATGACTGGGTTATGAAAAGGGTGAACAGACGGAGAACAAGAGGAAGTTAATGTACTAACCAGGGACGGAGTCGACGAGGAGAGATGAGACGAGTGCGCCAAGGCCGTGGGAGATAAGAGCCTGATCAGGCAGGTCGGTTACAGAGGCATCGGGAGATTCGTCCGCCACGGTCACAGAGTGGTTCGAAGACGACGAGGACGACGGCGAGCGAGCGTTGGAGCGGGCGTCGCCCAGCAGCGGCTGTGTCTCGCTGGCACTGAGATGGCTAGCCTTAGAGCCCATCTTTGGAGCGGAGAGATATGCGTGGTCAGCTCCTGGCGCCGCTCTTTTCTACTTGGCCCGGTGCGTCAGACTCGTGTCTGTTAGTTTCGTCTATTTACTGACGGAGCCACTGCCCGCATACATGTTCGTCCAGATCGGTATCCGATAGGTATTTGTGTCGGAACAGCGCTCAGTGCCTGGAAATCTGCCGTAAGTCTTGGTCCCTGGAATTCTCTTAGAAGAGCCGACTGTATACTCTGGCGAATGCAATGCACCTGGCCCTTCTTTCATCAATTTTCCGCATTGGTGATAAGACCTCGAGTGCCCTTCCATACGCGTCCGAAGGGATATACGTAAACGCTTCCCTTTGCATGTTTGTTTTCCCAATCTATTGACGATAGCGCCTCACATGCAATGGTGTCACTGGTCATGGGGCAAAACATGCGTTATCTCCAGCGTCCTCCTGAGTCAGTAACTCAGCCTCGTTGCCTCTCGACCTGCCGGGTTTAAAGCTGATCGTCTCGTCTTCTCAGTACTCCATTCTGCGCCCAGCAGTGTCCAGTAATTTTGCGTCTCCGCGATGAAGTCATTCACCTCTCTCGTGACTCTTTCCCTATTCACTCTCGTCGCTATTGCGCACGACGGACATGACCATGATACTCAGATGCCGCTCGACTACGTCAAATTCCCCTACGAGGCCGTGTATCCCGGCGACAATGAAGGTGTGACCGCTCACGCTCATGTTCTTCTCCGTCTCTCATGGCGTCAACACCCTCACAGTGACCGCTGATTCTATCTTTTCTGGGATCGCTACGTTTGCCAAGCTGCCGTGGGTTCAGTGTCTCGGCAAGGACAAAACGGTCCCATTCGATGTCGCCTTCATCGGAGCGCCGTTCGTATGTACTTATCTTCTTACGGTTGTGACGCATGTTTGATCACTCCGCAGGATACGGGTACTTCCTATCGCCCGGGTGCTCGGTTCGGTCCTGCGGGCATTCGCGCCGGATCTCGTCGTCTTACGCTCTATGGAGGTTACAACGTGCCGCTCGAAGTTAATCCCTTCCTATCGGGCCTCAAGATCGTCGACTGCGGTGACATTCCAGTCACGCCTTACGACAACAAGTACGCCATCAAGCAGATTGAAGTCGGACACAAGGAACTACTTCATCGCCCAACCTTCTCTCCACTTGGCAACGACTCTGCGACGGGGCTTCCCCTGCAGCCGCTTTCGATCGATGGCAAGAACCATCCTCGCATTATTACGCTCGGGGGTGACCACACCATCGTTCTCCCGCTGCTTCGCTCTATCTACAGTGCTTACGGCGCAATCTCGGTGATTCACTTTGACAGCCACCTCGATACCTGGAAGCCACAGGTGTTCGGCGGCGCTCCCTCAGACCAAGCAGCGATCAATCACGGGACCTACTTCTATTGGGCCAGCCAGGAAGGCCTTATCAGGAACGGCTCATCCATTGCAAGTATCTCTTTCTTGCCCGCTGCCCACTGTGTGATATCCCTTTGAATTGTGGGAACTCCTTGATCCTAGTTTGAGGCTTCTGATTTTAGCATGGTGCCATCCGCACCACGTTATCTGGACCGGCAGACTACGCCAACGACGATGCATCTGGCTTTCAGCGAATCGAAGCCCGCGAAATTGACACAATAGGTATGTGACCCATCCCCCTGGTGCCGACGGGAGCGTTCGTAACATCCGGCCCTGCAGGAACCGTAGGCATTATAAAGAAGATCCGCGACACCGTGGGCGACAAGCCCGTCTACCTGTCCATCGATGTGCGTTCTCATCCAACCCGATCCCGGATCGGAGAGCTGACCGTCGGCGCAGATTGACTCCATCGATCCCGCGTTTGCCCCTGCGACGGGCACGCCCGAAACCGGCGGATGGTCGACCCGCGAGTTGCGAACGATTCTGCGCGGTCTGGACGGTTTGCACATCGTCTCCGCCGATATTGTCGAGGTGGCCCCTGCTTACGACACGAACGCCGAGCTGACCACCATGGCTGCCGCCGATGTGGGTGATCCGCTGCAGCGATACGCGTGGCGCCCAACGATACTGATCGCGGCACAGGTGTTGTATGAAGTTCTGAGCGTCATGGCGAAGACGCCGTTAGGTAAGGCCTCGGCCTAGGCAGCGCGCGGTACAGGAGTGATACTCCCCTTGGCTCCATGGTGCTTTGACAATCATGTACAAACTTAGTCCGAGATGATGCGATTATGTCTTCGAGCAACATGTGATACCTGATTGGGTTCATTATAACGCCAACTCTTTGCTAAGCAGCGCGTTCGTCGCGCTCGATAAAACCTCACAATTAATGTTATTCGATGGCTACACAAAGACGACCTACGCAGCTAAGTGTTTACTCGTATGGTTTCGGATTGCAAATATTACAGGAGCGCCCAATCGGCGGGCTAACTAAAATTGTGTACGAGGATTACCCGACGGACGGATATAATTCCCATAAATGACAAAGCTTGTGGCCAAGACAATACGCTGATCTTCTCTACGTGGCTGGGCGCCTCGCCCATCAGCTCGGTGTGCTTCTTGAACTTTGTTCTTACTCGATTTCCTTTTATGCTCCTGCCATGTGCGGCCCCATCTCGACATCTTGGCATGGTGTCATTATCCTTCGAACAGTTACTTACATCTCCTTTCAGAGGACGTGAATGAATGCACATGCAACGAGAACGAATACGAATTCTGATGCATTCTTCTTGCTCCCACGTTTGCTAGCTGCCTCGAGGCCGATAGCACGAAGCGAGCAGAGCTCTGAAGATCAATGTGCCCACTACAGACGAACTGTAACCGAGTAAGGTTGGCTTCTGAATTTGGTCATACATCTCTGGGGCAGGTGGCTTGCGTGATAATAGCTCAGGAACGAAGGTACTGTGATATAGACAGCTCCATGTGATCTAAATTTCTCTTGTCGAGAAATGCATGTGCGGTACGTACTGCTGTTCCCACTGGGCGTCACGCATGTCGACTGATACTCATGATGAGCTGCCTCGAGGCGTACAAAATCCTCGCACCTATACGCAACGAACTTCTTCTTGCTCACCCTTACCAAAGCCATGGAAGGTTCTAATCAGTCAATTGACCGGTCTATGTAAGTGCGTTCTCATGAATGCTGATCCATTCACCAGCACCACTCCCGCGTGATCTTGATGCCCTCCATCAGTTCCCCGGCAGGCCTGAATCGGAGAGAACATAATCTCGTATGTCTCGCTTTCAAATAGTTCACCTGTAGAACGTGTTTAACATGCGTTTTTCCATTGTTTCCGCGAAGATTGACTCCAACATTTAGTGTGCTTGTACGGCATTGTATGGTCACACGCACGACGCCCCAGACTCGTGGCCAACTCTTTCCCCCCTACTCGCCTCGGGTGCTTGTCTGGGCCGGTCGCGAGAAGTCAAATGACTGCGGTATTGGGCGGCAGGCACTCATCGCTCAATCACTCTGTGTTCCTGCGCTCCCACGCCGGCATGCAGGAATCTCTATGTCAATCGCATAGCCCACTGGAGCAAGCAGTAAGTTTCCATACAGGACGAGTTATCAGATAGCACATTCACCGTTGACCACACACGTGTCGCGAGCGAAATCGGATCCGCCGCCACCCTCTTTCTGCGGGTTTTCCTTCTACTGGATGACTGTTCCAGCATGCGCTGATAAGTGCACTCTGTGCAGGAGATCTGGCCAGCCTCATGGCGGATAGGCGCACTGTGAGTGCAGGGGTATTCTCACACGACAAACATGTTTAACCGCCCTCTTCAGCAGTACATCAGTCACACGGTGTGTGTCTCACCTACTTTCGACTTTCATGTATATTAACAAAGGCAGCACCAAACTATCTACAGGCTGCCGACGCTCTGCTGGGCCGTCAATATCAAAGAGTATAAGTACTTCGCCTTGGTTCCGATTAATAGGGAAGTTGAACAGGCAACTGATTATAAAGCGTGTGGCCCATCTTTCGGCTACAGGAGCCTAAGCTTAAACTTGACTAGAACCGTTCTATGTCCGTAGTATCAGCCCCACCAAGCCTCCGCGGACACCGGCTGTTACAAATGCGTGATATCGATTGGTATGCGATCAATTGAGGGCCTGCCGTCAGTGTGGTCTACGGACACCTCGGGCACGTCGACGTTGCGGCGGGGTGATTACTTTTATGGCAGCACCCTTGTTTCTTCGGTCTGTGCTCGCTAATCACACGACAGTCCATCACACGAATTTCTGTGCCAATTTGGGCGACATCGTCTCATTCCTATTGTCTCGAGCCTAAATTATCCTAACCGAGGCCTCATTCTATTTTCTAACCGCATGTCGAGACTCAGGGAACCTATTCTCACCGCCTCATTAGTACGCTGACATTACCGGGTGCGTTCCTCATTCATGTGCTTGTAACAGCGCAATACAATTTCACACATTAGAAACCACTACCTCTGGTTTGTCATAGCCATTTATTTCTCACACAGAGGTTCCTCACACAGGTTCCGTTCGGTTAACTCTATAGACTGTCACATCTTATTGGTGAGTCCCTCCCGGTAGTCTTCCGCGTTTGTGACCCCGTTGTAGCTGAGGGTAAGCTCCGAGGCGCGCGTGGAGCCGTGCGAGCAGTGTCGGTCAAACATTCTGCTTTAGGATGACGCATGACCAGCCCGCGTTACATTCGAGAGCTAAGTGTCCACTGGGAGGCCATCAATAAATCGCCTCTATGATAGACCTGCCTCCCTTAGTGTAATTAGTTGACTTAATCGAGGGGACTAGTATAACTAACGATATATTATGACAAACTCAAGGATGCATTCCACTTTATCTTTCCTTAGCGTTGCTTGAATAAGGCATTCAAAAAGACTAAGACCATCTAAGGCAGAATGTTGGTTTCCTAATAACTGATGACAACCGGAGATCGAACTGTCTCCGACATGGGGAGATATCTCCAGCGTCTGGAGAGATTCCCTTGGGGCGCTTACCTCCCCAAACGGGAATCCTGTCAGGTGCAGTGTGAGGGTAATATTTACGGCTTCCGCTTTTGGGTTACAACTAAGAATTTATCTATGACCGGCACTGAGAATTCAGTAGGGCGCGGGAAAGTATGCAAAAAAGTATGAAAAGCGAGCTTCGAACCCTAATCTGAGTTAGCCTGATTTGGCAGAAACAGATTAGATAATGACAACAGACCCAAAACCGATGAAGAGATCTGGCGATGGTGGAAGAATCACATGATTGCCAAAAAGGGATTCAAACAAGCGAAATGGATAATGTCATCCGATTACGCAATCCGGTCATTTCACCTACCGCATCTGTCAAATCAAGGTTGCACACCGGTCCACACAATTAGAAAGAGCCCTCCCTCGCCATGGGTTGTTTCGAAGATCCAACCACTGACCTTGGGGCCTAAACAGAGCCTATGAAAATGCATCGAGCGAATTTTATCATGTTTCCTTAGCTAGCCTTAGCTAGCCAGCCTCAGTGAACTTTGAGCTTAATGCGCGCTCGAAATGCACTCGAAGTGGTGATTATGTCATACAAGCACCCCTGAAGGTCTGCTAGCGTACACTCGAAGCAGTAATACATTTATTCTATTTCTCAATGAATACCCAATAAAATGTCAAATCACGGTGAGGCTACACAAGAGTAACTTCGGCGGGCGTGCACTCTACTCATGACAAGATTGTGCGGCAGGCGGGACAGATCTTCGGCAGCTAGGGACCGGATCACTCACCGGGGCGGACCAAAACGAGTGCCGGGGCGGGCATCAGGGTGGTTTGGCCCGGGCAGGAAGCTTATCTGATTCGACCGATTTGCGATCCCGAATGACATTATCTACTCACGCTTCAAACAAGCGCCACCCCAGAAAATGGTGAGGTGTACGGTTGGCGGGTGGGCGCAGGTCTAACTTCGTGCCTCAGCCACTGATCGGGTATTGCCGGGGTCCTCAGAGTGACTAAGTTGTAACGTCTCGTGATGGTAATGATCTCAGTGCTCGCATATTCTTCCTGAGCAGCGAGTAACTCGTTTGTTTGTATCATATGGCGCGAACACTGCTCATAACTTGATAGCATAGGTCTCCAAGCATCTATCACTCAGTTATGGTTACATAAGCGCCCCATCTCCCATGCCGCCGAAGCCGTCAAGCAGAATTCAGCCCTTGTTTAGATTACGTAATGATCCGTCTGAGGCTCTGTCACGCTGAGATCTATCACGGGGTACCACACGAGGCAGGACCCCATATCTAGTTACCATATCTTGTCTCCAGATGCCGGAGATATCTCCCTGGATTCATCAGCGGTTGTGCATGCAAAGATTGGTCTTTCCATCCAAAAGATCAAATATGATTGGAAGTGATCGGAAGAAAGAATCAAAAAATAATCTTTCTTCTATATTAGGTATCAAAATATGAAATAGGCAGATTCATTTCTTTCAATCTCAATCCAATCTTCTACACATAAAGGCTGATTATTACACGCAGTGAACCGAACTTTAAGGGCAATACAGGGACCGAACTTAACTGAACCCAAACCGCAAGTCCACTTCGGGGTCCAAGTTGCTTATATTCGTCCATAATGCGACAAGGCCCGCTTTCTTCCCGACTACCTTCATTCATGCACTATCAGTGTTGGTGGTTTCGAACACCTGTTCTTGTTAGCCTTATACTGTCGCGCTGATACAGGATAACACTTAATTTTCAAGCGTACTTTGGGCTGTGCACTGCGGAGTCTGCGAATGCACCGAGCTGTCCACTGACGTGAAGAGCAAATTACTGATGAAGCGAGCCTGAATGGTACTTTGCCTTGCACACAGAACGAGAGCCGGATGAAAAACCGCGACACAACGAGACGATGGCTGATCAGGGTAGCGCTTGGAAGACGAGTCGTGATGTGGCGGTGCCGCTGATGTGCGGTTACTCAATTAGGCAAGGACTGCATGTTTTGACAGGGGCATGATGCGCACTGATCGAGAGGACACAGTGGTTAAGTACATTTGTTGCTACCCGGTAAATTATCATCAATCGTGCCCCTCATTTAGCGCTTGACCACAGACGCGTCAGCTCGACGCGCAATCGACGCGTACGCCATAGTTCGTCGGTTTTATACCAGTTGTTCGTGCGTGTCAAGGCAGGCACAATTTTACCAACACTGCGCACTCCTGGCCAGCTTTCTGCACATGGTGGCAATGCCGCACCTCCTGGGTACAGTGGCAGCGCATGCAACATGGCCCGCGTCGGTCGAGGAGAACGGGTGAATTTCATCATCCTAATCGTCCTGAGCTTGCTCTAACTTAGAGAAAGCGCGTGGAAACAGTCACTGTTCTGGCCAGCCTATGCTGCTGCCCTGTCCGCGGCAGCTTTGCTTCTGCAGCGTATCGAAATCTCAAGAAAACATGGAAGACTAGATGCTAATAGCACTGACAATCATGCTAGTCATCTCGCACAGTACCTTGACCACTGCGGCGGCCCAGCGGCTATGATCCTCGACGCTTCTCGTTTCCTGTGCTGCCTCATACTGCTGTTCTTGAGTGTTTCATCCTTGCCCTCTGAGACCGTTGAGTTGTCGTCGGAATACATCTCCTGGACACGAGCCTCTCTTTGTGGGACATACGTGGGTTCATTCATTTAACCCATAGTAAAGCACTGAGTCAACTCAATGTTGTAAGTTGTACGCAACGATCCTTTCCCTGACAGTTGTGACTACACGGGAATACATCCGCAAACTGGCCTCCCGACATCTAACCTTACTGCTGCTGTTCGTGTGGAGCATCTACGTCTATCGCGACGTATGGCCTTTAGCTACGTATACTCTCGTCCCAAAGGATGCTGCAGAAGGCACTGTTCTATGGGCGAAGATCATTATATTGACGTTCGTAGCGGTGGTGCTCCCTGTCATGACACCCCTCCGGTATGCGCCGCTTGATCCTCAAGTGCGCCATCTCCCTGCATCACTCAGCGATGGCCGTACTTACAAATGGACAGGAGCCTATGCCCCCGCACCCGACTCAGCACGCGTCGATCCTGTCTCTCATCCTCTACGCATGGCTTGACAGGACAGTGCTCAGGGCTTGCAGTGTGACCCATCTCGGGCTCGATGACTTGCCTCCCTTGGCCGACGATGACCACACAAAAAACTTAGTGAAGCGAGCGTTCCCCGTGCGTCAAATTGCTCCTTCCATCCCAGTGATATTCTAAGTACATGCCGTATAGCACATCGACCCGTTCCAGGTCCGCAAGCCTCGACACATATTTTGGGGCATATTGACCATTTTCCGTGGGTAATCTTTCGTTCCCGAAAGTTGATTTACAAGCTAACGACGAGCTCTTAGGCAAAGAATATATCGTGTTGTGTGTGATGTTAGCATGTCGGGTGCGCTCATGCAAGGCTGGTTCTATCTACTGTGAGTTGACCTTCACATTTTGCAGACTGTTGCATATCTAGCAAGTCCGTTTGCTGTGAATAAGCTTCTAAGGTGCGAATTTGCCCCCTCGCACGTGGCGTCGTGACCTGATGTACACTTGCAGCTATCTAGAGAACGACGGCGACCACCTCATTGTTCGTCCCTGGGTTTGGATCGGTCTGCTCTTCCTCGGGCCCGTATTGGGATCGCTCTCGTTCCAGTGGTATATTTACACCGCGGTGGGTCTATCGCCGTCTGACATCCGAGACGAGGATTGACTGGTGTCCCCTTGTACTTGGTAGACCCTCATCTCGACTCGGGCTCGTGCAATCATAATTCAGCTTGTGTTCAACCACGCACTGCGCATCCGCATGAAGACTGACGATAAAGGCGAGCAGCGTGAGGCTGCGGCTGCTCCAACGCAGCAGGTCACGGCGGGGTCGTCCATGACTATATCGCCCAGCGAGCACCCCGATGATGCCACTCTGAGTGGCACACCGGAGGGCATCGACGCAGCTGCGGCAATTAGCGATGCTCTTCCAAAGTCGCCGACTGCGGACGCGAATGGCGAAGCTGCAAAGGGAGGCGTGAATCTCGTGGGCAAGATCAACAACCTTGTCACGATGGACCTCGACAATGTCGACTCGGGGAGAGACTTCCCGTTCGTCCGTACGTACTTCCAAGCGTGTAGGATATGAATCACCGTAACTAATCGCTCATGCCATTCCAGTCGTCGAGATACCGTTGCAGCTTGTACTCTGCACGTGGTTCCTGTACTCCCTATTAGGCTGGAGGTATGCGCACAGCCTGCGATTTCCCTATTTCCAGTACTGACAAATGGTGGCAGCGCTCTCGCGGGGATGGTCGCAATGTCCGTCATGCTGCCCATTCCAGGATACTTGGCGACGTTCCTCCAAGCACTACAGGTTGAGAAGATGAAGAGGTCCGACGCGCGGGTCCAGAGAGTCACTGAGAGTATGCTGTCCGACATCCGCGCTGCTGCTTCTATTGACAATGCTGTTGGACACAATAGTGCTGGGTGTCATCCGCATGATCAAGGTATTCGGCTGGGAACCGCGTACAGCACAGCAGCTAGCAGAGAAGCGCGCCGAGGAGCTCAAATACCAGAGGAAGTCAAAGTTCCTCCAATTCTTTACCCATTATCTGAAGTGAGTCGCATTGCCAAGGGCGATTTTTGACAACGCTGACGATATGATTTCAGCCAGATCATACCGGTAGTCACTATGCTCATTACGTTTGGCTTGTTCGTGAGTCTCCATAATCCCCGTCTGCTAATCATTGCACTCTGAGCATTCCTGGACGCACTGTGCAGACCGTAGTGATGAAGAGAGAACTCACAGGCAAGCCGTTAATGTCAACAGCAGTAATCACAACGCTGATGACGCTACAGCTTCTATTATCTTTGCCTCTATCACGCGTGTGTATATCTCTTGCTTTCTTGTCAGTGCCACATGACCAAATGATCCACAGTCTTCGAGTCTCTGAAAAATGAGGTACGCGAAATCTTCAGCATGGTGCCCCGTATCATACAAGGTACGCAAGTGATTTTCACCGTAGAGCGTTCTTGCCCAACGAGGCTTGACGTGGCGTTATAGCCAAGGTGTCTCTAGATCGCATCAACGGGTTCCTCCACGAGGTTAGTCCAGATTCTAATGACTAGGCATATGTTAACCGTAGCACAGACGGAACTGCTCGATCAATTCTCGCCAAGCGGCTCCGCGGCCACCTCAGTGTCAGTGAATGTTCCCGATGAGCACCATGCCACAATCGGTTTCCGAAGCGCAGCGTTTACTTGGAACAACGCAAGCAATGACACAGAGGCGCCCAGTCCGCACCAGCGGAACTTCACCCTGCGCGTGGAACAGGAAATTACCTTCAAACGCGGCTGTATCAATCTCATTGTCGGACCTACAGGGGCTGGCAAGACCTCCATCTTGATGGCGCTTCTGGGTGCGTGTCGTATATCAAAGCATCACGGTAGCTGACTGTTGACGGCTTGGTTACCCAGGTGAGATGCACTACATCCCCATGACCCCCGACTCCTGGTTCAACCTTCCTCGCGGCGGTGGCGTAGCGTATGCTGCGCAAGAGTCTTGGGTCCAAAACGAGACCATCAGAGTGCGAGAGACGGTTTGACACGCACGCGAGTTGAACTCTAACGGGAAGTCTCTGCAGAACAATGTCCTTTTTGGATCTCCATTCGACGAGGCTAGATATAAAGCAGGCGAGTTATAATTCTCACAACTTATATGCTCCGTGATAAGCGAAAAATCAGTGGTCGAACAATGCGGATTGAGGCGCGACCTCGAGCTTCTTGATGCTGGAGACCAAACTGAAGTGGGTGAAAAGGGTTTGACGTTAAGGTACGACTAAGACTATTATTGCTGGGTTTAAGAACACTGAAGAGAACCTGCTGACCTCCAGTGGCGGGCAGAAGGCAAGTCTCTTACAGTGGATGGAGGCAGTTTATTGACCATTTATTCAGGCTCGTATAACATTGGCTCGTGCCGTATATTCTTCCGCAGAGATCCTCCTCCTCGACGACGTGTGTGCTTATTGATATCTACATGCGTGCATAATACTGAAGTATTGCTACTTCGTAGGTTTTGGCAGCCCTCGACGTGCATACAGCGAAGTGGATCATCGGTAAATGTTTCAAAGGCGACCTTATCCGCGGACGCACGGTTCTGCTCGTTGAAAGTATTCATTGGCTAGACGTGCAACAATTATCCTGACCAGTGCAATAGACGCACAACGTCGCCTTGGCCAGTCCCATAGCTGACCTTGTGGTTTCCCTTGGCTCAGATGGCAAGATTCATAGTCATAGTACTATTACTAGTGCCTTGGAGGACGATGCTGCTTTACTATCCGAGTTCGTCGAACAGGTTAAAGAAGAGGAGGAGCTTGACGAAGTCGTCGACGAGCCATCTGCGGTGTCCGATAAGCCAACAGGCACCCTGATCGTTGCAGAGGAGCTCGAAGTGGGCCACGTTGGCTGGCCGGCTTGTGCGTATTTTCGTTCGCCCTGATGTGACCCTGGATCCTGACAGATCTGTAGTGAAGCTCTATCTTGGCGGCCTTGGAGGGCAGCACCCGATCCTGTTCTGGACAATATGCATCGGTTTCTACATTCTATTAGAGCTCACGACGACCTCCCAAGTTTGGTTCTTGGGCCTTTGGGCTAGACAATACGAGGAGCTGCCTGCTCGAGAAGTCTCAGTCTCATAGTAAGTCATAACCCCTTCGTCGCTAAAATCGTGCACGTGCTGAACGATGTTGCTCTCCAGTTATATGACCGTGTATTGTCTTCTTCAGGTCTTGATAGTTGTCTTTTTGTCATTTTCGTTCGGCCTATTCTTGCTGGGGACTATCAGAGCCTCGCGTATCATTCACAATACACTCGTATCCTCCATTCTGAGCACTACTCTTGGGTAGGTGTTTCAACCGATGTTTCGGGGTGGCGGCTCTGATGCGCCCCCAATCAGATGGCTAGACACAACCCCGATGGCTCGTATCATCACACGTTGCACACAAGATATTCAAGCCAGTACGTGACATCTGACTGGAGTCTCATTGAACATACATCTCAGATATCCTCCCCAGTCGACGACCCTATCCCCAATTACTTGTATTGGATTATGGAGGTCACGATATACATGCTCACAAAACTCGGCGCCGTTGTTATGATAACGCCTGTCTTCCTCGGCCCTGGCGCACTCGTAGCGCTCTTGGGTGGTATCTGCGGCCAGATGTATCTCAAGGCTCAGCTGGCCGTGAAGCGTGAGATGAGCAATGCAGAAGCCCCCGTCCTAGGGCATTTCGGCGCTGCCATTTCAGGCTTGGGTACGTCGTAAATCCATCTGCGGTGTTTGCCAGATCTCACCGTCTGCTCCGAAGTATCTATCAGGGCGTACGGTGCGCAAGACGCATTACGCCAGGAAGCCTATCGTCGGATCGACAAATGGACAAGGGCTGCCAGGACCCTATACGGTCTCAACGAGTACGTCACCCTGATTCCTGTCTTTCGCAATGTGTGACGCATGAGGTGTCAAGATGGATTTCCGTACGCGCAGATATTTTAGGCGCGATTTTCTCAACCGGCCTCGCCACCTACTTCATCTATGGCCGCACAATCGACGCATCCGATGCGGGCTTCTCCTTGAACATGGCAGGTTGGGAGCTAGTCAACTGGCTTACGGTCGCACACTTACCAGCCCTTCGTAGTCACCTTCAGTGGTAGCATCATCTGGTGGATGAGACTATTCAACGAATTTGAGGTTTCCAGTATGTCACCACCCTCATGTTTTGCGTGTGTATGTCTTGATCACGTCTAAATTGGACAGGCAATAGGTGAGAACGTTGTTTAGGACACCCTCCCCCGTATCTTAAAGTCGCCGTTAGCCTGGAGCGCATTCAACAATATTTGGTCATTGAACACGAGCCAAAGTCCACCGCCTCTGGTGTTCCTCCAGCATACTGGCCCGCAAGCGGTGACTTACGGGTGGAAAAGCTGTCAGCCAAGTACTCACCGGTCAGTCCAGTGTTTGATCATATGATATCTGCTCAGCCTCTTTTCTGACAGTCCGGTCCCCGTGTCCTTCATGAAATCTCGTTCGAGATCAAAGCAGGAGAGCGTATCGGGATAGGTCTGTGCTAGTTTGACAGTGCTGAAACAATGTTCTGATTGTACGCGACAGTTGGCCGCACCGGAAGCGGGAAGGTGAGGTGGTGTGCCACAAATGGCGATGCCATAGACGACTGACGGCGATACAGAGCTCGTTGACCCTCGCGCTTCTGCGATGCATCTTGACAGAGGGTAAGGTCTACTACGACGGTATACCCACGGACTCGGTCAACCTCGATGCTCTCCGCTCTAGCATCACCATCATCCCACAGACGGTCTGTGCTATTTGGCTGATGCTACGCCGTAGCTCCATGCTAGCTTACTCATCCGTGCTTCCGCAGCCCGAGCTTCTCAGCGGGACCCTTCGGCAGAACCTGGATCCCTTTGAGCAGCACGATGATGCGGTGCTCAACGACGCCTTGCGTGCAGCCGGCCTCTTCTCGCTGCAGAGCAAGTCTAACGAGAATGCTATCAGCCTGGAGAGTCATATATCTAGTGGTGGGAGCAATCTGTCTGTCGGACAGCGACAAATCATTGCACTGGCCAGGGCACTTGTCCGTCAGAGCAAGCTCCTGATCCTTGATGAAGGTGCGGTACTATGCGGTATGCGCATGATTCCGGACTGACCTGAGTCATGCCTACAGCAACATCCGCGATTGGTGCGATGTGACGCTGCTCCTGACGGGTGCAACCACTGAACGGGCACGCAGATTACGAGATGGATACGCTCATCCAAAGCTCATTGCGCAATGAACTGAGTAAGGATGTGACGGTACTAACTATAGCGCACCGTCTCCAGACTGTGATGGATGCGGACAAAATTGTCAGTATATATACTCTTCTCTCGGATGGAACATGGCGATCTGATGATGCTGCTCCGACGTGCTGTGTAGATGGTCCTCGATGCCGGACGTATCGTGGGTGCAAGTGATTCTTATATGAATAGCGACTGACCGCTGCTCCCATGTAGACGGAGTTTGGAAGGGCCAGCGAGCTTCTCAAGAATGATGAGGGATTGCTCCGCGCTTTGGTCGATGAGAGTGCAGACCGGGAGCATTTGTTAGCTCTAGCTTTGGGCGGAGCAAGGTCGTCTTCGTGAATGTCGTGTAACGTAAAGTAGAGGAGGGAATGGCCGCATACGAATATTAATTAGACTCAGCGGGATGGCAACGGGGGGACGATGCCGGCGGACCGGGAGAACCGTGATGGACGGGGGTTGCCTTATATGGGTTCTTGGACTCTGTCCTAGCAACGCCCTTCGAGGCCCTTCGCCGCAACGAGGCAGATCTGCTCGCCCTGGGCCTTGCGGAATAATGAAGACTCGACAATATATGACATTAGGGACTCATTCCATCTCTGCCATCCCATTCTCTTGCACTGCGACGTTCGGAACAGCAGGACAGGATTGGCGCTGATTGACGGAGGTCGTCAAAACGGTGTGTGAGAGGCCACATCTGCTTCCTTCGCTTATCTACCCTAGACGCAGGTCTGGGTCGAGATTTACGGCCTCTTGACGACCGCAGGACGGTTTCCTTTTGCGCTTTCCCGCTGCGTTCCCTCGGGCCAAGTGCGCTGGATGTACCAGACTTGTGTTCTCCTTTGAACCAGGCGAGTCTTGCTAGGTCAAGACTGTGGTCCTTCTCTACCATATGTCGTTCTATTTCGCCCTAGTCGGCCTGCTCCTCCTTGCTTTCAGTCCTCGGGCGGTGCTGGCGACTTTCGACTTCGTCGACTACCCGTCCGTCGCGCTCCAGTGTGTTCCTTACACCGTCGACTTCACTGGCCTGCAATCGGATGTAGCGTTTCCCCTCAAGCTCACCGTCGTTCCTTTCAATTCAACACCCCTCTCCATTTCCATTCCCGACTCTGCCTGGAATGCCACCTCCAACGTCGGCCGTGCTGTCACCTTCCTGGCCCTACCTGCTGGAACGTTCTTCCTCGTCTCGCTGGATGATGCGAACGGCGCCTCCACTGGTCTAGTCTCCCAAATAACAAGAGTCGGCGCCTTCAATGACACGTCCTGTCTGCGCAACGAATCGCAGGAGACTACTCGATTATTCTCCATCGAGGATACTGTGTCTCAATGTGAGCCCTTCAACGTCACTTTCAGTACTTCACAAGTCTCGGGCACACCCTCTATCCGTGCATTCATTCCCGGAGGTGAGACATTCTACGTCAACCAAACATCAAGCCAGCATGCGCAGGGCACCGCTTCCTACACCATGGATGCTCTCCATGGGACGAAGCTTGCCTTTGTCATCAGCGATGGGAGTGGGCACGAGACAGCGACCGGTCTTTTTACCGTGGGTGGTAACTCGCAAAGCAGCGGGACTTGCATCTCTTCGCAGTCTACTTCAACGTATACGACGAGCGCGACTAGTTCGGCGAACATGACAGCCTCCGCCAGTCCCAGCACAAGCGCCACCTCGATGGAGCTTATGACCAAGAACAAGGGATTGTCCCAGTATGTCACCTTCCATTCTTTGGCATATCTTCCTTACGCAATGTCCCAGGGGTGCTATCATTGCCATCGCAGTAGCCTCCGTTGTTATCGTGGTGGTCATTCTCCTCGCAATGGCACTTTGGCTCCTGTATGCGCGTCGCAAGGTGCGGGAGGCTTCTGCTTCGAATGCAGAACAAGGATATTCCGGCTTCCCACGTCTGTCCTCTGAGAAGTCGTTCACTATACGGTCAGGCCTTCCTCCGACGACTGCGCCGTCATGGAATTTGCGTGAATCGACGTATTCGCAGGCCAGCGCACCGAGCGAGAAAGGGACGGTCATTCGCAATCCGCTGTACACGAACTCGAAGTTATGGCTCTCCTCTCCAACCTCGCCAGGCTCGTCCGAGGCCCGCTCCACCAGAACCATCTCCACTAGGACCGGTCGTAGCCAGAACTCTCCAAATTCGTCCAGGGTCGCGTCGCCGTCTTCAGCCTCACCGCCGCGCATCATCGACGTCTCCGGCGCCTCACAGCGGACGCCCACCGTCGTCTCGCCTTCGCACACCGCCCAGAGCGTGCGCTGGTCACGCGGCGTGCAGCGGGTGCTGCCCAGTTCGCCCACAGCGACCATCTCCACCCTCGACGTCGAGTACATGATGGACGTCGCCGAGCGCTACGCGCCCACGGACGGCAGCGACCCCGCCGTCCCGCCGCTCCCGCAGTCCGCGCTCATCGCGCAGGAGACATATCGCAACAGCGCGTACCTCGCGGGCAAAGAGTCTGCATACATCGCGCTCCCCTCCCGTGCGGCCCCGGTCGCGATGCACATACGGTCGCCGACACTTGCGTCGCTCCGCACGATGCCCTCGCTCAGCCACCTACGCTCGCCGAGCTCAGTGGTCTACCGCGAGCCGCCGCAGGCGGGCGTGCCCTCATCCCCGCTGCCCTCGCCGCTGCCCTCGCCACTGTGACCGCGGCGCGCTGGGATGGGGACGAGCACTCATGACATAATTAATTTCTGGCGGGAGCGGGCGCTCTTGGGCCTGACCGTGGCAGGCAGAGTTAGAGGCAGGGCCTCCGTTAAGGCGCTGGTCGCATGCCTGTGTGCATTGCCTGCTGGAGCTAGGCTTGGCCCCCCGGACCCCTGGGAGGCTGCGCGCCATGACGTCAAGCCGATGGCATGTCCGCTGCCCGCGCTCACGGCGGGCAGCAGGAGCGTACGCCTCTTTCCCACTGTTCTCTGCGCACGCACACTGTTCACCGTGTACGGACACCCACGAACCTTCCGATTCTCAAGACGTTGAAGTTCTATGCAGGGATTCTCCGGGTTGGCAGGCAATGCATTAACGGACATAGATTACGACAGTCGTGTAGGCTATCTTCGACCCTTTGCCCCTTCGCTCCTACCGGCTACAAGCTGCGCTTGTCTTTACATATTTCTCCTCATTTCCGCGTGTTCATATGAGGTGCCATAGGTCTGAAAGGATCCGCGACTCGTTCGCATGTATTTGTACGTTGTACTGATAGTTGCTAGGCTCTGCTGTTGTGTCGTCGAACAAGCTAATCACGGACATTACCGACATTCCACTCCCCATCGCGATCATGAACACAAGTGATATATATGATGCTACATAACGGGTTAGACTACATGATCGTTAGGTCCGTGTCGTATGGTTCTAGCGCTTACAGCCGTGATATCCGTCTCTATAGTGCAATCTCAGTTCATGATGTACACGGCCCCGATGAGCATCGACAATAGCACGGGCACAGAGAGCGCCTGCGTGACGTAGCTGCCGGACGAGGTGCTTGACGGCGACGCCGCAGAGAAGTTGCTCGTCGACGTCGCATTCGAGCTGTTCGACGCTGACGACGAGGGTAAGTAGACACGCGCCGCGGCGAATTCCCAGTACGCATTTTCGAATGCGGACGGGTTACTATTGACGTAATCTGAAAAGCAGCCGTAAATGAGCAGACGTCCGTGGGCATGAAGAAGATGTTGGGCACGCACCGGTGCAGTTGCCAGGACACCCTGCGGGGCCAAAGGCCTCTCCAGCCCAGCTACCACCTTATCAGGCGCAGGCATTCGTCAGCCATCACACGGGCATGACTGCGGACTCATGACTTACAGAACGTTAAGTCGATGATGATGTTGTGGTTTCCAAAAAGATCCTTCAGGTTGCAATTCGTATCGGGAAAGTACGCGATGGGAGTACCCTGCAAGGGCCGGTGTGAGCCACGCCTAGTGATCGGCACAACGCGATCTTACCCAGCTGTCCGTATTGATGTTGCTCGCGCCTGAGCTAACTTCGGACGGCGTTGTCGTGCCGTTCCGCGACCAGAACCACACGCGGATGTACTCCGACGTCCGCTCAACAGCATACCATCCACCGCCGTATGTGTTAAACACAGTGCCATATGACGAGGTGTACGGTGCATTAACAGGACATCCATTGTTACCGTTCTCGACGGACGCTGACGAGCTGCAGTCGTTTGACAGGGCCGTTCTGCACGTGTACGAGAATGAAAATCAGTTGTCGACGCTTCTGGGTCTCCCGCGCGAGGCGCTCACCCAAGCATTGTGCGGTTAGATGGCATGGTACAAGTTCCGTTTGTGTGCAGAGTGACGCTATCAGGGGATACGTCGTTGACGCCCTCTAAGATGTCAACTTCGCCGGCAGAAGTACCAACGGTGTCGTCGGCTTCCCAGAGTGCAGGCCAGGTGCCACATCCCTGGGGCATGTGTCGGATATCAAATCTGTGGAACCTCGTCAGCCGAGCGGTCAGGGGTGCACAGTCGCGATACGGTGCTTACACAGCGACATGAGTGTTGTACTTCGTGTTGCTCTTGATGCGGTTGCTTTTGCGTCCTGGGCCCGAAGCATCCAATGTCGTGGTATAATCCGCACGCATGATGAAAGTGTCCGACGACGTATAGGTCAAGTTCTCTGCCAGAGCAGTGCTCTGAGTGACGTACTCCCTGTTTGCCGGTCAACATAAGTCGTGGGGGATTTGGGGGACTATGCACTCACACTCGACCATTTGTAGGATCGGTGATGTTCTCCCACTGGAAGTTCGATAAAAACTCGGATCCCACGTTGCTCTGGGATAACGAGTAGCTTCCGGCCAGAGCGGAGGGTACAAGGAGCGAGGTGAGGAGAATCCCGCGATAGAAAGACATCTCGTGGTGGGAGATGAGTGTACGGTTCGTGGGTGGGGGAGGAAACGATGAAGAAACCAAACTTATATACCTATCATCCGTTCAAATCGAGACTGAAGGCTGACAAAATACGAGGGTCTGTCATGTTTTGCCGGTTGATGCGAGCACCATATTTTTGCGACTATGATGGTCTGCAAGAGGCGGATGCAGGGTGGAGAGCGGGGGCGGATGTCGTGGCCGGACAACGATATCCCGTACGTCGTGCGGAGATCCCGAATGCGGATGCACCCGACGCGCATGTCACGTGATCGTGACGGCACGGAGACTGCCGCCACGATCGACCACATGTCCGCCTCGAGCCCATGACGCGAGCGTTTGGTCTATGCATATGCATCAACGAAGCTTCACAAGCATTAGTCATTGTTCTCGCTCCAAGTCCGACCTTTGGGACTCAGGAAATGGCTCATCGACGTTCAATTTCGCCACACACGACGTAACACTGCCAGATGACATGGTTATACAAGAAACCTGGCTGGACTGATGATAGCAATACTGTTCACGCATCCAGTTTACAACGACATGCTTCATCTTGAATCGGGTGCTCAACTAGAACACTATCCGGACATTCACCTTCTGGCAACTGTTCTTTTGTAGCGGTCTGATCCATCGGCGGGCACTTGTCTTGCGCGTTAAGCAATTGATATTCAACCGTCTAGAGAGCCCCTTGCATTTTAGCCGATTTTCATGCTCTTTTTGCGAACGTGCAATGATCTGTAAGCATCACAGCATCAGAATAGACTTCGTGCGAAATTTTACACACCATGCATCGTCGTGCTTATAACGCCTCCTATTGCTGATCATCCAGACTCTCCCCCACCAAGTTAGAGATGCCTGTTGGTCCAGTTGACGGGAGGGGTACAGTCCTGTACTACGAAGACAGTGGAGCGCCTGAGGGCTCGCGCGATTATGCCACCCTCGTCTTGGTGCATGGGACGCAGTTCCACAGCGGTGCGTATCATAATTTCAGTATACCAAGACGGGAGCTGTACAACTGGCAGTATATAGGTGTTTTCAGGAAGATGATACCGTTCGCGTCAGCACGCAAATTGCGTTTGGTGCTAGTGAACTCGCGCGATTATCCCGGCTCGACGCGGTACTCGCCTGAAGAGCTAGACGGCTTATCGTCACCACAAAAAGAAGTACAGGCTGCCACGATCAGGACCCGAGGGCTCGAGTTTGCCGCTTTCATGCGTTGGTTCATTGAGATAGAGCGCATCCCACCCATCTTCGAGAAGGAAGGAGCAAGCCGCCCCTCGGGTGGTATCTCCTTACTTGGCTGGTCATCAGGAAACCTCCAGACGATCCCCTTGCTCGCGTATGCCAATGACTTGCCCCAAGACACCGCGGAAGTACTCGAGGGATACTTCCGTAGCTTCTTTATTCATGGTACGCAGCGCATCTAGAATTATCGTCTATTGTGAACGAGCCGTGTACCATTATGCGACGACAGACATCTCAGAAACCGCCATCGGCGCGCCTGCACTCGAGGGCCTCTACACGCCCATGCGTGACAAGTCGCTCAACGCCGAGCAGATCGCCGCGACCTTCCCGCTCTGGGTGTCAAGCTACTTCACGCAGGCAGTCGTCACGTTGGACACGGACGCTGAGACGCCGGGGTTCGGCGAGATGGTTGTCGCGCGCACAGCGCGGCACGAGAGCGACCCCGACCCGCGCTGGGTGCCAACCGTGGTGCGCATGGGTCCGGAGGGGGTTGCAGCGGTAAGCGACGCCAGCGTGATGCCACGCTCGCAAGTGCGAATACAGCTCGTGAACCCTGCTGTGTACGAAGACAACCTGCGTCGGGCTCTGTTTGAGTGCGAGACCGAAGACGGAAGCGGAGGAAAGAAGACCATTTGGCCGAAGCTCAGGGTGAATGTCGTGTGGTGTGACATGTCCACGGGGAGCTGCGTGTACGCCACCCATCGGGTTATGCACATGGCAAAGGCATACAAAGAACAGGGCAAAGGTCGGACTGTCGAGTTTCACCGGCTCGAGCAAGCGAACCACTTTGTAAGTGTTATGATGAAGCTTCTCGTCGGCATCGACCCATTTGTCCACAGGTTCATTGGGACGAGCCCGAGCGATTCGTCGAGTTCCTCGCCCAAATGATATGACAACCTCTCCGTACAGCACTTTCGGACTGAATTCGAAGGAATCTAGATGATCTCGACGGAATTTGCAATTCACTCGCATATCTACTTGTCGAAGTGAACGTCATCTTCTCTATGACAGCCTTGTACCATCTTTACAAGCGAAACCATTAAAGATGGTTGTCACCAGCTTGTATAAGCATATCTTGCTTCTCACTCATTGTGATGTCGAACCATGTGTCGGGACGCAAAGTCGCGCTGGGTGATCCGCAGGCAAAACTGGATAGAGTAGCGCCCAGCGAACGCGTGTTACACGTGACCATGTCGCGTTCCGCAGCTTACCCGTCGACGGGGGCCCCATTACGCCCTGCTGAAGCCGTCCGCCGAAACATCAGAGCGTGGGTGTGGTGTCGAGTAGGTGGTCAGATATCGAGCAGCGTACTGATGTCTGGGGACTCTGAGGCCTGTAGAAGTACTTTGTGTCTTGATGCGCCTGCTTGCGTAGGCGAGGCTATAGTCCACCAGAGCCCTTACTGCGTGGATTAGCCCGCTAAGGGTAGATTGTTAGCGGCACGGATCTTCGGGCTTGTAATTAGATCCGCTACATTCCCTGCGAAGCTAACAGCCCTAGTGCTGTAGTATCGCGGCCACCAGGCGTTGAGCCCTGTACTCAAACATGCGGCAGCTCGTGACCAGCCTGGAGATGCGTTCCTGCTCCGGAGCAGCCGACACTCGCCTGCCTCGACCATTCGCTCAGTGGCTTCATGCTTCCTGCCATGAACGACCGAGTTCATTGTCAAGATCCCTTGTGTCCAACTCTGGTATTCAATATCCATCAAGTGCGTCGGCGATTAGGCGTATAATAATGGGCTCATGGCTGAGATCTAGAGCCGATAAGCGCGCCCATCGCGGTGCAGCCATAGATCATCGTGGCGAAGTTGGACAACCGGCTATACCGTGTCCTCCACCCACTCAGGAAATGGCATTTTATTCGTGGTCTGCATAGGTGGACCAGATTACCGGCTGCGGGCAGTGCTATGTCATCACGTCGATATTTTCATCAATATCTCGCAGGCCCGCGGAATACGTATACACAACCTCGGACGATACCACCCTCACAATCTGTACGGGAGTTCCACAAAGACGTCGGTTCATATTGGATATTCCGATATTCAACGAAGCAAAGCCTAGCCATGGGGTTTCATCTTTCATTCCAGCCCGTCCAACGCCGGCTTGGACCACTTGTGATGACATCAGCGCAAGGTATGATATAGTAATGTACGATATATGACGTCCTTGATTGACAATGGTGCCGCAGGCCCGAAGTCTTCAGCTCGGGATCCCGATCAACACATGCTCTTCGCTGCCATCACGCCGCCATCTGGGCGCTTTCATTGCGTCCGGAGCATCGCTATCCTCAGTCGCAACGCTGAGAAGAAAGTGAATTTTAACGCTGTACAGTGCTTGGTCAATGCGAGACGAACCACCTACGGTGTCAACGACAGAGCTCCCCGCGGGACACCTCTGTGTGATGTCCGCCTCTATGCGAGGATATAACGAGCGAGCTCGATTTGCAACTCCTCGTCCGCTCCCCGCTGTCCACTTCACCAATGTTAGAAAGGTGAGACAAGCGCAAATCCATGAGAATGCTCATCTTAATTTCCCTGCTAGGACCTTGGTCACGAAGCCTACAATGGAAGCGCTGGCGGTACCGTGCAGATGGGGGGCGCATCCCTGTGGCATCCTTCTCGACGACGTCACGGCTTCGGGGATCGCTCGTCATCTCAAGGATCATCACTACAACGTCGGCGGCTGGCACAACAGATATCGCGGGCCTTGCCTTTGGCGGGGTGCCGACGGCGCATGTTGCAACAGAGACATGTTTTATGGAACATTTGGCAAACACACCGCGACGGTCCATCTGCAGACATTGAAGCGGACATGTCGTCTCTGCCATGCCACATTCTCCAGAGTTGACGCTCTTCGACGTCATGTGGACGCATATTGTCCGAAGACCTGAACACTAGTCTCCGCGGATCATTATGAGGACAATTGTCAGTGAATGCTCCAGTATGGACTACGCGCTAGAACTCACGTTGACCCAGATACCCAACGGACATATTCTGTACCGATTACAGCAGCTGATCTTTCCTCATGATCTGTTTACTGTGTTGTCCAGGTTGACCTTGGGCTATGATCCTCTCTTTACATCACCCCTATGGCCCGTCCTGTATGCTCTGTTTCGCTGTGGCCATGCCGGGGACCTAGTGTAAACTCCTATATCTGCGTATGACTGTGGGTAGCTTAATGATCTATGAGCATGCGTCAATTATCGCGCTATATTGTTGCATCACAATACGGAGCGACGCCTCATCGGTAGGAGTCTGTATAGCATAGGATGGCACAGAACGCAAGGTCGGATTCCAACTATCTGTTTCAAGTGTAGCTCGCCGACAACCCACGACGATGGCGAATGACGTACACGATACGTGCCTCAGAGGCCAACAAATCGGCGGTCGGATGTTATATGGAGCGTCGCAAACTTCAGCGATGTTTTGTATATCCCTGTTTCGAAGGAACACAGACAGCGTGTGCAGCACAGGAAAGTACGACGCAATGCTCAAGCTACAGCGATCAGTGCGCTGACACTGTTGATGCTCACGGCATCCGCAGCCTTCGCCAATCCCTCCAGCCGCTTCTTCTCTTCCTCAAGCATTTTCTGCTGCAATAGCACGCGTCGCGGGGTGACACGACGCCTCTCGGTGGTCGGCTTGAACTCGAAGCGATCCACACCCAGCGCCTTCAGCGTCTTGAGCTCCACCAGGCTGTACTCCTCCGGGTCTTCTCTGGCAAAGTTGAACGGCTCTCGGAGCGACACCGGGGGATTCGTGATGACGCGTGCCTCCCGGAGGTGGTTCTTTGACGCCGAGTGCAGCATGAGCGGGTGCATCAGCACAACGTCACCGATCTCGCCCGTGACCTCGACGAAGCGCGTGCAGCGCTTGATCTCCTTCAGGTGCGACCAGTAGTGGGGGTCGTCCTTCGGCTCCGCGCACGTGCTCGTCGATGGCGTGAATGAGAGTCCCGTGGGCAGCACGCCCTCGGGGTGTGCGGCGAGGTATGGCGCGATGAGGTCGACCCCGTCGGGCGAGATGTACGTGCCACCGCCGCGCGGCTTGATATCGGAGTAGAGTGGGATCACGAGCAGTGCCTGCTCGGGCGAGTCCAGGAAGTGCACGAAGAAGTCGCCGTCGACGTGCCAGTTGTCGAGTTCCTTGGGTGCGACGTGCTTGTCGGGCCCCTCGAGCTCGGGTGTGCCGAGGTTCACGATGAAACTGTCGCCCCAGGAGCTGCTTTGCTCATCGATGCGTTCTTCGCCGCCAAGCAGGTCTTGTATCGCATCCCAGGCCTAATGCTTGTTCAGACCTCCGAAGCTTTTGAAACAACGTTACAAGGCATACCTTGGGTGCAAATGTTGCGACAGATTCGCGTTTGTGCCATGGCATATGAATGCGCTCGCGGTCCCAGGTAGACTTGTCGTTCGGGTCAAGCCCGAGGCGTGTCCACATGTTCTTCGTCCACTCAGCTGCCTTCTCCTTCGTGAAACCCTGCTTGATGACGACGTAGCCATTCTCCATGAAGAAGTCAACTTGCTCCTCTGCCATTGGGGATAAGATATGTTGAGTCGTCGGGGTAGTTGGACGACTTACTCGAGAGATATTTGTACTCTTTCACCATCTTGTTGTAACTTGAGTCGTATACACGTACAACAAGACGTGGTGAAGCAGCGATTAGAGTGCTGAAGCATTCATGTCGTGCACTGTTGCCATAAATCCTGGCCGCAGCGGGGAATATTCGGCGCACCCGCACAGCTCTAGGTCATATGGCCCAGCTTGCGCTCATTCTGAATCCCCGACGGTAAGACCTCTGACGGGCTAGAGGATGTCTCATGGCTGTATAGTACTTGTAAAGCGAGAACGTGCCGAGGTCATGAGCAACGGCAGCTAGGGCTAGGCCATTGAAAGATAAGTGGTCAGTGTTTGATTGGTACTGACTGGATTTCATTCTATTGGCGAGTCGTGCTTGAGATTCCGCACGGCACGCCGAGGACTACGGAGCGGGAGTCATACCCATGAAATTAGGTTCCGTGATGAGCAACGAAACGCAGGCGGAGAGAGGTCACAGAAACTAGAGACAATGCCCATCATGGTAGCTTCGTGGTCGTAAGTATGGGACATGGCGTCATGAAGAAAACGTTCGGCATCGCCAAGGTTCTCCTCTGTGGTAGCCTGTAGGGCCAGTCGGATAGCCCGCTGGCAGACTCACGGTGCGCGCAGAAAGGCGCCCGTCAGGTGTAGCCTGCCCAGTTTTATTTGTAGGTTGCAAGATATTCGCAATCGAACTGAAGGATGTCAGGCACGCGCATCAGGCGTGCAGGGTGCTCTCGTACGCGAATTCATTGTTCATGTATCCTTCCAGGATGCCCAGAGCGATGCAGAGCGCACGCAGGACGTAGGGTCGAGCGGGTGGTCGCTGCTGACCCGCCTGTGGGCGGGACAATGCGTACGGCGACATGAGGAGGTCTCGTTTAGATACTAGCACAGACTCTAAGACTGCGGTCCATCCTACCGTAATACATTCTCTAACGCTACCGCGAGCGCGGGGTGTCTATCTATGTCTCGCTTCACGCGAGGTCTACTGTTATACAGCGTACACTGAGGAACGGCCTACTAGCAGGAAATCGCTACTACCTCTACACCTTTTGTAAGAAAAGCCAGGAAATACAGGACTTTCTAGAATAAGGGGAGCTTGAGAATAGCGTACAGGCTGTAGCCATCAGCTGTCCGTGAGGGACGATTATGTAATCTGCTATCTGCCATATTCGAAACTTCGAATATGCGGCGTTTATTGATGAGTTTCTTTCGATATTCGGAAGCCGGATGTCCTCCTTTTATTTCCTGCACCTCGTTGGTACTCCGGACAACATTCGGAGAGTGAATCCTTTGTTCACTCCAATGTAGGCAACTTTTCCAAGAAAGATACGTCACGCGCGCATCATTGAACTGAACAGTAAGCGTACTTTCCCATTTTCAAATCTACAGGCGCAGCATCTCCGGCGGCCGCAATGTAGGAAGTGGTCCACGAATCTCCGGTGGTATGCGCTAGCGGTGGCCAGATCCATTGCCAAGACGCGCGGTAACAAGGTCGGTGCTGCAACATTGTAGCCGCCTTCATGGGCTATGTGATTCATGTGATTCATGTTCATGTGGTAGTAGTCCCATGAAGGGCGGACAAAGTCTATCTTGCTCCAAACTACGCTATCCGTATCTGGCGTAATGAGTGCGACTGGCAAGTACGCAAATTGAACTCTCAACAATACTAACCTATATAAGGTTTGCGCAAATATATGGTGGCTCGAGCTGACAATCAATATACAGAATGACTATGAGCATTCGGAAACACTTCCATTTACGACGCTTCACAACTGCTTTTGTATGTAAATTAGGATCTCCGTGCGCTGCCCGCCTCCTTGATCGATGACAATGTCCCATGCTTCGGGTGCCACTGGTATGGCGGCGAGGTGCGTCCTGTGCGCAGCGTTATAGGGGTATACACTCAGACGTTTTGCTGCTCGATACGTCGTCACCCGTTCCTACAGAACCGCCAGCATCTGCCTCACTGTAAGTAATTCTCGAGGGGGGTCCCTCATAACCAGTGCGGCATTGTGCTGGATGATACCACAGCTGCCGGGGTCACCCGTCATTTGAAGGAGCATCATTTTGCGGATGGTCTCTGGAGTAACAGGGCGCGGGGCGACTGCCAATGGCAAGATAACAACGGTACTCAATGCAACAAGACTCTGCTCCACCAGAATTTTGGCAAGCACATCGCTACAGTGCACCTACGCTCGCTACGGCATCAATGTCCAGATTGTGGCGCAATACTTTCTCGAAGCGACGCTCTACGCCGTCATATTCGCTTTGGAAATTGCCATCTGGATGCATAAAGCAGTGATGGCACACTTGTTGCTGGTCGATGGTAAGTGCAGCCGCTGTCCCATCTAACTTTTGATGACTTCTTTCTGCAGATGTCTGACGCAGTTCTTAATGCGAAAAGAATTCTCCATCCATCGCTCATGTTGCTGGACTATAGACTTATTCAAGTATGCGTATCCCTATCGCACGGATATTTGTGTTCGGCTGCGATATGCTATATCATGCCTACGTACCCCTCGCCCTTTTTAAAGACATTCATCATGCCATCTGCATTGTTCTAGATCGGATTCAAATTACTTATACATACCTCCTATGTAATACTGCTACATAATCATGTGTCTTCGTTCTCGTGCTTCACAATCTTTCGACGGCATGTCCAGCAGCTTGCTACAGACACAGGAGCACTGAATGATCTTAAGTGCATAAACTACGGCTTATATTTATTCTTCGTCTATGGGCCAGATTTTCGTGCGTTGAAGAAACGCTCAAACGCGTGTCACTAAACGTGAACACGTGACCGCGTCTGTTGATTCCGCGCCACGACTGGTCCATGTTTGCGATTTTTGCGACCGAACAGTAAGTTGGACTCTGTAGATTCAACGTCGTTGTGGTCAGCGCCATAAGCGTCCGGGAATGTAACAATCTTCTCGGATCATGCGCGTTTGTAGCTGATAGAATTAATCCACGGCGAGCTTGAGCCTTGTGCTTCTGTGTGAATCCTTGATGATCAGGTGGAGGACAGCATACAGGATCTCACACGCGGTCAAAGTACGTTAGTTAGGCAAATGCATTGATCTCCGATATAGTGTCCTCAACTTGCTTTCCCCGGAGACGATGGGTTGTGCGTAAGGACTACGAGAGGAGGATCGAGATACAGCGCGAGGAACGCGGCGCCAGGAGTCGAAGGTCCTTGGTAGAGGAATAAAGTAGTGCATGGAATTACCAATGGAACATCGAACTTCGAGTGATCGGGTCGAAAGCGCGAGAGAGAGGAAAATGTATTAAAATTACTAGCGTAGACTCTGCGAGCAATTCCGAGCGAATCCTCGCAGCTTAAGTGCATGAACGACAATGCTGTGCTACGGTACGTGCACTAAGCAGCCAGTTCGCAGCAGCACTGCGTTCCTATACACAATACTTCCGCCGTGTTGTTACTCATCTTCTGCACGGATACTTGATCAGCGCGAGCATGACCGAGCTATTGCAGGCCCGACGGCGGTCGACGCGCCGCGACGATCCTGGCACTGCTGTAAAGCCGTCATCGCTGTGCGCGACCAACTTATTCCCTTGTGGCGAAGTTCCTGCCTATCGCCTCCCCAAACATGTTTCAGCCAAGTATACAATGAATCCACATTAACTTCCCAGCTTGTGTTTCATTGACCCCCGAAACCATGACAGATGTTTCCGTTGTGTCCGCCAGATTATGCAATGATCCTTACTGCAGTCAAAGGTCGATGTTTTGGTGCATGCAACGCCGTGCGCTCTCGTACTAGCAAATTCCTTTGGCCTAGAGCTTCATGATCACCAGACGGATCGCCGGGACTGAGGCCGATCTAAGACCCCACCGCTGTTGACGCGGACGTTAGACATTGAAACCTGGGATTGTGGCGAGCACATGCAATCGTATTTGGCATTGTTTGTAATACTTTGCGCGCGCCACGACTGGCAATCGACCTTGGCGCTTTTGGATTTCATAATTGAAAGTGTGGGTATCCTGGCTACAGCGTCCTACGACAATATTCGTATATTGCTCTGCAGGAAGAATATGTTCAAGTAGAATTCTCCGAAAAGACACTGAGAATAGAATTTTCTTTTTCTTGTGCATAAGGTGAAACCATGCACGTCAGCAAGGTGTTCCGAGACAATGAAAACAGAGATCAAAATTTTTACTCTAAAAGGGATATTGAATGGTGCTGAAAGAGCACGTCAAGTCACGTCTAATAAAGAACAAAATACGGAAATCACAAACAGGGCATCTGCAGCCCAGGAAATAATTAGGACTGTATCAATTTCTAATTTACATTTCATAGTTGCAATGAATACAGGTCGCAAAAAAATGAGTGCTCATATTGACATGAATGCGCACACAAAGAGATTAATTGGTGTCGACGCGCGGGGGTGAAATGTCTTATTTCCATTTGGGGGGCAGGGCATCCGTGTGCGGCGCGAATCGCGTCAAGGCACATCGCAGCAAGGAACACTAGATTGCATGAGTACGGAGAAGTATCCATGTATCTATGACTGTATAATTTGGACATTCTTGTATATTGATAATGCTGTAGCTGCGGAGAACGTATATGATGAAGCTGCGACGCGGCAAGCTGCAAGACAGCTTGCCCAGATCTTGAGCCCGATCCTGATTACTAACCGATCACCGTCTCGTGCCCAGACCCACCGCATCCGCATCCCACCACCGCATCCGCATCCCACCACCGCATCCGCATCCCACCACCGCGAGTCTGGGGCAGTTCAGTAGGCGCACCGCCCTTCCGTTTAGCGCCCGTTTAGCGCCGCCCGTGTAACGGTCACAGATCTTGATACCGCATCATTCCGTTGATATACCGAGCCTATTTAGGCAACTACTCCTAGCAACTTTCGCGCGCGCACCTGTTCTTCAGTGCTGCGAGCGTTGTGCAACAGAATGTATATGCACACTGTATATGTTTATTAATTCTTGTATTTGAATTCAATTGTAAAAACATTCCTTGAACCCCTCAACCATAAATGCATCAGGCCATTGCTGAGCTGTGAACAGTCGTCTTATGTTGCTTTTAAATCTGCTGTGTAGTCTTCTGCCTCTTATAGTATACATTGGCATGGTTCATATTCGGTCAATTGGTAACAGTGAAGTACAGGCGGGCAGGTGCGCGCGCGAAAGTTGCTAGGAGTAATTGCCTAAATAGGCTCGGTATGGAATGATGCGGTATCAAGATCTGTGACTGTTGAACGGGCGCTAAACGGAAGGGCGGTGCGCCTACTGAACTGCCCCAGACTCGCGGTCGTGGGGTGCGGATACGGTGGGTCTGGGCACGAGACCAACCGATCAATTTCTCAGGGAGGGATTGCCCGTCCCCATGGACCCATGGACAGTAAGTTGGAGTCGACAGATTCACCATTGTCATGGTCAATAAGTGGCCCGCAGCCTACCCATCTTCTCCTATCGTGCGTATTTGTGACTAATGGGCTTAAACCCAAGGTGCGCTTGTGCTTGTGCTTGAGTCCTCAATGATCTGATAGAGGTCATTATAGTACAGGTTCACACACGCGCTCAAAGAGCGAGAGCTAGAAGAACGCTATTGGTCTTTGCCATTTCTTCTATAGAAGATAGATCCTAGAGATCGACCTCATTTTGCTTTCCCCAGAGACGACTGCCATCGTTGTCCACGACCAGCCTATGCTTGTACCCGTGGCGAAGTCCCTATGTATCGCCTCCCCAAACATGTTTCAGCTAAGTGTACAATGGGTCTACATTAGATTCTGGGCTCGTGTTTCACTGAAAGAATTATCAAGACACTCCAAATTACCACAGATGTCCCCGTCGTGTCCATCTGCCGTGTCATTCGGCATCAGGACGTTTCTCGACTATAGAACTCCATGGTTACCTGACGGATCACAGGGACTGGGGTCCAAGACTGCACCGCTGCTGGGAGCACCTTTCGGTATAGCCGAGTTCTTTTGTTCGCCGGATGATAGATACAAGGGAGAAAAGACCGTTCCGTGACACCGTGGTTCTCTAATATTGTCCATTGTTGTAGGTTCAGGGCCGTTCAAGAAGTTTATTTGAAACAAGCGGCCTAGGCAATACTGGCGCTGGAACCATGCAAGTGGCTGAGAGCGCTCTCATGGATATCCTCAGATTATCCCATGATAACCGCCCCTCTGCGGTCAGTAACATATTCTCACCGCCTCTGGATTTATTGCAGCAGATGAATCAGGTGTTAGCACAGCGTGACTCTCCCGCACTCCTGTTCGTTCGAATTTTGACCATCAACATAATGGCCGAATTCTTCCACACATTTTGCATTATACAAGAGTAAAGGAAGCAGCAGACGAAGTATACGGGGATTAATTGCCGTGTCCTATGGTCCTCCGGGTCAAATATGCGCCTGTGATACACAACCTTTGAATGACCTGTCGAGCGCCCATCAGTCCAATTGCCCAAGCGTGATCCACGCCCTACATCCTTCTAGATCTATCTGCCACTGGTTTCAATCGCATCTCATAGCCAATCCCCAGGTACGTTCGCATACACAGTGGTAACGCGATTGACGCACATTGATCAGTGATCAGTGGGATCTGTAAATATCACACCGCCTTGTCTAATATAGATGTCATGCGTCCCGCAGCGGTTAAAATGTGCACCACACCGAAAAAAATCAGAATCACTCGATTTCGGAAGATAACTAAGTTAAGGCAGGAACGGATCATAGCAAATAGCAGTTAAAACAGTGAAATCATAAAGGCGCTATAATGTGTGTCGATGGGAAATGCCCTGGTTGTACGTACTCCTTGCTCATTCATATCATTCTCAAGCGAGTGCATGTCCAACTACTGTTCCCAGGGGTAGAGAAATATCAACGTCTGGATAGGACCAAGTTGTGGTAATCCGTACCTAATGGGGCGTCCATATTCAGCCCGCGGGAGCAGCGTTACCAGCCGCAGAGCAATAGGAATGAATGTGTCGCGAAAGCGCATCGCTCCTGGCGAAAACCTCGCCGCAGTACGGGCACTCGCGCTGCATAACAAGTAGGTGGACCGCAGCTACGTGTTTGCCGAGGTTGCCACAATACATCTCAGAGGCACAGGTGCCGTCGTCGGTCTGCCATTGGCAGGTGGCGCGATCTCGCGGGTGCCAGTTGGCGAAATGGTACGTCTTCAGATGCTTGTTGATCCCGGCGGCGCTGATGTCGTCCAAGGAAACGTTGCAGGGCGTATGACCCCAGCAGCATTGAACATTAGTCGAGGACATGATGAGGTGAACGATGAACGTTTGTCTGTCCGGTGAGGAAACTTATTTAGTGGGATACAGTCCGAGGAAATGAGCACTCCACTCACCGGTGGACTTGGGAGAGGATGTTGCTCGGTTGTTGTCTGAAGGAGGAGGTAGGACTGCCTTCTCTTTATACCAGTCCCCGATGTTCAGAGCTCTTGTCAAGCGGCAAAATTCACCTTGTCAACGACGGCAACATACCTGGATATCCAGACGCATGGCAGCGCCATGTAAGCGAGTGGTGGACGAAGTGATGGCAGCAGTACAGACCGGAAATATGACCTCGGAGTTTCAGTCTTCAAATTTTACGTTCTTCAAAGCGCCAGAATAGGTATCATGAATTATGTGATATGGCGTAAATATATACTGATGAACGGGCTAGACACCAAGAAGGGACGATGCGTCTAATCGGTGTTGCATGGATGTGCATCACTTGCGATTGGGAGCAGACGGGCGTGGCAACGGTGAGTCTTTGGGACAGTTGTCGGACTTAACCGGTGCCATATTGCTAATATTCCGGGCCAACTATTGAAGATATCTCACAATTTATGTGCGACAGCTGCTCGCACGACGCACAGCCGCGGACGCTTACAGCGCATCCTTGATACTTGACAGCAACAACGAATGCCTCATGGATTACTAGACGTTTAAGGTTGGTTTGCATTCGGCAGATTTCACATACGTCTACACGAACGCGTCGCTCGTGTTCATGTCTGAAGCTCGGCGCCCAAGCAAATCGACTAGGGTTTTGAAATAAGTACCCTCATGACCGCTTACGGAAACGCGGCGCTTAAGAATAACCAACGTGCTCTCGGCGTTTGATTGTGTCTCAGGTAAGATGGCGCCCATCGCCCTGCTTTGACAACGCAAGCGTCATCACAACCATCGCCTGACGGTGTAGCATTGTGATATACAAAAATGCCGGGACATCGCCGAACACTGTCAAGAACCCTGTCTCATTGTCTCATGTTGCAGCATCACCGCCAGTGAAAAAATTGGACCATTTTCGCTGTCAGAGTGTTTTACAAGTAATCTCATGACTGGGATTATATCTCAAACTTGCGATTGGGAAAATACCACTAATCGCGTATGACAATGCAGCCTCGCTTTGATATGTCATGGCATGTTTGCGCACAGACAGCCATATAACACGACCCCTGCTGACGCCGGTGGAAGGCCCATCAGGTCGCGCGCATGTCTTCTTTACTCTCGACTCGAGAGCTCAGCACAGTATCAGTAGTGGATTAATTGAAGGCATCCTCTGCGGTACCCTTGCCTTGCTTGTACGTTACGCTGAGACGCGGAACTCTCAAGCACAACGCATGCTTTCCATGCTAGAGCTCCACAACCTCCCGTCTCTCGGCCATCGCCGAGGAGCTTGAACCAGCGTTTCTGTGAGGAGGTATGAGCATCGATAGCGGCATGGTTATGAGCCCGATCTGTAGTTACCCCACACTCGCGTTCAAAATCACCACACTGGTCCGATGTGATTGACAAAGGCGGTGACGGATTTAGGCGTCTCTTGAGCTTGACGCTCGTCGGAGGGTATCATCATGCATACAGGTAGAGCCTTGCACCACGAACTTGCAGGTGTATAGTGCTTATGGGAGCGGGCGGTCTTCTCCCGCCCGCGCGCTTAGTAGCAATCGGAGTGCAACCTACAGTGCTCATGCATCACACAGCTATGTGCTGGCGACGCGCCAGTAGCGACGACGTTGCGGCGGAATGTGCCTCTGCCGAGCCGTTTCTATCGGACAAATGTCGCCTTTGACAGGTTCTGCCTGCGTGGAGGGCCGAGATGCTGCCGACAGGATCTTCGCCCAGGCAGCGAAGGTGAAAGTGATGGCTTCAACAATTCATCGGGGATTTCCCACAGGGCGACTGAGAAGAGGTGACGATCTCACCATTAATCATTCCGGGATAACAGCGGTGGCGGTACTCACTGGAGGCTACTTCGATTGATAAATCGATCGTGAGACGTAGCGGAGGAAGTGATATCGAAGACCTCAGGCGAAGCCTTCGCAGATACCTCTGCATGGCGATGTCCTAATTTGGACCACATGCGTCTAGACACAATCCAAGTGCGTTGACGAGCGGCTTGTAATGCTTATGTTCATAAGAAAGGGCATTGTACTGTGATCGTTGGACTAACTTGATCTTCCCGTCGCACATATGTGGAGTGAGCAATTGTCATTACAACATACGCGCGCGCGAAATCCTATTTCGAGCTCAAGTATGCTCATACTTCTGGCAGCTGGCCTGCCGGTACGTGTTGGTGTCCCTCTAAGCGCAGCGTAATTGATGCCGCAATGCCAACCACTGACCTTTGAAGGCTGTTGGCTCACAAGCATATAGGCGCGTATCCGTCAGGACCATTCCAGTCGCCGAAGGGGGCCACGGGCCCTGCAAATAGACACTATCTCCGTTGGACTACGGATTTGCGCGCGCACCGATAATGCCTTTCCAACAAGACGCACCTTCAGGTCCTCCCGATGATCAGCAAGCCGGTTATATGTGCGCTTCCTCCTGCGGCTTCGAGGCTGCAAAATTCACTGGATGAATGCGACATCGATGTTGAAGAGAAGATAGCAAACGAGTGAACCCAGTGTCGGCTGACCGCTGTCAGTAGTGGTTGGTAAAGGTCGGTAGAGATTTCCCCCGAGGTACCGATATTGCAAAGGCGGATGCCACCTTCAGATCGTACAGCTTCCCTGGTCGGGTGTGTCAGTCGCCGCTGAAGAATTGCAAAGCAGTGCGTGGTGAAACAAATCAGCTAGCAACGTACGCAGCCTTGGGCGCCCCGTACACGTCGCATCGTATGTTCTCATGCCTCGGGGAGCGACGGAGTGTCCTGAGCTTATAAAGTCCTGAAAAGGCAACAAGATGCCCCGCTAGCCTGCAACGCTGCCACAACGATGCACGACGGACGGCTCCTCAACGCTTACGGCTAATGCATTCTGATTCGCTTCATTGAGGTATTGACGTATAATCTGACTGTTGACTTGTCACTTAGGCGTACAGCATTATCAGCACTACCATAAATTCAGCAAGACGATCCGTAGTACAACTAGGGAAACTACACCTCTGGCCACACCGCCGGAACCACCCACACTGTCCGCTTTTGACCCAAGCGCATTGGTCATACGCTACTGCCAGCCATCTCCGGAGTTGCGTACAAGAATGCGAGCGTTGTTCACAAACGCTCGGATGAGCTCGTCAAATGCGCCCCGCTCGCTCTCAGATACGTTAGGATCACCCCGCTTAGCTGCGGTCGAGAGGAGGTATTCTGGGCGTGCAAGCTCTACCTCCAGTTCATGCAGGACTTCAGGCTACACATTAACAGAAGATCAGCGGCTAGTTGACAATCCATAAACATACGGGAACCTTTGACGACGCGCCGAAGGTCGACGTGACTTGCGTCAAGTCAACAATGAATTCCTCGTGTGTGTAGCTCATCCGGTCCTTTTTTCGGGTATGTGTCGCCGTTCCTATGGGCTGTGGAACTGCCGCAGACTCAGTATATATGGGGCTGCCGAGAGTCTGTGCATACTGACCAGGAATTTCGACATTGACGCTGATACGCCAGTCTGCTGCGCGTTTGGGGCTGTAGATGTCTAGGCTTCCAAGGCGGACTTTCTGCACGCATGCCTGTACCGCGCCCGACTTCTCATCTCGCGTGACACGAACCTTTTCGCCTCGGCCATCTGGTGCGGCGTAAAACGAATCGACGAGGTGAAGATGGGCATAGTTCATCTCAGATGGGGTGGAAGATGTTGTCTTCAGGTTGTTCAACAATGTGTTGAAATGTTTATGCTGGATCTGCAGAGTCCATGATCCAATTGGGATAATGTGGAGAAACATAAGCGGAATGATCGTACTGGAGACATGTTTGATTCGAAGCGACAGTCAACTGAATTTGGCATGATAACTATGCATAAAGCAGTGACAAAAGGGTGTATTGCAGCGAGGTAAGAAAAGTGAAACATGAGAAGACTACGTGTAGTGAACGAAGCGTACGCACTCGTCTCGACCAGCACTGGCAGGCTCAGGCGCTGCCCACTCACTTTGTCCCGCAGAACACCGACTTTTGCCTCAACCTCAACCCCGTTCGCGCCCTCGGGGCGTTGGCCAATCATGTGGTGTATGAAGTCGGCGACTTCACGAATAAATTCGTCCAGGGGCTCGACACCGAGTATAGACAACGACAATGGTGGGAGATTCGAGGGGCTACGTCCAGAGCCGTTGGAACTGCCGTTATTCATGCTAGGACCGCGGTGGCTGGAAGATGAGGATGGTGGTGCAGGTGGCGGAGTATGGCGGGCGCGCTTTGTCGGACGTTGATACTCGTGGTCTCTGCTGTCCATAAGCTATCCTGTTGCAATAAGAGCCTGTAACCGAATCGCAAGTTTTAGCGAGGACAACTGACTTAGCGAGAGGCAAGCAGGATGGTAGTTAGCAGCAAGGCGCGTATACCAGATGCGGTCACGGGCCTCGCGCGGATGAACGCGAGCGTCAGCTGGGCGTCTCCGAGGGCGTCTTCAATCTGACCGCTGCTGCCGCTGCCGTGATGGGCCCTTGACCTCGGACAATCATCTTGACGACATTCTACCCTGCAATGCTGCGAGCAGCGCGTATCTGTCCTCGTCTTGCTCGACACCACGCGCAATGGCGTAGTGTAACCACCTCGTCGTCTATCCAGACACCACACGGGCACCTGCCCTCCACTCAGTCGCCCATCATCTCGGAACTCAAGTTCTTCAACTCAGTCACAGGGGACGGCACGCAAATTCCTACTTACAGGGTCCTTGATGGGGGTGGGAAGCCAATTGAGGGTGCTCAGGTGCCAGAGGTACGTACATTGCATATCGCAGCAACCACCTGCTGATATTTGGTCGAGCAGCTCGATGAGGCAGTGGCAAGAAGAATGTAAGCTCACTAAGGCCGTAAAGGTTATGTACCGCTTATGAAGCTTAGGTATGAGCAAATGGTCCAATTGCCGACTATTGACAATCTCATGTACCAAGTACAACGACAAGGCAAAATCCCCTTCTACGTATGGCTCTAAACCACTTCTCCATGGCCCTCGTCCTGATATTTGCCTTCAGATGACACATGTGAGCTGATGGCCATCTGGGAGTCTCATCCGCGTTCAAATGACTTTGATTAGTACGGAGAGGAAGCTACGCTCATTGGCTCAGCAGCTGCTCTGGCACTGGATGACGAGTAAGTTTGCATATCTGTATCTGCCACGCTTGACAGCTGAAAGAACTTGTCTCCGAGAGTGCTTGGTAAGCTGTCAATGATAGCAAGTATTGGGATAGCGCCATGACCGCCTGCAGCGCAGTATCGTGAATTAGGCATTCTTTTATGGCGCGACTGGCCCATAGATGCGCTCATGAATTCGTGTTTTGGAAATTGTGAGGACATTGCTTCCAAGGGGAAGCAGATGCCTATGGTACGCTCTCTAGGCGCCCTATCATTGCATATTGTAACATTGTCGATTGCTAGCATATCGGCTCTGCCGCTCATCACTTCCATATGATCTCGTCGCCATTAGCGACTCAAATTCCCCAGGCAGCAGGGGTTGGCTTCGCCCTCAAGCGCGATCCGGCACGACGAGGCAAGAACTGCGCCGTGGTGTACTTCGGCGAAGGTGCGGCATCCGAGGGCGACTTCCATGCCGGTATGATGTTTGGTAAGCCCGTCATTCAGTCTTAATCTCACGCGTCTGAGCTGCGGACACCTCCTGAATACTGACATCTTGATGGTATAGCATCTACGATCCCCTCGCCAACACTTTTCATCGCGCGCAACAACGGCTTTGCGATCTCGACTCCGGCCTCGGAACAATATTATGGTGACGGCATCGCGGCGCGCGGGCCGGGGTACGGCGTGCATACCATCAGAGTGGACGGAAATGACGTCCTGGCTATGTACAATGCGACCAAGGAGGCACGCAGGCTTTGTATTGAAGAGGGCCGTGGCGTACTCCTTGAGGCCATGTCCTACCGGTGAGCACCGTTATGGGCATGTAAAAACATCCGTCGCCAAATTGAATTAACAGTGTCGGGCACCACTCGACCTCGGACGACTCCTTTGCCTATCGCGGGCGACAAGAGGTTGAAGACCGAAAGCGGCTCGATAATCCGCTCTCACGCTTCCGCCTCTTCCTTGAGTCGCGTGGCTGGTGGAGTGCCTCAGACGAAGAGGAGCTCCGTTCACGATTAAAGAAAGACGTGCTCGCAGCGTACAGGCGTGCGGAGACGTTGCCTCGGCCGCCTGTGAGCGAGATGTTTGACACGGTGTATGGCGGCGAGGAACCGTGGACAATCGTGAGTGCGCTATCATAGACCTGAAGATTTCGATCATGATTGTGGCGCTGCAGACAGAGAACAGGGAGGAGCTGAAGAGGCTCCTCAAGAAGTACGGGCAGACATGGGGACCGTGGCAGGCTGAATTGCAGAAGCACAAAGGGGCGGGCCAGGATCTCATGGGATCGTGAGCTAAGCGAGATCCGCATCAAGGCACGTCTGTTGGCTGCCTGCGCTGCGCGTTGATTGTACTAGTGGGAGATAGATCTGTGGCGTACTTCTGTGACACTGCAGGACGGTATCCGATGTCATGTATGGTTTGGAGGTATGGAAGGAAGAACCATGCGTGATCGCCGTGTCGCATGTCTTGATCCATCGTCTGCTGCGTCGCGATGATGAATAGCTCGCGTTGTCTGTTCCTTGGCCTGTCCCATTTAATCCTTCAGGTGTCTTGTCTGCGCGCGGTGATTGGGGATCCATGTAGCCGGAAAATCTTTTTCTTCTGAGATTGTCCGTTGTGGGCTGACAGTCTCCATTATGGTTCTGACTACTCGGCTCGCACTAAGGTTATTTTCCGCAGACGTCTGGACTGGTCACTGCACTTGACGTGGATTTGGTGTGTTACTACTCATTAGTCTCCGATGGCCAATACAAACAGCTATTCGCATCATGAGCATGCGATTCTATTCGGCTGACACTCAGCAATGTATCGCTAGCATCGAACCTAGGAACAATCACTCTCTCTCAGCATACACCCAGCGGCTAGTTCTCCACCCCAAGACGGACTTTAGTTTGTCGAGATCGGTCCCGCGCTGACTGCCGTGAGCGCTCACACGCAGTCCGCGAAGGTTATCAGATTGATTGTTCCCACGAAGCGGGCCCTCGAGAGTTCGCAGAAATACACTGCCTTCTCGTGAGAGAACGAGCAGGCCAGCTTCGCAATGTGATTCCTCTATAGACAGCTGGACGCGGAGATATGCTCGAGCTGCGGTGTCTCGCCAGGTTCCTGGCGGACGATGGCACGCCGTCCATCCGACACTGGGCCACATGGCTTCCTGTGATGTGTTGGCTGCCGTTAATTCCTGAATTCCAAATCGTGTCGCGGATCGACGCCCGTACCTTCATTCATGAATGGACGCGGAGGAGCTCGATGGACACACGGTGTCTCCAGATTCGGCAAATGTGTCCGATGTTCCCGAGCCAGGACACTGCATGCGTCAACGGCGTCTCCCAATTTGATTTGCTCAAGGAATGAATAATGTGTATGTGTCAGGATGGTACGTGCCTGAGCCGGGATGCGGGCATGGGCGGACTGGCGATGGGATACACTCCTATGCCACGGGAGCTTGCACGACAGGTTAGCCCGAGACAGACAGCTCGCTGGCCTGACCTGGCCAGTAGACTCTGCTATAGGCACCCGGAGTCCCGGAGACGCGAACTCTGATGTGCAAGACGTTACGATACGTACAAGAATATAATACTGCGCGGCCGGGAGTCAAACCTCACCGAGATCCCGGACGACTGATGCAACACGACGCGCTGCAGGACTTTGCCCGCGATCGGCTGACCCACCCAAATGAACGCTGACGCGCTGCAGTATATGATATCGCCCGCGATCGGCTGACCAACCTAAATGAACGTCGCCCGGTCCAGGGTGGCGCTTCTCATCAACCAACGAAGCCACGAGATGTGTCAGTTCATATCCGCTGCACTAGCCGCGCAACCGCGGGGTCTACGGCGTCTGAACCGTGTCGGGGCGCGATCTGACGGCCACGCCAAATGATGGAGATCCTGAATCGCAACCCAGCAAGTAAGCTTCGCAGGTCATACAGGAGGGCGACACAACCTCCGATTCTGCACGGAGGACAACAGCGCGTTGGCCGCCTGCCGCACAAAACGCGCAGCCCCAGGCGAAGAAGACGTCCCGTGCGTCGCCATACCTGCCGCAACGCCAATTCCCCCCGCCCCAGAACGCCGGAGAATAAGAACTCCACAATGAGACCGCGGGGCCATGCTCATGGCCAGGATGCCGAGATCCATGCGCAATGGCAACGGCATGTTTCGAGCTCGGATGCCCGGGCAGCGGAACACATCCCAAGCGAGGTCATCGTCATCATCACTGTAGCCACGGGCTTCCCAGATTCCCGTCGGACCGGCGTGAGTCCAGTACGCACGCTCGCACAGCCCGACGGAGACTCCATAGAAGCCGCACACGGCACCACCAAGTGAACGTCGACCACGCACGCGCGCACGCCAGCAGCAGCAGCAGCAGCAGCAGCGTTGCCATGGCGTGTGCGGAAGGCCGGCGGCGCCACAGATACAGACACAGCGCGCGTCGCGCCACTCGCCACTCTGCGTGGCTGCTGCTGCTGCGTGTGTCTTTCGCGTCCTGGTCCTCGTCCTGGTCCCGCGCAGAGGGCGCCGCGGCGTGCGTGCGCCCGTCCGCCCGGAGGAGAACCGCGCGGTGCGTGCGACGGCCGACGGTGCCGCGGCTTGGTACGCCCGCCCCCCTCCCCAAGCGGGGCTGGACGCCGTCGAGGTAGATCCTATTCCTGTCGACGCCGCGACGTTAGCTTCATTCTCCGATACCCAGCTACGGAGGCTTCGTCGAGAGGAGCCAGCCCGGACGGGCCGAGAAGCACGTTGGGGGCCAGGAAAGAGGGGGGGGGAGGACGGAGTCTGTGGTTGTGAAGGTTACGGCAACAGCATCTCGTCGCTCCCCCTTAGCCCCTTGGGCACTGAGAACCTTCCTCCGTGGACCCTTGGTGAGCGCAACGCGCAGAGACGAAGCAGAAGCAGAAGCAGAAGCAGAAGCAAAGACGAAGCAGAAGTGGATGCAGACGCAGAAGTGCAGCTGGCGCGCAGGGCGAGCTCAGTGCGCCGAGAGGCCGGCGGGACCCTCCCGGTCAAGGCAGCCGCCCGCCGCCCCCGCCCACCGCGGACCCTTACCTTCCCTTTCCCTTGCCCCTTTCCCCCGCATGTCATCGTCAGCGCCGGGGGTCCCCGATGTACTACAGCCCCGCTGCTATGCGCGACCCAGCGGCTCTGGGAGCAGACGCAGAAAGGAGGAGAGGAGACCAGCGGAACCTTGGTCCACATGCGCGCAGGACGCCTGGCCAGCCGATGCGGGGCAGGCAGTCATATCAGCGTCCCGACGCGAGCCCTCCCTCGGACGAGGCCGCCAGACTCGCACCCTGTGCACATATATGTATATACACACACACCATGTATGCCATGACAGGGTCCAAGCCTATCACCACCGCCAAGCACGGAGCCGCCTGGCGTCTGGGGTCTGGGGTCTGGGGTCTGGGCGAGGCTCGGACACTAGCACCGGCACCACCCCCGCGCATGTGGCCATCTGCATGAGCGGCGACGCCTCCGCCGAACGGGTCGCGATGGGCTGGCGTCCGATGGCTGACGTTGGCTCCTGCGCACGCGCCCGATCGCGCAGGGGGCCGGCCAACTGCGTGGTCATCAACCAAGCGCGAAACGCAGCGATGGTGGCCCAGCGGTGGAGTATGCACGGTTATGCCCACTGCCTTGCCCCCTGCGGACCCGCGCACGGAGCCGACGCGGACGTGCAGCTGCACCCCACACGGAGAGATGTGTGGCGTCGCGGAGGACCCCGCGTGCGAACTCAGACGCAGCCATGTCAGCAGCGCGATTTCGCAGTCGCATGGGCCGACTCATGGCCGGGAGCTCCAGACGCAGGGTGACCCATGCTGGCGCTGTGGATGGTTCGGCGAGTACAGTCAAGGAAGGTGCAGGCTCGGAGACGGGCCGCGGTGTGTCGATGGCGGCTGTTGCCGGGGCACTAGGGCGCGGGGAGGACGGGCGTGGCACACCGAGCGAGTGGAACACGCATCGTGCAGTGCTACGCAGAGTTATTTCGGGCGGGCGTTTGGAGAGGCGTCGAGGTGAGTAGGCTAGTAGAGGATGACATGTGTGTCGCCAGATCGAATGAAAGCCGGGCGTCGACACGGTGAACGTGTCACATTGAATGGGCATTAACGATGCGCATTTCATTGACGGGACGGGTTGGCCGGGGGATCGGCGCGATCGTGTAAGAGCGGGCAGGGTCGCCAGGCACGGGTGCGCAACGCCCACGCTAATGACATAGTGGTGGCCATATGGACGGAGCAGGAGAGTTTGGGGGTGGCATGTGAGCGCGGGTGACGCGTGCTAGCCATATATACAAGCAAAGGACGAGCATGGATGGTGGATCAGAAGGGCGGAGGCGCGCGCGGGGGCGGAGGGAAGCGCGCAGGGAAGGCGAGGGGCCACGATCGCCGCGGATGATGGCAAGCGGGGCGGCGATCGCAGGGGTGGCGGGCGTGAAACACGTTCTGTGACGTGGGCGCGGTGGGCTGGGGGCAGGCCCAAGAAAGGCGGGACGCTTCCTCGTCCTGGCATGTGGCGCGTCTGGCGGGCGCCTGCGCGTCCACGTCAGGTGCGTGTTCTGTCATCGCGATCGGGCGCGGCGAGAGGTGAGGGCGCACGGCGGGATTTCGTTGTGCGCTGCGGCAGAGCATGCGCAAAGGCATGCGCATGGCGAGGGCACAAAGGGAGAGTGCGGCGCAAAAGAGGGGACAGTGAGGGAGGGAAGCGAAGAGGGCAGGAGGGATGGCCGCGGATCTGGAAAGCGAGGATGGATCGGAGAGGAGGGTTGCCCCGGTGAGCGGGCGGCTGAGTGGGCCGAGGATAAGAGGGTTCCTGTCGGCCGCCTTCCCTCGTTATGACTGCCCACGCCCACGCCCACGCTCGCGATGGCCCTCGCCCCCAGCCGCGTCGTCGCGTCTTCCCGCCGTCCATGACGTCCATCCACGAGCTCCCCGTCGAGCTGCTCCTCCGCATCTTCGAGTTCGGCATGCTCGACGCCCGCCCCGCCATGTCCTCCACCTCTCCCTTCCCCGCAGAGCCCCCCTTCGAGGTCCTCGTCTCCCACGTCTGCCCCCACTGGCGCGCCATCGCCCTCCACGCCCCCGCCCTCTGGACACACATCGCCATCGCCATCGTCCCCCACGTCGCCCGCGCACGCGAGTACATCGCCCGCTCCGCCCGCCAGCCCCTCCGCATCCTCGTCGACTCCGTCGCAGAGGCAGACGCCGTCCCCGGCTTCACCATCTTCCGCGCAGAGTTCCTCCCCGCCTTCGCCGTCCTCACCCCCCACATCCACCGCTGGGCCGCCCTCGCCCTCCGCGTCCGCGACCTCACCTGCAAGGCCGCCGCCCGCAAGGTCCTCTCCTCCTGCGGCCCCGCACCCCTCCTCGACTCCCTCGAGCTCTGGCACATCCAGGACTGGCGCACCCCCGAGGGCCTCTTCAACGCCATCGGCCCGCCCCCCGTCGTCGTCTTCAACGGCGCCCTCCCCGCCCTCGCCCGCCTCTCCCTCATCGGCGTCAACATCCAGTGGCAGGCCTCCTCCTCCCCCTTCCTCCGCGACCTCACAGACCTCGAGCTCGGCATCCACTCCGACAACGTCCGCATCCCCTTCCCCCGCTGGGCAGAGGTCCTCGCCGCCTCCCCCCGCCTCCGCCGCCTCCTCCTCCACTACTCCGGCCCCCGCGCAGCCCTCCCCTGGGACACCCGCCCCCGCGGCGGCCCCATCCCCCTCCCCGCCCTCGCAGAGCTCCGCCTCGTCGACCTCGACCCCCCCTACGTCTGCGCCCTCCTCCGCACCCTCCACGCCCCCGCCCTCCGCGCCCTCTTCCTCGAGCTCGACACCCGCGACGCAGACCCCGAGCCCGCGCAGGACTTTTTCCGCCCTCGCAGACATGCTCGCCTGCGCACCCGCACCCGAGCCCGCCCTCGTCGACCCCGCCGCCCGCTACGCGCCCCCGCCGTGTCCCATCGACGACCCGCACCACGCCCTTGCAGACCCACAGCACGCCCTCGCAGACCCACAGCACGCCGCCGCAGACCCACAGCACGCCACCCCCGCCGACCGCCACCACATCTGCACCCCGCTCTTCCCGCGCCTCGAGTCCCTCGCCATCCGCGCCCTCGCCGTCTGCGCCCCCGCCAGCTGGGCCCGCCTCCTCCGCCGCCTCCCCGCGCTCCGCACGCTCGAGGCCGACTTTGACGGCCTCCACCCCGCCGCGTTCGACGCGCTCCTCCCCGCGCCGCGCCCCGCCGTCAACGGGCGGCGCATCCCGGGCGAGGGCGAGGGTGGGTGCGAAGGCGAAGGCGAAGGTGAAGGTGAAGGTGAAGGTGAAGGTGAAGGCGAGGGCGAAGGCGGGCGCGAAGGGCAGGTCGGGAAAACGGAGCAGCAGGTACAGGCGCAGGCGCACGGGCACAGCACGGCCGCGGCGGACGTGGTCCTGCCCGCGCTGCACACGCTGCGCGTCGCGAACGTGAGCGGCGCGCGGCTCGCGGCGCTCGCGCGGTACCGGCGCGCGGCGGGGCGCCCGATCGCGCGGTGGTACGTCGCGGAGGGCTCGCGCGATGCGGATGCGGAGCGGCTGAAGGCGGAGATGGATAGGCGGCGGGGGGAGGGCGCGGGCGAGGGGGAGGGGGAGGGGGAGCGGATGGAGTGGTTTAGGATGGATGAGGACGAGGGGGACGAGGGGAGTGAGGGGAGCGAGGGAGATGAGGAGGAGGAGGAAGAGGGGTGGGGGGACGAGGAGCACGACGGCGAGGGCGAAGGCGAGGACGAGGGCGGGGAGGAGGCGGAAGGCGGCCCGGCTGCGTCGTCGGACTCGGACGACCAGCATTAGCGACTAGCGGGGGCGCGAGGTGTGTGCTTCTGTCTCTCGACCCGCGCTGTCCCCGCGTCGTCCTTCCTGGCCGGCTGCGTCCTGAGCGCCGCCGATCATATTCCCTGTTCCCTCGCACTGCGCAATGGCACAACTCATCTCATCCCATGTCCCGTGTACATAGCCCAGAACCTGCGTCCCGTCCCCGCTCCTCGTCACGGGCTCCCCTGCATCCACGCACCACGCACCATACACCACGCCACACACACCGCACCACGTCCACCGTCTCCCATACCGTCTCGTCTCGTCTCGTCCCGTCCCGTCACGCCCCATCCCATCCCATCTTATCCCATCCCATCCCATCTAGGTCCCGTCCCATCCAAGTCCCTCCGTCCGTCGTTAGCATCATTCTTGTATGTACCATAAAATGCATGCGGCGCGCCACGCGGCGTCGATACCACCGCGCCATCCACCCATCACTGCAGCAGCAGCAGCAGCAGCAACGTAGGAACTCTTCCGACGGCGCACCGCGTCCGGTCGCTCCAGGTGCGTGCCAGGACTTCCGCGCTGACTGAACGGGGCGCCGCGAAGAACGCACGCGCCCGCCCCTCGCACCTCGCACCTCGCCCCTCGCCCCTCGCACCGCGTCGAAACACGACGAGCGCTGCGCGTGTCCCGAGCAAGGGCGCCGTGCCGCGTCCTGCGCGCGCGCACGCCCCCAGACCGCCTGCGCCTGAGGATCCAAATCCAAATTCGAATCCAAGGAGTGCCTGGGTATGCCGCGCCGCGCCACCCTCGTGCGCGCGATATACCCGTCGTCCTTGCGGCCGCGTCCATGCGGGGGGAGTGCGACACGAGTCTGGAGGAGTGCGGCGCGGCGCTTGGCCGCGCGCAGCATGTCCGCCCACCCAGTGCATATGTGGAGCGGCGCGCGCGGTGTGGACGTACAATCGTGTTCAACTTACTCGACTCGAGCGCAGCCCACGCAGATAGCAGATGCAAACAGTTGCATGCGGTACAGTGGCAGTACAACTGTTCGTAGCGCCGAAAGCAGGACGTCGACGTGTATCCGGGCTCCTCCCATACAGTACACAAATGGATGACAACGACAGCGAGCACGACAGCAAGGATGTGAAATGAGTGCTCTACGGATCGTGGTAGATCACACCCAAGTATTTTATAATCTGCGACTTTCTTTCTGGGAGTGTAGCCTGTGGTGGCAGCGCAGGTAAACCCAAGAGTTCGGCCAGTGTGTCGGCCCTGGCGAATGATAATCCAACGTTTGATATTCTGCGAAGAGCATGGATCATATAACATACTTGTGAGGTTAGTGAGGTCATGTGTGGTCCTGGCTCCATTGAGGCACATCGGCTACAGTGTCCGGGTAGGACAAAGGTGAAATATTGACAGCGCGGCCGTTGATGATCCTCGTCGGCATGTGGGCCATCCTGGTAAATCCAGTTCAGTACAAACTTTCAACTCAAGATAGATCAACTTATGCCTCCTCAACCACGCCCAGTCGTGCCTCAATGCTATCTAACCGGTCAACCAACTCTGTATGGTGCTGAGCCGCCATCTCCATTGCCTCTGTGTGGTTCTGAGCAGCCGCCTCTATTGCCTCTGTATGGACCCGCCTCTGTATGGCGCTGCGCCGCCATCTCCATTGCCTGCCTGTGGTGTTTGTTTAGAGTGGCTATCACCTGATCCATTCCAACAACCGCTGGCATGTTGGGGACTAAAGCCACTTGATCTACGCCTGATCGGAAAGCTCCTGCGGCGGCCTCTGTTGAGCGATATGGAATAGGCTATCCGCCGTTTGGCGGAGACTTTCACTAAGGAGGGGAAATCAGGTCGAGGTTGGTCGAAGGCTGCCTAAAAGAGGGACTGACCAGATGTGTGAACAGGGCAGGGTTATATAAGACGTCAAGATGTGACCGCGACCACTCTATCATAAGATCTGATCGTGCAAATATGGTCCTTGCAAGTGACCAGCTCAGATGTCTTTGATATGGATCCGAATCCCAGTCGTATGAAGTAACCCTCGTTTGCGTGCTTACTCGTCAGGTATTCACCACTGAGGAGTGGCTCGCGAAGCGTTCAACTGAGATCACGAATGTTGGCCGTAAGCCTCAATCTGCGGGCACTTGTAACGAGCAGTCTTGTCGCTAATCGAGGAGGGGAGGTGAATTCTTCGTCGCTTGTTTCTCACTTGAAGTTTCTGAAGCAAAATTAAAGCGGCAACCCTGAATGCACCTACAGAATGATCTGCGTGACGATGTGCAGTGTTCGATATGTGGTATACGGGTATACGGAGCGGCGTCCAAGTGACGGGACTAGAGATTACATGCCACTCGGCCCTCGTGCAAGACTGAACATATTACATATGCTACTACGTGTACGTTGCTGTATAGCCACTGTTGGTACATAAACAGTTTCTGAATAGTAGCCTGCGCTTTGCCCACGCAGATCAGACAATCGACGAAACATAAACACCTTTCAGTGTGTAGGACTTGCCGACGCCCAGACAAAAACACGGTTCAAGATTGCCCATGTGGACTATATAGTTATAGGATGTATGGAGACACGTGAGCTTCGTCTAAGGCGTCAAGGTTGTTCAAGTGAACACAGTAGCAGGGCGTTTGCACACAGGTGCAAGTAGAGACGCGTCATTGTTGCGAGCGAAGCGAGCATATCTCGGCTAAAGGGGCTGAGGCCGGGCTTTCAGTTGGAACAAACAAGTACAAAGGATACATGCAAGCGCCCGAGGTGTTTTTACGTTGGAAGGACTGTAAGTCGCCCAAACATCCTTCAAACCCCTTTATGAAGATCTCAAAACACTCGCATGCATGCAGCAAATGAATATATGCAAAAAATAGCATAAAAGTAAGCCATTGTTGCGAAATAAGTATAACTGCACGAAACGCAGTTAGACGCCCATTCACTCGTGTGGCCCGCTGCCATACAGCTTCACCAAATGTCCTGAAACTTAAGGCTTCTCATGGGAATTTCACTGACTCAGGTATAAATAAATGTCCTATCAATACTTCTTTCAACGGCAGTGCGACGTAGGATAAAGCGCTTCGCGAGCCACTTCCCGTGCAGCGGGTGCATATTAGAGTCCTTGCGTGTCAAAGGTCAGGCTCTCGACGTGAGAACCCCGCCAAACTTCACGTCATTTAAGAGTATGTCTAGTTTCGCTGCATACAGTGGATCAGGACAAACGGCCTCGGATTATCGTATGCACTGTCCGGCGACTAGCGTAATCTACAAGGGACATTGAGCAGTGAGTAAACTTTTCGTACCATCACATATTGCATCAGCCAATCCTACATGCTACAGCCATCCCCTCACCCTTCCATTTCTCTGCCTGACTTACCGTTCGGCCTGAAGGCGTAGCCGTGCCTGTTCGAGTGCGCGGTATACATCCGACGCGAAGCTCGAGCCAGATGGGAGTGCGAAGAGGCGTTCGAGTGCAGGCACGGCTGCGCGCGTGAGAAGGAGGCGCGGACGCACGTCGCGCTCCGCGTCCGTGGCGTTCGCCGGTGATGCGCATGGGTCTGGGGGAGGAGAGGCGGACGGCGTGGCGAACGCGTCAGGATCGAGGTCCGAATGAGCGGCGGACGGCGGTGCTGGCGCGTACTCCAGGTATATGGCGTCAAGCTCGGCGTTCTCCTGCGGGAGGACAGCGCCCTGGGCGACGAAGGCCTGGAGGTACTGAGAAGCTTTAAAAGCTGGACATTGTCAAGTAATGAGCACTTAAGGGGGAGAGAAGATGGGGATGTCGTGGGGACTGACCTTTATAGTGGGACCACGCGCGCCACGCGCAGAAGAAAAACGGAAAATTTGGGATTATGGCTATGAAAGTATATGAGGATCCAGAGGTTGCAGTACAGCAGAAAACGCACGGATGAGCATGAAGGGCGCAGTAAATGGGGAAATGGCGATCCAGATGAGGCAGCCGTTCCGATGTCGCGGGGTGCGTTTCTTGAGCAGGGCGCGCAGGTGCGGTAGGGGCGACGTGCACGCAGACGGTGGGTAAATGAGAGGGATCTGTCACCAGAGAGACCAGAGCGTCCGCGGTGGAAATGGAAATTACACGGCATGTAGCATGTCAAGATACAGAATGCACGAAAGCGAATCAAGAAGGATGCTACGTCAACGAATTGGCATGGCGCAGGAGGGCAAGACGGGGAGCACTGACTGTGGGATGGTCTTTTGGTTTTATCTTATCGGTGCGCCCGACCGGAAGGATTTTCGGACCCAGGGAGGTGTCAAAAGACTTTAGGGCGAGTTCTTCGAAGTCTAGGCGGTCGACGAGCCGTTCACCGTAGAGGAACGCTCTCCGCTACAGAGAAATATTAAGATATGTATAACATACGGAAGGGACAAATAACACGAGTGAGGGCATTTCTGTCTTCAAACACGCGGATAGAACGCATAGATAGGTCAAGCACATACCTTCCAGTTACCGTCCGGCGCCTTGCCGAGCCCTGCCCAGAGGTGTGCTGCTTTCGTTGTGACCCAGTTACTCCAGGTCTGCGCTTTGCTTTCGTGTGGAGGTGGAGTGACAAAATGGTAGTACGTGAGGTGATCCGAGGCGTTGTGCGTTGGCGTTGTGCGCCTTGCGGGTGTCGCGAGTGGGAGCGCGATGATGCGTACACCGCGCTTCGCGCCTTGTGCGAGCGACATTTTCTAGTTATCAGACGAAACGGGAGAGATAACCAGAGCGCGCGAGTCGCAAAGCTGAATGAAACGCAGTTATGCAAAGAACTTGAACGTCTCGAGCTCGCGCGTCATGCCGACCCGTGAGAGGCACGTGCTTTCCCCGCATTCTGGCTTCGCTTGACTCTCGCCGCCATCGTGTCTCGCATCGATCATGAACTCTCCCGGCGATTCATCCTCTTCGGACTCGGGTACGCCTCCCCCTGAGCTTGAGGAGTCCCGCTTCGAGCCCTCCTATGGTGAGGTGAACATTCCCTCCCCGTCCAAGCGCCGCACCCCGTACAGCTCGGACCGCTCGGTACCCTTCTCACGCGACTCGAAGGCCAGGAGAAGGGATGATTATGGGCGACAGAGGATGATGCACGTAGGGGGTGGCAGTCCTTGGGATGCCCCAAGAGAGCCGCCATCCAGAAATAAGGATGAGCTCGTCGACCAGCAGATCGCCGAGCAGCTCCGTGCCCGTGCGTCACTTGTCTATTCGTCATCTCGGTTCTTAATCGCTCTATTAAACAGAATTCGGTGACCCCTTTGATGACAGCACTCTGAAAAGCAGCAAATAACGTCATGAAGCAGTGTGGCCACCCAACATGTTGTACGGTGCGCCACTCTCTATCACTATGTAAACATTATTTATTCAGGTCACGTTCATGACAGGATAGCAGTGGGATCTAGCCCTTTCTCCGAGTCTCCCGGTTGTCATGTATCACCTCGTGTAGAAATACCAATTTGTGCATTGGATAACTACTGCGCAAGCGGCCGGTGTGTAAAACATGGAGGTGTTGCTCACTGTCAATGTACTCACTCGGTAGGCACCCTCCCCAGTATTTTCTCATAGCCTACATCTCCCTGATGTTTGTACTCACGCGCGAGAGCTCAGAGTAACCACTGCAAATGTCATGTACTCACTACGATGCATGAAACATTGACGCGGACAGCTTGGAATACATCTCGATGCACTCGTATTGCACTAATGCTGATTTGTGACGCGACTAATCTTCTTGTGCTGATTTTCTCCTCCACGTTCACGCAAGTGCGCTCGTGGCTTCTGAACCCTATACCTCTTGCGATGGAATTTACCTCCCTCAACCCTTCTTCGCTGGCATTTTCCAGTTTGTTGCCTGTCTTTGGTCGACAAGGCTAGATCTTTGCAACCGTATTACCTTTGTTGTCGAAGCAATCGCCGTGAGCTACATCTCTTGTTTTTAGTGAGTCATCATTGTTCGTTGCCTCCCATCACCCACAGACCCGGACCGCCGAGCTCATTGGACTCGAAACCTTGTTCTATGTTCCTCGGACCCCGCACCCGATGTCAGAACTGTAAATTAACGTACCATGAATTGTCGAGTTCGCATCAGTTCCATAGTGACATCGCCCATGGCCTGAGAACAGCGTACAGCTACAAAAGGACATCGGAGCTCTCGCCTCTACGATCGAGAACGAATGCAAGCCGGTAGATTCGTATTATAGCCCAGGTTGCACGTGGCGCGTCAGGTGTATGCGGTGTGTTCTCTACCGCTGAGATAATATGTATCGCTTATTCACGACATATACATGAATCCTCGAGCACTGCCACCGCTACTTCGCCACTACGGCGTCACATCTGACTAGAGAGCTGGATCCAGCATCACGCAAGTGGGTGTAGCGCCCGACAAGTGAGAGTTCACTTTCACACTTGACCGTCACCTCACTAGACAAGGGAGGTTTACGGTGGCTCTACGCAAAACGAACCCTGTCGGCGTGTTCGATCCACTTACTGGATTGTGGCGTTATATAACGGATAGCTGCATGGTAACGTCATTGCGGTCTTTGGATGGCTCCTGAACGTAACTCGCGCTTCAGGGCCGATCGTCTCATGGTGATGCATGTATCCTACGCGGTCCTCGTCTTGCGCCTTTGGGTTGAGGGTGTGTGCTGCTATCGAACTTTCCTGAGCCCAGGCCTCAGGGCGCCCATGAGATGAATCGCGTGGCGGCATTGGCGCGCATATCATTATCCTACAAAAGGCGGTATCTGAGACACACACCCGCTTCCACACCAGTACTGCCGCTACATGGGCTCTGGGGTATTGCTTGCGTGGGTCAATTATGGTCCCGCGCGATGACATCGTGCCCATCGTATAACGGAGATGGTCATAACGGATTCTCATTGATGGCCGTATGGATTACCTTTTAGGGACATACGGACTACAATCTTTTTCCAAACGTTTGCCATAGTACCGAATATCGGATGCCGTACTGTGATGCCTTAGGTTGCAGTGCGGGTTTTCGATACCACCCTGCGACTGAGCAGAAGTGGAAACGACGCCCCAAACGATCAGCATTCTCGGCGCGATGCGGTACAGAACATGCTTGGAGCGTCCAGCAACCAGGAGGAGCGTCCCTTGATGAAGCTTATGTGATTATTGCAGCCGTTGATACGGTGCACGGTATGGCGTTTCTGTTCATCTCCGTCGCATATGTATGCAACACGGAGCAAATTCCTACACAGGATTCATTGTTCCCTGTACGTTCACATGTTTGCTTCCGTGAACAACACGGGGCCGACCCCATGTTCGTGGGTCGTCTCATCGTCCTTGTTACTACATCACGCGTCGAATACTCGTGACCACAGAAAGCTTATGACCCAATACAAGCCGTCATAGCTCGCAAACTGGCTTGTATGCCGCTAAGTGTACTCTAATTGTTCCCTTTGGGGACCGTCCACTTCATTTCATTTGTGTCTTGATTTGGGCGTGTCCACCGGTCCTGCTCTAGATCACCGAAGGTGATTCTGACTCGTGTACGTGACACCTACTGGGAATTGATAGTCATTTTCGCCAACGCGACTGTAATCGAGCGTAATGATGTGAACGTTCTCAAGCTGAATGACTATTTACATCGTCCTCCAGATATGCAGCCATCCTGCTTCTGGGGAATGTCGATCAACTCATGGTGCGGTAGCCCATGTCCGTAGCAGCTGAAGAGACGACATGGTTGTCTAGATCCGAGTGGCCGAAAGATGCCAACATTGAAAGCATGTGCTATATGGACTGCATGGAGACACCTATGACATCATATCGTCCTCAATTGATCACTGCGAAGAAATGATGCGGAATACTACCTAACCTGACAATATCATGAATGTAAGGCGGTACAAGGAATGTAACGTGTCTGATAGAGCGTGAGGATTTAATGATCATTGAGTTTTCGATTCAATCTGCCAGGCTGTACTTGGACGGAAAAGTAAATTACTCATAACCACTCGCATCTGCGTCCGAGAGAGGACAACCGTCAGGCATTTCGCCGACGACAATCACCACTAGTGAAGTGACGCGTGAAGTTTCCATTCGCAAAACTGCGACCGCAGCGAGGACATCGCCGCTCCAGAATATGGAGGTGAGCGACCGCAACGTGCAGACCGAGGCTTCGACAAGAAACTTTCTTCCTGCAGGAACCACCGTTGGGCAAATGCCACCGACAGGTGTCAAGAGCGTCATTGGACCATAGGTGGGCAGCGATGTGATGCTGGCGCAGATGTTCAGCGACTCCGGCTGGAGATGTGTCATTGAGGGGCAGGCCGCAATGCCGGGAACCCCAACGACAGGCGAAAATATTGTTCTGGTCACACATACTCCTCTTTCTCCAAAATGAGACGTCTGTTTGAGTCGGTCAGGAACCCCAGCCCTGTGATTATGAAAGCAGGTCATGATACTCACAAAGACACGAAATGTGAGGAAAGGGTGTTCGATGCAGTCTATCGTGATGCCTAGATGTGCTCATATCCATGCCTTGACCGCTAATTTCCCCCAGAGTGGACTCTGAAGGAAGCCGGACATCCAAGCCGGGTCGAAAACATCAGCCTCCGGTCTAGTAATCACTCACCACCGCGATCATTACACTGAACATGTTTGCCACCACTCATCCTTCTCGCATCGACCTGCACGTGTATTGTACGTCACTAAATAGCAAGCTTTTAAATGAGCGGGGATGCTCCGGCATTAGCTTCATTTGTCAGCGCTGCTCTATAGTGGTGCCACCAACACTGCAATGAGAAATAGGGAAAAAATCACAATGAGTAAGCTTGCACGGTGGGGCAATCATTAGTCTTTTAGAGCTCTTTCAATCCCATCATCCCCGACTCGTAGGGCCGACTGTTTCAGGAGATGACGCTTGCTAATGCTTGCTATTCGCAGGTTTGAATAACAATATTCCAGATGGGTGGGATCGTAGGACGACAGGTAGAGCATGAATGCAACGAACCGCACAATGTACGTTTTTGAAATGAACGGGGAACTCGTCAGGAACTGATGGACTTGATGTGCGCCGAACCTACAACATCTTGACAGCATGGTCATGACGATCAGCAACATCGTCAACATGTGTATCCACGTTTCGCAACGCCAGACACTCAAGAGCAGTGGAGATCTTGCGCTTGTCAACAGACAAAGACATGCGGCTCTTGGCACGCATTTGAGTGGCGTTCGCAAGCCGTTGTTTTCACTGTGATATATGTGTCTAAGTCCTGTGATCTCTGGAAAAACGTGACTCACTTTGGTGTCTATCGCTTGGCTCACTCCTAGATACCTCGGGTCTTTGAGGAAAACCTCGTCAGTGTCGAGCCGGGGACCGTAAGCCCCACACATAACGAAGTTGAAGAAGACGACGCGGCAGTCTCTGTCCTTTTAGTCGAATATGACATACACTGACGATAAGAGACACATGGAGCGTCAAGAAGAAACGTTTGTTGGCGGAAAGGCCTAACGCATCGATAATTGGTCCAAATTACGGTGCAAGGGAAGTGGATAGGGACAGGATGCGCGACATCGACCAGGAATTGAGGACATAATCCATCTCGATGATGACAGTGTTTCAGTACGGCTAGATCATCATGCCAATGAGTCTATTACTTTACCACAGCAAAGTATCTGCCAGTGACCGTCTCCTGCGAGCATTTTTATCGAAAGTATCAATAGGAACGATCGAGAGCAGAACTTTTTGACAGTGCTCACGTATACCGTCACAACTTGGCAGATAGACAATCGGATATGCAATATTGTGATTGGTCCGTCTTTGCACGGAGACCCGGACTATATCCAACCTGCATTCTCCGCCGCGAAGAGGATAAGGCTAGGTTACAGGAGCCCCGTGTGCTGAACTTGTCAGTATGAATTGTGGCGCAATACAGTGTTGTCATAGTCAACCTTCATGATTACATAGAGGATAACGGGACAATGGGATCGTGTATGTATTGTAACTATAGTCATATACGAAATAATTACGTTTAAGGAATTAAATTATGTGTACACTTTGCAGAGCGTCTTGTTATATTGCGAAATCGCGACGGGATTCTATCCAGCGTCTGCATAAATAAAATATGTAGATGGGTGAGAAGTGGCAGCTCTCTCTCAGACAAAGCTAGACTAGGGGTCAATGTGACAACCAATTAATCGAGGTATGTGCGCAAACATACCATGCAAAGGCGCCAGGCCACTGGCACTTGTCAATGGTAAGGCTATCGTCAGAAATTAAGACAATGTCCAGAGACAAGGTGTCGAAGCACTGCATCAGGCCTCACAAACGTCTGGCGGCAGCGTGGACATGGCGTCTCAAGTACTCGCAAATGTACTGTCGCGATGTGTTTGCCGAAATTACCCTGGAACATCTCTCTATCGCAAGGGACGGTACCGGCATGTCGCCATTGACAGGTACCGCGGAGTCTGTTGTGCCATAGTCCCACAGGAAAGTGGAAGTTACGAAGGTGCCTCGCGATTCCAGCGGGCGTCGTGTCGTTGAGCGTGACGCCGCAAATTGGAGAGCCCCAGCAGCACACGATGCTCCCATTCGCATCAGCCGACATGGCGATTTGAAGCAATATGCTGATTATCTATCATATGACCGTATGTGGTTGACATCGCAATTTTCAGAATGGCTTAGGGACTTACGAGGAGGGGCGAAACAGAGAGAGGTAGATTTGAGATTTGAAGGACATCAATGAGTATTAGTGGATGCACTTATAGTCGATTACAGCATCCATGTCCACCCGCCCCAACTACGCACCTAGGTTGCGCATGTATGATGGGCGACAGAAGGGACCTGGCGAGCACGTAGGTAATAAATCGAGATTAGTGATCTCGGAGAGGAATATCTTGACCGGCGGCAGTTCAACCCCCAAGCTATATCAATTTCTATCTCTAGATCCACAATTCACTTGAGGCTGTGAGCAGGAGCACAGTGGGAATCTACGATCGTCATCCACAGGAGGCGCGCATCCTCGACGAGCATCCGGGAACAATAGTACTTGAAGTAGCGCTCGACTGGCCTGATTGATGCACACGTGCATCGTTCCCGCGAGGTGTACATTAGACAAACCGGCGGCACGAAATTGATGTTGAGATCACGTTTGAAGGTCACGAACGCGATCGAGTCTCGAGATCCTAAGTTTATATCGAGAGGACTCACTTGAGGCAATCAATGTACAGTCAAAGTTTTTGAGCTGGAGAGAAGCACGCCTTCTCTGTCGCGTTCTTGACATTCATAGTACGCCCTTCTGGCGACCGCAGCGCAGTCTCGGCTCGAACAGCCTCCCGAGCCATACAGAGCCTGGCTGGTCATCGCGCCGGCAATCGATCATAAGTCGAATGCGGGTGGTGGAGATTGAGTGCGTGCCGACAGGTCCGACTCAGGGTTGTGGGCAACGTGCTACCACCCCCTTGTCCTGTTTCATGTCTACTGTATATGTAATGAAGTGTATCTTATGAACGATACCAAGACAATAGATGAGCTGCAACACGTACTTGAAATGTCTATATCATCGACTGGCGAGTTCATGATGGACGAGGCCTTTGGGTGGGTACTCGCCGAATCAATGTGTTGAGACCACAGGAATCGTCAGAGGCGCTCTGGAACCTGCAACCCTGGATCATGGATGCACGTGCCGCAATCGCAATTCACCGCCGGTAATGTGGAGCGCGAAGGTTTGATATTGGGGCAAAAAATAGCACCTTTGAATCGGCGGCAATTCATCTATGCTCGATCCAATCTAGCGAATTAGGAAAGACCTTCCATACAGTATGCCCGGGACCTGCGCTCGCAGCGGGCATGCAGTTCATGGACACAAGGATGCAATAACACACGAATATGGGATTTTGAGCCAAAACAAATGGATACGGATAGCATGCATGCGTAATAGCCACTGGGACTGATAAGATACCAAGACAAAAACAGTAACACATGAACTTGATAAGGAAGTCATACAAAACATGCAGACGACGAGCGAGTCTCATTATGACAACGAAAATGATGGGACGAACCCAGCCCGTTCCGCGTCACATTTGTGGTACATCGAGGCACGATCTGAAGATGAGTATCAGCAGCGACACCGTAAAGTAACTCTTGTCCTCACATAACTGCAATCCGAGGCCAGGGGACCAGGAGGTATGACCTTGAATGCTCAAAAACCAGAGCTCACGTTCGCGCCTGGCATGGCATTCGGACCTGGGCAATAGCCAGCACGATGACGCCTGAGAGCGTCGCCTCGGGATAGCTTCGCACCGCACTCTGAGCATATCTTCTGCATTATCCTCAGGTGGACGGTCGCGATGTGCTTTCCGAAGTTGCGCATATACATCTCTGTATTGCAAGGCTGGACACTATTGTCTGGCTTGTTGACCTGCCATTGACAGGCTTCGCGAGTCCGATCGTGCCATGCTCCAGCGGGGAAGTGAGTATCCGTGAGATGGCGGTTGATCCCAGCAGAACTGATATCGTCCAGAGTGATGCCGCACGGATTTTCTCCCCACCGACAGAGAACAGGCTGATTCTGTATGTTGGCCATCGCTCGACTTGGAATAAACGAGGTTTGGTTGACCGAGTGCTACGAGCAGAGAAGCTGAGTACTGTTTCCAGAAAAATTTGAGGAGGCACTCACACGATGTTTGGCTACTGACGACGGGAGTGTAGGGAACACGGCTGTATTGCAACTCCCTTTTATCGAGCGGAACGGCATACCTTACGCACACACAGATGGTGTCTCCGTACATGATTGAGTCAGCGTGATAAGGGCGTATACACCACATAGAATAATGGATGCGGCGGTCGTGATCGTGCGTATGGTTGAAGAACGGTGACTTTTCTTAGGCGCCATTTCCGTGAGTTGATATTTTCACAAGCAATGCCTCGAGCGCACGCATGCGTAGGAGGTGGCACGGATTAGGTCAACATCAGGACGTCGAAAAGACAAGTTGTATAATGTACATACCTAGGCTACTAGGCTAGTCGGCTGCGGATCTTCCGAACTGGACGAAGCCATCCCCAAACCTCAGGCTTGTACCCATACTGCATATATCGTACAGCACGCTGAATTGTACCACCGGCATCGTAATATACAGTAAGTCGGGTGGTGGACGAAATGACGTGTATCTCGTCGGACTTGCTGTGGCCAACCAAGTGGCAGCGTGTGGCTGTCGATTTGGCCTCGTACACGTGGCGGATGATTATTATGGGCGCTTCGTAACTCGCTTCACAGTGACAGCAGCTCTTCAACGCGATTGCGACTTAAGATTAAGTCTACGCTGCATGGGTCTACACCAGTCGCCATCTTCATATAATTGGTGGCTCTCTTAGCTCCTGTGTCCGCTCATTCCACGCATTCATCGCCATATACGTTCACGAAGACGTACCCAGGGGCTTAAGATGTTGTGATATATGCCTTTGCGCATTACGAGTCCCAATCTAACATGGGCGTCGGTTGTGGCAGATCATTCCGCCCTTGAAAGGCCGTCGAACCCTCCCGACGAAATGGGGCTCGATATTGTTTCTTCAATTCCAAAGGGGATAGAACAAGGAACCTGCCGTATACCTTCACGAGGTGGATGCCAACAGCCGTCTTGACACGTGTGCTAGTCACGCCGATTATGGAATGTGGGACTCACCTGCCAATCTGAATGTGTCTTAACCCTATCTTGCTCGCGTATCACCAGGCACGTTCAGCCATGTGCATGAAGTCGGCTGCCAGCACTGCCTCAATATCCCATACCGCTAGAATGACGCTTGTGCACCTACGCTCCCTGGAAGGTGCAAATTTTGCAACGCTATATCGGCGCCGCAAGCCTCCCGACGTTCTTTCCCTTTTTCGCGGAGATCCGAGGCTCCAGCATTGAGTTATGCAAGCATATGCCCTCTTTCCCCCATTGCCCGACGTGGAGAGGCGAACGCGATCCGGTACGTCGCCGCGCGGAAGTATGGAAATGATTCATCCGCATCGGTCTTCAAGTTATGCACGCGGACCCTCCTAATGACACACTTTGAAGCTACGTCCGATTGACTATGCTGCGCGCTGCGAGACCCACACAGCTCGTATAGGCTGATGCATCCGATACGTGGCAACTGAGTTAGTTGCGATACCACATTGTCAAGGAAATATGAACTTGCAAGAGCATGGGAACCGCGGCGTTGACTTGTAAATCATGCTTTCGTGGCCGTCGGCATATTGGTAAGTCTGTCATTCCAAGTGCATAATGATACATGATATGCATGGAGATCGTGATACATGTCGGAGTGTTGTGGACGCAGACGGTGAGTAAATAAGTTACTTGGAAATAATTCATATGCTTTATCAAAAGGGTTTCCGACTCTGGATGAAGAAAGTCTCATTGTCCGAGCGGCGGACTCGCATAGCTGATGTTCGCGGAAGTGATCTACGACCGGCATCATCAGCAAGTCATGCAGCACGGGAACTAACTAGATTCACTTGCCAGTGATTGCCGCTTTGGCAGCCGCTAGGCTGCAGTCCAGGACAGTATCCTTCCAGATGCCGCGTCAAAGCATCGTTCCTCGAGAATATCTCTCCGCAATCTGTGCAAATCCGCTGCATGGCACCCAAGTGGACGGTCGCTATGTGCTTCCCAAAGTTTCCGTAGAACGCCTCCGTGGTGCAACGGCCCGCTCTCGTCTGCCACTGGCAGATGCCGCGGTCTCGCGGGTGCCAGTCTCCATGGCCCGGGAAGTGATGTTCTTTAAGGTGTCGGTTGATTCCCGCAGCTGAAATATCCTCCAGGGGGACTCTGCAAGGCGTAGAGCCCCAGCAGCATTGAGCAGGAGTAGTCGCCATGGATATATATGTGGGGATTCACTAATATACTTGTTAGCATGTATTCGCGTAGCTTGGATAGTGAACAACACACCAGAAGTCGAGTTGATCGTTGAAGCTGGTAGCGAACACCACCGCGTAGGTCACTACATATATACCTGCGGCGGCCAAAGCCTGCGTATTTGTATACTAGTGATGGCGCATTTTTTACAACGCAAACGTGAAGCCCAGAAGGTGGCCGGCGTCTGCGTTGGAGCTGGAAAGACTTCAGCTGCATGCAGCTCCTCAAAACGCTCGCCATGCAGGCGCCTAATGTCGTTCTTGGGTTGCAGCGCCGCATTCTCGTGATTCAGATGAGGCGGTGAGGTACAGAATATTGCAAGAGGAAAAGACTGAACTCGGGCTTAGTTTTTGCTATGATGCGTTGAATGCGTTCAGTAGGATTCTGTCCATTTACAACGACGATCGACAAGTAGGGTGTCTACGTATGTCATCTACTGACACCAGGAAGTGAAATGATCGCTCATGGTGGCATGTCCGAGTCACATCGGTTTACTGAGCCGGATAATGCAAGTTAGCCTATGGCATCACGTTGGCTCGATCGAGTAATCGATCAGTTGGCGTTTGGCGGTGCTTTCAGTGTCCGTTGCACGTTCTTGTACTAGCTACTGCTATGTGTTGTAACGGCTCTTCTTCTTCTAGTAAAGGTACTTCCGACTGACTCAGACCTAAACCACATTGCGGCAGCACGTCGAGACAAATTTACCAACGGTGGGACTCCCTGAATATTTGAATCACCGTCACCCGCACACTGTCTGAGGCGTCTTCAGTGGTCCAATCTGGGCTACGGCAGGCTTGAAGAAATACGCATATTCGTGAGCGTTCACACCACTCCCAATAACGGCGAACCTTCTATTCTCACCGAAGCTTCCCTTCGCAGGCGCGTCAAATATTCCAGAGCAAGGCGCTCGGGCTCCACAATACTCAGGCACGCTTGTCAGGTTACTACGGCAGTAATTCAATGGTCGACCCAGTCATTCGGACTCTCTATCGACGCAAGAGGCCAATCACCCGTCAAAATCGTGTCGTTACTTACCGTCGAAACAGATACTTCCAAGGTGTGTCTGTAGATCAGTTGTAAAGGCCAACCTCCGAATTCGCGGACCACACGCGTCTAACACCACGCGAGAGAAGATAGGACGTCATCACCATTCATGGTGGCCGGAACAAACACACCGCCGACATAAAACGGGCGTGTGTCGCTCTCATCGACGCGTGTGTACCCAAGTGGGCAGTGTCTCCTTTTTCGCAGATCCGACAATTGACTGTTGATCCGGATCGCGCAAATGACCCTGGGCGGCGACAGTATCTCCATGATCGAACCACAGAAGCGCTTGGACACTGACAAGGAGGTTACGGAAGTGCCCACTGTAAGTCGTCGTCAAATTCGCTCAACATTAGGATAGGGCGGAATGATAGATGGCAAGTGACTCGCTACTTCAAAGCTCCAACCTTCATTCCACTCGCACGATTGTGGCTTGTACTGCGACTGTCCAAGGTGTTCTAGTACTCCAGAGTGCCGACGTACGTCCATACCCAATATACAGCTCATCGTGAAATTTCACTTGGCGCTTAGCTCGTCTCCGACCTCAACTTCGGGAGAAGTGATCGGCTGGGTGGAGGTGGTTCCATACGACAAGGTGTCACTTCATCTTACTGTCCCCATCTTGATCCCATTGTCAGAAGATCAATCGGTGGACAATCGCACGAGGCGAATGCGTAGGCGCGGGAGGCCCTGAGACGCTGACAGTGTTCCGGACGTCTTGCATGATCTTGCATGACTTGCGCGATGCTGTAAGTGGTCGGCAGAAGGCCGCTTGTGGGCTAGGTTTGCGTGTGTCGAGAGAGGCGCCTTCACCCATGTGAACAGTGAGGTAGAACTCCGGTTGCTTAGGATGTACCTATAGATATGAAAACGATGGTGGTTAAACGTACTGGGAAGATAGCCGCATGCAATGCAGGACAAGGTGGTCGATAGGCTCGTAAACCCTTCGTGGGACTCAAACTTTTGAGACACGGGGACGCACAGTCACCGGGGCCGTCCGGGCCGCACGAAGTACAGGAATAGGCATGCCTACCAGATCTGCGGACCTACTCCAGGTACACAGGCACACTCGTATAAGCAGATAAAGTTACATTGTCTATTGACCGTGATCGCAGCAATGGGCCCAAAAACAAAGTCCGTGCAACAGCAGCATATGAAATGCAGCAGCATCATATGACCCTTTACTGCACTGTCAACTCGATGAATGGAATTTGCAGGTAGACCGAGCTCCCTATGGCCATCTACCAACCACACGCAAGAGAGGAAAGGCGTCAATACGACCATCCCGATCAAACTGGAAGTCACGGACCTCGAATAGAGCCAGCCGCGTGACGCTCAAAGCCAGAGATTGTCCAGAAACGAGCTGCATCGGGGCCTGCACGGTGAAGTTCTGGTAGGGCGGCTTGTGGTCCGGGGGAGTGATGCTGTCGTATTGCGGGTTGTACGGCCCGTAGTAGAGCGTCGAGCCGATGTCCTGCGAGATGTTAAAGCTCGGGTCCTGGCAGTTGTTGTCTGGGCACTGAACCAGGCCGATAACGATAGCCACCTCGACAGAAGGGGTGGGCTCGACCTGGACGAACATCATCAGCCGCACATTACGCAGTCAGGAATATGGTCGACAGACCGGCTTGGTAACTTCAACGGTGAAGTTCTGGCCAGGGGACACCGTGTTGTTGGCCAACGAAGTCTGAATGGTGATAGTGGTCTGTGCGAGACAGGTCGCTGCGAGGGCGGCAAATACGGCAAAGTACTTCATGGTGTATTGTAGATGTCCAAGTCCAAGTGCGATGCAGGAGTCTTCTAGACGACGCCGGAGAAGCTCTATTGGCTGTCCATATTTATACTTGTGCCTCCCAGCTACATTGCACGAAACGCGGTCGAAATTGACCGGTGCCACTTCTCGGGGACGCTGGCTCTGTGGGAGCCATGGGGAAGCGAGTAACTGTGGCTTCTGTTGGAATAGCCAGGCGTCATAAACGGCGATTCGTGCTGCTATTACGTTTGAAGTCAGTAAGCGGTGGTTTCACGGTGTGGAAAATGATGGCCTTGAAACGGGTCGAAGCCGCATACACTCCTCACAACGTGACGAAAGCCAAGAACATCTTTCATGGGTCAGCTGAACTTAGAGATCATAAACTATGCGCTTACCAGATCTTAGAGCCTTTACTAGAGCTTGCTCGCGCAGGTGTCGTTCAATATTCGGCAATGTGCTAACCGTGAGATAGAACGGGAGCCTGGCCCACTGGGATCAGTGCGCATCTTTTGATGCACAAAAACATACGGTCACAGCCACCCGCAGGAGGTTTGTCAGGGTTCCGAGAGCCGGTTCGATGATCCACAGCTGTGCTACGGACAATGAATGACGTACGGATATCCCTGATGCAGGTCTCAATGCTTCTGACATCTGTAGAGACCTCGTGGCTGTTGCAGACAATGCGTATTCCCCAAACTCCCATTGCACGCAGAAACTGGCTGCTCAAGATTCAGATCGAAAGTAAAGTAGTTTTGCAACGTGACTATTGATTTTCTTTAGTGTCAGAGGTGCAGAAATGAATAGCCCCCTCGTTCAGAAATTCAGGAGGTGGGCGCTGTCGTTAGTCAATCCTCATGCCACAGACCATAAGCGCCAGTGATCTGTTACCGGCAACGTCCGATGGACCAACTGGTTTGAACCTCGGTTCTATTGTAAAATATCCTGCCTCGGTCTATATGACTCGAAGAGCAGGGCACGGATAAAAAATGTCATAAACCTGCATAATGTGTAATTTACGCGGGTGCTTGCGACATGTGAGTTAGACCATGTAATTCACTTTTAAGTGGAAATAAAGTCAATTTTACCATAAATTATCCTGGCGTTTACGGTGCTTTTGAAATTAGCTGTGTTTAGTGTTATTTGTAATAACTCACAGAGTTTGCGCAAGCCTCTCTGCATGTTCTTTACGCGTTTGACCCAGAGCTTAGACAAACGCGATATAACTTTGTTGGTCGTTCTCGCTCTAGCATATTCTACCTAATAGCTAGGCCATTCCTGGAATATACTGCTAATCAGCACTGCTTTATACGTGTTATAAGCAGTTAACAGCTGATTCCATGACGTTAGGCTTACCCGGGAATATATGCACGATGCGGAATTCGAAATCAACAGTGGGGACGGAATCAGCTGTAATTCACCCGGCCTCTTTGTCCATGCCCTTTCAAGAAACAACTAGTCTCACCACGTCTTCACGGTGCTCTAGACCGTCACTGCTGATCATCTCTACATCTAGGCCTTCGATTGCGGAACCAGCCGTTCCCACTCCGCCTCCGTCAACACACAAGAGGATACTTTACGAGATGTGAGTCCTCGCATGCGCATTGTGGTAGATAGTGCCTTTACGTCACTTCTTCCCAAATAACTGCCGAGGAAGTGCAATGGAGACGTCGCCACGGGGTCTAAGGAGCGTTCGAGCCCTCGTCGACATGAACCAGTTCAGAGAACTGAAAACCCCGCTCTCTCACCGTTCCGACGTTCTGGATATCAGCCACTCGCTACTTGCAATCTTCCCCAGGCTCTACGCTCAGTGGAGCAATTCAATGCTCGTTTACAGACGAACGCTCTGCAGAGAGCGCTCCTAGCAGCTCGTTGCACTCTGGACTCGTCATTCTACCGAGCAATCTCCGCGGAACCTAGTGCGTCCCGCCTATGTCCCCATATATACGAGAAAACAAATTGTGTTCACAGCTCAAATTTCTCCGTGATCGGAGCCCAGGATAGCGACTTTGATTGCAGAGCTGCTCTGGGTGATCGGGCTAGCATATGTGGGCGAGAATGCGACGGCGGCACACCTGGAGATTTGAAAATGTAATCTTCCGTCGCGGATCAGTCGTCGCCCCCACACTGCCTGCCAAAGGGACAACTATGGATATCTTCATGCCATTAGCACCACTGTTCTCTATGCACGGCAGTCGAGGTGTGCGTAAGCGGGCTTCGGGCAGAAATGTGCGGTCCCCGGAGCCAACTATATACTTTGGTAATTTATGGCTGTGGCAATCCTTTGCCAGGTCCAGCCAGGACGAGTCCATGGTCCCGTCTCGAACGTTGATAATTCTGCATCAACCGCGCTTGCGCACGAATATTGACAGGTAGGTCTAACTAGTACGTAATCAACTGGAATAGCTGACGCTAGATGCGGAGCTTGGAGATATGTTGTCAACTATCTGGACGACCGGCGATCTTACTTAGGCTCAGATTCCAGCATCACAACCCCTCGTGATTCGCTAGTACTTCCAGATGTTCGTTCTTTGCTGACATCCTCAACTCCCTATGGCGCGCCGCTTGACGTAGCCTCACACTCTGCATCCTCGTTCAATTGAGTAACCGCGCTAACTGCGGGCAATAAACAGTTGAAATAGTCGAAAGAGATCGACTGGCCCACAATACGGGCTCCCTCCATCTTAGGTCCAGCGAATCCTATATCTGTAAATCAGCAATTCCATGTGTAGCGCCGAAGGAAGAAAACCGCCCATACGATCTCATGCTGAGGTTCCGTGGCCTGCGGCTTACCACAGTTCGCTTGAGCAAGAGAAGGGTGCATTGTGGCAAATTGGACATGGAGGTGGCATCCCGGCACATGAAAGACGACATGCACAGCACCAGTAAACCTTCTCGTGAAGGATTCGCGATTGTTTGACAGATACCTTGCCAATTCCGAAGCCGGTGACGCCTCCTTCGGTAGCTTTACTGCTTGATGTGGTGAGGACATGCCCGCCTGCTGCGTTAGGCATGATTTATCGCTTCTTCCATTCCTCGGCGCGAGGCTGCTGAGACGAGGAAGTTGCTGCCGCCATGAGAACGCCGATAATTGGGCTTGGCCTATTTGAATCGTTCACGCAATTTCTGGCACTACTTAGCATTATGCCCCACGGAACAGATACCGCAGGCTCAGACGCCATCTTAGCCCCATGGCCAGTCACCTGAAGATGTCATGTTTGCGAGTGGAACTTAAGCCCCGCTGCTTCTCCACGCTATGAGGATCAGACCGCCATTGAGAGCTAAGGGCCGTTGCGCGTATCGTGGTCAGGTCAGCTGTGTATGCATCGCATCCCGAATTTGATGAAGTCATCACAATTATGACGTCGGTATGCACCACGGTTGGGCGAAGCTAGGGGGTGCCTCACATTCTGGCCGCTGCCTAGTCCAGCACTTGACCACTTATAACGCACGCACTTTCGACCTGAATAGATTCAACGTAGAAGGTAATGTTCATCCGCGCCTCGAGAAGCTGGGCCGTTCCAGGGCGCGCACTCGTCCGTTCCAGGGCCTCACACTCAATTGGCTAGGGCCCCGCGGGGCCTCTTGCCTCATCCGTGAGTATTCTCAACTCCTGACCTCGACGGTTTCGCAGGGCCTCATCCGGCCCGTCCAGGCATCCAACCCCTCCCGCGGGTACCATATATCCTGCCCGTCCTGCGCTTCAGCCTCCAAATCACCCGCTCAGACTCAAAATCGCAACATGCCCAACCCCAACCGTATTACAGAACGCCTTTTCCAGTCGCCGTCCAAATACATCCAGGGGCCCTCAGCCATTCACAATGCACCGAAGTACCTCGCGGCATTCGGTACCGCCCCTCTGTTGCTCTCCGACGAACTTGTCTACGGAATTGGTAGGTGTTCTCTGTCAGTCTTCATGGTTGTCGTGCTCACAAGGGCGATCTGCAGCCGGGAAGGAGCTCACCACGACACTAGAAGCAGCCAAGTTCAAGGTGACCAGGGGCATCTTCGGTGGAGAAGCTTCAAAAGACGAGATCAACCGCCTCACGAGCCTCAGCAAGTCCCACTCCGTCGACTTCATCGTCGCCCTAGGCGGTGGCAAGACGATTGATACCGCGAAAGCTATCGCGGACGACCTTGGGCTGCAGGTCGCGGTTTTGCCGACGACGGCTTCTACGGACGCACCCTGCTCCGCCCTCTCGGTACTGTACACCCCGAACGGCGAGTTCGAGAACTACCGCTTCTACTCGAAGAACCCGAACACCGTGCTTGTCGACACCAGCGTCGTCGTCAAGGCCCCGTACCGCTTCCTCGCAGCCGGTATTGGCGATGCCATCGCGACGAACCTCGAGGCCAAGTCGGCGCGCAACAGCCCGAACTTCGGCGGCGGGCTGCCCACGGAGGTGTCTGCTGCTATCGGCGCCAAGTGCGAGGAGATTCTGTTCAAATATGGCAAGCAGGCTGTCGAGGCGAACAAGGCGGGGGCAGTAACTCCAGCGTTCGAGGCCGTCGTCGAGGCGAACACCCTTCTATCTGGCCTAGGCTTCGAGTCGGGAGGACTAGCCGCCGCGCATGCCGTGAGTGTCGTTGAGAACGCGATAGCCTTGAAGTCCTGACATCCATGGCTAGATCCACAACGGACTGACAGCTATTCATAGCGAGGCTCTCCATAAGATGATGCACGGCGAAAAGGGTATGTCCTCCTCTCAACACACTCACCTAGACACTGCTGACTCGCCCGCCCGCCCGCCTGCCCCTCAGTCGCCTTCGGCACGGTCTGCCAGCTCGTCCTTGACAACGCATCCTCGTCGGAGATAGACCGCTACCTCGAGCTGATGACCTCCGTCAGCCTCCCCGTGACACTCGCAGAGCTGGGCATCGGCCAGGCGTCGGACGAGGAGCTGCACCGCGTCGCGAAGCTTGCGTGCGCGCCGAACGAGACGATCTGGAACATGGACCGCGTCATCACACCCGAGATCGTCTTCCACGCGATCCGGGGCGCAGACGCGGTGGGCAGGGATTACAAGGCGCGTAAAGGCTTGAAGGCATAGAAGAACCAGGGTAGAAGAGAGGCGTCGTCCAGTGTGATCGTGTACGTTTGCGTCGCAGACCCTAGGATGTTGTATCAAAAGTGGCCCGCTCGAGGTGTATTAGGAGAGAATTTATTGGAGGAAATGCATCGCAAAATCCGGACGTGCAGCTTGTCACTCCAGCTGAAGGTAAGGAGCACGAAACCCTACGAAACCCCACGAAAACGCTTCTTGCCCTCGGCGGTTAATGGTCGGCGGGCCGCCCGGGCCGCAGCTGCAAGGTCTTGGAAAACATAAACATACAAGGAATTTAGGCGGACCGCACCTGATCGTGTTTGTGATCACTCCTTTACTTTCAACCATCTACGCCACACTTGCAGTCTCCAATAGACTATGGCAAATATTATAGATGTTATAATGGACACTCAGCCTGTCAAGGCTGCCCTTGGGAATCATTTTGAAGACCTTGCCTTCCAAATCAAAGGCGTGAAGGATATGCCTGCTGTGGTTGGCACTCTCGAAGTGATTGCATTGCTCCGGCAGCAACACAACGAAGCGGAAAACATGAGAAGGATGCATCATCAGGAGATTATCACTAAACTGGATGCCATCGAGGGCCGGTTGGATGGTATAGTGAACCAGTTGGATGGTGTCGTGGCCTAACTAGGTGATGGCGAGGCTCTATCGAGGACCAGCAGGCCATCACACAGGATGCGTAAGTTTGATTTACTTGAGTACGAAGCCTGTACTGAAACTACATGTTTCCAGAATCGACCGCCTGCCTGTGATTATACTCAATAGACAGCTGTTTCATCTCCGCACTTGGGCATTATCTTCCGCACTTGATGGAGCACTCGTCGAGTTGGAATGAACCCGATTCATATTGTCGCTGTCGTTGTCGTCAATTGGTGTACGGTTTGGGAGGGGCTTGGATACATGTTCATATCCTGCTTTCATGCTAATTGTGTTTATGCAATGTTGCTGTCTAGATCCATAATCTGCGTGGGCCGCACACAAGTCGAACACGGTTCCTCAGCTCTGGGCGGGTGCCGCCGGCGCCGCAAGCTGAGCGTGTGAGCCTCGGGCGACTTGTACGTCCGCGCGCACATTGGACACTGTTATGCGCCGCGCGTCGGAGGTCGTGCCACTGTCACGGTATATGGACTGGTGGTACCGACGCCACATACATTTTACGGTACATACAAGAATGACGGCAACGATGGATGGAGGGATTTGGATGCGACGGGATGGAATGGGGTGTGGCATGGTGCGTGGATGCGCGGAAGCCCGTTGTGATGGGTGTGGGCGGGGGCGCGAGTGCGGTGTGTTGGGCATGGGGGAGAATGATGGAATCTGAGCTATGGACATGGGATGTGCGATGTGCTGTATGATTGCGCATTGAAACGGAACATGATTTGCTGCATTCAGAGCACAGCCGGGAAGGACGACGCGGGTTTGATTGCGGGAACAGCGAGGGTAGAACGACGCACAGAGCGCACGGGTTGAGAGACAGAAGCATACACATTGCGATCAAGCTCATGCTGATTGTCTGTATTCGACGACGCGGCCGGACCGCCCTCACTCTCGCCCTCGCCCTCGTGCTCCGAATCCTCCCACCCCTCCTCTTCTCTCCATTTCTTGGCTGCCAGTGGCATACGCATTGCTGCAAACTGAGCCGCCCTAGTTCCTCGGCTATCAGCCATTTGCCAAATAGCATAAGTAACTCGCTTTAGCTGCATTGCTCCACGATGTGACGACGATATGCGAAGCATACCCGAGGAACTGCGCTATCGATAGAGGGCAACACACGCAGCGCAGTTACACTGCCAACGACGGGCAAGAGATCGCCGCTAGCCTTGGACGTTCGTCGTCTAACGTCGGTGCAATCTGTCTTCGTTACACCTATCTCAAGATATCATGTCTGATCCAGCCTGTTTTTGGCGCGTCGTCATTTGATGCTCCCAGAGCAGGCCCCCGTCCCGTCTACGCTGCTAATCGTTAATGAAGAGAGTACCGGCAGCCTGCATTTTGCGGGCCTTGACAAGGGATTTCGGCATGGATGGAAGCCATATTACTGTGCAGGTATGACTCATTCATTTATCAAGCGGCACTCTGGGTATTCACTGAGTCTATGAGAGGTCGTTCAATTGGCCCATTGAATACGTTGAAATACAATGGGTTTGTGTCACTAGAATGGACGGACCGGCCTAGCATCTGTATATCTTAGTCTTGGCCGAAGCTAGCAGCTCGATGGACAACTTGGGCACGATCATGTCCTCCGACTATCTCGGCATGTGATTGTGGAGAGATGGTGCCGCCCGTGCGGGCCCCTTGGTGGCTGCGAAGCCGAACAGCAGCTTTCACAGTATTCATCGCATTGGCTGCTTTCTCTACGTGTCAAGTAAGCTTCTGTTCCTCCGCCAGGGCTTGGCGACTAGACCTCGAACATCTGACCATCGGCATGTATTCATATTAGGCCACAAATCGCAGGAACGGACAGTAGAATTCTACCGACCAGATGTTTTCAAGTCTCGGCCTGGTAGGAGTGCAGCTATGGCTGCGATGCTGAGCACATCGGTTTCCCGAACATGATGATCTGCACTGATTTCTTCCCGCCTCTGAAATTGAATTTGCGGCTTCTATGACGCCCGTTCGCCGCAGTCGTGTAGCGATGGATCCTAGGGCCTCTTCCGCTTATATATACCTCGTTGTGAATGTACGGATCCACCCTATCAATCAGCCCCCGATGTCTTCCTCCCCCACTGTTTTCTTTCCTTCCCCCATCGGGGGCGTTCCTTTCACTATCGACTTGGCCCCCTCCGTATTATTCGCTCTCCTCTATGCCGCGCTGGCGCCCCTCGTTATCTATCGCGTGGCGTCTGCTAAGTCCCGCACCATAATCCTGGCCGGGACCTTCATTTTCAGCTTACAACGGTATGTTCTTCCTCTCATGCGCAGGATGCATGTACATGTCTAATCGTGGAGGTATTAGCATTGCGGACATGGCACTCCGAGCGCAGGAAGCTCATGTGCCCAGTGACCGCACGTCGAATAGTAACATCAAGTACCTGCAGACGACGTACGCGACCGGGTTTATTGGGATGGGCCACGGGCTCCTGGAAATGCTCCGCTGTTTGCTCATGAGTGCTACAAAGGGGACACCACCCTCAGAGACCTCCGCCACCTGCCCTAATGACATCGAATTGCAGCGGCCCCCGATCGGCGAGTCCACCAATACCAGCCCCAGCAAAATGGGCAGCAAGGACAACGTGGGGGTCGTTTATACCCCCGTAGATTCCATGCGTAGCAGGTCTTTCAGCTTCACACCTATTCCAGCGACTACTGCGCTCTTCCCGCCTACCCGCGAAGACCAGCCCGGCCGGCGCAAACGGATCCAAACCATTGCCTCCCTCACGCTCATCCCATTCGGCATATCGATCCTTATGGCCATCATTGCGGGAAACAACTACTACAAGTCGTTCACGTCCGCTTCGGAGGGGCACACGGTTGGCCTTGTCAGGTGCTACCTCCTCTTCATTCCATGTGTACTACCATGGGGCTAATGATAGTTGTGCAGGGCTGCGAGCACCAGTCTTGCCCTGATCCTGTTCCAGGCAACAAATATCACCGCGTTCACCTGTATGGTGACGGATCGGCGCGTCTCTCGGGGCCGCGCGCTCTACATATGCGCACTCACCTGCCTTCTTGTGCGTTACCGCCTCGCAGTCCACGTTTCCTCGCGCTCATACTGACTCTATTTCTGATCTCGGCTACTTTCCATAGTCTGTTGTAGGCGTGTACCGGCTCGTTGTAATGCGCTGCACGACGGACGCGTTGGAATCGGCCGCGCCTTGTTCGCTGAACAGCACTGCGGCCAAGGCAGCGTTCTACGTGTTTCATATGGCGCCCGAGTACCTCACTGCGGTGGCGATCTGGGGTGTCAACATACGGGCGACGTTCCAGACTGGGACGTGGGGTAAGGTATAAAGTGTCTGTGTGGATCTATCACATCGCTCGCCGGCGCTATCGTCGTCGTAAGATTCGTTGGAGGACGCTGGTGACGCTCCATAGCTGTGTCATACTTACTTATGAAAATGGCCCACGGACTTTATCGGAACGTGACTTATCATGCCTTTGCTATCGGAGAGGCTTTGATTTTATGCGCCGTCATTACGAATTTCTCTTGGGTGGGCAGCATACCTCAATGCGGCAGCGAAGTGTGCACGCGTCTTCACGCTACAGGTCAGTTTGCAGCATGCAAGGGCCACGCAGGTATGTCACATCTCGAGTTCCCTGCCGCTAGCATTCAAGCTCACCATGAGACTAGCGTTCTCCATAGTGTTGCGCGTGTCCTATTAGTCCCTATATTTCACTAAGGATTCGCGCCGTTTCTGATGAGCATCGAGAACGCAGCAGTAAACCGAGAGACAAATGCCGTGCATCCCCTTGATGTTCCCATTCAAGAGTGTCGCTATTCAGCTCATCGTAGGGCTCCTTCGTACCATGGCTAGTGAAGCTTCCAGACGTGTGCCAGTGCAAAGCGCTAGCGGTTGGATTCTTCACACAGAGCTCAAGGCACACTCAAAGCGGAATACACTCTGTAGCTTCCCCGCCCAGTCGTTATGGTATGTGAGTGGCACAGCCGCCACCCGTAATCCCATGGCCGATCCGTGCGATGCTGTACCCGGGCCACTCTCGCGTACATCCATGTTCTATGCCACATCGCATCCTGTCCCCTGACCGTCCATTAATTATCATCATACACGTATGTGGCATATATATGTGCACCGCTTGATGCAACATCAGTATCTCCGCTCAGCTACTCATGGTGTGGGAGCCACGCCGACTCATGCTAAGGGAGCGCGATGAGAGGCCTGATCGCTCGCAAGGCAGGACTCGTCATGCATCATACGTGCTGCGTGCATGTCGTGGGTGTGTTCAATAAACCTAGATATTGCTCGTATAACGCTCAGGCTATTCGACCCGTGCACGGGATACGCGGACGGCGAATTCATGTAACCTACGACGCATAGGACTTTACAACTGAAAACGTAAATGACGAGACCCCAACATGGAACTGGGCCGTTATGTATACACACAGAGTGGACGACATCAAGACAAAGATTCCAATCAAGGCTAACCTACATCTCATCTTCTTCAGGTATGCAAGCATCACCCAGTATTCCAAAGAACTCGTAAATTTGCTGCTTGCGGCGAATAGGCGTGACATCTCTTTGTAAAGGCGACAATTGGAGGAGTTCAGCCACCTCATCGATAGATTCAGCTGAGGAGCGTGCATCAATTGATATCATGTAGGTACATAAGCAGTCGGGACGTACCTGTCCGGACTTCTTCTTAGCCCAGGCAGGAATCTGATCGTTCGGCACATTGGCGGGGTAGAACAAAGGGGTAGCGCAGTTCATGGTAAGATTCGCAACATACAGAGGCAGTCGATCTTTACTGCAAGGATGTTCCAACACAGACATCGACCTTGAAGTAAACATACAACTCACAATTCCTGAAAATCATCCTGCAGCGTCTGAATCTGCCTTATCTTCGTCTCAACAGTGTCCAATCGAGTCTTGACAACCTGCAATTCAGCCATAAGTTCATTATGCTGTCACGTTCTCTCTCCTTCCGAATGCTGAAAGCGTGCAAATAGTTCATGCAAGTCAATACTTTGCGCGTTCGCCATGGTTTGCAGTGGACTGTGTTGAAGAGTATGCAAATGTGGCGTGGTGGTTGAAGTTAGTGATGTTCACAATCGGGCTTTGAGGCCCAAGCCCGCCGAACCCTGCTTAACTGAGGCGCATATAGCTCAACACAAGTCCTCGAAAGACCCTCAAGGGGCTACAGAGCCTAGTATGCAGGCCTGTATTGAATATGAAGCCAGTCCCGGTGGCCAAAAGTGCGGCCCAAAGTAGGGCTTTGGGCCCGAGCCGGGCCCTGAACAACACTAGTTGAAGTACTTAACGAGTATGTCGGACATTTCCGAGGCCCAATGAGGCCCTATTCAAACACCGTTGATAGCTGTTGCGTCACATTGTGATCGGTCTGGATCATTGGAATGGAGGACTGTAAATTGCAACGCTTTGCTTCCGGCTTATAGCGCACCAGCTTTGTATAATGTTGAAACGCGCTGACCCGCGTGGTCAGGAACGACCTCGCAAGCTCGGGCGCGCGAGTAGCCGGGGGCCGGAGGCCCCTATCGTAGTATATAACGACCCCGCGCGATGTACGTACCGCACGCGATTGTCCCTGACGGGCATCGCTACGCCCGTGGACAAACGCGCCCCCGCGCCGTTCGCACCGTTGTTCCAACATATAATACATACGATGTTCAGAGACCAAACATGTTGTGTACTAAATTTGAAAGCTTCAAGAGCTTCGATCTCCAAGGCAGGCGACCAGTAGCCAGTCCAACGGACGAGATAACGCCAGCTGCGTCGGACACATCTATGGTCGAGAATGCAGTCGGCCAACCACTTCTGTTCCTCATCATAAGGCTTAGATCGTGGTGGCTCGCGCGACCGAAACATTGACACATCGTTAGTCATGAGTCATGAAAGGGAGCAGTACATAACGAAGCAAATATTGGAGTCAAAATCACTCGTTGTTTGTAGACCAAGGTGCTTCATCTGCTGCCTGCACGAAGAACTAGCGTTCTATGTGGCCTACCAATATTTTACGTAGCCTAGATGTTGTTCAAAACGCGATTATACATGGTCTTGCTATGGACACTGCAGGAATAAACGAGTATGAAAGCGACCTTGCGCTTCAAGCACCTCAGAACACGATCAAGAAAACCGGCCTGATTGCGTCATTCTCGTAAACGATAGTTTCGTTCAGCTGGCCGTTCATCCTATCAAAGACGACCTGTCATCGTGTCAGAGGCACGCCAATTAGCGTCTCCATGATTTATCATCACACACAAAGGGATATAGACGTACGGAATTGTAGCCCGAAGGGAGAGACATGACTTGATTGAAGGCAGTGACGTTATAGACGCGTCCGAGGACGACTTTATTGAGAATCATGACACCAGTGCCATTCGAGCTGTAACTCCATGCCCTATATGATGATGGTCATTCAGAATAGACGCGGATAGTCTTATGTCCATGTACGAACTTGTTCGACGCAGAGGACGTATATATACCTGCTCCAAAGCTGTTAAACAGGAAGACGAGGGGTCAGCAACGATATCGTCATCAGGGATGTCGGATAAAACGCACGCTCCGCTTGGGTTCGCAAGGGTCACATTGAACGAAGTCTTCAAGATATTGCATACTGCACATTTAGGCGAGTTACACAGCTTCGTGTGGCCCGTGTTCCCCAATTGACACACGCGTGTGGTACCGTGATAGCGGAAGCGTTCATTGTGGACTCTCTTTCTGTATTTGTCATTGAAAGAGTTAGGACTGTACTGGGTGCGCTCTGGGGAGCTTGTAGATTTGCAACAATACGCACCGGTAAGCGTCGTACGGCTTAGTGAACGTTGCGCTCTCGACGATCTTGTACACGTGCTTTATGGTTGGCTTGGCGACATTATTGGGCGACTTCCAAGCGTTGTCGAACTTCGCCCGGACTATAGGATCAACCTGTCAGCTCGCGTATGTCGGAGTGCGCTAGACATAAGTGCGCACCCATCTTCCATGTGACATGGCCCTGAGGAATCTCCATGATCCTTGGTGTTGTTTTCAATGCCAGTTTCTTGCACGTCCGCCCGCAAAAGTGATACTTCCCAAGCTTGGGACGGCAACGGCACATTAGGCAGGCTACGCGCGACCGGTCGCGGCACGTTCGCCCGCACTGGTTGTGAGGCCTAAGCTTCGGTCGGCGGTGGCAATACTAATGTGTAAATGTACGGTTAATGGAATGCGCCAGATGTAGTCGCAGACTGGTATGCTCACATTGCATTTCGTATTGTCGCCCCCGCCAGAACAGAGAGTAATGAGACAGGTCATGCCGCAGGTTAGATATGCAACAGAGCCACGACGATAACACGGCCGGCGATGACATATCTTGGCAGTCCATGAGCAACGCCACCAATTGTGTTTGATAGCAGTCACCCTGTCGGAAATGACTTACGACGCATAGACGAGTAGTACCACCGCTACCGTGACCACCCCCCGTGGCGATCTTGTATTTTCCAGCACAGGTGAGGCCGCATGTAGGGTAGTTCTTCCCGTTCTTATGATACGAAGGGCGGATACCACATATCTGAATTGATACATCAGCTCTTCCCGAGCTGTTCCACAGAACACTCAGATGAGAGGGCTACGCACCACGCATAGACGAGTGAATCTGCCAGCCTTGTAAATCCCTGCACAGGTATTGCCGCATGTCGGATAGCTTTTCCCTCCATGGTTGTATGCCGGCTTCTTACCGCAGACCTTATAATTAACCAGATCAGCACAGCCATGCGTGTCTGAGCTGATCGAGGACGAACCACACAGAGAATCACGATAGTAGCTGTATTGTTGCTGCTCCGGCCACCGCCTCCACCACTGCCATTAGGTTTGTACTTAGCCGCACAAGTCATTCCGCAGGTGGGGTAGCTCTTCCCATTCTGGCTATATGCAGGACGAATACCACAGACCTATGTGCGGGAGATAAGGTACACTTCGTACATTAGATTGTGGAATAAACTTACGGCACACATCCGTTGTCCGCCACGGTTCTGCGGCTTAGCCATAGCGCGACTGACGGGTGCCGTCGCGGCTAAGTTCATAGAGCGATTGACGGGTGCAGCCGCGGCGATGTTTGCTGTAGCGAATTGTTTGCTCAACTTGTCCACATCGCTGCCGTCGCTATAGGCCGTGGCATCATCGTCGTTTCCATCGCCGAAATCACTCCCGTCATCGGTGTCGCCATCGCCGTCGGAAGCCATACTGTCGAACCCACTGTCAAGGTCGTCATCGGGCCCTCCGTTGTCATCGTCGGACCATTGGCCATTGTCAGACGGATCGTCGTCGTCGAACTGATCATCTGAGTCGGGGGTGTCAGAATACGGGGGCGACATTATGTAGCACTTAAGGGGAATGAATAGCTAGAAGTCTGTAAAATGACCATCATTTATACGCGGAGGCAGGCGCCAAATCGTAGGATTTCATGCTTGCTACGGGATGTCCTCAATAGGATAGGTACTTGATGTTCTCTGATATGAATCGAGCGTGATAGGAGATCGCTGGGTGGTGATTCCACGCCAAAACAGGCTGTGACGGGGAGATATAATCTCCGCCTCGAAATGAAGGAAGCCGTCCCGCAGCGAGCCAAGGGGACATGAGGAGAAGCCAACGTGGGGACATGCAGACAATCATGTGCGTGGAGGGAGGTAGCATGAGGCATGGCACGTACTTCCATGAAGTCGGTTTGTCAAGATATGATCGGCAACAGGAGTCTCCGCTGACAGTCCAAAGCTACTGTGCAGCGCCTCAGTGATTAGAACTTACGGGGATTTGCCGTTCAGGAACATGGTGACCACAGACACGTTCCTTGCTTCCATTCCGCCCTCGCTTGCTGAATTGTTATCAATGTCATCCAAGACATGGAAGATCAATCCACATTCAGTAGGTAGCGATGTTGGCGAGGGCTCAGTACTACTATGGGCGACCTTGACAAGTAGCACGGTCTGGGGCGCTAAATGGTGAGAAATGGTCAATAGCTATCATGTATTTACATGCATAAGCGCAGACATACGTGGTAGACACGAGGGGTTCGGGGCATGATGGGTAACAGAACGCAAGGACGGATGCAAAATGTGCGTGCTTCCATATTGGGAAGTCCAATTAAACTCGCTGGCGTTCGAGGACTAACGCCTGCATCTTGATCTTGATCTTGCTGTGCTAAGGTGCCTGGACAGTGGCCTCATTTTGGCACGGATGCATCTGGCGGTACGAAGAACAGTCATAGTAGCGGCCCACAAGAATAAATTGTTCAATTTCCGACAAAAGTCTCGCGGACCAATTGCCCACAGCCAGAAACGTGTCAATAACATTGTTATACGATCAAAAGAACAAAGCCTCGAGGTCCCTGTAATCGATTCCTTGTAGTATCTCCTTTCGGAAATGGAAATGAGCCAGGGTCCACCTGCCCACACTGTACAAGGCCGCTCACGCGTCAAGCGGTTCAATCGACATCTCTCCGCACGCCGTGCTCGACATTGCCACAGACCCCAGCTGGCAGACTGTGACGCCTTTATCTAAAGACAATTCGCTATACAGAGACCAGCCGTAGCCGCCACCTTGATTCCACTGTTGGGATATCTGGGCCGACTATTTTTTTCAGGTAACATTTCGTCCTGGCTATCACTCCACCGGGGTAGTTTATATAAGGGCCATATCATGAATCCTGCGCGCTCTCGCTACTTATCCACTCCGGTGAACATTTCCTTCACACCCCCGATGGCAGATCTAGTCCGCGACCACGACATCGTCCTCACCGACAGCGATTATTACACCGCCAACGAAGTCGACGACAGTATACCATCCAGTGACAGTTCAGACGAGGAGACAGTCCGCGAGCCAAATCGTCTTACGGGCCACATCCCGATCCAGCCCCAGCCGACCGAGATGCCTTCGCGTGGCGGATCCAAGCCTCGGATGTGTGTCGTACGTAATAAGTTATAAGTCTACGAATAACTAGATATGAGACTCGCCGCTAGGTGTGCGGCGTTCGTCCGCAGTACAACAACGGTGTCAAGTCCTATCCGACCTGCGGTCTATCTTGCGCAGCTAAGCTAGACAGGAGCAGGAGTGGGAAAGGAAGCGGTTCAGACAACTTGTGTGTTGTGAGTGTTCGCGATCGCGATGCGTTCTCCGACTGTGCACACACCAAGAGACGATAATCACTCAAATTGTCTTGGCTACAGGTATGCCATACCCGTCCGAAGTATTCCAGGGGCGGGAAGTCCTACCCAACGTGTGGACTGACCTGCGCTGCCAAGTTGAATCCGCCGAACCCCCGCGGCGGCACAGCCGAGATGTGTGATGTAATCACCTTCCCCCGCTAAGCTTGTTACTCCGTCTCACTCATTGTCTTCTTACGAAAATAGTACTGTCATAAAAGACCCAAATTCTTCGACGGCCACAAACTTTACCCGCAATGCGGGCGGACGTGCCGAGACAGAGCGCGCGCGGCACGCTCGCGCTCCGGCAACAACAATCGTAGCAATAGTGAGCGGCAATAATACCCTGCGACATGTTCCTGTCTGACCGCACACGCAGATCCAGGTGCTTCAATGCCGGTTCCGGGAAACAACTCCTCGTGTCTTATGTGCTGGAAGGCGCCGAGGCGGGGGAGCTCCCATTTTTGCGGGCGCAGCTGTGCTAATGCGGCCGAACACCGCGCGCCGTTGCTCCTGGAAGCTCCCTGCGGACATATTACGTTCCAAGAGGGTGAGTCGTAGGCATCGCGGTTTTCGAGTTCTGACTTTGATATGGGTCCTTTCAACCGACTCAGTCGCCAATAAATTCAAGAACTCGTGGAAGAGCGGAGGCACGCCGTGCCCCGAAGTGAAGAAGGTGTACAAGATTGTGCAGAGGCCGATGTATGCCACGAATTACAAGACTTATCAGTGCGTCATGCCATCACCGTACTAACATTATTGACCTTAGACATCTACCGATTGTCAGATCGCGAGTAGGGAACGAGCTCCGCCGGTGGCACGGTACGAAGCGTGAGTGTACTATTGGCAACGGCGGTAACGCCACTCCGTGCACGTCGCGCACCTGCTCCTTGTGCTACATCCTGCGTTCCACGGTCGACGCCGCGCAGTACCCAGGGGGATTGATCCACTCGTCGTCCACGTCAGACAAGTGCGCTTTCTTCCCTGAAACCGTCCGCATGTGATATAACGCAATGACGATGCACAGATCGGACCAATACTCGGACAGTCCGAACCAATACCCCTCCAAGGCTATGCTTCTGACCAAGGTCGCGGCGGGGAAATCGGCACAGTTGAGCCGTAGTCAGCTTTCGCAGGGTGTTCCTGCTGGATACAATTCCGTAGGCACCCGGTTTCGCTAGTCACGTTAGACTGTCCCGTCCTAATTTAATTGCTCTGATGATAGGTCCAAGTGATCAGCTCGCGCTCGAGTTCAAAGGTGGACGACTTGGTTGTGAATACGGGAGAGGCCGTACAGCCGTCCTACCTTGTCATTTATGGGTGAAAATCTCGCTGTCTGTACGTCTATATTTTGGTCGTGGCTGGAAGCATTGCGATGTAACGAATTCTTGTACGCTCTATTGTGGCAGCATACTAGCTGTAGCCAATGCTCTTGTAATTGAACTGACATCTTCATCTACGATGACCATGGGATTGTATACTTAGTCTGTGATATGATACTAATGCGAGTCTGGTGGAGAGTCGTTGTGTATGGCCCTTGTTGTTACCCATGCTGGTTCCATCTGATCGAGGGCCATGACGCAATTTCAAGTCATCATCATCATTCTGGACTGGGTTTCGAAAGTAAATCTGAAGCTGAAGCTATAGTGCTGAAGGTCTCTGGTCTAGCCTGCTTGTGCAATGGTCAGACCGGGAGACGGCTCCCATCCTGTTTCAGGAAGTGGCTTTCCCTTTTCGGACTCTTCTATTTATGATCAATCGCTCTTCGTTTTTCTTCTGTCTATCTGAGTACAACCGCCTATGTCATGATGTGTTCTTGAGGCGACAACAATTCTTTATTCTTGCGGGCCTTTGCTCATATAAGCCAACCTCGACGTCGAGCCATTCGAGTTCTCGAGGATCAGTGTGGACGGACGACATGTGTGTCGCACGTACATGGTAAGCTGTCATTATATTCTCGTGTTCTCATAGAAGGGACTGAGCGTCGAGCGCTTGTATTTCGTGTCGTGGCGTTCGAGTGGTCTTACCAGCAGCGGAGAGTGTTCCTTCGCGCATATATCGACTTCGCCCACACCATAAAAATTTGGAGACTGCGGGCTTACAATCTAAGACAATCGTTGCCAGAAGTTATGAGTACAATATACATGGAATACAGTTGATCCGTCAAGTCCGTGGTGGCCTAAGGTAGGCCCCCGTCTGACTCAAAAGCTCGCTGTTGGGGATCCCGCTCCTCGCCCTCCTTGGGACCGAGCTTTAAACGCGGCTTCAAACTCGGCGAACGTCCTCTCCCCGGTGATGGCGAACATCACGCGCTCGAACGAGCTCCCGAACCTCGCGCCGGGGACAGAAAGTAAATCTGCCCATGTCTTCGCAATAAACGACACGTTATTGCGGAACACACCCGTACCGAAGCTGCCCAACACGATGTCCTTCACGCCCTCCTTCTCGAACAGGTACAGCACGCGCCCCATGCGCTCCTTCATCTCGCGCTCGATCTTGTCCTCCACGCTCGCATGGCGCCCAGCGGATGACTGGCGCACCTCGCCGGCGTTGACCGCTGCGCATGTAAGCACGTCCGCATCGAAGGGCTCTGTCCACGCGCCACTGTCATCGCGAAAGACGACGACGCCGGGCGAGTAGACGATCGCGTGCGTGTAGAAGCCCTGGCGGGCGTCGCGCGAGTGCACCTGGTAGAATTGCTGCGCAGTGTGCGTGAGGAGCGTGGGGTAGAGCGTGGATGCACGCGCGATGGACTCCTCCTGCGCCTGCGCGCCGTTGATGAACCCGCCGCCGGGCTTCGTCGCGGACGCAAAGTTGAGGATGCCGATCTTGGTGCGCTCGTCGGCATTATTCTTGTGAATGTTGCTGAGCAGGCGCGCGCAGTCCAGCGTGGAGATCTGGAGGATCGTCGTCTCGGTTGTGGCGGTGCCCGTGGGGGTTCGAGGCGCGAAATAGGATGAGAAGAACCCCGTACCGGACGACCAGTTGGATAGTGTCGTGGAGTCTGGTGAGTAGTAACGGGTGTTGGCGTTTGAGGCTTCAATCTTCCGTGTCAGACTGTGCTTGCGACCTCCCGGGGTGGAATAGGACCCAGATTGGAGGGCACTGAGTGTTTCGCTGGCTAATTGCCGAAGAGCTGCACGCTTATTGTCATCGAACGCAGGGAAAGACATGGGGGGTATTGGGGAGCGACGACAAGAGGGTCCGAGATGCAGAGACAAGCGCTAGCAGACAATTGCCGGAGGGCAGGCTGTAGATGGGCTGCGGCACGAGTATCGATGGTTCATGTGCCTGGCAGCTTCCATGCATTGTTGTGAGACTGTACCTGGAACGCTTGAGCACCTGAACGTGTAGACTGACCACTCCCAGATCCGCTCTTTGAACAAGCGCTCTGCCCCATTTCGATTTCCGGATCAGAGATTTCCGACACATCCAAAAAAGGCAGGTGAACTCCTTCACACGTACTATTATCATCGCAGAGCGATGTATCTACAGTTGCGCAGCCGGCCAACTCTCTGACAGAAGATCATGAGAACAACGCTAGCTTTACGGGGAACCGCCTCATCGACGCCGTGCGAGAGAACGTATGCTACCGGTTGGCCCAAGGCTCGGAGATGGAGAAATTGTCGGACATGTGTACTGCCGACGGTGTACGGCAGTGTAAAACCATGCCATCATGCCTAAGTGGTCTCGCTGTTCATTCTCGGAGACCACTAGACAGATGGTCGACAGCCCATCAATGGCGGTTCCCAGCCAGCGCCTCCGCTAGTTGCGACTCATTGCAGCCTCGTGTATGTGCAGAGGAGACATTGTTCGAAATCTCAATGTTTCTTTGTGACATTGTCGCTACCCGCACCCTCCGCTGACGCGATTTAAATTGCGGAGGGGCTATGGACAAATTTCAGCACTTGACGTCGTCCAACTTCCGCTTTATTAGCAACATCTCGAAACTTGCACCATGTCTGTGGTGAGTGTGCACTCTTGTGCCTTCGTATTTTCTGTCGCTGACCTCTTACATCAGAGCTTACTGTACCTGAAGCCCAACGACCAGTTCACTCGCAACAGTGAGCCCCTTTGCTGTAGTAGCACCCCTCAATGTGCTCTGACTTCATTTGTGATGTAGTCGAGAATCAATTCTACTCATCGTGGCAGCATCCTAATACTAGGACCCCGAAGATCAAGCACATTTTTTACCTTCTTCACCAGAGTCCGCATTCTCGTGGACATCTTCAACGCAACCGAGCTTACATGTACGTTGTCTGACTTGTGCCTGGTTTACATTTGCTTTTGCTGAACAGGATGTTCCAGGCAACGGCATGGTAATGAACAGATGCTTTTCCACGGCACCCTTCGTACATGCCAGATTGGGGACACGCCTGGGAGCTTGTATCCTTGTAACCGTTCTGACTGCAAACTCTGCGCCATCTTGCGCTGTTCCTTCGACCCGAATAAATCTCGTATGTTGACGCATCAGAGTGTACATTTAGTTTCTGACCATGCTTCGTTTCCAGACGATGGAATGTTTGGCCACGGCGTGTACACCACTCCCGTTTCCTCGAGTAAGCAGACCCGCAGCTTCCTTAAAGTCGATCGTTCTATTGTATATCACTTCCTTAGAAGCAGAGATATATGCCAAGAGCCCCAACTCGCACTACAAAGCGATGTTATATGCGAACGTCACTATCGGCCGGACAAAGACGTTATATCAAGCAGCACATGGCCTATGGCAAGCTCCGGACGGCTGTGATTCTGTAAGTAATCTGGTATCGCTCCGCAACGCGCGACCTCTTTCCTAAGCCCATTTCACCTAGGTGACTGCGGCGACATTCTCGCAGGGTGGTGCCGTACACTATCCTGAGATGATAGTATACCGTGAAGACGCCATCTGTGTCAACTCTCTGATTATATACGAACCTTGATTCTGGTCCGAACGAGCTGGAGGGTCAAACTCGTCGTCGCTTGAGGCCGCTATGGTGTTTGATTTTTGTACTCGTACTGCCTCGTATATGTACAGCAGTAATTGTGGTTCTCGTATCGATAAATATGATCGTGGGAGGCAGAATCATATAATCACTTGTCAGATCAAACTTTGCAATTGACATCGCAGTGTCGAGGCCGTTATTCAAGCTGTACAGCCTTACTTCCGGGGGAAAGGCTGCAGTCTCACACTTCGCCTTATCGATAAGAGCTGGCGATTGATCGTCTGGAACGAATTCAGCACCTGCCAAGATCCACTTGCAGTTCACCGCCGTTCTCCTCGTGTCTGCGCCATTGACCAGTCGTTCTCACAGCAAACGCCGCATTTACTCCGTCGGCAGACATGGGCTGGCAAATGTACCGTAAAGCTGGATATTGGCGTTTTGCGAGACCCGAGCTGATTGCTTGAACCACATCGAGCAGAAATCAAGTGGTAGTAGGCAATCTGCCGAGTTATAAGATACCTGCTATCTTGTGTATGTTTCGAATTGGCTGTCTTGTTTCTGCATTAGGCTGTTAAATTCGGCAATACTTATCTGGATTCCATTCTGACACGGTATATATGTTACAATTCGCCGAAGGTATGATCGTACAGGACATGTGCAAATCGCTCATGAACAATAGCGCGCAAAGAGGTTAGCCACGACAGGCCCATCTTGGACGCATTAGAACACAAGCAAGAATACCGGTCTGATTGCATCGTTATGATATACGATGGTCTCGTTCAGCCTCCCATTATCCCTGTCGAAGACAACCTATTGTTGTGCGGACAAGCCCCGTAGTTAGTGCTCAGCATCGTTTTCGTTTTCGCAGGCCGAGCACAGACGTACGGAGTTATAGCCCGCAGGAAGGGACGTCACCTCCCTGAAGTTCGATGCATTGTAGACGCGACCGAGGGCGACCTTGTTGAGGAGTATGGCGCCACCAGGCTGGCTGTAATTGTACTCGCCCCGCTTGCTGGTATCACGGCGGAACCGGTAGCTGTATGCCCTGGAACAGACGGAACATAAGCATCAGAATCAATGATACTATGTCCGTGCACGAACTTGTTCGCGGCGGAGGACGTATATATCGCCGCTCCGAAGCTGTTCGATGATGACAAAGGATCCAGATTAGCATCAATGGCCCGACGAATATTGAACAGGGCGCACCCTCCTTCCGGACTACCGAGGTTCGTGTTGAATGATGTCTTGAGGATATTGCACAGTGGACAGCTGCGCGAGCTACACAACGTCGTCCTCCCCGTGTTACCTAGCTGACAATCCCGTGGCATTCCGTGATAGCAGAAACGCTCGTTACCGACTTTCTTCCTATTACAATGAACCACAGACCATGAGGGATACACGGGATATGCTGCGAGGAATTGCACACACTTGTAAGTATCGTAAGGCTTGAGAAAAACTGAGCTCTCCACAATCTTGTAGACATGCTTAATCTGCGGCACAGGCTCGCCCATGGTCGGTTTCCAGGCCTTTTTGAACTTTGTCGCAACTACGCAGAGATACAACGCAATGGTGCTGTCAGTCCACACACGTTTCAAGCTTGCGCTGAAACGAGAGACGCACCCATATCCCATGTGTCATGATTCTGAGGCACTTCTAAGATCTTCGGGGCTGTCTCCATTGCCAGTTTTTTGCATGCCCGCCCACAGAAGTGGTACTTGCCGAGCTTCGGTCGACACCGGCACATTAGGCATGCGACACGCGACCGGCTGCGGCATGTCGGCCCACAATGGTCGGAGGACGTGAGCTTCGGCTTGCGGTGGCAGTACTGTTGCGCAAAATCAGAGTCAGCAAACCACTCCGAAGAACATTCGTGTCAGTTGCTCACGCTGCACTTCAAACGGTCTCCGCCGCCAGAACAGAGACTCTTAAGGCATGCCATACCGCAAGTGAGAAAGATATCAGGCCCCCTGCGGAAGCATAGGCGATCATTGCAGATCTGCGAATCAGTGGCAAGCCGTCAGTCCTATATTATCGTACATCTCATCGAGACACGCACAACGCATGTCCGAGTAGAAGTCCCATCCCTAGTCTGAACTTGACCGTTGCCCTTAGCGATTTCGTACCGTCCAGCACAGGTGAGGCCGCAAGTGGGGTAGCTCTTTCCATTCTTACGATATGCGGGACGAGCACCACAGATCTGAATGAGAACATCGGTTGTCATCGAAGCTGTCCATGTTTGCGCATAACCGGTCAGACGCTACGCACCACACATAAAGGGGTAAAATTTCCGGTCTTGTATACTCCAGTGCAGGTCAGGCCGCAGGTAAAACAATGCTTGCCTTCTTTGATATATGCGGGCTTCTTGCCACAAACCTTCCAGTAATTTATGTTAGCTAAATGTTGGTGATTGCTCGATTCATGTACGTACCACACAAAGGATGTTGATCACGTCCGGTGTAGGGTCACGGCCGTTCGGAACACGGCTACCTCCAGACTGATACTCAGCAGCACACGTTAGTCCACAGGTAGAATATGTCTTTCCATCCCTGTTGTACGCAGGTCGGATGCCGCAGACCTATTGCGGAGACGTCAGATATCTCTACTGCTTGTAGGTATAGATCAGACTCACAATGCACATAGGGGTCTGACCAGCGCGGCTCTGGGGCTGAGCCAATGCGCGGCTCATAGATCGAGGCGCCGCGGAGGCGAAACTAGCGGCAGCAAATCGACTGCTGAGCTGGTGGATATCAGTGTCATCATTGAAATCCGAGGCATTGTCAGGGTATCCGTCGCCATAATCGCTCTCGTAGTCAGGATATCCATCTCCATCGCGAAAACTGCTCCCATGGGCGCTGCCGGAGTACCCGTCACTGAAGACATTGTCGAAGCGTCCGCTGCTAAACCCGTGGGCATATCCGTCATCGGTGGCTCCGTCATCGTCTGAGGCCATACTATCAAAATCGCTGTCGTCATCATCGTATCTGTTGGACGTATATCGCCCCTCGTTGTCGGTATCGAGGCCCGAGCTGTCGAAATCGAACGGATTCCCGTAGGAGGTAGAGTCATCGTAGCCTGAGTAATAAGGGGGCATTGCAACACACTTGCGAAAATCTGGAGAGTGATGAAGAGGGCTAGTCGGTGCTAGCAGTTTATTGTGAGCCTTGAGCCGAGGGCCTTGAGTCTCAGAATCCGTTGATATATCCACTGTCAGAATGTATCTCCATGAAGAGATGTTTCCAGAATACTTGAGTTATAAATCTAGTGTCCTAGAACGGCATCAACGGGGAGATGCAATCGCCGGTGAGGGATGCTGTTAGCAGCAAGCCAACAATACATTAGAGACCACTCATGTGCGCCGCATGCGAAGTAATTAGACGGTGAAGGAAGGCCTTGAGGCTCGTGCACGCAGCGAAATGGCGTAGGCGCCCGTGACAATCCTTTGGCGCCGTTCTCACAGCTCGATTCAGTCACAAAGCTTGACCTCAAATTTATGCGGGTCTTTCCCGGACTCCTCGCTGAGACCGACATCACCTATACACGTGCATCACTAGCATTGCGCTAAGTATCTGCTAGCACAACTGTGAATTCTCACTTACGTGACATATCAGCTATCAGTGCGTGGTATAATGACACTCGCACGCAGCAAATCCCGGCTCTACTTCTCCGATATTTATTACGTATGATAGAATATCGGTAAAGCTCAATGTCAACGATGAGCTCGATGCGCCGCAGCATCGACGCGATACATCAGCGTGCCAAGTTTCGAGAGCCTATCCTCGCTAGGGCAATGCACGCTTCTGCGTGTCAAAGTTGAATCATCAGAGGTGAGCTTTTGTGGAATCTTCTGAAGCCCGGGCAAGGCGGGTTATCTGAACACATAAAATGCTTGCCTAATCCCAACGCCCAGCAATACGTCCACACGTCCACATAAGGATGCCCACGTCTTCGCTGGTGTCGAACCTTTGCGTCAGAGGGAGTGCCCCAAGTATCATCTGACTCGCAAACGGCGTGTTTCCCGATGCATCTGAGAAACGGCACATGTGGCGGCGAACCACATCTCACGTTCTGCTTCCCTGCCGCTGAGCTCGTGCCTCTACACGCCAGGTTCTCATGTCAAACAGCTCCTGACATGAGATGTGATCCTAGAACGTATCTTCACCGTAATCAAAAATCCTCTGTATTCCTTGTCCGTGAATGTGAAGCGAGGCATCTCCCTATCACTATCATGGTCGCTGACGGACTGATATTGGCCGTAGAAGACTCGAATGTGAACCCCGCTGGTCTTAGAATATTCTAGCATGGCAAAAATACAGCAAAAACAACAACAGACCTCCCTCGCAGAAGTTACAGATAGGCGGCATAGAGCATAGAGGCACTGTGCACCTCGGGGTGACCATCCCTCAGCGATTGTTCATGGCAGCCTTGTATCTTAATTCATGCCGATGTCTCAATATTCCTCCAATTGTCAGGATCTACCCTTCCGCTCTCTGTTTCGAGAAGCAACGGCAGATAGCGACAAACCTTGTACACCATGACGCGACTCAGTCTGAGCTTCCGCAGTCTGACCATTGGTCATGGAGCCAGACATGTACAAAACGACTTCTCTCTAAGCAGTATTAACACATCGTCCATTAGTGATCATCACGAGAGGGTGAGGGGAAAATGCCTACCTCACGATAGCCATTCGGTAGCCTATTTCTGGTTGGCCACCAGCCACCGTCTCTGCACTACCGACTGCACCACCTTGCCCCAAAGTATAATCTGCGAGGGCGGTTTATCGTCATTAATTTTGCTGTAATTTGCCGTACGTGCGTACTACAGCCAGTAGTAGCTGCAGTGCGAACAGCGTCATCACGCGATTCTGGTCGCGCCACATGTAGTAAGGAAGTCAGTAGTTACACAGTTGAACTAGATCAGATATCTGATGGTATCTCACATAGCAGGTTTCGCCGGCGATCAATTCCCACTGCCCCGATGGAGGTCTTGTGGATACCTCCAGGAGCTGCCCTAGGTATGTTTGAAGCCGCAAATTTCAGCCTAGAATGGGGACACGTGCCTTCGCGGTCACTGGAAGCTTTGGCCAGGATTGCTGACCACCCGAATGTAGAGACCATCAAATTTGGCCGTAAGACACCGTCTGCGAAGTAATGTGCGAACCAGCCACATTGATCCCAAAGCTACCGGGTGCGATTATTGTGAGGGCCCACGCTGGCGCCTCCGGGACCTGCGTTCTGATCCACCACGGACACAGAAACAAGATATGATTCCGAGTTTCCAAGCCACCTCCGCATGAGCAGTCGTAGCCCCCCGGGCTCTTGGGATGTTGAATCGAGCACGGGAATTGGTTGGTCAGGATGTGCAGGCGACCTTAGGATCGTGTCTTCTGGAATAGTCCGCCTTCTATCGGATGCCGTAGTGTAAATGCGGTCGGGGAACATGGGCTGAGAAACCTTCAAGAGCATATGTCTTACTGTCCAATGCGTGCGCCAGCTCGCGGCACAGTATCAGTGAGCCACGACCATGATGGTGTGTTTATTGGCAGTTGCTGCTGACTACTAATCACTGCAGGCCGACTTGCAGGCTCGGGCTGACGGCTTCTGACTGGGCCTTGCATATCACTTCTGACAACTCAATTTGAGCCGGCATCCCTGGGCGCAGCATTGACACCGTCACGGATACACATGATGATGCTATATTTGTCCCATGATATAATAAATACAAGATGATACCATACACAATCCCTGGTCCAAAAGGCGTTAATGCCGATCACACCATGTTCAGAGCCCTTATAATGAGGTGCATTGCACTTCTCATGCAGATCAAGTAACCCATAATGTGGACGTCGGCTTTGGTTGCAGCATGTGCTGTGCTTATCGTCTCACGTATCCTTGCTATCTTTACGAAGCTTCAGGTTGTATGACAATCTTACCACTCCAACTTATACTGATAAATCGTGCGAACAACTTTTGTAGAGAGTTGGTCGAATCCCTGGGTTCCGCTGTCTGTTTGGTCCGCTTTCCGTGCCCGGGCCTTTCCTCCCATCCACCGCATTAAATCCCGGACTTGATTGGCCGTGGTTATGGAGGAAAACAGGTGCGATACTTTTCACTGACAAGCAGGTCCACTTAAGTACAGCGACACAGTTTACAAGCACTACGGTTCTCGGACTATATCCGCCGTTCCGTTTATATGCGGCGCACCTCTGATTTGTACAGCATCTCTAGACATCGCAAAGCAAGTGCTCAGCGGAGACAAGCGTTACTACAAAGGCCCTACCTCGACCGCTGCTCTAACGTAAGCATTTTCTAATCGTATGCTCTAAGAAACCCGCTCTAACTCAATCATCATGTTTAGGTTATGGGGGGAAAGTGTTGTTTCCGCAGAGCACGATGTGTACAAAAAGCACCGCAAAATTGTTGGTCCCGCCTTCACAAGCTCCACGTAAGTCGGTGCTGTTGGCAATGTCGTGACCCTTTTTTATTCTCCCCGTTAGATATGTCTTGGTGGCGCGTCAGACCGTGAATTTATACAAGGAGATGATCGAGGGCGAAGGTCTCCCCCGACGACCCGGACGAAGAGGCGCTGGCAACCGCATCTTCGGGAGCAATTGCGCGTCTGGCGACGCCGCGAATAGCATACAGGCTACCTATCAAAAGGTACTCCATTGACGCATCGAGCGAGCGAAATCAACCGCTACAATATAGACTACGTAAAGTAGACAAGGCAAACAAGAGGTTGGCGGTCCTCATGCGTCAATTCGTCGAAACAAGGAGGTCAGAACTTGCGGGAAACCACGAAGCGGATGATGCAACAGGGCACGACATCTTCACACGTCTCGTCTATGCAAGCCAATTAGAAGGAGAGAAAGGGCTTACAGACAGCGAACTCGTACGGTTGGCGCATCTTACTCCGCTCACGGCTGACTTTCATATGGTCAGATTGGTAACGTGTTCGCCTTCATGTTTGCGGGCCATGGTGAGTTCACGGCAATTGCGTGGTGTGTCGCGACGTTGATCGAGATCTTGCCGAGACCACAGCGCATACGCTTTCGGCGACACTAGCCCTGCTTGCTCTGCATAACGAGGAGCAGGATACGACTGTAAAGAACATTCTCGACGTTCTCCGTGACGGGAGAGATCCAGTAGGTGCCCCACGCAATTAAGGCCGTACCGCACTAAGGTGGATCGGCAGACCTTCGACGACTACCCAAAGCTTAACGTGTGCGCGCATGCTTCCTGGAGGCTGCGCGTATGTTCCGTAAGTACACCATTTTCAGAACTCATGCATTATATGAAACCGCTTGTCCATGTAGCTGCCGCCAACCTTGAAACACGAGACACCGCCGAGGCCGTTGTGCTAAACCTGCCTCATACGAACGGCAGCAAGCCGCTTGTCGTCCCGCCTTCGACATGATAGGCATACGTAAGTAGACATTATGCGTTCACACTCGTTCTTCGGTGTGACGACTCTTGACTGCAGACTATGACGAAGAGCGCTTCCCCGACCCAGAGCGGTTTGACCCTTCTCGCTAGTTGGGCGTACCAGAGCTCGACCTTACGTTCTTCGGAATCGGCCCGCGCGCATGCCTCGGCAGGAAGTTCGCTTTGACAGAGGTGGTGTTTGTGCTGACAATGCTTCTCCGCGACTGGAAGGTGAGCGTGCGGCTAGAGAGAGGCGAATCGATGGAGCAGTGGCGGCTACGGGTCATGAAAGGCAGCCTTGTTGGGCTTGGATTTGGTATACAGCCCGCGCCCCTAGTGCTTACCAGAAGAACATGACCTATGCTTGGTCTCGCTCTGTCGGATTTATAGAGCATGTTGCGCAATAGTTCAACCAAGGCTGGACACATTGTCGTCTGCTGCGAGTGAGATACTTCTAAGAAACAGTAGAATCAGCTGGCAGATCGAGTGATGAATCTCATCAGTCCAGATCTGCATCTCAATTTCAATGCACCACGTGACAAGACACGTCGCGACGCGCTGTCGCTCTCGTGGCATACGCATACACCCTCCTGACCTGCTATCTGCGCTATTCGCAATATAACGACCACTACCGAATCGGACGTGCAAAATCTCCACTAGGAGTCTAACGCAAGAAGGCAAGTGCGTCGAGAAGTAGTGCGCAGGTTAGCGGTCAGCATTTCAAGCTCATTGACCTGTGAACTGCCTTGATGGACCGTGGTTTCAAGCTAGTCCTCTGCATAATGTTATGATGGCTCCCGCGCTCCGCCCCAGAACTCCACCAAACATCCTGTTCTTCTCTCTACTACCCGTCGCCGCTTGGCTAGTGCTTCGTCCACTCCTTGATCCAGCACCACCACTACCTGCACTGCATGCTTCGTTAGGCTTCTCAGTTCTGGCGCTGCTTGGAGCCCTATACCTTGTACCTGCACTGGGTAATACATTTGTCCATGCGAACCTCAAAGGACGAGACCTACTCAAAATATACGACGATCCGGTGTCAGTTATGAAATATACTACTCCTTGTGCCGCTCTAATATTCGAGAGATAGACCAGAAAGCCTCGGACTTGTCTGCGCATCTATATATATTCTGCTCCTAATCCTATTTATTCCCTTTGCCTTTTCCGACTTCTTCAATCGTGAGCATGACTCAACGCGGAAGCCTCGCGAAGGACTTGTCATTAATGAGTTCCCACATCATCAGGTGAGCCTTCATTCATGGTAATTATACACATCTCATTTTTCAGTCGCATTCACAGCTATCTGTGTATCTCTCGTCTTTACTCTCCCTTCTGATAGCGACTATGCTAGGGTTTCTAGATGACGTCTTCGATATCCGATGGCGGCACAAGCTTCCCATTCCAATCATCGCGTCCATTCCGCTTCTGATCGTCTACTACTCAGAGCATGGTACTACAGATGTTGTCGTTCCGATTCCTCTGCGATGGCTCCTGGGATCGTTGTTGAACCTAGGTTCGATATTTTGTTGGCTCTTATGCATGATATTGAACACGATGCGCAGGCCCGCTGTACTATGTCTATATGTCCTTGCTATCCACATTCTGCACCAACAGCATCAACATCCTCGCGGGTATCAATGGCTCTGAAGTCAGCCAAGCGCTCATCATTGCCCTTTCCGTTATCCTCAACGACCTGCTCTACCTGCCTTGGCCGTTTGGCTTCCGCATACCGCTTCCTCTGCATCTGCTCGGGCGTCCCGGAGTAGAAGTGGGTGGTGTGTGGAGCGCAGGCATGGCATATGGCAGTCGACTACTCGTTGAGCGCCACCTCTTCAGCTTGTACTTCATGCTACCGCTCGTAGGTGTGTGCGCCGGATTCATGTTCCACAACTGGTCCGTACACTCTTCTCGACCTACTCATTGGAGTCCCGCTCATTGTCTCGAACTATAGGTACCCCGCGCGTGTCTTCCCTGGGGACACCCTATGCTATGTGACGGGCATGGCATTTGCTGTCGTTGGGATTCAGGCCCACTTCTCGAAGACACTATTGCTCTTTTTCCTGCCCCAGATTTTCAACTTCGTGCTCTCGTGCCCTCAACTGTTCGGGCTCGTCCCCTGCCCCCGACACCGCGTACCCAGGCAAGTCTCGCTCGCTCTACTGCACCCATTGGGTTCAAGCCCCTTCGTTGTGCGCGCTAACACTCCGACATCCCCCGCAGGTTCGATGCAGACACTGGGCTGCTGTACCCCTCGAAAGCGGGATTCAAAAATCACGCGCCCAGTCGCCTGTCCGCCCTAACATTACATGTGTTCTCCTCACTCGGATTGGTGGAGCTCACGGAGGACCCGAAAACACACGCCATCACGGAGACGACGAACCTGACCATCCTCAACGTGTTTTTGCTCCGGTTCGGCCCGATGAGGGAGGACAGTCTTGTGAAGGTGTTGATGGGCACGCAGGTTGTCTCATTCCGTCTTGCGTGACCTCATATAGACGCTAACAAAGTCTTGTAGGTCGCCGGGAGTGTGTTTGCGTTCGTTGTACGGTACGGGCTGGCTGGTTTAGTGTACGATGGAAACAGGCGTTAGCCATGATTTTGGGGCTATTAACGCCTTTGCGCTCCAATGCAGCGATCTTCGCTGTCCTTTTGACCGGTCAGTCCAGACATAAACGTGAGCTTCTTAGGGGTCTTTCGCTATCCAGGCCTGTCCACTCGCGGCTGGTCGCGGTCCCCTATGTTGGGGGTGACGCCTTCGGTCTTGTTCGGTATCCGAATCGCAACAGTATCTCGAGAACAGCCGTCGCCTTTGGATTCTGCAACCCTGAACGATATTCCAGCCCGATCAAAGGCCGGCGTACGCAACGGTAAGTAAAAATGACCGTGGGGCGGGGCGGGGCGTTAGAGCGTATAAGCGGCGGGGTACGGCACCATCAAGCTTCTCCAGATGTGAGCTGGCGTTCGTCGCGTCTTCCGGTACCCGGTTGAGGCGTATCGGCCGAGGAAAGGCGAAGGTGGGTCATCGTTCGGGCGCAATCCCCGTCTGCGGAGGGGCAGACGGGATCAGTTGGGCGTCTAGTGCGTTTACCCCGCACTCGGCAAGCATCTGACTGCTATTTATGGCAAGTCCCCCAAATCACATGGCGCCGATGTGCTCTGGAGATGATCGGCTCTAGCCGCCACAGAGGTGAATGAAAGGGCTGCAGAATGGACATCCGGTACCCAGCATATTCCCCTCTCCCCTCCCCCGCACGCCCATAGTTATACTGCCATGTCCTACAATGAAAGATCTGCTTTCCAGGCTGAGGTTGCTCGCGTCGAGCAGTGGTGGAAGGTCGGTTCATTTCTTCCGCTCATAGTACTTAAGGCTGAGTCGGTGTCTTGGCAGGATGCTCGTTTTTCGCGCGTGAAGCGACCTTACACCGCCGCACAGGTTGTCTCGAAGCGAGGGACCCTTCCCATTTCTTACCCTTCCGACGTCCTTGCTAAAAAGCTCTGGGCTACTCTCTCCGAGCACTTTAAGAGGGGTACACCTTCACACACCTATGGCGCGTGAGTGTCGCGGTTGAGATATACCATGTAATTGTTACTCAACATTGCACGATAGCCTCGACCCTGTGCAGATTACGCAAATGGCCAAGTACTTGGAGACTGTCTATGTCTCTGGCTGGCAATCATCGAGCACGGCATCTAGCTCAAATGAGCCAGGCCCTGATCTTGCCGGTATGTGGTTTCAGAATTCAATGCTCAGCGATGGCGACTAAGGATAAGTTTAGATTATCCATCAAACACAGTACCAAACAAGGTCGAGCATCTGTTCATGGCTCAGCTCTTCCACGACCGCAAGCAACGGGAGGCTCGATCGGAGTTGTCAGATACGGAGCTTGCATCTACACCTGTCATTGACTATCTTCGACCCATCGTCGCCGACGCCGACACGGGACACGGTGGTCTTACTGCCACCATGAAGCTCGCGAAGATGTTCGTTGAGAAGGGTGCCGCAGGGATTCACATCGAAGACCAGGCGCCGGGCACGAAGAAGTGCGGACACATGGCAGGCAAGGTGCTCGTGCCCGTGCAAGAGCACATCAACCGGCTCAGCGCGATCCGCCTGCAATTCGACATCATGGGCGTGAACAATCTCGTTATTGCGCGCACAGACTCGGAGGCGGCAACGCTCATCACGACGAACGTCGACGAGCGCGACCATGCATTCATCCTCGGCTCCACTAACCCCGATCTTCGCCCGCTCGTTGTCGTTCTCAATGAAGCGGAGCGCGCGGGCAAGACAGGTGAAGCGCTCGAGGCGGTGGAGGAGCAGTGGATGTCCGCGGCGAACTGCCAGCTCTTCTCGACATCACTCGCAAACGCGCTCAAGGCACAAACCAGTGCGAACCCGATTACCCTCGAGCGCTTCACGCGTCGCGTCGCCAGTCTGTCCTATCCCGAGGCCATTGCGGTCGCGAAGAAAGAGTTCGGCCTCAGGAACGTGCCGCACTGGGACTGGGACGCTCCGCGGACTCGCGAAGGATTCTACCGCTACCAGGGCGGGACACAGGCTTCTGTAAGCCGCGCGATTGCGTACGCACCGTACGCGGACCTATTGTGGATGGAGACCAAGAAGCCGATCCTGTCCCAGGCGAAGGAGTTCGCTGATGGTGTTCATGCGGTATACCCTCAGCAGTGGCTGGCGTACAACCTAAGCCCATCGTTCAACTGGGAAGCGGCCGGTCTGAACACGAACGACATGAAGGCGTTTGTATGGGAGTTGGGCAAGCTCGGGTTCTGCTGGCAGTTCATCACAGTGAGTGTGCTTCTTTCATGGCATTAAAGGGCGATAAACTGACATCGTTGCACCAGCTCGCTGGCCTTCACTCCAATGCATACATCAACGACCTGTTTGCGAAGGCGTTCGCACAGGAGGGCATGAAGGCCTATGTCGAGCTAATCCAGAGCCGTGAGCGGGAAATTGGCTGCGATGTACTCACTCACCAGAAGGTACGTCTAAGTTGTAGTTCTCGTGCAGTGTGTCGTTGAACATGGGGTGTTCGCAGTGGAGTGGTGCGGATTATATGGACAACCTCATGAAGACGGTTACCGGCGGTGTCTCGTCCACGGCGGCAATGGGCAAGGGCGTGACGGAATCGCAGTTCGGAGCGAAGGCTAAGCTCTGATCGACGTTGGGTAGATCATGTACTATGTATTGTATTGTATCTCGCATGCTCTCTGATGGGTAGATGTATGTTGCAACTTGAAGCGCGTGCCCTGGCCTCCGGAATTGTGCAAATTCGGGGTGTATTCGAAAGCCCTGCAACAAGGGGGGAAGCACACAGACATCTATAAGCCGTTTCAGATGCTGTCGATGTTACGCATGATGGACATCATAAGAGTTGCAGGAGGTTGCAGGGATTCAGATTCTATAAGCGCCCACTGTACCTCCTCAGTTGCCATTTTGGGCAGTTATACTCGAGCCACTTGCAACTTCAGCTTCAGTGACCACGGCTATTACGCGACACACCGCTAGGGATGAACGCAGCAGAACGCCTTGGAGCCGCGTCCAAGTTTTTACTTCAATCACCTCCGGGAGAGATCAACGATGTCCTCAACGGTAAGTCAATTCTCTTTGATCGCGAAGTGTACCTGTAACGATCTTTCCAGACGTGCGCAACATCATCTCGGACGATGAGTCACTCCAGGAGGGTGTCCTTCCTGCATTGCGCGAATACAACCTCGCGCAGTTCATTACTGCAGACGTTCCGGGCCACAACCACCATGTCAGTCGCTTGCGTTCGACCTACCGGGACAGCGTCCTGAGCAGTGATCCACCGTTACAGTCCATCATCAGTGCTGCTGCAAGAGTCGTGAAGGCGGATCAAGAGGAAGGCGAGAACATAGACCGGTTCTGGGATCCTCGCTCGAGGACGAGCTTCCGTTTTGATCATCTGAGCCTCGTACGCACGCGTCGTCTCTATTCTAGAGACGTGGTCTAATAATGCGCACTGCCCTGTAGGAAACCTCTGAGCCAGAACCTTACGAGCCGGACGCGGAGTCAGAGCCCTTCAGGTAAGCACGTGTGAACCAACATATCCAGTCTGCGTCCCACATCTATGTCCAGATCGGCCCTCGAGACGTCAACGCTGTCGTACCTTGGTGCACATTACCATGGCGGCGTCGCATCCGTATTTCCTGCACCTCAATCTACAACGCGCTTCTTTATACAGATTGTCGCCAACAAGTACAACCCATCGAATTTCTGGTCCGTACAGATAGATACACTCACGTCTACGGACGCTCACATAAAACAGGTCCGGGCGATGGCGCTCGGAATATATCCTGGACCTAGAGGAGAAACAGCTGAAGGGAAAGATCCAAGTAAACGTGCACTACTATGAACAGGGGAACGTCAGTCGAACACTTACTTTGGCCCCCACTGGGCTGACCCTGACCAATTCCGCTGGTGCACCATAGGTCCAGCTCTCTACAACACACGATGCTGACCTTCCTCTGCCTCCGATGATCACTCCGTCCAATACCTCGTCTGCATCAAAAGTCCTTGCGCTCATCGAGGCGGAAGAGGGAAAATACCAGGCATCGCTCAGCGACGCCTACGCCGAGATGGGCGAGAAGACGTTTAAGGGCCTCCGGCGCGCGCTGCCTATGACTCGTTCAAAGTTGGATTGGGATAAGGTATGTTTCGTATAGGCAATAGCGCAACAATGGCTGAATACATTTCCTGACAGGTGTTGGGCTATAAGCTCGGAGCTGAATTAACATCGGGAAGAGGTGGTTTCGGGGCGTCATAGGGATTAAATACACATCCGATGGTGATGAATGAAGTGAGGACTTGGAATGGAAGTGAACTTGACCTTGTGACAGTACCATACTACATGCATAGAATCACGATTACAGCAACACAGCTCTTTGAATGGCCGACCAGTAGTGTATGAGGTTAGGGAAGACCTCAACACCAGTGAGGCGATCTGAAAATTTGACACCTACAGCACGAGGCTGGAGCGCACTTTATGCTCTGCAGCCGAGAGCGTCGCATCCCACAACCTCTTGCCACACTTGTCCTACGCCATCTTCTTCACAGCCGACTTGCATACCGTTGTCGCGCAAAATGTAATACTCCCTGTGGGGTGTCTGTACAACTGCCAGTGCGGGATGGAGCCGTTGGCCACCGGGCACGGTGAAGTGGACGCTCTCGATGTAATGGTGCCTGCGATACGAGAACGAGGTGAGCACTCTCGCAGGCCTGCAATGAGATGCTATAACACACTCGGGAAGGTACAAGTTGATGGAAGGAGGCTTGCAGCGACCCTGTGTTTTGCCGATGCGCGGCTGCAGGCCAGCGAAGTCTTGAGCCATCTCGGTCGCCGTCTTCCATTGCCCGCTAACACTAATCAAGGCACAACTTCCGCTCAGCCGGGAAAATCGTTGCACCAAGTCTCTCACTTACCTGTTTGCCACGACACAAGCCATAACATACCGCTCTGCGACTGTGCGCTTCGCCGTGCCTATCGGGCCCTCGCTTGCTATACGCTTCAACCAGAGTCTGCTAATGCCCTTTTCGTACTCTTCGTGATTGGCCCATTTGAGACGCCGTGAGAGCGGCTCATGGACAATCGTAGCGCTCGATGCCGATTGGAGACAGCGCGAGACGTATTCCGACCAGTCTGCACGCACGGGAATCCTGCTGGATAAATCATGATCATCGACGCACTCTTGGGCTTCCTGTCGTCCCACAACTTCGCACGTCGATTCGAGCACATAGAAGGTTTCTTTCACTGACGAGATGATGCCTTGTGGCTTGGAATGAGGCGAAACGACAGAGACGCTCCAGATCTCTCCCTTGACGACCTCTTGCACGTCGGCGACAACGTCGCACAGCCATTGAGGGATCTCTGAGTCTGAGCGTCCGATACCGATGGACAGCGCAAACCACAGCCGCGACATTACGAAGCTATATAAGAAGGTGATATTTCCGCTGAGGCTGGATTATAGCGCAGTAGATTCATGGACATACCGTATTGCGATAGCGATCTGCCTCTCATTATCCGGGCTAACCCATAAGTTGATTGCGATTGGATCAGGCAATCCCTTGCCCCTCATGAATCGAGCGAGAAACGAGGCGTCATATGCTTGCTGCCGCTGCGCCACCTCTGCCTGTCGCAAGCGCAAGTACGGCCACATGTTGGTCATTGCCAGGGAGTACCGCTTCAGAACCTCGTCCTGGAGCCGTCGCCCATCAAACTGTGACTTGAGGGTGTGCGAAGCGGATAAATATACTGACGGGGAACGGATCAGCTCAGAGAAAGGGAAGGCCCGCGGAAGGAATAGGAACGCAACAGCAGGAATATTCGTCACCTGCGTAGCGGAACATGCGCGAGACAAGAACACATTGCTTCCGTTCCTCGTTCGAGAGTCCACTGAGAATCACAGCCCAGCGATGAACTCGCTTTCGTTGAGACAAAGATGGTGGAAGCGTGATCGAGGCGAGCTCCGGAGGACGAGGAGAGGGAGGGAACTCAAGGTAGGGTGTCTCTTGGAAAGGCCTCTCATCTTCGGCTGTCGTAGCAGTGGTACCAGGATTGAAATCGGCTGGTATGACCTCCGGCATATGAATTGCAGAACCAGTATTCGGCGGCCTGAGAACGACTAGCTTCTTGAATCGCTTCCCGGTGAAAGGAAGGGAGGTTGTGACCTGCTGTGTCTTACGGATCACTTCATGATGCTGTTGAATCATGGTCCGAGCAGGAGGATCAGCAGCGAGACCAGATGACAGTGTCGGCGTTGGCTGGTTGTGAAGACGAGCATCAGTCCGTGGTCTCAGTGTTGACGAGAGAGGCGGCATAGAGGTCTTGGTCGATACGCAAGTATTTTCCGTCCTTTGTCTCTTTGACGCAGAGATCGATGCTGTAGAAAGCCGTTTCCTTCCTGCTGAGACAGTCCTGACGGATGCAATAGAGATACTAGCAGCTGGTGCAGAAGTCTCTTGGGCAATTCCGGGGCAGGTCTCATGCTCTGGTCGGCTAGTAGAAATAGATGCAGTTGCTGTGTCTTCTATATGCGGCACGAGGGACAGCATACATTCACTTGTAGGTACGTCGTCAGCGGCCTGGTCAACAGAGATCGGGCGTAGGTTTTCCGCAGAGGAAGTGGAGGTGAGTGGCTTAGCCGTATTGCTTTTCAACACCTGCGTAATCGACGAACGGGGAACAGGATTTTTGGGCTTCTTAACCTTTGTCGCCTTCGGCTTCTTGCTAGTCAAATCACTCTTCTGAGCAGGAGGTTCCTTCGCATAATTAACCTTGGCTTTTCCTTGAGACTCATGAGCGCTGCTAAGGACACTAGAGTCGCCCCGGTCGGCATTCACTGAAGGTTGCACCAAACTTCCACCATTTGTGTGTACCGAGGTTTCCTTTATCGCAAGTGCGGCAGAAGGCTCTTTGGAGATGACTTCCCCAGTCACCGCCCGAAGTTTATCGATGAGAGCGTTCTTCCCGAGCTTTGAATAGCCAGTGATTTTTCGTTCTTTACATAAGGCTTTCAGTTGGGGAACAGTGAGTTTACCCAGATCTTGCATAGGAGTCACAGCATTGCTAGCATTTTCCGCCATGGCACATGCAGTTTCTAGCCGTAAGATGATAAGTAGCAGTAGTACTGAAGCTGAAGCACTGAAGTCTGTAGCTGTGAGGGTTACGCGCAGAGGGAATCGTAGAGCCGATCGTCGATCGCGCGCACGACTCACGTGCGTGAGGGCGGGGTATGAGACGCGTTCCCTTGGCCTGTCTGAGTCTGGCTGAGTATCATCCTCTTTGTTCCGCTCGAATACGACCTATAGCTTCTCTGAACCTAATACACGGAATGGTCGTCATGGACGTCGGCAACGGAGACCAAGATGTGATGCGCATATGGTCACTGCTCACAGAAGTCTCAGAGCAGCTCACGCAGAATCGTAGCCTGTCTGTTTCTTTGCACTCCTTGACGGGCGGCATCAAGGTGAATGCTCGTCCAACGAAATAGATATTCAGTAGTGCTAATAACGGAGCAGACCCAGGCTATACATTCGCAGACGGGGTTCGTCTTGAGACGTTATAACTTGGACAGACCCAAAGGTGGTGTTTCACCTATGTTACCGTAATATTCATGTTAACGATATGCAGATGTGTACGAGGCTGAGCTAGAGCGTATGAGCGCCTCTATGATAGAGGAGAATCAGACATTGCAGAATGATAATCGCCAGCTCAACGCGCTCATTCGTGAATACGAACAGACACTGGAGAACGTGATGGATCAGTTCCGCAAACGCGCCGTGAGTTTCCACGACGCGTTCGCAATAGCGTGCAAAATCTGATTTAGTGTAGTATGAAGTGCAGCAGCATGAGCTCGCCCTCATGCGGGAATACGAGAGCGCCATCATACAGCGCGAGACAGAGGCGTTGGATGCTGTGCTGACCACCAATGACGCTCGTTCGGAAAGTCTCGCACGCTTGGGTCGATTGCTGCGTGTAATCATACGCAAGATTGGCGGCGAGGATATTGGGGCATACGAGGCGCTTGTGGAAGGAGCGGGACCCCCGTCGCCAAAAGCTGCCATTGCCTCCGGGCCATCAGCTAGTACACAAAATGAGCCAACACATGAGGATGGCGAGGCTGCGGTGGACGTGGACGGGAACCTGGCGGTGAACCACGAACTGGACGAGGAAGACGAGCCGGAGAATATAGACAGACGGCTCGCAGCGGCGGAATGGTCGCTTGAGCGGGAGAGCGAGCTCGCGCGGCTGGAACACGAGAATGAAGAGCTTCGCGCCCTTCTCAATGGAACGCTCAGCGCAACTCGGAGCGCCCATGTTCATGCGCCCATGCCCCGCCCGCCCACGACTGCATCTGCACCCGCCAACAGCGACGGTTCATCATTCGGGCAATCCATGGGCGGTGAGGAGGGCTACATGAGCGGGCTGGTGGAGTTGCATCGGCCCCGCTCTGGCGGCGCGGACGCTGGTACTGTTTCGGCGCATTCGTGGATCCGGCCACGCCAGATGCCGCGAGGGAGCGGTGGACGAGGGCAAATGGGTCCGTTCGGAACATTCAGGTCTCCACCGCAGAGTTAATCGCGTGAAGCACTAGCAGGTAGGATTCAGAACGTGAATGTAACCCCAGCTGATGTGGTGCCTTTGTTTCTGTTCAGTTGTCTCATGGATATCATCATTCCCACGAGTTGCACCGTTATACCCGAGATAAAGTATGACGCCCTCACACGACAGAACACTTGCGAGCTATGACCGGTTGAACCACATCTGCCTGACGATCCGAAGCTGTATGATACTTCGAATAGCCTGGAGGTTATTCTCGAGTTCATCGCGTCGTGTTTGTGATCCCTGGCATTTTGATTTCATTGCCACATACATTATCCGCAATGCAATGTCCCTATGTGTGGGACGATCCCGGCGATCCACTAGAACCCCGCTTCCAGGTGTATAAATCCGGTACTTGCGTGCCGCTATACTGCCGCACTTATCTCCACGAATACTGCTGCCATCTCTACACGTCGCTCACAATGAAGGAGCGATATTCTGTCAATGTGTCCGTAGAATCAGAGGACTCTTTTCAGTTATATGACCTCCGCGTCGAAGTTGTCTGCCCGCCGGGCAAACGTATAATGTGCGGAGCCAAGAACGGCGACTTCTTTACTCTCCAAGGAGAGATGCTCAAGCTACCGCCCAATCAAGGAATCTCCATCTATTCACTCGGTAACTCTACTGTTTGTTCATGTCCGACTTTATCATCTTTTGCCGAGCGCGGCGTTTTTGGCTCACTTTGTGGCTTTTCCCAGGTGCCGTCCTCCCGCTGCTCGCAGCGAAACAGCGCGTCACACCTCCTAGCGACTGGATGTCCACGGATGCAGAGGTGGCGTGTCCAGACCCGAACTGCCCCAGCAGGCTGCGCATTATTCGGACGGGCGTGGGGACGTTTAGGCATGGCGACGTAACGGTTGTTTCATTGCGCGTGGGATCTGGCGGGGGAAGCACGGAAGAGGCGTGGACGGCTGGACACACATAGCCATTCTGTGTTTGACGTGTCACCATCACTGCGAATTCAATGCATACTCGCAAGGCGCCCTTGTTCTCGCCGTGTCGGGCTTCTGTTCGTTTACGCATCTGTCCCGGGGCCGACCTCGAGACCACATTCCACCGCCCAGTCCCGTCCAGCACGCCACCTGTTGATCGCGTACCGGTGATTGACACCCTTCAGTCCGGGGACACACGCAGCCCCGCCGCATCCGCCGGTCTTGTCCATCGGGATCAGGTAGAACACCTCCTTCACCCGCGAATGCAACAGCGCCATGCTGCACATGATGCACGGCTCGTGCGTCGTAAAGAGCGTCAGCGAGGTCAACAGATAGTGTGTACCGTTGCGTGTCGCGCCCTCAGAAGCTGCACCCTCGTCCACTTGCAGCGCTGCATCGACGCCGCCCTCGCACGCCTCCCGCATGTCCTCTGAGACGGCGTCTGCGGATGCTGGGGGCGGGGAAGCATCAGGGAGAGCGGCACGGTACTCGGCGACGGCGCGAATCGCATTGAGCACCGCATGCCGGAGCGGATGCGCCGCCGACACGCGCGTGTCCCCCGCGATCAGCGGCTTTGACAGCTGCGTCGCGGCGCGCGTCTCGTCGTCGTGCGGCACGGGCACGTACGCCGCGATGGGCAGCTGCAGCGAGGCACCCGTCAGAATCAGATCGCGCGCGCATGCACAGCGGTGCGCACCTCGCCTCGGGCGCGCGCCGCGCGGGCCTCCTGGACCACGCGCCGCATCGCCGCGCACGCCCACTGCACACGGGCCCGCGCCCACGGTTCTGCCTCGTGCTTGCGCCGGGGGGCGTATACGGTCGGCCAGAGAGTGTTTTTGAGCTGCAGAGAGGTCTGCGTGAGGGCGGCCGAGCGCGGTACGAGGAGAGTGTAGGGCGCGGGAAGGGCCAACGCTGGTGGGAGGGAAGGCGGAGAGGGGTGTGTCCGGGTGTATGTGAGGAGGAGGGTCATCTGCGAGGATTGCTTGCGGATGCGCTTGAGGTGGTCCATGTCGGCAGTCTCGAGGCCGCTTATTTTGAGCCACCTGCGGAATGTGAGTGCGCGGTAACATGCAGCTAGAGTACATGCACATACTTGAGCGTGTCAGCGGCTTGCTTGGGATCTGGAAGGGCGACTACCCACGCCTGCTCTGTCGTCAGAGGTGTCAGATGTCGTCAAGACTGAGGATTAGCAAATGACGCACCTGTACGAACTGCGGACATCACTTCCTCCTCTTCGTCCTGCACAAGCTTGAGATGAGTAAAGGGCAGGTTTTCCTCCGGTATCAGGTCGTCCAGGTCACCGTCTATAAAGCGCCCCACGACCTCTTCCAGTGAATCTGGATCTGGGTCTAGCATAGATAGTCCGCCCCAGCCATCGTCCGAGAGAGTGTCCGGATCGATCACTGCGTTCGGGCCCGCGTCAATCGCGTCGAACCAGAGCTTGTGCCCATAGAAAATGCAGAGCTCTTCCCCTTCTGTGACGGCGCGTATCGTGGTATAGCGGATGGACTCTGTCTCTGTGTCGATAATGTACGATACGTTGGGGCTCGAGGAGTGATTGAAGAGGGAGCCTGAGAAGGAGGAGGGATGAATAAGCAAGACGTCGCAAGAATGGACCTTTCTCGTCTATGCTGTCTCTACACACCTAGCCCAAGAGCGAGCGCCATGCGCCCGTCGCGCCATTTGAAGGTGTAGTGGTGAATGAGGGTGTGTCGGCCGTGCTCTTCATACTCTGTTGGGGTGAAGAGCAGCACCGGGCTGATCTCAACCAACGTCTGCGCTGCGATGTCCCGCGATGCTACATATATGTTGCTGCTGTGTCTTGCTTTTGGAGCTGGAAGCCTGAGACCGGGTGCAAAACATACCGAAGACGCCTCTCCCCTTTCCTTCGGAGATGCCGATCCTGCACCCCGTGCTGTTCAAGTGTTCCGGAGGGCGCGGCGCAAACTTGGTTTGAGCAGGATTCTCGTGTTCATGCATACCTATGTTGTATGGCTCTCCGAAATCGACGTAGACGAGGGAACAGTGGTGTGGGAGCCGGAGGCATAGTCCGGAATGAGAGCCGGAAGCAGACTTGTTGCAGTCTTTTCATTTATTTTAGCGATCGACATGATCTGATCGCGTTGGATCTATATCTGGTCGTTGGGCGCTAGGCTTCTGGTCGCCAACCAGGTCGTCAACATTATTAAGTCTGAACACACATATGTGTCGGTATATGCAGGAGGGAACTCGAGCGAATAGATATGGACGAACAATATATAGTCAAGCGCAAAATTCGCTATGACAGGACAAGCTCAAATCGCCCGGGTTCTCCGAAATAATCATGGCGCCACAGAATTGTCGTGGGTTTGCAGAGATTCAGAACAGCCATACAGTTCTCGCATACACAGAGGTGCACGCTGTCTGCGCGGAAAGGCGTCTCTGGTAGAGGAGGCCTAAGGCGTGGGCTACGGCGGGAAGTTGAGCTTCCTCGACGTCATAGAATGTCAGTCAGTAGAGAGCATGACGTAGGCATATGCTGGGGATTACAGCAATGGCTTGCTGTATAAAGCAGCGATTCTTGCAAAAGCGTCTTATCGATCCCTTCCTCAACTTTCTCGGCGTAGCGTGACGTCAGAGAACCTCGAATTCTGTCGATCACGTCCCGAATGGACGGCCGGTATATAACGAGGATATCTAGAGTCTCGTTGGGGCGATGCCTCTTTTCCCCTCCTGCCACACCCCCTCGTTCTTTGCAGGCTTCCGGTTACATACGAGCTAGTCGAACATTCACCAAGTAAGCCGGCAGCCGCAGGTTATATGCACGTAAGCTGCTACATTCCAGGCACTTGATTTACCAACTTTATGGCGTGATAACTTATAGAGGCTCCCGATTGGCTTACAACGGCGGGTTCCCTAATTCCATGACTCGGGACGCACACTTCGGGCATGAGCGGGGCCACTGATGTGTGCACACAGGGCGGTTGAGGATACATAACTCGGGCTAGCCTCCCGTATGAGACCTGTGCAAGACTTGCCTGCATTTTTGGACCCGCGGGGCAAGCGAAGGCGGGCGCAGTTGCCAGGGGTTAGCTTGGAGATGATAGTGTGATCGAGCCAATGGGCGGGATGCGCCTAATGGGGAGCGCTAAGGCAAAATGAAGCGCACGTGGGAGAGCGCCTAGGGAGAGTGTTGCCTGAGAGTGATCGAGGGGCCTGGCTGGCCCGTCTCTCACAAGCACTGCCTTTATAGGCCCTTCCTCTTTCCTTGCCATGCGCTGACATTCGCGCCTCTTCCTCCACTCGACTTGGTCGCTGCTGTCCTCGCCGCCGCGGCTACAGTCGACACCCTTTTCTTCAAGTCGGACTCCATCAGCTTCCGCCTTCTGATTCAGACGCTCGCCGTCTCCGCTGTCCACCAGTCTCGGAGTCTTCGTCATCCTCATAATACGCTCCCAGATACCACTTTCTGATCTCTTTGCTAGTTTCCCCAACGCAAGACTCGTTGCTCGCGCTTGACCGCCATGGCTTCGCGACCTACCTCTCCTGCTCTCTTCGGCCGGCCCTTCCTCTTTTCGTCAGACGAGTCTCGCAGGACCAGCAAACAGCAGGACGCAGGCCCCCGCTCTCGCACTTCCTCCCTTCCTCCCACTTCTCCTGTTACTGCTGCTCATTCAGACCCATTCACTGCGCATCCCAGTGGATCATCTTCCTTCGTTACCTATGATAACGAGCCTCCAGCCCTCGTATCATCTTCTCTCACGTCCTCCGCATCGTCTACAACTTCCAGCTCTCCGAATGGTGGCGCGCATCCCACGCTAGCATCCTTGCCGAAGCGCGCCCGCGGGAGCCTTCTGTTCGCAGCTTCATCGCTCTCGTTCTCTCGCCCGTCCCTCAAATCCAAGGTCCGCCCTCCCAGCATGTCTCGTAAGCAGTCGACGGGCGCCGCAGCCATGCCGTTCATGTACTCTGAGGTTATCGAAATCGCTGCAGCCCCTCCTAGAGATGACGAGGACGCCGAGCGTGAACGTCTTCGCGATGCCGCTGCCCAGTCAATAGGATTGGATCCTGTGCTACTTGAGGAGCGTAGCTTTTCCCTTGATGAGGAAGCCGAGGACACGGAACTTGCCAGCGCGAGTCAGCATCATGAACATACGCGCGCCGCTACGCCGGCGGCAAGCATCTCTCCGTTGTCACTTGCGCTGATTCTGCCACCATTTCCGGCGACGCGCGCCTCGCTCGAGCCGTTTGTCACGATGACTGCGCGCGTCCCAAAGCACTACTCACCGCCCTCGTACTCGCTCCTGAAACTCACCTTTGCTCGGCAGTGGAAGACGCGCGCATTGCTACTCACGGTTGCCATACATCCCCCATCGCCAACACAACCGCATGGGACTGGACACGGTCCTACCGCTTGTCTCCACGTCTTCAAAAACCCCAATCCCACACAGGATGATCGTGAGCTCGAGAGGCTTCCGATTGGCGCTGACAGTCATGTGTTCGTTGCCGAGGAGGATGTTGCAGGTCGCCGTGGCGTGGTCAAGGTAGGAAGCGCCGGTGGCGAGCAGATGGTGCTGCACATGGTCGATGTAGTGGAGGCGCAGGCATGGATTGCGGCCGTCAAGCAAGCGGTGCTTAGCCAGAGGTCGGTAATGCTGTTAGTACCATCCATAACTTTCAGCTCACCCACTTCTGTCACCTAGATCTGTGCGCGCAGGCCTTGGTGTAGTGTCCCCCAGCTCGAGTGCCGTTGAGCCCCGGGGTGACCTTGACGTGATGCTCTCTATGCGTGCACAAGGCATGCTTACGTCTCCGTCCCCGACATCGTCTTCGTCTCCACCCGAGGTTGATAGCTCCAACGCGTCGCAGCGCTCTGTTTCCGTCTCGCGTTCACCGAGCGGCCCAGTATCAGCATTGCGTGGGCTATTCACAGGCGCAGGCACTCGTCCGCGTTCACCCTCCACTGTGTCAACAACAAACCCACGAAGCTCTGACGACACCGACGACGCCGAGGATTCGTTTGGGCGGGCGGGCACGAACCTATTGAGTATGCTGCGCTCGAACAGCATCACGGGCGAGCGCTCGGCGTCTCCTGCCACACCTACCACGAGTGGCTTTTCAAGAACGCCGCCGCTCACGTCCTCCACTCCTTCCACGCCGCGACAGACGGATGCGCCTCTACTGGACCGTAAGATTCTTCAGGACGACCAGATCGCGATTGTCGAGGCTCAGAGCCACAGCAATCCGCCGATCTTTGCGAACGGTATGGACGTTGGCACGCTTTTCAGGGGGAAGCATGCTTCTGCGACATTACGTGCGTCGGCAGGAAGCCCATCTCTGAACCCCCCACCACGTCGCAGGGCATGGACTTCGAGCGGCGGCGCCCCGACAGGCCCGCGCGCCCGCCCTGAGAGCGCATACACATATACACACGCAAATGGGAGTACAGCCGATAGCTTTGGGCTGCGGCAGACGAACAGCAGTATTATTGGGAGTGGCGCGGGCAGCATGTTCCTGAACGCGACCCCGCCCGGGGCGTCGGAGGGTGGTCGCCCACGCACGTCGTTCTCTTCCATGTCATCATACGCATCAGGGGAGCCGCGCACGTCCGCGGACATCGGGCGGTCAAACTCCAAGCGGTGGTCACGCCAGAGTACGCTAGCGCAGCGGCTTACCCCGCCAGATAGCGCGCTTCCTGAGGTGCCAAATAGTCCGCCGGGCTCGCCGGGCAGTGGAAGCAGCTTTCGCTCGTCGATGCGCCATCCTTACGCCGCGGAGGGCAGCAGCAGCCCCAGCGCAGGTGCGCCGACGCGTCCCGCGTCCGTGCAAGGCAGCCCGCAGAGCTTCATGTTGAATTTGCGTGACTACTCGAAGCGCGCGTCAAGCTCATCGGCGCGCAGCGTAAGCAGTGCCAGCACGAGCCACTCGCGCGCGACGAATGGGAATTCAATAAACGGCGGCGGTAGCAGCTTCCTCGGGCATCGCCCTCGGTCGTCGCATCGCACGTCGATGCCCCCGCCGCAGCGGCCTGCGCCACTCTCTGCGCTTCCTCCGACACCGCCGCCAGCCACTGCCGACGACACAGCGTTTTCGACGCGACCGAAGACGCCAAGTTCGGCGCCCCCGATCAAGACGTCCTTCCGCGAGTCGTTTTCGCTACGTCCGAACCGTCTGTCACTATCCCCTCCGAGCCTCCCGCCGTCGACGGGCCTGCCGCCTCGCCCGGATGAGACGCCCACCTCGAGTTTTGGGTCTACCTCGATCTCATTTCGCAGTCACCGGCGCAACTCGAGTACTGGGAATGGCGCTGTGTCGCTTACGCCCATTCCTGCGTCCCCCACGCCGCTCAACTCACCTTATCCGCCTCCGAGCGGACCATTACCGCCAACCCCCGAGGTGCAGTTGCTGCCGCCGCCCACCTCGCGTGCCGCGTCCATAAAAGTGCGCCTGCGCCTGAAAAGTGCGCCCGCGCAGCCGCCACAGGCGGACATTCCGCCGCACCCTTCCCCTGTACCCTCTACGATCAACCCATACTCGGTTCCGTCGACTCCTATAGGGGAGCCTATAATCTGTGTACAAAATGACCCGAGTTTCCTCTTCACGGCGCCTTCGACGCCGCCGCCGCTATCCCGCAGTATCATCAGAGCGGCGTCACCAGCCTCGTCGTTGGAAGGGGTGACGTCGTTGTCGCCGCCTCCACGGCGAGGATCGCGGAGGGTCTCCACGCAACAGGCAGGAGACGACGCGCGCGACAGCGCGGAATCTCGGCCGCCTACGAGCGACGCCGCTGGCCCGGAAGTCGACTCACGTCGTTTATCGATTACGCTTTCGCCTCCCACATCGGCTGTTTCTTTGGTTCAAGTGTAGTATATGCATGTTGGTTCGAATCATCTTCCATGTTTTTGGCTTCTTGTACTCTGCTTTATTTCTCATTCGGGCATATATATTCAACAAGTGTACTGTATATCATCATTCCTGATACTACAATCGACATTATTCGTGTTCATACAAATACACCACAGCATTGCGACAATATAACAGCAGTCCAAGATTATGCGAAGCTATTCTCTACATCAGCACTGTCGTCTCCGGCCTCAAGATTTGCGAACTGGGCAGTCACGAGTTAGCGATGCCAGCAAGGGGCTCCGAGGTCGATAGACTCACCGATAGGAAGGCAGCTGGACGGTGCTCTTCAGCCCAGAAGAGAAGCGGAGTATCCAGTGTCATAGAGTAGTTGAGCGATGGTGACCAGAGCTGCGTCAGCCCAATACCATAGTTCCAAACGCGTCCCTCGGGAACTAGCGTCATTCCTAGGACACGATCGGAGAGCAACAGTTGTACACGCTCCGACATATTCGGATTGAAGCCCTGCACACGCATTGTAAGTATATCGGTTACCGCAACAAACGATTTCGTATCCTACCGCTGGATTAGGCGACGTATCAGTGTTTTTGCGACCCCATTCGAAGCCAGCGACCGAAAGCGAATGGGCTGACATCGATACGGATCCCGGCGTGAAGGCGACCGTCAAGCATACGGAAGATGAACCCCACTCAGGATGGTCTGTCATCAGCTTCGCTTGAGTCGTGACGTCTGTGGGCGAGAGATGAGATAACTCCAGAGCCTGCGTCTTGATCCATCCAAGAGGCTCCAAGTCCTTCAGTAAGAAGTCATCCTTGGGCAACTGCGACGGCAGCTCGACGCTGTTGTTGTTGCCACGCTGTGGCACCCAAGCCACCGCCTTGACCTCCTTGACCTGCTTGTTGTCCGCAGGCGAGACACCATACAAGAATGCCGCCACCTGAGTGCGCAAGTCGGCCGCAGTGACGAACGCGCGTAGGATGTTCTTGGGAAGGACATATGTATAGGAACCCGCGTCGTCCCTAACGTCATCGTTTGAAACGTAGATATGCTGCAAACGAAGAGGCAGGTGCGTTGCAGAGATAGCACGGACACGCCAGTCGGATTTACTGCTGAAGACCTGCTGCTCGTAATTGGTGGTCGTCACGGTCTGGATAGCATCACCGTGAATGTTGGTGGTTTGAGTCTGCACCGCCGTGACTTGGCTCTGGGCCTCTGAGCTCTTCTCGAGTTCTGCCATCTGCTGACGCTGAACAGATGGTGCGGCAATTTCCTGACCAAGGATGATGTCTCGGATCTCACTTGACGTGAGCGAGGCAATGTTGACGCTGTTACGCTTGCCGAAATCCTGGTTGAACTTCGTCAGTACTGCAAATAACAACAATGACCCCAACAACTTACAGCTAGAATGAGGTCCTTCAACGCAACTTCAACCTTGATCCATTCCTCGTCAGCGAGAGACGGCCAGACGAAGTGAGGCTCGGTGATCGTGTTCTTATCAGGTCGCAGAATGATCTTAGCCTTCTCATTATTGACATGAAGACCTCGGAGCAAAAGAATGAGACGGGAGAATGCTGTGTAACTCGAGATCGACTTCAGCCAATCATCTACGCAAAAGCAGTCAATATCTAGCGCCTCAATTGAACAAGCATCAGCCTTACCGTAGAGGTTGAAGAGGACCATCTGAGGTTGAGTCGCGCGCTATAGAGTATCGCGTTAGCGTGGGGCACAAGACCAGGGCTATAACGAACGTACAAGGATGAGATCACCGAACTTCTCCATCTTCATGCATGCCTGGAATGGCAACTGGAGTTCGCTGCCCTTGATGACGATGTTCGGGAAGTCAAGCAAATGGACCTCGAGAGGATCTGGTGAGAATGGTCAATGATCCTTCTATTGCTCACGCCTAAAGTGTAACGTACCCAACATGCCCTTGCGAGTGACAATGACCTGCTTGGGCTGTTCTTCCACTGGAAGCGACCGAACCAATGCGGCGACTTCTTCAGCTGTCTTCCACTTCGCCAACTGACCAAGACGCTTCTGGCCTGCCCACACGCTTGTGTGAATGATCTTCAAAAATAGCTGACCAGATCGCGGGTTGAAGATAAAGATAGCGCCGTCTGGGGGGATATGATCAGTCACAGTAATGCAGTCAACGCGAATATGACTGACTGATGGGCTTCGTCGTCAAGTTGCCCTCGAATGTCTTGTGGATGGTGACACGGTACACGTTCGTATCGTCGACAAACCCTAAGAGTGTGATTAGCCATCTATAACAGGTCTAGTAGCAGCTTTACTTACAAATGATTTGGTTCGAGAACAGCTCGGAATAGTTCTGTTATGGAGAACTTAGAATAAGCGAGCAGAACAGAATGCCATAATCATACCTGGCTGTTCAAGTACGGCTCTGTCGGCTCCGACGAGTATAATTGAAGACCCTTGCGTATACGCTCGCGCAAGACGTGACATGCAGGGTTGGCCTTCATGATCTTTGCCATCGCTTGCTGAATGAGCGGCTTCATGCCAGGGAACCAGTTACCGTATGCAGACCACAAATTGTACGCAAGGTCCATGCCAATCATGACACCAGTTGGCGACGGGTAGATACTCATCGAATCGGAGATCTGTTCATCATTGAGCAACACGAAGACAAAAACTTAACAGCATAACGCACATAGTCCAGGAACTTAGCGCGAGTGTACCGCTCAATATCGTGGGTATCGAAATCGCCCCATCTCAATTGTACGTCGATCCAATACTTGTTGCTGGTGGTCCCGTCGAGTACATCCTTGCTCTGTGGTACAATCAATGAGCGAATGCGTGGACCACATGTAAATTCACTGACGTCTGTAACGAGCGATGGCCTTGAAATGTTCCACTGCGCGGAACGTTAGTGAGCATCGATGTCACAACGCCGTGAAGAGCTTGCCTTGTACGCAGAAAACAGCAGGATATCGGCGCAGGACGAGTTCATCTTGTAACTCTTTCGAGGATGAATTGTCTCCTTCTGTACAGTCTCGATCTGCAGTGGTTCGAGCTCCTGGTCGAAGACTTGACACTGGACAAGAAGATTGTGGTCAGCACGGCAAATGCGCGCCAAGGACACTGAATACTAACCAAATCCATCACTACACTTTCGTGAACTGTAGGACCACGTCAGGGTTGTCTCAAACTGATACAATCAAATGGCTTACTCTTCTGCCACAAGTGCGCACGGAAGATTTGAATTAAACTAATCTTCAGGGTAGGGATCTTGCCGTGCCTGATGCCGTCGTCAGTGAGGAATCGAGTGATAGTGCCTAGTAGCTCACATGAAGATACCGGTCAAATCGAGCTGTACTTGGAAACCAACGTAAACGTTCGCGCGATTGATCGTCGGACTCCACCAGAGGGTAAATCGACGGTTTGGAATCTGGTTGAGACCGGACCGCTGGGCGTTCGTGAGCTTCTTGTAACGCATCGATTCTTCGAAACCAGACGCCTTCTCCCAGAAAAGACCTATACCATAAGTTTAGGACGTTGTACCGAATCAAGTATGAGGTAAGCTTACCCTCCCACGTCGGGAAATAAGTGCCCTTGAACAGTGTGTGCTCCAAGATACCTTCCACACCTCCCAAAGCCGCAATCACATCGACACGATAATTGTTGAGTTGCCAGAGTTTACCATCGTGCCTCTGCGAAGTCCACCAGAACGGATTGCTGAAGAACGTAGGAAGATGAGTGCTGCAACTGCGACAAACCGAAAGTAACTCACTGTTTGAGTAACTGGTACTGCTTCCAATCAGTGCGTACACGCCAACCACGGTCGTATGCCAGACTAAATCCGCATATCAGCAAGTGCCATTAAGCGAGCTATGAGCACTCACGTATGACGATCCTTCTGGAAGAGCGTGTTAATACGAGGAATACCACGATCCCAGCTATCCTCAAGGTCCTCCAAAGTGAGGCGGCGGTTTTGCGCGTTCGCCTCCTTACGCTTCATCGAGTACTCTGACCAGACACGCGCAGAGTCGAGGAACTCAGCCTCCCACGGCTGGAGATAGCGGTACAGGTTGGGGATGAGTTGGTCTTCCTCGTGTGACATGCCCGCACGGAAGTGCGTGACTGAAGACAAACAGGTTAATGACTGTCCAAACAGTCTATCTGGTGTAGTGACTTGCCTCCGACATCAGTCTGCTTTGACCAGCGAAGGTCACTCTGTGGAATGAGAACATGGCCCATGGACAACATGCCCAGACCGCCGAGTTCCTGATGCAAACGTCAGCTAGGCAATGACAATAACCATCAACGTATTCTTACGAACCTTCGGGGTGTAGAATACCACCGGAGGGAAACGGGAAGGCATCTTACTGTTCAGGCCGATCTTGACGCGAGTTTGAATCTTGTTCTCGGCTTTCACGAGTGCGTCAAGCAACTCATTTGTGTGAATAACCGCCTCTCTGTAGTACGTCATCAGCCCGATAAGAGCGGTGTTCCACTTGTTGACGATCTTCGAGAAGGTTGTCGACCCAGAACTCATGAGGACCTGCCGAATACGATTATTGAACTGCTGAACGCCTAAGATGAAACAGTTAGACCTAGGACAAGCGTCTCGTAGCAGTCTACATACCATCATCAGAGACTCTCAGGAAGGCCTGCGCCGTGCGCTCCTTCGTCTGTTCGTTGGTCAGGTTCCATACTGCATCCTTCAACGAGAATTGTTCGCCGCTCATTGTCCTGATCTTCGGCAGGATGCGGACCTCGAAGCCGCACATAGAGAATAACAATTGCGGGTTGTCTTTCGAGAAGACGCTCACGAAGGTGTCTTCCCACTCAATCGTCGTCAGAGATCGAGGTAAACTCTGCTTAACGTTCCAGAAGACCGCGCGTCCGAGGTTGACATCGTGCTTGATGAGCCGCATGCGGCAATCCCGTGGCCAGCATCGCTTGTTGTTATAGCCGATGACATTGTTGTTTGTCGGGTCAGGGTTCGCACTGAGGTAGCGCTGGATGAGGTCGCGCGACTCCTCCGCAGTGAAGCGGAAGAGAATGTGGAGTCGATCAACATAACGGGAGTACAAGCGAATGGGATGACGAGTCTCAGTCGCAGAGTCGCGGTACTGTAGGAAATTGTTCGGCATCTGGGGCGGGCCCGCCATCTCGCTTGCCCTTTGCAGTCCCAAAATTAGCAGGTCTAGAACCAGCCCGTAGTATTGGAAGACGAAAGCCGAGAACTGCAGACCGCGGATTAGACCGTACGCATTCGTGTGTGCCATGTCTACGACACAATGTAAGCTATCAGTGAAGCACATGAAGACGTGATGCTCACCCTTGTACGTCAGGACTGTGTTGTTCTTGGCAGTGATGTAGTCCGCGAGATTATGGTCCAAGATGAGTCGGAGGAGACGGTTGAGTAGCGTCAAGTCGATTTTCTCGTATACCTTCGAGAGGACAGTCTCCATCATGACGTTACATTCACCTTCGCTCGTCTCCCAGATGTCTGTCAAGTTGTTGATGCCTTGGCACCATTTGTAGACAAGAAGCGGTGGTGGTTCTGTATCGGCAGGCTTGATCCATGCGGGGAAGAGGCCACGTTTGTCGGCTTCAAAGAACAAGAACTGGTCGAGGTAAGCATCCGTGATCTTCTCAACGGGCTCGATGTCATAACAAGGAATAAGCTTGTCGTAGGTGTCGAAAAACTCAATTCCCGACTCCTTGAACGCACGCTGGGTGAGTAGGAGGCGCTTGATCCGGGAGAGGCACTCATGGGGATTGTCGTACGCCTGTTCGATAAGCGCGAGTTCCTCACGCTGGGACTGATTCAAGCGACCCTTCACGGAGTATGCCTCCTTCAGTTTCTCGAGCGCCAGGACGAGTAGCTTAGTGTCGTGCTTATAGTTTAAGGGAGGGAAGGGGATGGGCGAGAACTTCCGGCTCTCGAGCCAGTGAACCGTCGCAGTGTAGATGGCGACGGCCTCCTCGGCACTGATATAGGGACCATCCTTAAGGTAGCCATGCTGTCTCTCCTGCTCGGCTTTGAGGTACAGACGCGTGAGACGACCAAGGTTCTTCTTGACGACAGCCTTGTCGACCGTCGCGCCACGGCGGATACGCTCACGATTGTAGTGAGCGACCGAGCACCACCAATCCGCCTTACTCTTAATGTAGCGCAGAATGATGTTCTCGATCGCCGTTGGCATGCCAGGAACCTTCCACGGGACTGAGGATGACAGTGAGTAAACACCAATGATGGCAGAAGTGAAGGCACCTACTGTTTGCTTTCCAGCAACGCCACGCCTCGGACAAATGCTGCAGAATCGTCTTCGACTTGTTCTGCTTGATGGATTCAGGCATCATGTCAAGGATGTCGTGCATGACTGCAGCACGAAGTTCAAGATCGTAGTGTGACTCGACACGTTGCTTCGTCACCGTCTTCGCGATCCCCTTACTGTTACGACCCTCGAACTGACGGGCGAGCAGATTGCCGAGCCTGTGTCGGTGTGGTCAGTTGCACGCAATATCGGAATCACAGCCTACTCACCATCTTTCCAGTAGAGGTACAATGCCACGCATGAAGAATAGCCAGACGCGCCAACCTGGAGCCCAGAAACCACAGCCAGGGCCCTTACCGACAGGGCCGGTATTGAAGCGATAGTAGATTAAATGCTTCAGGTCCTTCGTCATGCGTACTTGTCTCATCAGCTATGACCAAAATGTCAGTAAAAATGATTGAAGACATGTGAAGCACGCTAACTCGCCTTATACTTGTACCGGTACATACCCGTCAAAGCACCGATGTGTGCAAAGATGTACTGAAGAGCGTCTGCCAGCTGGAACGCATCTACATTACCAAGACGAAACTGAACATGGGCGTCGACGACGAGCTTCGTGAGACGGAGGATTTCACGGCACAGATGGAATGCGTTTCCGAACCGCGACTTCTTTCGCTCCTTTGTTGTTAGCGTCTTCACCGGCTTCAGGTTCATGTTGTAATCGAGATGCAGATAGTTGAGGTTCTATAGAACGATGATCAGCGTTACGCGCGCGACTAGAGTCCATGACGAAGACGAGCCTTGCGATGAATGAGCAGATTCAACATGTTGTATCCCTGTCTGCAAACCTGTAGTCCCGCCTCGACCCAATCAAGGCGCGTCGTCTGGAAGAACTTCGTTGCCTTCAGCTGGCGGAAGAGGTTCTTCTTCGTCATCGCCTTCTCGGGTCGGGTCTTGAGTTCGTTAAGGACGTAGCACTTGAGGAGCTTCTGATACGACACGCGGACCTTGACCGGCTGGCCAGGAGGGCAGTGCTCCAGATACCAGTTTTTGACGAGGGGAATGTCTTGTGAGCGGCGCATACGTCCAGAGCGGCGGTTGTAGGGGTCAGGGGCCCACCACAGCGCAATGGCATCCGCCGTCAAATCGTTCTCTAGAGGCTTCTCTTCGAGGAATGGCTCAACCTCCTCCGGCAATTCGAACTCGTCGTCATCTGCATCGTTGGGCCCGAAGATGACATCCTCGTGCGATACGAGAGGTGCGTTCTTCGGCTGGAAGCCGCGAAGAGAGATAGGGTTGATGAGAGGATCGAAATAGAATGCAGGGAGGTCAGGGTCATCGGTGCGAATGTAAACGTTCTTGGGCGTGTGGTACGGAGAGATATGCACTGAACGTGGTAGCGAGTTGTAGAGATGAGGAAATGCCACCTTGTATTCCGTACGGATCTGTTGTCGAATGATGACTTTGTTGATGTCATTGAACTCGTTCCAGTCCTCATCGAACGTGTCCATATCCCTGTACAATGGCTCGAACTTCGGACCACCGGGGATAGCCATGTTGAGCGCCTTGGCGGTAAAGAACGACTTCTTGTCAAAAAGGTAGCTAGAGTTGCTGTCGGTGTTATCCGACAGGAGAGTCCTACCCAGACGGTATAGATTCGCCATGATAGGCAGGGTGAGGTTCCAGTAGCGATATGACGAACCGTTGACGTGTGGCGTGTCGATGAGCGGCTTAGGATCATAGAACCACTCGGCAATTGCACCGTCTTCCTCCTCGTCGAGCTCAAGCTGGATAGCTTCGAGTGGCTCAACGTCCAAGACATTGTCTCCGTAGTCGAGTGGGGGTTCCTCGTCGTCAAATGGTGGGAACCGCATACGCTTGAAATGCCTACGATCCCGCTTCTCCCTCCGCATAGCAAGCCACATACTACTCCACTGTGCGTGATATACAGGCTCAATTACCCGTGGGATCTCGTTAACAAACGTGATAGCACCGGTGATGTGGTAGAGCACAGGGACTTCGCGCACTTGCTCCCAGGGGTAGGGAATGTTTTCTAGCAACTTCATAACGGCGTGAGGGACGTACTTCAGCGCACCCAGGTGAACGCGCTTGTCATTTCTGAATTTGCGGTTACTCATGTCACCGTGGTCCTTAATAATCTTGCGGACGTGTTCGGGAGGGAGGTCCTGGAGAGCAGGTGAGGAGCAACACTACTGGTACTCGAGCAGTTACGTACTTGCTTGCCCATGTCAACGAAGCCCCCTTTTCGCTTTTCGCCATATCGCTTCTTCTGCATCTGAATCCACTTCTGCGATTTTTGCGCCAGGAATTCTTGGGGCATTCGCGAGGATTGCGGATCGCTCATACCTGGCGGCAATGGCATCCCAGGAGGTGGTGGGAGCATTCCGGGCATACCGGGAGGTGGTGGAGGCATGCCGGGAGGAAGAAACGACATACCAGGGGGAAAGCTCATCGTGGTCACTGGTAAGGGAGCGCTTGCTGTGCGCTTACCAAACAGCAAGAGTTCGCGTTAGGCGTCTATCGGACTTATGATACTCCTTCGCCGGAGTCTCAATATTGTGGCACTGGAGATCTGAGATATGATATTGACCGGACCAGTTTGAGTCGGCATTCATCCCGAGATTGCTAGTCTAATATTATTTGGCTCCCAACATAGTCTTTCCCTAGAACGGTGAAGTTATCCATATGTGCGCACAGACCTCAAAGTAATAGAGTATTGTACATCAGTTACACAAGGATGACTTGTTTGGGAATTGCAACTTGAACAACGTCATCTGTGTTGTATTCTAATTGCGAGACGTTACATTGGATTATTACGCTTATTGCTGATTCCTCGTTACCCCCATAGCCTGTGAGACGGTTCAGGCTGTGCGAGTCGTCCATGCTAGCAAAGTGCACTGTCGCAGATATTTTCGCGGGCTGCTTGTTCCAGGCTCGATTAGTGATCACACGCATTGTAATCATCTGGGGCGAGCCTATCGCCTGAGAAGTGACGTGATTCAGCAAAAAAAAACTGAAAGTAGATAGAAGTGCAAGACGTGTACCGTGAACATCGCAAGGAACCCGAGGAAAATCGGAGACAAGTCCTCCTTGCAACCATATGTCACTAGGAAGATGACCCCACGCACAGTGTATGGAAGTGCAGACTCTACAATAATACTGATCGCATAGATATAGGCACGCTGAGAGTCATCTCCAAGCTGTCCCCTGAGCCGCCAGGCATAATAAAGCAGGCAACCGCAGATCAATCCCGTCATCGTGGCATTCAGGGTAATTGTTGTGACATTGTTGCATCAAGCGACCCATGAAGCCAAAGCAGTGAGATAATCGCCGCTTTCGACACCATCAAGTAGAGTGTAGCTGTGCTAAGCGCTGTCCGTGCCGTTAGCATCTCCTACGATCATCGTACGACGTGGACAAATCGAGGCGCACCGAGAGATGAACCAGATAAATCCAGGGCAGATTACTATGTACGGCGCCGGGCGTACCCCATACTAAATAGCACGAATAGATCTAAATAATTGGCATTATTGAGTATCATGCATTGGAGCGTCACAGGGCTCACCAATAGCCCATCGTCCAACAGATTCAGGGAGAAACTGGCTGTTGTCCCTATGGTCTCGTACCATACTTATACACGGTCCCTGAGGAATAGCAGCACGCTGCTGAAGAAATAAAGCACATGTCGGACCCGCTCCGCTGGCGTTTCTCCTGCAGGAGCCTCACGCGCATTGTGATATGGTACGACATCAGCTCGATACCTGTTCATGCGATCATCAGAATTCGGCCTGGTGTTAGGGGAAGTATTAAAAGCCTCACCTTTAAGAGACATTAGAAAGCTGTATGTGTAGAAAGGGCGAGGCGGTCTCGTAATTTGCCTGCATATGCCCACAAATGTTCAATAGCCTTACATCCTGAAGGCACGCTTGGCGGGATAGGACCCACTGACAATAGTGTATCAGAGTTGAGAATTATCAATGCAGCCTGCATTGATCATACCCTGAGGGTGTGGCGCGTACAAAAATCTTACATTTTTCCACGAAAGATTGGGGTATGAAATTCCAGAGTCATACCCGAACAATTGATCCCAGGACATGGTCACGTACAGTATGCAGTGACTTACTAGAAAGTGAGTTGACCGGAGACGTGCTGTACTCCCAGACGACCGCCAATCGAGTCGGATATGAATATTTGATAGCTTAATTCCCATTGAATCTCGATCTAAACACCTAACGAAATCCTACCGAAACAGCTACGGTCCACGCCGGATTGTCTCAAGGGTCCCACCAGGAACCCTCAGGTCATGTAGTTTACTTGTAGAGGTGTTCAATCTGCATAATTGTCGCCAAGAACTTTGTAGTTCGCTCAGGCTCGTCCCAGTGCACCTGTAAAGAGTCTTCAGCTCAGAAACGTTTCGCGCTAGCGCATGCAGACTCACAAAATGATTCGCCTGTTCCAGCTTATGCACCTCGACACTGCGTCCCCTACCCTTCCCACGGTACTCACGCACCATCTGCTTCAGCTTATTACCGCCATACACATCGTCTCCCGGCGACATGTCGCACCACACGGAGTGCACCTTCACCCGTGGCCAGATGAGCTGCTCCCCGCCGGTACTATCATCCACAAGGCACTCGAAAAAGGCTTGCAGAACATTCTCTCGGAAGACCGAAACGTCCATGCGGAGGATCAGTCGCTGTGAGCGCCACACCGCCTCAGCGTAGGTCACTTCCGCACGTTCCTCTGGCGTCATGCGCAGAGTTGTAGGCATGAAACGCGGATCGGCCCCTTCCGCCTCGTGCATGGGTTTGCGCGCGTGAAGCATCTCGACAAAGCCCGGAGACTCCGCATCCTCGTCGGGCCGGGTGACAACTTGTGTGAAATACGTAGCAATTGATATCGGAAACTCAGTCGTGTTCTTATTCGCAGCTTTTGGGTCGCGAAGGGGGCTGTATAAGCCCGGGAGAGGTGGGAAACCGAGGCCGGTTGGCGCGCAGTCTGTACAAGGCGTGCTATGAACGTCATGACATTCCGAATGTGAAAGAGCGGGCGTACCGAAAACAATGAAGCTGCGGAAGTAAGAGTTAAGAAAAGTCTTAGTCTCATCCTGGAGCTCGTGGGCGTGCGCAAGCAGGGAGATTGTCTGCCGGTTACCCGCGGACCACCCCAGAATCGCAATCCCGCCTGCGCGCATACCATCTGTGCCCGGGATCTCAGACAGCGGGGGAATGCTCTCGGTCTCGATGAACCAGCGCATGAACGCGGCGAACTCGAACCCGCGTGCCTTGATCGCTGCTGCCTGTACTTCGCGGTCGAGAGATGCAAGCGCCTCGAGCTCCTCCTGGGAATAGAGGGTAGAGCCTGGATAGTCCCGCTTGTTTAGGAGCACAAGGCGCAGGTTATTTACGGCTGCATAAGGTATCATCTTGCGGAATATTGCTGGAGACGCGATCGTAAGTCGCGTCGCTTTGTGTAAGAATCAAGAGTACCGTACCGCTGTGAATCATCGCGCCATGAACTAGCACAAGGGTAACATAGTCCAGAGAGCCCTCCGGTGCACCGCTGTCTTCAAAGTAGAGGACCGTTCCCTTGTCATCGACGGGACCTACTGGCATTGCGGTGATGTTTGTATGACCGTACAGGCGGAGGCTATGTTAGGAGATTGTCGAAGGACGCTTGCGTATACGCCCTAGTGATTCCACAATATATATAACTCAGTTTGCTTACGGGGTCAGCTCAAGGTCATATGCACATCTGTCCTTACCACGGCCATCAAAGTTCGCTCTTAGAAGTTTGTCTATAACAGGTGAGATAGACAGATCTCAGGGACAATATTGTGGTTTTACATTTAGTTCTTCTCCTTCATTCCCGCCACGCTGTGAATCGGATGGCAGGATAGGGCAGGATACGAGGTTCGCGGAGCGCTGAACAGCTGAACAGTCAGGCAGCTTACGTCGGCAATGCTAGCGATTGCTGTTGCCTCCCGAGATTCTCGGAGATGCCCTGCTGCGAAAACATGAGCATCGCCACTAAGTACTGAGCGCAAGCTAAAGAGTATTTACTTTATCACGGGCCTTGCCGCAAGCTTAATAGCCTCACAGGCATTGATTTCAGCAGCTAACATAAGAGTTACGGAGACTGTCAAAGGCTCCTTAGCGCCGATAGTATCGCCCCGTTTACCATATGCGAGGATCTGGGACAGCTCTGGGGGGGTTCGCCCAGGCCCTGGTCCGTCACGACCACAACATCTGTGACGGGATTTGTGACACGTTAATAAGTCCCTGAGCAGCCCTCTTGATGGCAGAAGTGCGAACAGCCAGTGGAACGAGGGCGAAGTGGACCAGAGTCCAAGCTATATGACTACGCAGATCCTCGGTGGCCTGGAGTCGAGATATTGCCCACAATAAACAATGCTACATCGAAAGTCACCAGCGATCTTGGCAACAAGTCTCGAGCCTCCGAATCGCAGGTGTCATGCAAGATGACGACGACGCCACTGTGTCGCTGTTACATTCACCAACCATGTTGCATGACGTCAAGCAAGGCCGGAAGACATTAGCGCTCTGGCGCCGCATTTGGAGTGACCGGGAAGCCCGAGTGGTGATAAATGATTGGATGAGTTCGATTAATTGTCGGTGGACCGCTAGCCGATACCTGTCATCTTTGGAGATTCTGCTATCGCTCTACTTGTATATATTATGTAGTACATTTGTCGCAAAGGCTTGCCATAGACCATTTCTCGCTTGACCCTCCTAGCTCGAAAAGAGCAATCGGCTTTCCTTATGCGCCACTGAAGAGAAGATCAACCCTCGACGTATGTCCCTGCTTTTCAACGTCATTTCTAGCACCTGCTTATATTATGGCAGGTCATTGAGCGTGCCTGTAAATGTGCTCCTCTCGACACACTCCCCCGCGCTCTCATACTCCATACATACGCCTCCCTCCGGTAGCCAGTCTTGCGAAATGGCTGGGTAGCCGATTACAATATTTTCCTCGAGCTAGCTGGGAAGTACAATTGATACAAATGATACAAAAAACTGTCACTTACAAATCAAAGGCTTATGAGCCGTCCAACTCGCTGAACTACGACGATCCTCGGTGGCCTGGTGTTAACATATCGCTGCCCATGTACAAAGTCATAACGGAAGTAGCCAACAATCTTGGCATCGAATTATCGAGTCTTCAGATCGGAGGCGCAATACGAGAAGACGAGGGCTCCACTGTGTCGCTGTGCACTAACTACGATGTTAGACAGATGCTGCCTGTGCAAGAGGACACTGAGCGCTATGACATCCGACACTGGGCGTGACTCAGAAGCCCAAATGGCACTTGGACGCGACGACATGAACTGCTGTGGACTGCATGATCGGCGACTCGAAGAAACTTGCAAAAATATGGCAGTACGCCCGTCATCAATGCATCAAGCTTCAAGCCTCCCCGCGTCATATACACAGATTTCCCGAGCCTGCAAAAGGAACGGCGCATCCGAGGTTCCGGTCTTTAACCTAGCTTATCGGCACCGTACTTGAGTGAAAGCTGGGAGGTGACTGACGAGTATGATGGGACACTGAACGCTGACCCTGGCTACTAGTAGCAGCCACACGGTGACGCTGAGTATATAATAGTACCCGTTATCCCCTGCGCCCTGCGATCACGATCACGAGAAAAAAACCGACGTTTTCGCTGGCCCATCATCATGAGTATCGGCGTACTGTGTTTTGCTGATCAGTGAGTGGCATCACGGCAGAGGTGATTTGCGTTGACCCAACCGCATTGATTGTCTCCGCAGTGCAGACGCTAAATTGGAGGCTTGCAGATCAGACATGAATTCCCAGTGACCGGAGGATACGAATGAACTTGTGTATACTTTACCTTGACATGCTACGCACTTGCTTACTAGCGGAGCAACACTATGTCAGAGGTACTACAGCATTATTCAGAGACGCGTGCCTATGACTCAGCCACACAAACAAACTTTCACGATGAGCAGATTTAAACTTCTTGAGATATGTAATGTCGTCCGATGGGTAAAGTCAGCCACACAACATACATGGCCTTCAGACAGCCGATGTGGCGGTTAGGCTGGACATACATCAGATAGTATGGGAGCGGGCAAATCATTGTACGAGATATGGCTACCGTCGTAGCTTATATATACGTGATGACCACCCTGATAAAACAATCATTGGTTTTACGTGACAACGACAAAAGCTGGCAACGGGAACACGTACGTTAACATCCGTCGAGAATGCAGCCTCGGTAAGCGAGCCAATGCGCCTTCACGCAGCTCATCTGCAAGACGTCTACTTGCAGCATTCTTGTCCATGACGTCCATCTCTACCTTGAGACCCTTCGAGCGTGATGGGGCCAGAGAGCGAGACAGTTTTTCATCGATCAGGGACCACTGCTCCGCGTCGAATATGGCGAAGACGTTGGCCGCAGTCCTGTTGCCCGGCTTGATCAAAAGGACGACATCCAACACCTTGTTAGATGGGATCTTGGAAAATAGGTTGACGACCCAATTGTTATGAGTGGCAGACATCGAGAGATAGGGAACGAGGGTTATGGAGAGGATGCGAAGCGCTGGTATGAACAATCTGGCACGCTCTTCTGTCTCGTCTTGTCAGCGCACGTCGGGCTTGAACGAGGGGCCTATCCGGCTTACCAACAACCCGGTTTGCAGTCTCTGTGACGTGATGAGACGCAAACAGATGAAGTCGTATTTCCTTGAGGGATGGTGCGGCAAGCTCGAGAATTCGAAATATTCCGGCTTCCTCCATGAGTTCGATGGAGAACTGACCGTTCGCATCTGTATCGAAACGCGTTATGCTACTGACCATGCCGGTCTCCGTCAACAAGTCGATGATGGTTCGTACGTCTGTGGTTCCAGGCCCCATGCTTAAGTACGATAGCTTGATACGAGATGCTGACTGCAGAACAACGGTGTTCGGACCAGGCGCAAGATCGAGGAACATGACGGCGCCACACGAAAACCATGCCAAGTTGGGCAGGGAGGACAGGAGGCGCATAAGTGGCAGAGGGGACGTGAAGTGCGCGCCGGTGAGCGTAAGCTTGGTCACCGAGGTGAACTCAGATAGGCAACGGAAGCAGCCGACGAAGCTCGGGTCGTGCTCGTCCACAAAATAGATATCGTCGAACGTCAGGGCCTCGAGGCTTGGCAGCTTGCGCGCGAGCATAAGGGGGAACTGGACAAGAGGTGATGTACTCGGCGAGTGCGACTTGCGTGGATCTTCTCTCATCAAGTCCTGGCGCCGCCCCGAGATGCAGAGTCCGTATATGCGCTGTGCGAGCGCTGGTCGGGTCTTGAGCATACGCGTGAATCCGACCAGCTGCCAACGCTCATCGATGGTGATGTCCTCGAGGAGGCGTGTCCGACTCCGCGGGTACCATGCACGGCAGGTAAGCGCGCAGGCCAATAGGTTGTGATACCTATTGACATGCGTGAGTTCTTCTGCGATGATGTCGATGATGTATTCGAAGACCTCTAGGGGTAGAGGCGGCTGTGATTCTGGGTGGTACGGGATCTGGCTCGTTGAAAGAAGAATCCATGGCTTTGGCTGGGACATTGGAACTAAATCGGGAGCGGACACTGCGTTCGGTGACTCCATAAGGACAGACGACTCTGCTTCAACCATAATGACATCTTTGATCCCGTCTGGATTTGTCGGTCGGTCTACATTTAGTGGTTCCCACGTTATGGCTAAGAGAGGGCGAGAGGGGACGTCAACGCCTTCAACCTCGAGCGAGGAGAGGTCCATCTAATCTGACGGTAGTCGCTATATGTGGAACCTGGGAACGTATGTATACGCGGAAATCATTCAATGCAAATGTTTCATGCTACTCACCTGATTTAACCGATGGGTCCGCGAGACAAACTACTCGACGCTCGGGGCAAGGAAATATGGCAGCAATGAAGAGCGGACGAGGTTATATGATGCACAAGAACCTTGGTGGAAGTGTGCCTTGATGCCCTGCGAAAGTCGCAACAGCAGCGTTAATAGGTCGGTCCAACATGCGGAGCGCCCCGCCACTGGGAAACTCAATGCAGTCGCCCAGAAGCAGTGCAATTTGGTCATAGAAGGTCAAGAACAGTACGACATGTTGCTGTCCTTATGTACTGGCTACCTTCTCGTGACAATCAGACGTGGCACCGACGACTCACCTGTGCCTCAGAGAGCAGGACTTAGAAAGTAGTTTCACGTTGCAACCGTAACTGACGCATGCGGACAATTAGGTGACGTGCCCCCAGTCAAAGTTGCTGGCTGCCAGGGATATCACTGTGCTCTTCGTCGTGCAGCATAATTGGAGTAAATAATTATTATTCTTCATGGTGATAGCGCCTGCAGCTTAGCAAACAATCTGTCCCGACGCGCATCTGCATAGCGAGAACTCAACACCGTCAGGATGTCCTCGATGCTCTCGTACGAGAGCTCTAGTATGGACTCTGTCGGCATCTCTCGCGGTTCCTGCCCAGGCCCTATCCCAGCCTTCGCGCATATGGCATCATCAGGAGAAGTAGCAACATGACATAGTATACACGTACCGTATACCCGCGAGGTGAAAGCGAGATGATGACAGTGTTTCCTTCGAGAAGGGCGACACGCGCAAATGCTTCGTGCACAGTGGACGATACGATAGTGAAATTGACAATCCCAAAACACTGCTCTTCAAGTGCATTAGTGAGCTCCGCAGTAGGAAAATCGGGAGTCGAAGGTCTCGAAAGGTCGTCGACAGATGGCACAGGCGTCCGGGAAGATTGTTCAGAGTCGTCGGACGGATTTCCACATCGATGACCGTCAGCCATCCACGAGCTTAATGCTGTCGAACACATGGTAGATCCGAAGTCATGAGCGAGCAGGACAATGCAGAGATGCCTGAGTCTGAGCTTCTCATGTCGCCTCTACCGGTGGCAATTGCAAACTTGCCTGCGCTTGAGTATTACTATGTTGCTGGCAATAACCAGCATACAATCAAGAGTTATTTGGTAATGTAGTTCTGAATGACCAGGGGTCAGCGGTGAGAATGATGAGCAGGTTGAAACAGCAGCCTGCAGCAGCACGCATGTGTGACGCGTCGTGCAGTCGTGACGCCATCTGAGTCGGGTGAACGCTCTTATTCTCGACCATTCACCAAGGTCTATATCATCCTGCAGATCCTCGGTTACCTCTTCTGTGAGTAAGCAGCAACCATCACAACCGCATAGGACCCGTCGTCGGTCTGCAAGGTCTTTGTGAAGTGCAGTGCAGGCTCTCAGCCTCTGTACTGGTTGTCTCCGGGCCTTGACTGGAATTGGACGGACCCCAAATACAACAAAGCTGGCCGGACGATTGTGTACTCGTATTCGGTGGAAAGAATCACCAGGTATGGTTGTCTCACAACACGACGCGCTCGTCCGATGCTCACTCCTGGGCCTGATGTTCTGCTCTGGTATTACTCCCTACACTTTCCTCTACTCCTTAGACAGTATTTCCGTGCCACTAAGCCGCAACACCACTGTGAACGTGCCGGTCTTACCACATACAGCTTGGTACTATGGATGTCGTCAAGGCGGTCGAGACCTATATTGCCAAACTCATCTCTGTCCCACCTTCTATGAAGGTGCTGCTTCTGGACGGACACACGGTACGAAACAGATCATCAACCAAAGGTGCTGGTCACCGACCATATTTGCAGACTCCTATAGTTTCACTAGCCTCGACGCAATCGACCCTACTGTCACACCAGGTATACTTGACAGACAAAATTGACAACAAGAAACGGGACGGCATGCCGCACATGAAGTGTGTGTGCTTCTTACAGACCAGCGAAGAGAGCCTGGAGGCGCTGGAGGCGGAGCTACGGGAGCCAAAGTATGGCGAATACTACCTCTGTCAGTGGGTGAATCGCCATGACTCACTGCAGCCAGGCATTTGCTGACTGCGTACGTAGATTTCAGCAACATTTTGAGCAAGACGGCCATTGAACGTCTTGCCAATGCTGACGAATATGAGGTCGTTCGCGAAGTGCAGGTCAGCAAGGCGGTCATCAGTGTCGGCGTTTCCCCTGATACAGACAGTAGGAACACTTTGCAGACTACGCACCGATACTTCCCTGTCTGTTCTCGCTCAACCATTTCCCGAACGCGTCAGGACCGCTCTATGGCCAGTCACCTAACTCATGGGACCCAAGGGCATTGGAGCGTGCTGTACAGGGTGTCACGGCTGTTCTCCTGAGTTTGAAGAAAAAGCCTGTGATTCGATACGAGCGGTCCAGTGCAATGGCTAAAAAGCTCGGAGTGGAGATTCAGGTACGCCTACACACACCGTATCGACGCTGGGGAAGCCATTGAACTGTCTGTGCTGCAGCATCGCATTCAATCAGAATCACAGCTATTCGATTTCAGGCTCACCCAGGTCCCACCATTGTTACTCATCCTGGATAGACGGAACGACCCCGTCACGCCGCTCCTTTCACAGTGGACGTACCAGGCAATGGTGCACGAACTCATGGGCATCCAGAATGGGCGAGTAGACTTGAGCCTCATACCAGACATTCGCCCCGAGTTGAAGGTGGGCCCTCAGCGACACAGGCAGTCGCGGCCACTCATTGCAACGTTCAATGACAGGAAGTGACCCTCACACCGGCGATTGATCCCTTCTTCCAAGCTCACCACCTGGCAACGTTCGGCGATCTCGGCACTGCGCTCAAAGCGTACGTGCAATCGTATCAGTCGCATTCGCTCGCGCACGACCCGTCCGCGATCAACTCGATCAGCGACATGAAGCGCTTCGTCGAGGAGTACCCTGAGTTCCGTAAGCTCGGTGGGAACGTGAGCAAGCACGTCGCAATTGTGGGCGAGCTAAGCCGTGTTGTTGAACGCGACAAGCTGCTAGACATTGGTGAAGTGGAGCAAGGGCTAGCAACGGGGTCTGGAGCGGACTTGAAGGTGGGCTCATGGTCGCGTGAACACTGAGAGGCTGTTCTGACTCAATTCCTTGATCTATATAGAGTGTGCAAGCGTTGATCACGAATCCAGTGATTCAACCTTGGAATAAACTGCGCCTTGTCATTCTATATGCACTGCGATACCAGAAGACACAGTCCCACAATGTCGCATCGCTCATCAGCCTGATGTTGGAGAATGGCGTGCAACGGGAAGATGCCAGGGTATTTCTCTTCCCCCCCCCGAAATCTAACTCAACTCATTGCTACGCCTATTTAGCTCGTATATGTCATCCTGAATATTGCAGGCTCAGACCAGCGTCAGGACGATCTCTTTTCGGCGGAGTCGCTTTTCGCGAAGGGTCGTTCTGCTCTCAAAGGTCTCAAAGGCGTCGAGAATGTCTATATGCAACACCAGCCGCATCTTGCAGAGACGTTGGAGGATCTGTTCAAGGGCCGCCTTAGGGATACCAGTCATCCGTTTCTCGAAGGCGCAGGTCCAAACGCTAGCCTTCAGAGGTGCGCTCATGGATGTTGTGAAAGCTTCGCAGGTGCTGAGATTTGACTAGACCGCAAGATGTCATCATCTTCATGATTGGCGGTACAACGTACGCGGAGGCACGCGTGGTTGCCTTGATGAACCAGGAATCTGCGCAGAGTGGCGCCTCGGCTGCAGCAGGAAGTAGGCTGCTCCTGGGCGGCACATGCGTGCACAATTCATCAAGGTATGATTCAATCCGTGCCGCTCGTTCTGCGAGCTGACAGTGTCTCTGATAGCTATGTCGACATGATACGCTCTGCGGCTGCCAACTTCCCTGCGTCTGTCTACGAGCCTCCACCTGGGACCTCCAACACGATGCCGTCACTCAATCTCAACCTTGGTGGCGTGAATGTAAGTCTTGGCGGCCCAGCAGGCACAGGCGTATACCGGACCAGCGGAGAGGGAGTCAGCTTACAGACAGATGGCATTAAGGACGGGGTCAAGAACCTTCTCGGACGGGTGAAGCAAGGAGTCGACCGAATAGCGTCTCAGTAGTGAGTGTTCGAATCGAGATAGTTTGCGAAGCCTTGGAGTTTGCTTCGATACAGGCTTTGGTATGGATATGTATGCGTACATAGCCGCTCCTTGGCGCGCCTGACCCTATCAGAATCGAGCTCGTCGGCTGTTGTGTACTCATCAACTACACTGAAGTGTATTCTCGTTGTCAACTTCTTTCGAAAGTCCGAACCATCTTCCTGGTCCCTTTCGCGACTCAATTTCAACCCGTCTCCATTTCGCTGGTTGGCGAGCAAGGGTGCCGCTACCTACAGACTGGACTGCCGAACGTTAGACGCAGGACTTCCGAGAGTCAATTGATCACTGTCTATCGACTTCAATATCTATAACCTTCGTATTCTTCGGTAAGCCCGCTTTGTGGACGACTTCTTTGATTGCTTCAGGTCATGCAGCTGCGCTGCACTATCAGCTGTCGATGCAGGCTGTAATCGCGCTCTCGTCATTGAGAAGGGACCTCCAGAGTGGGTAGGTGGCAACGGCTACTTCACTGCAGGTGCACACCGAACAGTCCATGGTAGCTTGCAAGACCTCCTCCCCATCGTGCGCAATGCGACCGCAGAGATGGCTTCAACTAACGGCATGTATCCATACTCAGCCGAGGAGTTTACCGCGGACATCACGCGACTGGGCAACAACTGGTCAGATCCGGCGATGGTCAGAGCCGTTGTTGACGGGTCAAGGGACGCGATTGGCTGGCTTGCAGAACGAGTGCAGATCCCGTTCATATTCTCCTTCCATCGCCAGGCGTACCTTGTGAACGGGCGCCAAAGGTTCTGGGGAGGTATAGTGGTGAGTGTGGAAGACGGCGGAAAGGACCTCGTTGCAGCACACCAGCAAGCATTGGAGAAAGTCGGGGTGACAGTGTGGTACGACACCTCAGCAGTCGAACTGAAACTCGACGATGGTCGTATCTCCGGCGTAGCGGTTATTCGTAATGGTGGACGGCTGCAGCTCTCTGCACCTGCCGTGGTACTAGCGGGCGAAGGCTTCGAGTCCAGTGTTGATCCTCGCGCCAAATATCTTGGATCAGACTGGGAACGAGCGAAGGTACGGTACACTGGTCGTGCACTCAGGCAGGCAAATGTTGATTCGTCGATTTTGTAGGTCCGCGGCACTCCCTACAACACCGGCGATGGTCTCAGCCTCGCGCAGTCCATCGGCGCGAAGCTGGCAGGGGACTTCGCGCACTGCCACTCGACCTGTTGGGACGCAAACGCACTGGCTGACCGCGGAGACCGCGTGGTCAGCAACCAGTTCACCAAGTCCGGGTACCCACTCGAGCTTATGCTGAACGCGCACGGGCGGCGGTTCGTCGACGAGTGCCAGGACTTCCGCAACTACACATACGCGAAGTTCAGGGGCGAAATCCTTCGGCAGCCAGGTTGGCACGCGTTCCAGGTGTGGGATGCGGGGGCGCCCGACTGACTGCGCATGGGGGAGTACGGCGACGACGTCGTCGAGAAGATATCGGCGGCGAGCGTGACAGAGCTTGCGGAGGAGCTACGGGCGAAGAGTTTAAAGGACGCCGATGCGTTCATCGAGACGCTCGCAGCATGCAATCGCGCTGTGGCAGAGCATCCATCGGCGAAGTGGGATCCTGCCGTGAAGGACGGTCTCTCCACTCAGTCCACACGTGAGTCGTTCGAGCTTCCAAAGTCTAACTTGTCATTGCCACTCGACAAGTCGCTGTTTCTCGCGGTCGAAGTTGCTTGTGGTATTACATTCACATTCGACGGACTGGCGATCGATCCGAACACTGCTGCTGTCATTTCGGAGAAGACGGACCAGGCAATCCCGGGGCTCTTTTGCGCGGATGAGCTGGTGAGCTGGTTGGTGGGGTTTTCTACGGTAACTACACTGGATGCATTGTAGATCCGCTGCTGATCACGCTAAGAATGAAATGATAATTAGACTGGATGTAACACAACGGGTGAACAGGGTGCCAATTAACGAAAAACCAGAACAATATCCAGAGAGCAAGACGTGGAGTGCTGAAGCGCTCAAGGGTGTTGAATGTCCAACAAAAACCACTAGTACGGTTGATCTCTGTCTCGGATACATATTTACTGTCTCTGTTTTTTCTTTTCTTTTCTTGTGGATCTTCTCGTCAAGGAGGAGTGTCTGACTCTGGAGGCCTGAGATCTGACATCCCAGGGACGTCCGCGGTCGTTGCTCGTGCTCCCAAATTCCACTATGTTCGTTAGCAACTTCCCTGTCTACTTCACACATGATACATATACTTCGGCACGACCAGCAGGACACTAGTGCCCTGCCGGTCGTGTTTCTGCACACACATGGGATTTCTCATTCGCGAGCAAGATTTGCTAGCGTCTATATGTGGTAACATCAATGTTCTCCAATACACTCATAACGTCAATATACAACACGCCGGCGTACTTAGCTGTTTCTCGACAGATATCTTCAATCATCAAAGCCTGATGCTAGTCCCGGAGCGTCAAAGGGTGACTGGCAGCTTCAAAGAAGAGACGGATCTGAGGTGAATGAATTGATGCGGTCCAACACAATCAATACGTCTCGAAGCAGATCGTGAAAACCCAGCAGTACGCGTGATTAGTAAAGTTGACCACGAAATAGACGTTTTGCGGAAGGACGGTCGAGGAGGAAAGGATTTTGATGGAATTGGCAATGTCACGACGTGAGTTTCTTAACAGATATCGTTCCAACGCACAGGCGCAGGACCCCGGAAAGTCCCCTCAGAGGTCCGATCCCTCAAAACCCCGAAAATGACACTAAAAATGACCCACTTTTGGCAGTATTTTGCGTTTTACGAGATCATTTTGTCACGGATCACCCCCAGAATAGGTGAGTAGACAGTTCCCCCCAAGATACATCGAAATATGCAATGTGCCTGAAGTTCCCACGCTTAGATCGTGACAAATCTTATCTTATCTACCCCCGAAATGGGGTCTGCGCGGGATCAGAGCTCTTAAGGGATTCGCCGGGGTCCTACAGGCGCGTACGACGGGCACGTGTGCGCATGCTGTGGTTATAGTCGCCTGAGAGCAGTACAAGTAGACACTTCCTTCAACCTGCGCAGGCTGCAGATATAATACGCAAAAAGACGACCTCCCACAAAATCACACCATGGAAGAGGCAGATGCTTTGGAAGCTTTATCTACCATCTTGACACGCTTGACGGAGAACCCGTACGATTTGTCTCTTCATGCAGAACATGTTCGACTCGCGCGCGAGACTGGCATGCAAGACCAAGTCGAGTCCGCCCTAGAAATGGTCACCGCCTTTTGGGCAGCAGGCGATCACATATGGCAACCTCTTCTCGAACATAAGGTCAAGTCAGAGAGTCTTGAATCAGCAGCACATTTACAGGAGATCATGGGCATGTACGAACGCGCCGAGGCAGATTATCTCTGTATGTGCCGCGCTTTCTTTTGGTAACAACAGCAAAATGATATTTGCTATAGCCATCCCACTGTTGAAGCAGCACATTGAGCTTTTGATCGATCGTTATGAACACTTCAGTACCTCGGAGACGAAGCCAGACGACCTCGGTGAACTATTCACTCCAGAATGGACGAGCGCCGCGATCGCGTCTGTCGTTACAAAGGGAGTGGGTCATCTCACGCAGGTGTGTGCACTCGTTGCGAGCTACGGGGAGCAGGCTTCAATCATGCGGGGCAGAGTCAGCAGCTCTGGAACACCTGGTACGATTGGGAGCTCGAACGACTACAGGCCGCCCAAGGCTTGGAGAGGTGCCACATTTTGGATACTTGTACCCCCTGCTTGCGTTGACTGACCCGTCGTGTTCCACAGGGAGACACTTGTCGCTCAAGTAGAAGCCATGCTGCTGGAGCGGATCCAACAGCCTCACTTCAGTTTGTCATTGTCTCCCTCAGATCCGTGCCCAAACTGAAGACAGCATTGTTCAGATCACGAAGAAACCTTTCAAGCGTATTCGAGCTTCACGACAAACTACAGACCGCCAGGCCAGTATGAAGAACTACTAGTCAATGCGTCGAAGCTCCGCTCGCAGGCTAAGAAAGCAACTGAGAAGCGTGAACAGTTCGAAACGTCTCTTGTGTGTATAAGGTCATTACGGTCTATATTGGTCGATTCACTATCATGAGTCCTGCAGGCGAACAGCGGATTCTCGCTAGAAGGCTATGCATACTATATCGCAGCTGAGCGGCGCAGAGGGAAGCCAGACCTCTTTATCCTCAGTAACGTGTACGAGCGTGCCATCGCCGAGGGGGACAAGCGGCGATGGGCAGGAGAGACCAATGCAGAACAAGCGCTGCAGTCCTTTTGGGCTGGTTATGTTGACGCCTTGGTAAGTATCTCTTTGGCAGGCGCTCGTGATCCAGTGTCTTGCTGACGCTTGCGCGCAATGAGTAGAGAATGCAGGACGTTGATGCGGATCTGCAGCGGGAAATGTACCAGCGGGCACTGAGGAGCGTCCCGGCATCTGGCGGAGTACGGGCGCAATACATTCGCTTCCTCGTAAGTCGATCCATATCACTGACACATGGTGATTGCTCAAGAATGTTGTCAGGAAAGGACATCTGCGTCTGAAGCAGGTACGGCACCTGCAATAGTTGGTAAGGATCAGCTTTGATCATGTATGGGCTTTAATTACAACAAGCTTCAGATGTTTACGAGGAGACAAAGACCATTGCGCCACTGCAGGCGGATGTGGAACAGCTTGTTCCTACCATTCTTGCACGAGCCGGCTACGGAAAGCGGCAAGTAGAGGCTGGGCAGATGGGTAAGTGGTTACAACACAGATGCATCAGGATTGTCACGCAGCTGCAGGTGAAAACGGCCTCAACGACTTGGTCGACATCCTGATGGATGGTATTAGTAGGGTCAGGAACGGTGCGCCCCCAGAAACACAGATTGAATACATGAATAACCGACGAATATATTCAGCTTCACCCGCCGGTGATCCGAGACTCAGGATTGAGAAGTATTTCTCTGCCGTTGTAAGTTTCGAGGTGCGTATAGCCCCAGTGGGAAATTGGCTGACAGTTGGCAGTGTACTAGATTAGCTGGCCTTTCCGAGCACGCTCTCATACTATGGGAAGACGCAACAAAGCACTACAAGACGAGCTATCTTGCATGGACGTCATACACAGACATCCTGATGTACGTCCTTTGTTGTCGGTGCTATCAACTGGATCTGATGGCACACCCTCCAGCAAACAAGGCCTTTACGTGGACGCTCGCAACGTGTTCCGCGATGTGTGTGCGAAGAACTTGGACTGGTCGGAGGCACTATGGGAGGCTTGGGTCAGCTTCGAACAGTTGCACGGCTCGGTGGAGGAATTCGAGGACTGCCTCGACCGAATCGAACGCGCACAGTTCCAGGTCGCCGCGCGACGTGCCAAGGTCATCCCCAAATTTTCAATTTTCAATGCCTCGCCCTTACTTTTGTACGCTGTAGGACATGGAGAGAGCCGAGCATGCTGCTGCGCAGCTCATCGCTGAACAACAGGCAAACGCCATGTTTGTCGCCGCCGTAGCTCCTGCAGGTGCCGAGCCTATAGCCATGGAAGTTGATGTCAGCCAGCCTGTGGCCAGTGGGAGTGGCACGAAGCGGAAGGCCGAGGATAGTGCGGAGCAGGACGAGAGCAAGAAGCCACGAATAGGTAAGGCCCACTGGTGCGGTCGCAGCACGGATACTCATCACGCGATACTCAGACCAAAAGCCCCTTCCGCTCAAGCGGTATGTGACTTTTGCCACACGTATTTTAATTGGTACTGACTGCAGTGCATCCATAGAGATAGGGAGAATTGTACAGTATTCGTCGCGGATCTTCCTTCAGATGCCAAGGAGGATGATTTGGCTTCGTTATTCAAGGATGTCTGTGATTCTGACACTGCTCACGATTGTGGTCCCTGACGCTTTTGTCCAGTGCGGAGCCGTTCGGGAGATCAAGCTCACACAACTACCAAATTCACTCGTCGCCACAGTAGAGTTCATGGAAAGGGTGCGCCGTCAAGCGTAGGACCCATGTCGTTTACAACCTGACATAAATTGTTTCTCAAGGACAGCATTCCTGCAGCATTGACCAAGGATAAAAAGCGTATTCATGGGCAGGAAGTCGCGGTTCACTTGGCATGGCAGTCTACATTATACGTCACAAACTTCCCAGAAAAAGCGGACGATGCTTTCATCCGAAACATATTCACCAAGGTACGTTGGAAGTGAGATTTATGGCCATCCTAAGCTGACGAGAGTGTCTAGTATGGGACCATTTTTGACGTGCGATGGCCGAGCAAGAAGTTCAAGGCCACACGACGCTTCTGCTACATTCAATATACGTCCCCTGTATGATTCAGTGCGCTAAAGATGTCGATCCATTGATGCTCATCATTTCTCTTGTAGGCATCAGCCCAAGCAGCACTCAAACTCCATGGCGAAGAGCTTGAGCCAGATCTCTCAATGAACGTTTATATTTCTAATCCTGAACGCAAGAAGGAGCGGACGGACAGTGACGCCAATGACAGAGAGATCTACGTCGCTGGCCTGAGCAGGTTTGCTACAAAAGGCGATTTGGAGACCCTGTTCAAGACTGTACGTGCTCACGATTCACAGGATGCGGTCGATGCTAACCATCTACAACAGTATGGAGTCGTGAAAGAAGTGAGAATGGCTCTGGACGACAATGGTAGACCAAAAGGTTTCGCATTCGTCGAGTTCGAACAAGAGGTGAATCAGTATTTCAGGGATAGCATGGATCACGTCGTGGACTCATGGTACACTTAGCAAGATGCAGTCGCTGCTCTAAGTGCCAATAACTACGAACTCAAAAAACGACGGATTGCAGTCACTCTAGCTGATACGCGCAATCGCGCTAAGAATCGGTCAGTTTCGCGTTTTCTTTAGATGCGCCAGTTATGCCTGACAGTTTGTGTCCAGAGATCCCAGCCGTCGAACTGATGCCCGCAACCGCTCTATTCGAGTCCGTAAACTCCCTCCGAATACACAGGAGGGCTTGCTGCAACAGTTTTTAGAGAAGCTAGCACCCGTAAAACGAGTTGAAGTGTTTGCGGATAGGGCGGAAGCAGAGGTAGAGTTTGAGAATGCAGCAGTGAGTTACAACCCTTCATTTTTCATTTTTTACCTTTGGCTGAGACAATCTCGTCGTAGGATGTAGGCAGGCTTCTCCTTCGTTCAGAGCCCATAGTCTTCGACGGAGTTACACTTGAGCTCGTAGCAGAAACATCTGGAGGTCTTGCTGGACCTCGCGCTACCCCTTCGCCGGCGGTAACTGGAGGCCTCTTCGTGCCACGGACTGCTGTGTCAAGGCCGAGAGCTGGTTTGGGCAGCAAGAAGCGGGTCTCCACTGTCTCTGCGACTGGATCACAGTCAGCGCCGAATGCACAGAACACACAGCCTACTCAGTCATCGCAAGGCAAGGGGCAAAATGATTTCCGAAAAATGCTAGGTGGTGGTGGATAGGGGAATGTGCTATAATATAACCTGTTCCATTGTCCCATGCATTTATGCGTGTCAGTTGAACGCCATCTGCTTTACTGTTTGTAACCGCAAGAATGCCACGCGGTTCAAGTGCTGTCTCAGTGTCTGGCGTGTTCGACCCCAAGAGGATCCAGGCACGTGAGATGACCCCGTCCGCGTTATGTGTCCCGGCACCCTTATTCGACGTTCGACGTTCAACTTCAACGTTGTCTCACCATCCAGTCAACTCTCTTACATTTCGTGATCTGAAACCAGAGTATCTGTAGAAAAATCCTACATCAAGTTCACAGACGATCTTTGATCTTTGAGGAGTCCTTTGACGTAGTAGATGATGGAAACCTCCGCTACTGAATGTCTCGAGAGCACTACACTCCACTTCGATTGGACATTCCATGGCATCAAAGATTTGCTTGAAGCCAGGTCTGTCACCTGAATGTTTGCTGGTTTCACAAAGTTGTCTTGAGACAGCGACCCCAGCCAAGGTAATGCAAAGTCTAAAGTCACCAAGTCAATGAAGTTCGGTGGTGGCCGCTGGCAGGTATGTGAGGGACTGATCTTAGATCTCAGCTACATGCCTTCAACATCTGTAGATCTTATTCTATGCGAATTCTGGCACTGCGAATACCGATGGAGTGGCGTTCATCAGTTTATATCTTTCATGCGAGGTAATCCTTACATTCTATGCATAAACGTTGTGTTTTTATCTGCTCAACCACTGGTTGATAGCCGACCGTGGAAGAAAAAGACTGTGCCGTGGATGGCAAGTGAGTGTTTGCTTTATGCATACAGCGACACAGTCGGCGCTAAGTGTGCTATAGATGGGTTCGCGAAGGGCTTTTCACCTTTGGCTTCGAGCTACGCAAGTGCATATAGTGTTCATCCCATCTGCCATTCCGTATGGTAACCCTCATTGAAGCGCTTCAAAGTCAATAACTTTTGGCTCAAAAGAGGCAAAGAAACATTCTTTCACTTCGGAGGTGAGCTATGAGACACTCCTAGTGCTGCCAGTCTACTCAAGCAATGAAATAGACGCAGAATTGGGGCTGGGCTCAATTCCTCAAGAGAGAACAGCTTTATGCATATCCATCAATAAGACAGCAGGACACTTTAGTTATTATATGCACCATTACATCTGCGCAAATTGTTACTGCCCCTCAACCCACAATATCATATCGAACAGTCCCCAAGGCTCTGCTCAGTGCTGTGGGTGGACTACTTGATGAGTACGTCCACGATTACAATCTCAACTTAGTAACTATGATGGTCGTCCAGCCCCATGTACTCCGATGTGGAGTTCATATTACCTAGGAAGGGCAGCAAGACAGCAAATGCAAGACGGATCTATGCTGCCCGCAAACTGCTCAGCAGAGTAGAATATTTTGATACAAGTGAGTCACCTCTTATCCTCGTAGGATTTGAGTGTACGGTATATACGATCGCAGTGTTCCGATCAGGATTTGCGGAGGCTTCGTTCAACGTCCGGATGCTACACGCCGCTTCGATGCGAAACACGGACCCCATCGAAGAGAGTGGCGGGAACTCAATTATGAGCCAATTCGAGGATTCTGATGACGAAAACGACGAAGACAAAATGGTGGTCGATACAGATATCGACATTGGAGAAATTGACAACAACACCCACTCACAAGTGCCCTCCTACCTCGAAAGTCACGCCAATGATAACGGTACAGAATCTTGGACATCCATCACTGGAGATGACGGGCCGCATGAAGGTCAAGTAGACTTAGATGACAACCCACAGCGAAATGTGCGAGCAAAGTTGTCACATCCATCTAGTCCTCGAAGTGTAGATGCTATCCTAACGAACGACGTTGGCGTTCAATCGGATATCCCTGTTCCTGCTCCAAGATCCCCTCAAATGCCCCCTGGGCCTCTCAAGGTCCAGATCCTGGTGGAAGATGTCGCCTATGCAACATATCGTGCTGTTCTCTACTATGTATGTGCGCACCCAACACGTGTAACTTATCAATATCAATGACGCTTTACTAAGTATACCTACAGATCTATACGGGTTTCATCACTTTCGCCCCGCTTTCATCCTCGTTTCATGCTGTCGCGGAGCAGTCACCAAAATTACTCGCAGGAGACTCTACAGGCTCTGCCTCCGGGAGCCAGTTTACCATTTCATCCGGACAGCGGCCTCATCTACAGCACTCGGAAAGCACGCCAATCACGGGTGCAACAGTTCCACAGTCACGAAAGGAATGGATAGCTCAGTGGGAGAGAAATAACCCGGTCGACCTGCCCCGCCCGTGCTCTGCCAAAGCTGTGTATAGGCTGGCTGATAGTGAGTCCAGCTCCAGCTCCCGCCTTTTTGCCCGCCCTCAGAGCTTTCTCACCAAACGATCCATGTGACCGCATGGTCCGCAGAATACGACTTGCAAGAACTGAAGCAACGTGCATTCCGGTACATCATCAGGTCACTTACGGTCGATAACGTGGCCTACGAGGTCTTCTCGAGTTTCACTGCTACTTTTGAAGACGTGCGCAAGGTGCGTCAAGGAAATCCCGGCGGGAAATTTATAAGGCAGACGTGCTTACATCCACCGTGTATCATGTGTATACGCAGGTGCAGGTGCGCTTCTTCCTCGACAACTGGAGCGAGATTCGTCGATCGGAATCTATGCGCAGCGTCTGGCAGGAAATCAGGATAGGAAGGCATCCAGGCTTCGAAGAAGGTGCGGACCTTGTCCGGCCTCGGGTCCGCATTTGTTCACACTGCTTGCGTTCTCCATCCGCGTCCAGTCTGGCCCATTATCGCCCTCCAGCTCGAATATCAAGCCCCTGTTTTGGAAGCAACGCGCGATGGGAATGCTGCAGGCGGGGCGTAGTGACCTCAGCTACAGTGCGTGGAGTCACATCCTCGCACAGACATAGTACATGCGATGCGGCGCAGTTCATTTCCCTTAAGTCATTGCTTATGTATTCCCCCGACATTCATCCGAAAACAGTGCAAGAATGCTCATCATCTAAACATGCAGAAAGAAATGCCTCCATGTAAGCACACAGCGATGTGCACACCGCTCCCGATTGGGTGCCGCGCGTACTGTAAGAACGTCCTCAGCCCCCAAAAGTAACCATTTCGGATCACGATGCCGAACAAAATCGCTCAATCATGGCCACACTCAACCCCAAATGCTAGTCAATGCTCGTGAGACTCCCCGCCTGGGAGGTAACTTCACTGTCCACCTCCGTAGTCTCAGTCGCATCCGTATCCGCGACGCTCACGGTCTCATCTCGATCGTCGCCGCGGCCCCCCTCATTCAGCCCGGCCCGCGCCGACGCATCCCAGTCGCTGCGGTCGAACATGCGGCCCTGTGCCCTACCTTCAGACCACGAGTGTGTGCGCGGGCTGATGCCAATACCTTTGTGTGCGCAGGTTGAGCGTGCAGACAGCGCTAGGACGAGCGCAATGATTCACCGTTCATAAATGAACCCAGAGCGCGTGGCGTCGGCGTGGACGCGCGTGGAGTGCCGAACGAGGCAGCTCGCACAGGCGTGACATGCACGACGGGGGTAGGCTGCGGCTCGGGTTCGTCCTCAGGTTCTAACTCTGATTCAGCTTCAGCTTCAGAGGTAGGGTTTGCCGGTGGGTCAGGCGTGTGTTTCTGTTGTTCTGGCGCATCGTGTTCGACAGGCGTATGTTCCTCCTCGTCGGTATACATAATGGGTGAGTGTTCGCTGCCCGACGAGGCGCGGACGTGCTCAAACTCGGACCCCGACGCATACGCAGAAGACGTCTCATTAGCGGGTTCGTGCTCATACTCGTAATCGCTCGCGCTGGATTGCCGGAGCCACTCTTCGTGTTGCCACCGCATCTCGTCCTCGCTAAGCTCCGGGCCCTCGGGCTCGCTATGTAAGTCCGCGGGCACAAAGAGCTCTTGCTCCTCGTACTCGTCGGGGTATTCTGCGAGCTCAGGCGGCATTGAACCAGGTTCCCTGTCTACAGGGAGTGGAGGTATTCGATGTAGGAGGCCAAAGCTGAAGCACCAGCGGTTAGAATTCTAAGGACCGCAGTACAGTTGTTGTATACTCACCCGAAAACACAACCTAGTAGCCCTTCACCGCCCCAATGTCGATTTGGAACAAGTACCACCTCTCTGATCGTACTGTACGGGCATCAGCATGAGATCGACATTTAGTGTCCGCGTACGTACTCGAAGTCAAATGAATACACAAACACTCGTAACGGTTTTTCAACATGCTGCATGGACGTGAGAATGACTGGATTATATTCTTCTCATGTAGAGACCTTACCGCTTCCACAACGTCGTAGAAGTCACCTTCTGCACTGAGGACTCCGCCAGACCAACCGATGATCCAGTCGCCGAAGGGAACTAGACCGGCACTTTCCGCTGGACTGCCTTCCAGAACATCTAGGACATGCCATACGTTGTCGAGTGCAAATTCGGGCTCGCACATGCGCATACTTAGGCCAAGCAGCGATGGCTTACGCTCCGCCTCAGGCTCCTGAGGGTCAGGGATGTTGGACTGCGGCAGAGACCAGTCCCTTGACGGCGTAATCGGTACGACTGACAAGTCGTCAATGATTATGGCAATGAGAACGACTACAAACATATACACACCCCTTGTTTGTTGGCTCTTGCTGTTCCATACGAGTAGATTCAGCGTCCGCCCCTCATGGCCTTCCACTATCTTCTCAAGCTGCCCTGCATCAACGGTCTTGTTCGCGGAAAAGTTGTCGCCCTGATGACCGACTACAAAGTCAAAGAAGGGCTCGATGGACGTCTGAGAAGCGGGCGAGGACGGAGTGACGCGCAGCACATGCAGTGCGCGCGAGGGTGTTTGTGACGACGCGTCGGTGGACTGTCCCGCACCCATGCGCCACTACGCAGGATTCTCTAGGTCCAAGACAGGTTTGTAAGTTCGCAAACCAGCTGTGTATGTGCAACTTCAGTTCTGGGCGGACGAGTAACACATTGGCGGGGCGTGGTTTGATCCTCGTCAGGAAGCGCCAAAGCATGCGGGGAGCCACGTGGCATAATTGATCGGTCCCAAAATGGCAGGTGTTGAGGTTCGACTCCTTCGGCGAGGAAAGCGATTCGAAAGTGCCCACTTTCTCTGGAAAGGTGTACAGGCCCCCATTGACACGTTTAGCAGTCTCTTGCTGTATGTAGAACAAGAGCCAAAGGGAAGCTCCGTTGTCTCTACAGAAGCCGCCCATGGCACTTCAACTTATCAACATGAATCGGTGCCAAATCGGCGGTCTTGCGACAAGGGTTCGGGGGCTCGACGCGTCTCCAGGAAATGAATATAGGGTATGAATCTGAGTTCTACATGGCACAGACCGTGTTCTACTAAGCCTATCTTGGAAAAGATGAGGGCAGCGGACATAAGATCGTGTATAAACAAGGTCGAGGGTGCAAAATTAGTCGCCTTCCGATGCGTGTGCCTCCTTAAAGTAGACACAGTGACTGGTCTGAGGCTTCCAAATGTTGCAGGAGGCTAGGTAAGCAGAATCCGGGCCATGACGTTTTTTGACCTCCAGGGAGACGGTCGCGGGAACAATCCCTGCGGTCCCATTCAGTATCTCGCGTTGCTTGGCACCGAGGCGAGTGATAAGCGACGTCGAAGGCGCAGCTTCTACAGGTTACTTGAAGGGGATAGAAATCGAGTGCTTGATAATGGCGCCGATGATCGTGAGTATTGTCCGTCCATCGGTCGGCTTCCAGGGCGCGCGGAGACAGAGTGCTTACCTCGAGATGCGCATCGCGCCTCGAAATGACATGGGCATGCCACATGAGTGGAGACAGCCGGTTGTTCTATCATACCCATGCCAGACATGCGAAAACACGACAGCCCCGCTTATTTCGACGTTGATGGCCTCATGACATGTACTAACGATGTGGACAAACGTTGAGCATGACATCGTGGTTGACCCCACACAGCGGATACTCACCTCAACACTGACGTCGAAGACGAAGGAACAAGGTGTTCAGGCTTCTGTGGTCGTTCGCCCTGCAAGCACGCACGAAGAATCTCGGAGAAATGCACCGGAAGAATCGCGGAGCTCTCGCGCATGGCAAGACTCCCCGGGCCCGTTCCTTCAAATCGGGATGCCCGCGTCGGGTTGAAGACACCTGGACGTCGTATGCGGGTTGTCGGCGCTTGAAAAGATTCGCTCGATAGCCTTGGTGCGGCCAATAGGATGTGCGAGATTCTTTATTCGGAGGAATATCCAGAGTTACACCGAGCGAGCGCGTTCGAAGATGGGCTCGATGTGCGCAGAACGTAGTGCGCGCGTGCTTGACCACACACTTTATTCTATGGGCCCGGGCGTGTTTTACGCCGGTACACCCGTTGTATTGGTGTGCAAGACGCCGGAGATTGCGCATCATAGTCATGGGACTGAATAATCCCACCGCCATAGGGCCATCAATGTGTCACAACAACATAAGCTTTCAGCCCGTTGATGCTATCCTCGCACTACGATATGAGTAGCTGATCAATGGTGATCCCGGCAACTAATTCAGTTCACTAACGCACGTTGAGAACTGCATGTGTATTTGATGATGTCGTGATGGTCACCTGACTGGAAGAACGCAGGGTACGGCTACTACCAAGACTGACATTTGTCTCCGGCTGAATCAAAACACCAATGTCCAAGCTGACAAGAAAACCACCAGGAGAAATACCCGATGTTAACCTTGGACACTGAATCATATGGGAACGGTGCGATCGAGGAGTACCGATCGCTAGGGCCTATTTCTGAACAAATCTACCTTTGTCCGCGATTCCTGCGTTGTATGCGGTCGTTGTCACACTGTATCCACAAATCAGAGACCCACGCCGGTCACCTGGGATTATTATCCTTGCCACCGGTATAGACGCACATACCATATTTCAAGCCAAGAATAGCTCACTGACAAGCAAAATCCACACATGCCGATGCGTAAGAGGACCCTCTATTGAACGGATGAGCCACAAGGGCTGTATATGAGTATAGGCTCCCATTGAACTAATGAATGTATTGACACTACGCACAATGCTATGTAGGCCCATTAAATCTTCCGACTCTGGGGAAATTGGCGGGCCTCTCCGCAGCTTGCTAATCAACCCAAGCCGCCAACGAGTCTGCAGAGCCTGAGAAAATTATGCCAGCTGCCTCCGCCTTTTGCACCAGCGGCACCCGCTTCCTAAAGTGTCGTACTTACACTTGTCTAGACGATCCGCAACAGTGAAATCGAGGAATAGCTGAACGGTCGTCTCAGAAGTGAGCTCTAGAAAGTAAGCAGCAACCTTCTCATGTCCCCATGCGGCAGTAGAGTTACTAGTGACCGTGAGAACGCCTATCTCGAGGTTTGCACCAGCAATAATTTTGAGAGGAACCGAGCGGCTGTCGGGTTGCAGGTAAGGGTAGAATTGGTACACTCATAATAAGGGTGGTAGAATCGGATGACGACTCTGACATCCGCGCGAATGATTCCAGAGTTCCCGCATATAGGCTCCTCGTCATATTTTTTGAGAAAGACGGCTGTGGCGTAACGTGAGTGTGGCCAAGTGGCAGACGCGACGTGGAGTGGCGAGTCGATCGAAGCCAGTGGCAGATAAGCGCTCGTGATCGAGAGCACGTCGCGTCACGGCGGTGTAACGTGTGACAGCGGACCCTGCTTTCCACGAACCCCGACGTGTGCGCCGTGTCGACGAAAAGTTTGCGAGTCCCGCCCCCGCCACGCCCGTCGTGTTCTCTTTCCGTGTCGCGTCGAGCACATTCTATTTCCCGGTGGTGCTGCGGTATGCGGTGAGTGCGACCCTTCGCGCAGGCACAGCGCACACCATGCTGACCGCCCGCCCAGCTGACTTTATGTCCATTTGCCGGCACGTATTGCTGCGAGCATACATACCGCGACAGCTCCCACCGCCCCATGTCTCTCGTCGCCTTCTCACAGAATTCTTGCCTGTGCCACTTCGGCTGGGGCATGAACGCCGCGCCGCGGCACATGCAACGCCAGCGAACGCCAAAGAGGGGGCGGAACCGATCAAAGCGCGCGTCTCCACAACAGCTGCCCCCGCCGCCATCATACCCTCGCCACGATCTCCCACACTCACCAAACATGCACTACCGCGGCTTCCTGACGCGCCCCTGGGGTCGGCGGAAACCAAAGCAGCCTCGACCCTCACAGCCGAGAACAAGATATTGGACGCCTACGTCACACACCACGAAAATAATAGGCAGCTGTTCAAGGACTACACCGGCCCTAAGACGCAGCAGATCATCTTGCTGGTCGCGAAGAGGAGGCGCGCCGATGCTGCTGCGCTCGTCTTGCAGGATTACTTGACCGCCAAACCGGGCGACCCCGAAGTCTTCTACAGCATTGTACGCTATATTCCTATGGGACTGCTTCGAAAACGACACATCCTGTACTTGTTACGATACCTGCGTCACACCAACCGTCTGGTCTCCATTCCGGCGAAAGACAGAATCGCTATCGCGGAAACTATCGTGGAGCTTCCTCTTAGCCACGCTCATGACACGGAACTTACTGTCATCCTCACAGCGCTTCTGACGCAGATGCTGAGAGATGCCTCAAGGCCAGCCAAGTCCAACGCGTACAGGCGACTACCTCGCGTAGTCAAGGTGCTATATCGCCTCGTGTGCAACCTAGCGAGCTTCGAACAGCGGCCGAAAGCCCTCAAGGCCATTCGTGCACTTGTGGCTACCAACAATCTACCTCCCAGCGCAGTGCCTGTTACGGATCTCAAGTCCGGGGATTTTGAATTGATCGTCAACTCGGCTCTGATCAGATCGAGCCTGCAGTGGGGCTGGCGGGAGCACGCCGTGTCTATGATAAAAAGAACGCTCGAGATTGACAGGAAAGGCAAGCCTGGACTCACACAACTTGCCGCGTTCGTTCTGGAGAACTTGCTGGAGGAGCCGTCGCCGATGGATCTCGTGTCCTCTGCTGCAATCCTTGCTCTCCTTCTAGAGCGTTCCCCTGACTGCCCGATCCCGGCTGCTGTAGTGCACGACTTCTATAACGCCACCGAGAAGCTCAACAACCCAGAGCTTGCCGAGGCTGTCTACAGTGCATCGCGAACTGCCCGGGAGCGTGGGGGCCAATCCCTGCCACCGCCGAGAGGCAACACCCTCATGTGGTTCGTGAGCCACCTGGTGAACCGCAGCAAAAACGTACACACTGCGCGCGAGCTGGCGACGCAGCTCGTCGAAGACAAGGTCGCGATCCCGCTTGCCCACTGTGGGCGCATCATCGCGCTCTTTGCCGTGCAGGGCTTCGCGTCGCAAGCGCGTGCACTATGGGAGCGCTATGCGGACAGCGCAGATGCGACGGAGCGGCGGTACGTCGTGGGGCACTCGGCGGCGATGCTCCGCCTGGTGAGCCTCTTTACCAACCTGAGCAAATGGGCGCACTCACGCGCACCAGCTCCGGGCTCCGCCGCAGCGATCAGCGAGGGCGTGTCAGTCAGCAAGAACGTGCAGGAGAAGGACAAGACTGAGAACGACGTGGATCCTCGTGCTAATCTGAAATCCGCCCCTCTTGGTCTTGCATCTGCATCTGCGTCGGCGGAAAAGGTGTCGGCAGAGCCCGTGTTGGGCAATCACGATCGTATGGCACCCGTAATTGGGAGAAACAGTCGTACTGCGTCGTCGGAACCGATGCACAGTGATAGGGCGCATGACACTATCGCGGAGGCCCCTTCTCACACCCACAAGCTTGGGACGACACTGGCACATGTTGCACTATCACCGGAGCCCACACGCCCCCAGGTCTCGCGCGAAGACTCTTCTACAGGGACATCAGCCAGAATAGACAAGGCCCGGGCGCAGCCAGAGGCAGTGGTCGAGGACGCGGACCTCGTCCGCCTCACCACTTCCGAGTTCTGGGCGTTTGCCGAGCGGGTGTACGACGCCTTCCGCGAGACGCGGCAGCCGCTGCGGCGCGCGCACCACTTTGACGTGAACGCGCTGGCGCGTGCGAGCTTTATCCTCGGGCGCGTCACGCCCGGGCTTGCCGCGCTGCGCCTGCTGCTCGCGCGGCGGAGCGCGCCGGACCTGCACGACGTGAACGTCGCGCTGACGCTGCTCGCGGAGCACGCGCCGCATGCCGCCGCGCGTCTCGTGGTGGGCATGGCGCGACGGGGACTGCGTGCGGACGCGGCATCGTTTGGGACCGTGATCCACCACGCGGCGGTGCACGGGGACGGCGCGCTTGTGGGTGCGCTGATCAGGCGCGCGCGGGCGGTGGGCGTGCCGCTGTCGTACAAGACGCTGGGCACGCTGCTGCGGCGCGTGTTTGAGGAGGGCGGGGAGGGCGAGACGCGCGAGGCGGCGTGCGGGCGGCTCAGGCGCGTGCTTGCGCTTGTGGACGCGCTCGTGGGCGTGCGACAGGTGCCCTCGCCGGAGATGGGGCGGGACTGTGTGGTGGTGGCGCTGCGGGCGGACAACGCGCGGGCGGCGTTCGGGTTCTGGCGGCTGATGGTGGACGGGAAGGCGGAGTGGGGGGACACGGCGCAGGTGCAGCTGCGGCGGGCGATCGCGGGGAAGGTGCGGCGGGAGTGGGGGGCGGGGCTGCTGCAAGGGCCGGGTGCGCGGGCTATGCTGCGGATGCTGGGAGAGCGAGTGGCGGCGGGCGCGACCCCGACGGGCGAAGGGGGCGGGAGAAGAGATGGGGGCTGAGGAATGAGGCGGATACTATTGGTGGCGGAGCGCAGGGCGGCGGAGTGGGACGGTGCGAGCGGGGTCACACGCGCAGAGGGCTTCCATCAATGGGCCTGTGTTGCTTCTGGGGGAGTGTGTGGACGCGGGGGTGCTTGGGGCGGAGCTGCCGGTCGCGCTCGGAGACGGGGATTGGGAGGCGATTGTGTCTGTGTACATACCGTAGGTAGGACACGAGCAATACTGCGAGGTTAACGGGAGATGCCGGTGCGGGGGGGCCGGTGAGGAGCGTGATTGCCCCGTGACGGGAGGGGAAGGGAGGTCGCTGGGAGGTGGGTGCTGCTGCGCGAGACAGCGCACTGGCAGCCACTGGAGGGAGAAGCAGCCCGCCAGGTCGTGCACACGCGTGCAAACAGACACAGGCGTTCAAAATCACCCCGCACACCCACAGCGGCCTCGACGGGATCCCGGGACCCTCCCTGCTCGTCTGTCCTCCTCTTGCCCTGTCCCATCCCTTTCCCCGCACCGTCCGCCCCCATGGCCTCCGTTCGTCCAAAGTCAGAGGCCGACACGCCCTCGCCCCCTTCTGGCGATGCCGCGTCCAAGGATATCTCGTCCGAAAACAGCAAGGTCAAGAGAAAGTATGTACCCCTCTCCGATGTTTCTCCGCACACCTTCAACCGCTGCCCGCGCACACTCCCCGCACTTCCCCTCGCCATCCGATCCTACCCCGCATCTTCCTCACCCTGCTCCCCCCAACGCCCCATTTTCGCAGTCCGCTCCCCCCCTATTTAGTCGCGTGCGCCAGCGCACGGCCCATACGCCATGTTTGGCCCTTCTTCTCCCCTACATGTCTCTCGCGCTGACCTCCTCCCTCCCCCTCAACAGGCGACAGTCCCAGAGTGCGTACTCCGTCCCACCCTGCCCCGCTTCGTCACCTCACCTCCCCCACAGGCTGCGATGCGTGCCGTGCCCGCAAGGTGCGCTGCGCCCGCGAGAACCCCGATGACCCCAAGCAGTCGTGCAAGCACTGTATCACCCTCGGTATCCCATGCACCTACGACTACCAACCCAAAAAGAGAGGCCCCCCTAATCTGTAAGTCCGACTCCACGCGTTCCTCCTCGCGCACAAATCTCATCGCTCTTCCAGCTATCTGCGCCGCCTGCAGGAAGCCGCAGCGGCAGCGGCGGCCGTTCAGCAGCAAGATGGTCAGACATCTGCCGACTTGACCCACTCGCCATCGTCCACGTCACATAGTGCCGCCAGCCCGACCCACACCATCGCCCAGGGTGGCCTCACGTCCTTATTCGACGCCACAATGAGTCCCGTGTCCTCCCTGCACTCTGCGGGGCTGTCTGCCGCACGGTATACAATGCAGCCAGACGGCTTCCACTCACATTTTCCGTCTATGCCATCGATCACGCCGTCCTACAGCACCTCGCGCGCGTCGGCAGTCGACGACCCCCAGGCGTTCGCGTCCCCCCACGATCAGTTCAGTACATACCCACTTCACAACTGGTCTTACCGGCAGCACCAGTCCCTCTCGATACCATCCCCATCAACGATACCCCCGCTCTCCTACTATTACCGCCCACACCGACTCGAGGACGTCGCGCCGCGCGACACCATGCTGCTCATCATCGCGCTCTTCTTCGACTTTGTGTACCCACTGACGCCGTGCGTCCACAAGCCGTCCTTCATGGCTGACGTGCACTCGCACCGCGAGCAACGCGATCCGCTGTTCTTCGCGCTTGTCATGTCCACTGTCGCGTCCACGCTAGTCCAGGTTCCTCGCTCGTATCTCCCCATGGAAAGGCACGCGGTACGTAAGCTTGCGCAGACGTGCCATGAAGCGAGCAGGCATATTTCCGTCGCCTCGTATGACCCGCCGACAGTCATGCATGTTGTTGTCCGCTACTTGTGAGTCGGCCCGTGTCTGGTGCCGTTTACGTGTTCACACTATTTTTGTCTTGTGATAGCGACACTATCTACCATTTCTGCGAGGGCCATGACGCGACGCAGCACGCGGCATTTGGCGAGGCTGCGCACATTGCCATCACCCTTCGCATGCACGAAGAGTCGTCCTATGAAGGACTCGACCTCATCGAATGCGAGGTACGCCGGCGCACCTTTTGGCTGCTCTTCGGAGGTAAGACATGGTCGCATCTCTGTCCGTGTGTACGACAGTGCGACTTGCTGACGCTTTCGTACATAGCCGACAAGTCCATGTCGATCCTACTCGGTCGCCCCATCTCATTGCGCGACGAGGACACCACGTGCAACTTCCCTCGGGAGTTGGATGACGAATAGTGGGTGCCCTCCTTCCGCCGGTGCTAGCCGACGCTCACGTTCGCGCGCTGCCTCTGCGGGATGCATGCGTTCCTTGCGCTTTTCCCCGCGCACTTTTCTTCTGCCATGCCTGCCCGCGCTGCAGCATCACGCCGAGCGCGTACCTCCCGCAGCCGCACGGCAAGACGGCCATCGTCGCGGGGCTGAACTACATCTCGCGCATCTTCGCGCTGCTCGGCGAGATCCTTGTGCGCATCCGCGTCGACAAGCGCTCGCCGCCGCAAGGGCAGTTTCTCACTGCGCGGCTTGAGGAGGTGCAGGCGCTGCACGCGCGCATCCTGGGCGCGCTCGCGCATGCGCCGGAGCCGCTGCGGCTCAAGACGGTGCACGCGCCGCAGCACATCCCGCCCGAGTACGGCGGCGCGGGCTTCCGCCAGGCGACGTTTGCGGAGGTCAAGGACTTTTTCGACAACCCGAACGCGTCGCGCGAGAATGCGCTCAACCCGTTCCTCGTCATGCAGGCGAACGTGTATGTCACACAGGTACGTCCGTGTCCGTGCTCGACTCATTGCACGCTGACCGCTGGGCGGGATTCGTGCTTTTTGCAGCAACTGGTTCGATTTGTGATCGAGCAGTACCGCGACGAGTTGATGACGTCCCTGCAGGGGAGCGTCGACGAGCAGCGCGTCGCCGAGGACAGGGAAGCCGTTGCGAGTGAGCTTTTGAATATTCTGCATAGGTGCGCGCGCTCTACGCCGGGCGCAGTTGCGCATCACGCGTGGCGGATTCTGACAGGACACGTAGCATTCCCATCCAGTCGATCGCCACGAACGGGCCCTCATTGGTGAGCGGATTGCGGCCGCGAAGGGGCCTGTGCGCGGGCCCAGCCGCGGCCTCGTGTACCGCGTAAACGTGCTGAGATCACTGTCTATCTGGCAGGTACATAAGGTGCGATTCGTCGCGTCGACGCTGCTGGACGCGGTGCGCAAGGCGGAGACCGCGCCGGCGTCCGCGGCGCGTGCACACGCGTATCTGTGTAAGCCTCCGCTGCGCGTGGGGCCTGCGTAACGCTGACGGTATGGTCTGGGCCGCAGGGGACTTCCTGTCGATTCTGTCCGAGATCGAGAGAAATTATCTGTGAGTTCTGGACAGGGCCTCGGGGTCGCCCGCGCTAATCTACAGCGTCCGAATGCGTGCAGGCTGGATGACGACAGAGACGTGGTGTCGAATACGGACGGGATGCCCATGATGGGCGGGAACTAGGCGTGGGGCCCGGGGACGCTGTCGCACCCTGTGCGTGTGCCGTGTTTGTTTTCGCGATCTCGGTTGTTGTGTATGTATCTGCCGCTGTATTTGCGCGCTGCGCATAGCCCATTGCTAATCTACCGTGTAGTGTACTATAATGTCTCCCGCGCCCCGGCACGTCGTATTGCATCATGTACCCTATTTTGCTCGCGCATTCGCTATCGAATTGCTTGTCCCCCTGGATATTATTAGTGGTAGCTGCGGGTTTGGCACTCGGGGACAATTACAGGTTGGCCTTGATCCTATGAATCTCTGCAATACACGTTCTTACAGCTTGGGAAACAGAAAGTGGATGCCTTTCCCGCAGGATCTGGGCGGTTTACAGATGCAAAGCGGACTCCGAAATGGGCCCGTCAAGCAGGTCGGTTTGTGCCGGTTGGCAGAAGAACCGGGAATGCAGGAGGTAAGCAGAACAATGGTATATGAGCCAACGAGGAAAGAGCGGGGTTCGAAAAGAACACCTGGAAAGGGGGATATAATCCGTGATGTCGCCTAATATAGGTATGTCACGGACCAGCCGGTCAATGGGACCTGAACTCATTCGGCAGCGCCCGAGCCTGACGCGTCATCCGAGAAAGGCATTCCTCGTGTTTGCGTTCGCCGAGCGCGTCCTGCGGACTCAGCCACCGCTCTTTATCTGCTGCCACCATCTGCACGCCGTGTTGCTGTCCCCCTCGCTTGACCAGCCTCGCTGCGTGCCATGTCCGCGAACGACCCTGGAACGAAGAGCGTGCCTCTCCAAATTACGGAAGGTATGTTCTGCGGCCATGCGAATCAGAGCCATACTCCCATGATACCTTCTCCCGTGTTAGTATTCTGACAAGTGCCGGCTGGTTCTGTCTCCTTCTAGATGAAGCTGCTGTGTATGACAGACAGATCCGCCTATGGGGTCTAGAGGCGCAACAGAGGTTAGTCACTCCATTTCCGCGTTTCCGCCGCAGAATGCACTTGACCACGCGAGGAACTCAAGGCTGTTGTCCCCGCCGCCAGGATGCGCAACGCCACCATTCTGGTGGTCAACCTCAAGGGCGTCGCGACGGAGGCGGTCAAGAATATCGTCCTCGCGGGTATAGGCAAGCTCGTCGTCGCCGACGGGGACCGTGTCGCGCAGGAGGACCTCGGCGCGGGGTTCTTCTTCCGGGACGACGATGTCGGGAAGAACGTAAGTCTCAGGGCTTGCTGCTGCCATTGGCGGCCATGACACGGGTCGACTTCCTGCGATCCACCGCGAGCGCGGGCTCCCTGTTCGAGCCCCCTCAGGCCACGATGGCTTTGCGCCACCATGCTGTATGCAAAAATACCAGACCTTCCCTCCTGCGTGGCACTGGCCGTGCCTTCGCCGGTTCTAGCGCGGCTTCGGTGTCAGATTGTGCTACCGTGGAGCAGTTGCGGGGAGAGCGGTCCCCGCACACGTTCGCGCTTCGCAAAGCAGGCCGAGTGCTCATTCTGATGACCGGTTTGTTCCTCTTTGGCCGCGCGTTGCCGATGTGCGTAGTCTGCAAACGCCTTCCCGTTCGCTCCGATCCGCGATTGGGCCTCCCCCGATCATCGCCATGCAGTGGGTGTACGTTTAAGACAAGCTAACACGCGCGAATAGAAAGCAGAGGCGGCCAAATCGCGTGTGGAGTCGCTCAATCCGCTTGTGACTGTCGAAGCCCTGCCAGCCGCCGTCAAATTGGAGGGACACACCCTCGATTCGCTGGTCAAAGACGTGGACATGGTTTGCGTCACAGACCTGGACCGCGAGAGCGTGGTACGTAACACGAATGTCCACTCAGTAAGATGTCAGTCCGACACTTCCGCAGATTCGCGTGAACGATGCGTGTCGGCGGGCCGGTAAACCTTTCTACGCAGGGGGCACATTCGGCCTTCTTGGATATATTTTCTGTGACCTTCTGACACACGACTATATTGCCCCGTACGTCTTCGATATTGAGGACCAAAATAAATACGCGTGTCATTAATTCGCTGTCCAGTGATCGATCTGCTCCGAAGGACGCAGCAAAGAATATAAAAAATACGACAACGTACTGCCCGCTGAAGACTGCGTTAGAACACCGCTGGAGGGGCTTAACGCGAAGACAGACGAAAGAACTCAATCCTGCAGCGGTTTTCTCAGTCCTTGGTTCGTGGAGAACTCCTCCGAGAAAACATAGCACCCTGATAAAATAGTTTAGCCGTTTGGGAGTATCAATCAACTCATGATACTCTGCCTGACGACCCCGGTGTAGCACATGAGCTAGAAAGTATTGCAAATTCGTTGATTGCAAAAGCAGAAGTGAACAGGCAAACCATCCCAAGAATCCCGCCAGATCTGATTCAGTGAGCATTACTAACTTATTACGTGTGATGGCCGTCATCGATGCGACATATGTTTATAGGATTGCAGCAACGACGGCGGCACACGAACTGTCCCCCGTGTGCGCTGTAGTTGGTGGGGTGCTAGCACAAGATATCCTAAAAGCACTCGCCGCCCGGGAATCACCGATTGTCAATTTCTTTGTGTTTGACGGTCAGACCGGCGGAGGAACGGTCACTCGCATGAATGTGTCGTAGGCACGTAGTCGATCAGTCGCTTGTAAGCGGACGTCGAGAAGATGCTATGAAGATGTCACGTCCACGATTTTCAGGTGTGAGCATCGTAGGATGCCTGAAGCACTGGTGCGATCGGATGCGTCTCAATATATGGATGAAACAGCATACCAAATTATCGCATGCTGGGGGCGTAATAATACACACCAAGCTTACGGATAGGAGACTACGAACGACAAAGTCCAACAAGGTATGCCTCGATTACTTGGCAAAGTACCCGTGGTGACATCACGGTATTCAGCGTGAATGATATTTGTCTTTCGAGGTCAACGTTACGGTCAAATGACCAGTGCATTTTACCCGCTGGTCTCAGCAACGTCTCAGAAGAACAGAGGACTGATCTCAGAACTCCATTCAGGAAAACAGTGGATGACTGATGCAATGTTGTTGAGTACTTATCTGACAACGTGGGATCCCGTGTGTCACCTGGTAGCATTCTAGCGTTCCCTTGAGCTCCCTAGTAACGGTCGTGCACTGCGGCTAGGATGTCTTGAGACCCTGCAATTGGTGCCCTCCAGGGTAGTACTGATCTTGTTCATTTCGCGTATGTACTAGTGTCCAGGCCTGGTGATAGAAAATACACGTGCATGGACTCTCGTCTACACAGGTGAGTGTCTTCTGGAAATCTGTACCGTTTATCCTTGGTCAATGATTCATGGTCCAATTCAGGTAATTAGTGTTCATGCAATGATCCTTCGTAATCGGGACAGACCGTTTAGTCCCGCTTTACGGCATCATTCTCCTGCGGCCCCGGCGTGTGGCGCTTGTAGGCAACAACACCGCGGGACCTGATCGGCGGACCATCATCCGGTGAGATTGTATCTGTCGCTCGCGGAGCTCCGGGGATTCCAATGACTGCCGCTGCGTACCAGGTTTTCCTAGACAGGTTAGCTCCCCATAACTCCGGCTTTGGAGTATTGTATGATCAATCTGGGTAGTCTCCTCGCACCAGCTTCCACGCGCTGAGATCCGTTCGGTCTTCATGTCCTACGATCTCTATCGACAGGACACTTCACGGGAGACGTCTATCCCCTCGTCCCTGAGTATGAGAAGCGGTTGCACCGTGGCTCGGGCTCAACGCAGCGGTGCCCGGGGCAAGCAGGTGATTGTCCACGAGGTCGCTCGTGATGGCACCGGAGAACGTCCTCACCTGGTTGCATTACGGAAACAGGTGCGCTGGTAGCGACTTTTGCGCCAATCGGGAAAGATGGATTGCATACAGATCATCGACCCAGACATGCGGCGTTCATCGTAACAAACCGATCGCCCGCACCCATTCCTTTCGGCCGCCTTAGCGGATGTGCCCGTACAGGCGACGTCAGGGTGATAAAGTACAGACGTGTAAGCGGTCGCGTGAGCAGCCTCTGCAATGGTTCTCCATTAGCCGCCCTGCAACGAGATTTCACCATGAGTAGCTGGGGGGTACAAGGTCTACGAACAAGGCATGCGTGCGGTGAGGCTCCAAGTACATTCAGACAGCCGCCATTATTTCAAGTTCGACGAAAAAAGGTGCTGATTCTCTGGGTGAAGCATGTGATTTATCACACTGAGCGCCCAACTAATTGTAGGTAGGTCGAGGCTTGCCTTCACGTTCCAGCAGCCTATAGAAGTCCGCTACAAGATAAAGACTACCTGCAACGACCACGAGCCCATCCAAACCCTCTCGTTTGTGCCTTTCGGCTGCCCATTTCAAGGCGAACCGTAGAAGAGCCAGAGGATTCTCTTCCTGAACATCTCCGGGCTCCCACAATTCCGCTTGCGGTGCCAGTTCGGCGACGGCGTCCCGCAAGGTGCTAGAGGTCTCGGGGCGGACCCAAGGCATGCCATCTGGAGGCGTGAACTGCAAGGGAGCGACACCAATGTTGGCGGGGAGCGATAAGAGTGGGGCGAGTGTCTCCAATGGGCTCTTTGGTGGAGAGTGCGAGAGCGCGACGAGGAACGTGATAGCAGGCTGAGCGGAAGCAAATACTTCGGAGTGACTGGAAAACGTCGAGGTAATATATGCCGCCAATGTGCGCGCAGATGCGGGATTATGGGCGCCGTCAGCGAGCACTAACGTCGACCCAAGCCTATGGAAAGATAATCTGCCTGGCCAGCTTGTCCTCTGGATTCCACAGGCGATAGCTTCTCGTGTCATATTAGCGCACCATGGAAGTCGATTGATGCAGGACGGGTGTGTGAGAAGGGCAGAGATCAGCCCTAACGCGACCTCGAGGTTGGCAAGCTGATGCTCGCCATGTAGGGGTAGTAAAGCGTTTAACGGTTCCACGAAACAGGGCAAACGCGCCGTGATCGGCTGAGGTCGGAATTCAAAGGAAGAGGATGTGTCATCAATGTGTTTAGGACCGTCGGGTACTTCATCCCATTCCCGCGCGGTGACGATGGACGGCGTAAGTAAGTCTCCCCCTGCTTGACCTACAACCTCGAGAACGGCTGACTGCACCTCGGGATGTACCTGTCGTCCTAGAATGAATGGCTTACCGCGTCTAGCAATTGCTGCTTTTTCGCGAGCGATCGCTGCGACGTTACCGCCAAGAAATGCTTGGTGGTCGAGATCTACCGCCGTGAGTGCAGAGGCAAGGACAGCTTCATCTGGAATCACATTGGTCGCATCCAGCCGGCCTCCCATGCCCACCTCGAGAACAACGATGTCCGCCAAGGCCCGCTCAAATATTTGAAGGGCTGTGCACGTCAAGATTTCAAAGTTGCTGGCGCCAATCTTATGTGCAGCATCGGTCTGTTCGACGTGCGCGCGGACTGCAGCGTAGACATCAGGGGATACGGGCGCGTTGTCGATGGTGATGCTGTCATTGACTGAAACGAGATGAGGGCTGTTAAACCGACCCACGACGCCGGCAGAGGAGGCAATGAAGATGGAAGAGAGGAGCGCAGACACGCTGCCCTTGCCGTTCGTCCCAGTAATATGGCAAGTAGGTCGAGTATATAGGGGCAGCAGACTCTGCAGTTTGCGGATACGGTCGAGCGAGAGATCGATGGACATATCGCGAGAGCACTGCCGGGGAAGACGAGCAAGGAGGAACGTGGTTTTAGCGTGACTGCACCGAGATAAGCACGCGTGGATAGACGGGAGCAGCATGCGCACGCACACAGGCAGGCGAATAAAAGCCGCTCACTACAACACCAAAGCACCGCGTCCGACGTCGAGGACAGCGACGAGTTTCAAACAACATTTTTTTTATATCGTCGCTGGTCGTCGGTGCAGGGATAGTGTTCGGAGTAGAAATGGAGTTTCAAATGAAGCTGATAGACCGAACTTGCGCAATAAGGAGATTCGGTCTGAGACCGAATGGGCGGCATGGTGCCGGCCTCTCGGAGCTTGAACGCCTGGGCTAGTCGGTGGCGCTGTCTGCTCTCCATTCCCTCCACCATCACGATGGCTGCGCCTCAGCGCAGAGTCCCACCAAACCAGCAATACTACGCCGTCCCTCAGAGCCCCCAAGCTACCAGCCGTTTCCAGTCGCAAGCTCCTTCTCAGCCGATGCCGCCTCCCCAGCCGTCGACCAGTCAAGCCGGACGCAGCGACACGACGTACGGTGTCGCGACCGGCACCATTGGTGGTGGATACGGACCGTACTCTGTGCGCTCTGTTTCTGTTCTCTTCATAGTCATGCAGGCCGTGCTGACTGTAGACAGTACAACCCCGCCGCCGCCGCCAATAACGGTCACTATGGCTCGTCGAGATTCAGCGCTGCTATATCCGAGACATCTGTGGGAACGGCCGGTGAGAAGACGGTCAACACTGCAACGCCCATAGTAGGTTCCGCGACGGTGCAGCCATACCCGTACCTGTGGGACACGAAGGATCCCGATCTCGACGATGCTCTGCACAACCCCGACCCCATTCGAGATGCTGCCATTGAGCGAAGTTGCACACCCTTCTCTCTCCGTGGATGGCTGAACGTCTCGGCGCTCGTCATCCTCGTCGGCGCCTTACTCACACTATTCGCGGGATATCCTATCATCAATTACTATGAACATCCAACGCCGAAGTCCGCAGGGTACAATCTGGGCGGGATCAATGGCTCCGGTCAAATACCGGACCTGCCCCATATGCGTCAATTGGTCGACAAAGACACTCCAGACTCTGCTCTCAAGCACACGGCGTCAGATGGGTCTACGTACAAGCTGGTGTTTAGCGATGAATTCGAGACGCCTGGCCGCACATTTTGGCCTGGGGACGACCCGTTCTGGGAGGCGGTCGATTTGAACTACTGGCCCACTGGTGATATTGAGTGGTACACGCCTACAGTAAGTTGTAGCTTCATAGGCTGTCACTCTGCATTACATACCATTGCCTTAATCTACAGCAAGCCACCACGGAGAACGGAAAACTGGTCATCACGATGGAGGAAGTAGAGAACCATAACTTGAACTTCCGCAGCTCAATGCTTCAGACTTGGAACAAGTTCTGCTTTACAACTGGTTACGTCGAAATATCGGTCAGCCTTCCTGGATCGCACGATGCACCCGGGTTCTGGCCGGCTGCATGGACGATGGGCAATTTGGTGCGTGGTTTCTCATCAAATTTCACCTTCAAACTAACATCTCATACATAGGGCCGTGCTGGCTATGGTGCAACTACCCAGGGAACATGGCCATACTCTTATGATGCTTGCGATGTCGGAACCTTCCCGAACCAGACGTACGCCAATAGCACTCCAGCGGCTGCCGATGGTCTCAGCATCCAGCCTGGACAAAAGTTATCCGCGTGTACATGTCCTGGTTCTGATCACCCTGGCCCTTCGGTCGACGTTGGCCGTTCTGCGCCTGAGATCGATATTTTCGAGGCACAGATTGTACCGCAGGGTTGGCGTGGACAAATGTCCCAAAGTTTGCAAATCGCGCCATTCGACCTCGGCTACGAATTCGACAATTCGAGTTCTGTGACCACGGTTTACAACGACGACATCACGTCGATCAATACGTACCATGGCGGCCAGTATCAAGAGGCAGTATCGGCGCTGACGTTTATCAATTCTTCTGTATACAACAACACGGAGTACGGAATTTACGGCTACGAATGGTATTCAAACCCGAACGACCGCGACAGCGGATATGTGCAGTGGTACAGCAGTGGGGAGCCTTCGTGGAAGGTCACCTCAGGGTCACTCCCTGCTGAACCGAGTCTCGAAATCTCGCAGCGACTCATTTCAGAGGAGCCGATGGTGTGTACTCCTGCCTTTTTTCAGTCTCCCCCACTCAGGTGGCGTTGCACTTCCACAGTACATTATTATCAATTTCGGCATGTCACGTAAATGACTAGCACATCATTTTCCTCGCGTGAAATGCTAACCAGTCGTTACAGCGTCGTTTGAGCTTCAGGACTGGATGCACTTGCAGTTCCCTTCGAAGATGTACGTTGATTATGTGCGGGTCTACCAGCAAGAAGGCGCAGGAGACGACGCTGTCTCGTGTGATCCGCCGAATTACCCCACAGCAGACTACATTAACAAGTGAGGGAGATCTTTTCATTGTAAACGCATGCGATTGACCACATCCGCAGCCATCTACCTGCGTACTCAAATCCGAATTACACAACATGGTCGGAGGCGGGATACGACTTCCCCCGCAACCGCCTGTACGACGGATGCAGCTGAGCCCGATGGCGGACTTCGTCCTTTGATCCATGATTAATGTCCGGTGCTTTAAATCTGATCACAAGCGCAGCTACCATCGTTACGACTATCCGCATCTATACCGACGGACATTTATCTTATATCCTCCCTCCATAGTCGTCGTACTCTCCGTTTCTGACAGTGTGTCCGACGTACGGACCTATTCCTCTTGCTCACGCTCTCCTATCATGCTGCGCACTGCACATCGCGTAGCTTGCACGCTCACTTTTCTTCGATGACTTTTCGTGTTTGCTGTGGTGGTGAACGGACGGTGTTGGTCAGCAGGTTGGTATCGTGTATATGCATAGCTTCTGGGCACTCTTTTGGAACACTGTCTCTGCTGTCTTGAGTAGTCTGCAAATGATCAGCATGTGCGAGATTGTTGGTTTGTGTGCGTAGTCTGCAGCTTGTGCTTGAGAATTTCCGTATGGGGTGAAGCCTACCGAGCGCCTAAGATGGACGAGGATCTGCAGACTGTGGCCTGTGCGCCTCACATGCTTTCTTGCTACTCCTCGTAGTCCACTCTCGAGTTGACCATCTCTTGTGGTTGGGGCGGCGCATACATGCCTGGATTGGATCTGCTTGACCGGTCACGACTGTCGCTCATACACGGGATGTCTTCCAATGTGCCCGCCAGTCGGCGAGACGCGTCGATGACCTCCACCGACCAGAAACCGCAAGTATCTATGCGTCTTTATCTTCGGCAAATAGACTAATGTCACGCGCTGCAAACAGCTGGAAGGCACCCAATCCGACAGTCATTCAGACGCCCTCTAATGCCTCGTCGCACTCTAATGTACCCCAGCGGAGCTTCAACCCCTACAGTAGCAATCGCATGAGAAACACACTCGGCGTCCCCTCTGGAACACGCAATCGCACCGCAGACAGGACAGTACTTGGGCACATCTCTCCGTTAGAGCCATTCCGCCCGACGAAAAGACCGCGATTGGAGCCACCGGGCGCTTCAAATGGCAAGCGACCCGCCGAGCGTGTTATGGCTGGACTCCGTACAGGTGGGACCATGCTCACCAGATTCTATGTGGTGCGCTCATGAACGGATGCTGACGCTGACCTTCCGGCTTTACGCTTGCCATGATCAGGACCGGCCGGCGTGCACTCGCACCCAGAGACCATCTTCGTCGATGCAGAATATGACCTTCAGGTGCCCCTTCGGAAGACATCAGGAAACAAACCCGCAGTGAGGCGCAGGAGCTCAAGTCCCGATCCCCTGGACATCCTTCCCGGCTCTGAGAGCGCATCCCACCCAATCATGGGCGGTTCGAAGGAGGTACCATATGATATTGATCTACCTTCTGACGCTGTCGGGACATCTCGTGTTCTGGCCTCTGATGGTGAGGCGACGAAGAAGCTACAAGAACGCGTGAAGGCGATCGACGTTGACGAGATCGAGGCGTATTCTTCTGATCAGGAAACGCTGCCAATTAGGTCCAGAGCTGCGACTCCAAATGGTACTAAGATTCCTGCTGGAGCTGTGCGAAAGAAGATTGATATGTTCAACGAGAGCGACAAGAAGTTACCGTCAGACAGGAAAGCACCCGACAGCAAGAAACCTCCTGACAATATAAGGCAATCTCCGGTTATCCAGAAGCCGGACAGTAAGAGGCAGCAATCGCAACTGCCGCCAATCAATATTGACCTGAAGAACCCGCCGAAGATGGAGCAATCAAGAAAGAACGCAATGAAGGGAAAGGTAGATACATGGCCAACATAGTCATCTCGAGTCTTGATATCACTTACTGCACATCAACTGCAGGCTCCCACAAAGCAGGCGACTTTAGATGCCCTCACAAGACCTTCCGGGTTGCGCAGCGCTCAGACAAACACCCAAGCGAACGGCAAGGCCAAGAGAGCTCCTCTAACAATACGCACGATAGCTCTCCCCCTAGAGACGTGGATCCTAGGCTGTCAACCGATGCAGCAGGACGATGATTCCGCTGTTGAGCCAATTCATTGGTTGGTCTACACTGATGGGCCGCAGCCACTACTGGCGGTGCGGGAGAAGAAGGGCCTTTCGTTAGTGGGTCGACGATTTGAAGAGTTCAGATTGCCTGAAGACATAAAAGCTATTACGGTACATCGTTCGCGCTATCCAACGTGCCAAGACTGTTTCAATCTTACTTCTAGCACAGCTCACGCAAATGCCATGCAACACCGCTCATCCTGTCATAGTCCGACTAAGACCATCTGGCCCCTCAAGGATGAACGTGAGGCAGGAAGGGTATAACCCAGGTAAGACTATTCTCGGACATAGCAAACAACCATCCAATGCGTAAGGCAGGCTCCAACGGATATGATGGTCGGGTAACGTTCAAGCTACAGACCGACCACGCGAGTTTCCGGAATAACAATGATTACACGAATCTTGTACAGGCATTGGAGGCAAGTGGGGTTAACATGGACTATGTCGAGTAAGTGCAGATCGGTCGTCTCATTTTGATGAGATGTCTTACATAATTCTGCTAGCGGACCGGGGTCCAATGGCTTGTGGCAGCAGGTCATGAGTGGGGTTGAGGTATTCAAGGCTCGCGGAAGTATAGAGCACGAGTCTCGTTTCTTCTTGGACAGGAAGGGCGCCGACGGTTCGATCTCGACAATCAGGGCGACTCGGTCGACTGTGAAGTCCACCTCGTACGTGTTACACTCTCTTCGCATGAGCGTACCACTTACTGTCAAGCGTATCCGCCACTCCCAGCAATTCCACCCCGCTAGTCGCAGATCCTGATGCAAATACCTCGCGGAGATCATCGCGCTTAAGGGAATTGCGTAGCCCAAGTCCCGAGCCGGATGAATTGTACGTATCAATATGGCCGATTGCACATCCAGGAAGCTGATCTTCGCTACGCTTGAAGGATGTTGGTGTATCCGCCCTCGGGTGCCGGTGCTATCAACATCAACAAGAGCGATTTCAAGCGGTTGAATGACCTATGTTACCTCAATGATACGCTCATTGAATTCGGGCTGAAGTGCGCCGTTGTATCACATTCTTCATGCTATGGTACTAATCATGTCACAGACTCTGGCTGGCTGACCTACGAGAAAACGAACCGGAGCTTGCTGAGGAGGTCCATGTGTTCAGTTCGTTCTTTTACAAGAAGTTGAATGTGCGCGAGTGAGTCGGAGGATCGCTAGGCTCACCAGGGTACTGATCATGATCCTGCAGCAAAGAGGATGGCTATCGGAGTGTACGCAAATGGACGTCTAAATTTGATATATTCAAGAAGAAATATATCATCGTGCCGATAAACGAGAAGTATGTCGTTTATGCGCAGTATGAGAATACATCTGACCGCACGAATATAGTTTCCATTGGTATCTTGCGATTATATACCGCCCAGAACATGTTCTCTTGCCTCCGCTGCCCCCTGCGGAAGTAGTGAAACCTTTAACGCGCAAGCGCAAACGCGAGTCCGGGGTGTCAGAGATTATAGAGCTAGAGGATATCGAAAACGATCCGCCAATAGCTCGTGGTAAACCTGAGGAGATCGTACCGGACTCGCGTCCCTCTTCTCCGGCGCCATCCTACCAAGCAGACAACGACGCAGAGAAAGAGATCACACCAGACTCCCGCCCCTCCTCTACCCAGCCATCCCGTCAAGCAGACAGCGATGCGGAGAAAGAGGTGGAACAACTCCTAAATCGAACGGAGTCCTGTACCATCTCTGAACAGCGGCACAATTCCGTTGATATAGCGGCCTCAGGGGCAGCTGGTGAGCTGGAAGGCCCGCAGGATATGGAGTTCATGCAGATTGATAACATGGAGCTTCAATACCCTTCAGATCCTGCTCCAGTCGCAATGGAAGTCGACGAACCGGAGGCCTTTGTCACTGAGTCGCCCGAAATTCAAATCATTGAAGCCTCCACGTCTCGGCAGACCTCGACAGAGAGCGCTCCTTCTGCCTCGGTTGATGAATCAACACCGGGTCTCTCGCGTACCGTGCCTCCTAACAGGTTCTATAGCTCTACCACCTACACGAAGAAGGGGAAGGAAAAGGCTCGCGATGTCGATGGAGAGCAGCAGAATGTCGATGTGGACGAGGTAATGATAACCGATGTTGAACCGCACAAAAGGTAAGTACAACGTCGCGGTCGAAAATGTTGCGCTTATGCGGTCTGATCATCTCAGCACATACGTATTCATTTTTGACTCATTGGGAAGCAAGCATCCGCAAGCCATCAAGACTTTGTCGATGTACCTCCAGTTGGAAGCCAAGGACAAGAAAGGGAATACTGATACCCGTAAACCTATTGGCAAACTTGCTTTAGTACGTACCGACCCTCACTCCTTGCTAGCGCGTATATGCATACGCATGCGTTCCAGGTCCCAGGTCAAGGAAACTATGCAGACTGCGGTGTCTACCTCCTTCACTATGTGCGAAAGTTCTTGAAGCAACCTGAGGGCTACTCTCAGCTGATCATGGTCGGTTCTTTCTCTTACCATTCCTGACAATTCACCCATATTGTGCCAACAGTCAACAAAGTCCAAGGGATATGACGCTGCCCAACGCCTCAAGGACTGGGAGGGAACCGCGGTCGCTTCCCTCCGCCAAGAGCTCAAGGATCGCATTCTAGAACTATCGGAGATATGGAAAGCCGATCGTTCAGCGAAAGAGCAGCGCGAAAAGGGGGAAGTGAAGCAGCCCGGAGAGAAGAGCAGCTCTACTTCGGTTGTACCTGCATCGGTGGACGATTCCGACGATGAGGTTGTAATCGAGGAAGTAGAAGCCCCCGCGCAGCTCTCGGCCAAAGGCCGATCTACTGCCCGTTCGACGCAGAAGTAACTCAGTTGGGGACACTCATCACCACCACGGTACAATAATCATTGACCACTATTGCATAGACCATGCGTATTTCCACTGCTGCTGTCCTGCTTCCTGCTTCGAGTCAGTTGCTAATCGTTGCATTTTTCCTCTTCTCTGAGCATGCTGTATCATTATTGAGAGTTAACTCGTTCACTTGTTCTAAGACACTGTATCACGTTACATAACTGCTATGATGATGCAAGCTGTTTCTCGGACCATATATAGCTGTGTTGCAATCTTTTACGGTCAAGATGATGGTAAATTCGGCGCTCAAGCATCTGCTCGTTTAGGCTTACAGGCATGCTGCCTTGCCAGCAGCAGCCCCCTCAGCCCATTTCAACTCGACTGGGCGTAGATCTCCTTATATGAAAGGCATGGCTTTCGTCCTGTAACTGCCGTTGGCAAACGCGCTGACAGGCGCACAACGGCCATTTATAGGGTCTTACCGGCCGCTACCGTTATAGCTCTCCATGTGATTCATATCGGGGACGCTTAAGCGTACAGTCTCAGCAAGAGCTCTCTCCGGATGTTATGCTTGCCCCTGAATAATCTGAAGTTGCGTGTCCGAGCCAGTGGCTGAGCTATCTCACTCCGGCCGGTGCACAGGATTCAACCGCGGACGGCGCTGCCACTGTGCTACTGCCATCGGGTACACGGAGCTCGAAGAGTGAGTTCTCCATGCTCTGCCACTTCCGGTGTCTCATGTGGCGTTTTCTGCGAGGGCCCATACAATTGGCCGGTCGCCACCCCCTGTCAACCTTCAGCCCGCCCGTTCAGGCGCCCACCACTCCTGTATAGCCCCTCATCTACTCAGGTCTCCTGCTCACGAAACGCACTAAGAAGGGAGCTACAAAATGGAGGGGCTTCTGCAGCATTTGCGTCCCTCTTTCCTTGCGCTTGCATCATGCCCTTCGTTTTGAAGCGTCCGCGCCATCAGAAGCTGGCACGCGCTATAGCTGACGCTGTGAGGTCACTTTATACCAGCTCCGAGTAAGCATTCGTTTAAATCTCGGTCAAGACTGCGGCTTGACTCGAGAGGCAGTAGGAGAAGCGTACAGTCCGAAGACGCATACTCTCGTGAATACACATCATCCAAGACAAGAATTCGAGCGCACTCCCACACTTTTCACAAACTACGACAAAATCATCCCATCGAACGACTTCTCAACGAGTTGCTGGCTCATATATTCTCTTTGGGTGCTGAAGATGATGCAATGTTCCCCGTCAACGTCTCACACGTGTGCAGAGCCTGGCGTAGGCTGGCTCTGCACACGCCCTCCGTATGGCGACGCATTGCACTCGACAGCAGGCTTGAAATGTGGTCGCAACGGATACTCCGAGCGAAGGCATGCACCCTCGACATCCAGCTCGCGCCCCGCGCCCTAGCGCTTCACGGGATGCTCTACAAGACGACTTTCGACGCGCGTACTGTGCAGCTTTACTTTCATCTTGTTATACCTCTCATCGAGAGATGGCGTACGCTCGAGATTCAATTCGAGACGTACGCACCTTATCTGTGGAATGCAGCGCTCTCTGCGTGTTGTGCACACAGCTCTTCCGTACATGCTCCTCACCTTCGTGAACTGTGTCTTGTCTACCCTGGTAATGACGACACCAAAGAATTCGCTCTTTTCGATGGAAACGCTCCACGACTCCGCCGGGTGACCCTGCTTGGTATCCGCCTTGCATGGACGCCTTCCCTCTTTCACAACTTGACGTACCTCGACTACACTCATCACGGCTTCACGGGAGGGCATGAGGCTGCTTCTGAAGTGCTGCACATCTTGCAAGTTTCGGCACGTTTGGAAGAGCTGCGACTTGCATTCCCATGGCGAATCGATGGTGCAGATCCATATGCGGATTCGTCCCTACGGCCTGTGACCCTCTCTTGTCTCTCCACGCTTGTCGTAAGCATCGAGGGACCTGAGGTTCCATCCGCATTATTGCTCGTCCTTCTTCACCTTTCCCTCCCCACCACACGATCACTGCGGTTGCTTTCCCGCTATCCGTTTCGTCGGCCAACGCTCTTTCCCCGCCTCCGACACGTCCTCAGAGCGCTTCCGGAACTACCCAAGCTGGAGCACCTGTACCTCGAACACGGCTGGCTCGATCCGCGCTTCGTTTTCCCTCTACTGCATAGCATACCCCGTTTGCGGTATCTCGCGTTGCAAGGCTTGCGCGTCACAGGCCCATTCCTACGCGGTCTTGCTGATGCTCTGCGGGCGCAACGCGAGGAGTTCCCGCTGTGTCCACCACTCGCGGTCCTCGAGCTCGTACGTTGCAGTAGCCTCACCGCAGAGGATGTCAGGAACGCGCTCGGCGGGCGGTCGGTGAGCAAGGCCTCTCCGTCTATCGAAGTGTTACTGGTGCGAGACTGTGGCGGCATCGAGCCGTCAGCGTTACGCGAACTTGAGGCAATGGGGTCTGTGACTCGCGTCATTGTGCGAGCATCTCGTGGGGCGGGTGCGTTAGCGGGAGGCAAGCCGAGGAATATCTAAAGTATCTTTTTTGATGGACAACGAGGACACCTTGGAATCCATATAATCATACGATCCTACTAAATATGTTGTACATTAAATGCATCGTAGTAGGTATAAATGAGGGGTTGAGATTGCGTATAATCTTCTGACGTGCGCGTGTATGGTGTGACCTTCGAATCGATAAAATGACTGACGCATCATTCGCGTTATTTACCTAGCACTCGCGGCCATATTCTTGAGTTGTATTTGAGTAATGCTCATGCATCCTAATCTTGCGTGTCGAACCCTGATTCTGGATAATGCTATCAAGCTGGGTTGTCGATTGTGATTGTTCCGGAATTCATGAGAGATGGTTGGAGTCCTTGGGTATGGTCATCAGTAAGCGTGGTTTGTAATATAACACCTCACAATATCTAGAACTTCGCAGAGAATGTGTCGTGGCATTTCACTGCACGGCCTTTGTTGTAGTCTAGGCTGTGCAGTATAACGAACGAATACTGACTGACTTGCCCTTAGCCATAAATGAATTGTCGAGCTCCGTGCAAGTGCTTCGAGGAACGGCGGGTCAGAAGAACAAGGTGTATGCTTATAAGGCGATGAGTAGCGTAGACGTCTTCTATGAGGGCAAAGAGAGATTAGATTCAAACCAGTAAAGTACGCAGAGCAGACGAGGAGATCGTTCAGCCCGCATGTGTCCATCTAATTGTCACGTTCTCTCCAGTGATACCGAGGTCCTGCCTCTCGTCGGCCACCTCAATTGCGATATAAACCGCACCTCCACACGCGTAGCGATCCGGCATGCCTCCAACAGCACCTCCGAAGCCGCCGCATGCACAATAGTATGTAGTTTGCGCCCATCTGAATGGGCGCTCTCCAGTGAGCTTATCAGAAGAACGGCTGCGCTTGGCCATCGTGCTTCCCTTCTGGTACTTTCCGATGCTGTATGTGCGGATCATGTTGGTGTAACAGTAAATGCAGCTAGAACACCGATACTCACGGGAGACCTAAGGATTGCGCCCGCTTGCCGAAGGCATCCAGCCGGGCAGGGGTAGCAGGATTCTCCTTGCTGACTGCCGCGTAGCCTCCGTAGAACTCAAACAACTCCGACGCGTCCTCGTCCTCTTCCCAAGTTCGGAGATTTCTCTCCAGCGTCTTGAAAAGGTCGTCTTCCGTCTGATATTCAGTAGCTCTCGCCCATACACTTGCGCGTCTGATAACTTTGGCATCCGGGGCAAGCTCTTTATCAAGTGAGCGAGTGGCGACTTCTGCTCGAATTTGAGCCATGAATGTCTCGAAGCCGTTCTGAACCCTCCGCTGGGTCGCATGTTCCCTCTTCTCGCGCGCCTTTCCACGACAGGCTGCACAATTCTTGAACTTCCCGGACAGAAGCGGTAACATGCACGACTTGCAGAGCCTCGAGACTGGAGCGGGCACCACGTCGGCACGTTCCTTTGGCTTTGGCTGGAAGAAAGGAATGCCGGAGTTGCCTATGGGCCGCGACAAGGGTGATAGCGACCTTGAGGAAGGAATGGTGGGATCGTAAGGTGCCGCTGTTGGGTTTGACGAACGCGAAGCGACTGCGGCATCTTCCGTGAAACGAGTCCGAGCCGTTTTTGCAGGAAACCCGCTGTCAAAGTCCTTCTGGGTGGGTCGTTTGAGTGCTGCCTTCGCTTTACCCTTCCTTGCCCTGATCTCCGCGAGTTCCATTCTTACTGCCTCATCTGGATCCCTTTCAGTGATCGAAATAGGATACTGCGCCGTTGTGCGCGGCCTCTTAGAAGGCACATAACCTGCAGCATATCCTGGAAATTTCTTTACAACTAGTAGGATGTTCAGCTTAGAGATTGGCAGTGACCAAATATGGATTCGACAGTACCGTGCTTTCCGGTGGCTATCATTTCCTCTTCAATGTCCGAAGAGAACGGATTGGCGTTTTCGCGGATTATGAACCCTCCAACCTTGTGAATGATGGGTTCAGCCTTGCGTGACGTATTTGCAATACGTCTGGGAGCCTCAGAAGGCAATTCAGATCGTGAAGGTTGCGAGTCTGTGCTAGAACTGTGAACCAGCCCGTGTGTATGCAATACTCGTACGCTGGATCGCGCTTTCTTCAGTGCCAGTTGAGGACGCGAAGGTTTTCCGATAGGTTTCTTGAAGTCGGGTGTCGAGGGAGATGACGCAGTCGCAATCGCATGCATATCCCACTGGCGCTTCAAACTACCCCGAGATTGGTCTAAATCAAGCGGCCTTCTCTCGGACTTCTTTGTCAGGAAGGGCGCAGAAGATCCCGATGCTTTCGATCTAGCATCCACCCTGTTGAAGGTCGCTACCCGTGGTGCAGGCACGACGCCTTTTCTGGATGGCATGCGTGAGGAGTGCTGTGCTAAAGAAGACGATTCGATTGAAGACGTTGCGTCGGATGGCGAAGGTGATCTAGACGCGCCGGAGGATGGCTGGTCTTGATCCTTGCCGCCGCCGGCAAAGTCAGTGGTTATAAGATGCATTTCGTCATTATGAGCCTTGTCTGAATGCGAGCGGACGTTGGCAGCATTCCGATGCCCATATGCGTTGCAAGGGCATGTCAATTTGCCTGCTTTGTCCCTCTCCAGCTTCACGTGTCTCCCTGCATACACTCTCAAAGACCAGCAATGTGAAGCTTTACGGTATATAACGTACCTTGATACATTATTGTCGCTGTAGGCCTGTGGCAATTCCAAACATGTGAGCGCATACAGTGATCGACATCCTTCTGCTGCGCAGCTTTTGCGACGTAGCCGCAACGGTCAAAGGAACAGACCAACGTGCGCGTCGACCTGGAAACACCGTAATCCCTTATATCAGCAAAGAAATAAACTAGGCAGGAAACACGTACATTATAACATTTGAACAAGTTGCAGACACCTAGCGCAATGGGAGACAGTCACTGCCTGGGGAAAGCGCCCCACAAACGCTCAAAACGCGATCAGGTGATCGTGTCACCGATTAGACTCCGAGTCTGAGCGCCTGCGACCGCCCAGCGGTCATCAGCTCCTAACAACTAGGTCAGCCCTTTCACTTCTACACCTCTAAGGCAACTAGAAGAGGATCCGCCAGAAGGATAAGCGGGTATATGCATGTGCGGAAATATGCCCAATGCTGCATTCTCTCTCCCAGGATAATGTTTGACCAGTCAATTAATGAAATGTAAAGTCGCTGCTCCTTAGCTAATTGCCTGTTCTGCGGCGGCCGACCCTCAACTTTATCAAGTGGCTAAGGTTCGAAATTCGTCACTACTCTTTGTATGGCTGCAGAGGGGTAGACATCATCCCCCAGTTCGTGCCTTCAGAACCGCCAAGCATCAGTTTCGCTACACAGTTTGTTTCCGTACGAAAATGATGCCGTTCACCTTTTCACTAGGGCCACACGGACTTATTCGTGTAGAATACAAGATTTCCGTAGTTCCTCCGATTGGAGAGTTCCATCGCGTTCCAATGTCTATAAGAGCGCTGACATCATGAGACGCGTACACGCCGTCCAACGTCCCAACCAAGTCAAGAGTTGCTATGTCTCTACCTACTTTCGGCCGCGAGTATCGCCTGCCTACAGTGAGTCGGCACGTCCCACGGTGAAAACTGCGTGCTAGTGCTCAAATGCTCGTTACACGAGCTAGGCCAGCGGCGTAGACAGTCTCAGGCTCACCACGGGCCCTGTTGATGCGCCCAAGGCGTTCGAGGTCCTCGTCAAGGTCCACGCCGTCTCCCTCAATGTTAGTGCACCATCCTCTTTTCATTGCATGCCCTGAGCTGATGCTGACCCCTAGTACCGCGACCTCATAGTCGCCAAGGGCATCCACAGGCTTGGTCAAAAGAGTAACCTGATCCCATGCTCCGACATGGCGGGAGAGATCATCGCCCTTGGCGAGGACGTCAAGGATTGGTCCGTCGGTGATCGCGTGTGCGCGAACTTTGCGGTGGACCATGTATTTGGAGTCATGTCCCCCGAACTGAGAGGGTCTGCTTTGGGTGGGCCGATCGACGGCGTGCTGGCAGAGTATAAGGTCCTGCCTGCACATGTGCGTTCTTTCGTACTTCGTCGACAGTCCGTCGACTAACTAAAACTTGGCGCCAGTCATTGGTTCACGTCCCTGCACACCTCTCCTATGAAGAAGCGTCTGCCCTGCCGTGAGTGAAACCAATGTGCGGGACATTACTCCAAACCAAGTAGACTTCAGGTGCGCAGGCGTCACTGCGTACAACGCTCTTATGGGGCCCGTGCCCCTCAAAGGCGGGGACTATGTTCTCGTCGAAGGTACTGGAGGAGTGTCCATCTTTGGCCTCCAACTGGCGGTGTCGTCCGGAGCGACTGTCATAGCGACTTCGTCCTCAGATAGCAAGCTCCAGATCGCTGCGAAACTTGGTGCGAAGCACTTGATCAACTACAAGACAACACCCGGGTGGGAAGAGGGAGTTTTGAAGATTGTGAGTCCACGGCGTATGCATACCGCTCGAGCCGTTGACAGGAGAGGAATGTAGACAGGCGGCAGGGGCGTGGACCACGTAATCGAGGTCGGTGGTCCGTCTACTCTCACGAAGGCAGTCAGGAGCGTGTGTTCTGGCGGGTGGATCCACATTATCGGCTACATCGGTGGTGTAAGGACTTTATTACCTATACATTACTGATTGGTAAGGTCACTAACCCCAAGCATAGCCGAACGGAGATATCTCAAGTTTGCCAACGGAAGTCTTGAATAAAGCCGCCTTTGTGCGAGGTGTCCTGGTCGGTCCGCGGACGCAGTGAGTGTCTTGTTTGGGTACATGACCTCGTGTACTCACACAGTTCCAGATTTGAAGCGATGAACCAGCTCTTGAGCGCAACGGAATTGAGGCCAGTTATCGACAAGGTTTTCCCATTTGAGGATGCCCGGGCGGCGTACGAGTACCTAGCCACTCAGCAGCATGTGGGGAAGGTCGTCATCACAGTGTTCACCGAGTGAGAGAGCAGCGTGGCTTCGATATCCTGATACCTTCTTGTAAGAAGCGTTCTCTTTCCGGAGGCTCATTGCCCTGATAATGTGCTGGACATCATGCAGATAAAAGGCTCCTCGCATCTATTTGTATGCATGTAGTAATGTCCAGTCAGCATCTCAACCTGACCCAGATATGCCAACACCTAAACGTTTAAGGCATTAGCCTCGCCGACTAGTGACCAGATCGCGCATTGCTTGGTGTAATCTGACTGCCTGAAGTACGATCGCCGTAGCTTGCCAGAACTGCTACTTCTGTTGACAAAGTGCCCCAAGAATACGTAGATCGTTAGCTCCCCCGATGAAATCGCGGGCACTCTGCAGAAGCTCAATGGCAACTCTTAAGAATTCCTCCGCTTATTTGAGACGACCAGTGGAGATTTCGGAGGAGGCTAAGCTGCAGCTTGAACAATGGTTCTTCTAGTATTGTCGATGTAGCCGGGAACGCTCAAACATGTCGAATGCGTCGAGAGTGTCGAGAAAACTCGTAGGCTAGACCATGACACTATGTCTGGATCTAGTCACGAGAAGTACGAGACCTGTAAGTCGTGCAAGGGATGCAAGTTCCCGTTCAACTGTGGATCGAATCGATGGATTGCTCCAGAATGACTCGTAGTTATCCCAGCAAAGCAGAACGATACATGTCGACACAAATACAACACACGCATCATCAGAATGTGAAATGGTAGAGGACGTGCGCGGATGTCGGCAGTCAATTGGGGGCTATGTTACAGGAGGACGACGATCGCCTCACGTTCCAATTTCCTTGTGTAACCTGTACTCGAACATCCAGAAAATGACGCACCAAGATCTATGAACTAATAGAGCGAAATTTCTCTCTGCTCGAGATCTCATGCTGCATTTTAGTAACAGCCTGAGGTGCACAGATCGAACACTGTTACTTACGTGCTCCATGCTACCGTTCACCGTATGCAGCAGTAATTGCATCTTCCGAAAATGATGACCGTTCTTCGGCTATACAACGATGCTTTCATTTTGAGCTTCGCCATATGATGGAGGTCGTTGAGACATGCGTTGAAAGTTGTCTGTTTTTGCATCCTGCGGAGCTCTTGCGAGCTTGTAGGCATTACTAAGTCCATCGCGGCATCACCTTCCCATTCAAGGGCGCAGTGTCAGATAGCCGTACGTCACTTGCTCGAGTCTGGAGTGTCTTGGATTGACATTCAGTGGATAGACGAGAAAATGAAGGATAACAGAATTCAGGGAATGCGCACCGAGGAACCGTCGTGTAGATGTCTTGCCACGCATCTGATACCAAAGCATCAAGAAACCAGTGCTGGACGCCACATCGAGGCTGTAATGCACGCCTGATATGCCCCCAGTAGAGTTCCAGGCGCATAATTTGGTCAGAGCTTTATGGTGCGGAATTATCTTGATACCTTTCAGTAAAACATAACTAGAGCCTGTCCGCGTCTTGGGTTGCAAAGAGTGAGGAATGAATTGTGTTGATTGAAGCTACACGTACTGTTCACAGCCGCGGAATGAGAGGCTGGTGACCATCTGATCCTATCTTGAGCTTAAAGGGGTGCTCTGATTGCCAAATAAAGCACAGGCTGATCACTCCTCTTCCTCCGCCTCGGCTAGTCCGCATCGCTCCGTTGTTGTTTGCTGCTCATAGTTGTCGAGGGCAGAGCCTGGCCACAATATGGAGCACCCGCCGGACTGCAAGATCCTGGTCATTACCACAAAGCCGGAGCATGCTGACCAATTTCTCCAACGTATGTACCTAGTAACTGCTCCTCGCCCATAACTTTCGACGACGAACAACTCAGGCATACAGGCCCTATCCAAGTCTAAGTCAAGCTCGTCCGAGGTTACACGCACCCCCAATAATATCACCCCGTGGACAATCGTGAACAAGTACTATACTGCAGACGTGCATTTCGAGACTCGTCTAGCGCAGGAGTTCAAGTCCTCCCATGCCAAAGGCGTGCCAGCTATCATATATGTTTGGCAGCAGGGCGATGTGAGTGTATCCTCACTTGCTCGTTTCCACATGTGATCGACCCATCTCAAGCCTTACCGAGAACAAGTTCTCGACGTCGCGAGTAGTTTACGCCCTCATGATCCAGACGTGTCGCTGGCAGTCAAGTTTGGTAACAATGCTGTGCCAATATCTGAGGATGAAGAGGGTACGGATGAGTTTCTGTCCGCGCATGGCTTTGAATACATCGAAGGCGACCGAGTACCCAGGAAAGACATGCAGGACGAGGATGGGCACTCTGAGGACTCGGATTCAGGTATTCGCCATTACACCCATTCTATGCATTTTCCTATACACTAACGCCATGATGCACAGACATCCCAGGCCTTCCGCGGGTCATTGATGCTCTCAGCACCATCATGTGGCCTTCTATGGTGCAGTCTGACTCGACTCGCAACCGCAAGAGCCGCGCACGCGAGCTGGTTGGCTGGGCGCGCGAAGAGGAGGAGGAGGATGGCCTCCGCGCACTCATTTCGGATACCCTCAGCGCGAGTGGATCTGGCGGCGATATGCACCCAGGCGGCAGCGGCGGCGCAGCGCGCAAGAGCCGCATGCAGCGCGAGATGGAGGAGCTCGAGCGCTGGCTCGAGGAGGAGGACGACCGGCGGGAGCGCGAGGACGCGGGCGCGTGGGTCACGGCCGAGCGCGGCGTCGGCGTCGGCGCGGACGGTTGGCAGGACATGCCGACGCCAACGATCCACACGCCAGCAACCGACGGTGGCGGCGAGCTCGGGTTCGATGACGACTTTACTGAGTTCGTCTCCGCGCCGTCGCCCCACGGCTTAGGCGCGCTCGATGCGGACAGGCTCGTGCCAATGCATACGGGCGCGTCATACCGCTCTCTCGCGTCGGTCTCGGACTTTGGGGGTGACCTGGGGGCGAGCGAGGACGCAGATGCGGACGACCCGGACCTGCCGTCGCGCGCGGAGATCGAGGAGACGTCACGCCGGATCTTTGGCTCTGCTGCGCCTCTGCCGACACCACACCTCTCACTGTCGAACGCGAACGCGTCTGCTATATTTGCGGACGAGCATCATTCCTTCGAGTTGCATGATGACGATGACGACTTCGAGATGTCGGCATTTGACCTATCGCGTGTGCTGAGCGCGCTGCAGAGCATGAAGGAGGAGATCGGCGGGATGAGCGACGAGGGAGAGCGAAGGAGGGCGGCAGCGCGAGTCGCCCTTGGGCTCGTGTATGGGCTGCAGGCAGACAGGGATGACTGAGAGTCGCGGCATTCCACTCAAGTCGCCCGCTACTATACATGATCCGAAATGGGAATAACTCACGCCAACACCACTGGATATAGAAGTATGCAGCATTCATTGTGTATCTTGTGTATTTGTACGATTTAGGATCGCAGGCACTCCACAACCATACTAGCATTATTCATGGCCAGATTATACGGAATACTAGAGAGCGAAGGAACGGAGCGACGAAAATAACGTATCTAATGAAGGCAAAGAAATATAAACACAGCACATACAATGTAAGTACCCATCATGTCCCATCTGCTAAAATCGGGTTTCAACGTGCATTCGACTGCTGTGGGTCTCGTCAAATGAGTACAGAACATCCAGCTCATCCATCAGCACGACATACCATCATGGTGCCCGCTATTTGAGCAGTTTCACTTTTGACGGCGTGCGTTGCAGTCTGGGAACCATTCACCGTATAAGAGATGACATCGGTTGCGAAGAATCCCGAGGTGCCAGGAGGGAATGACTGGGCGTCAGTACATGGAGACCGGTCGTTCTCTGGCGTGATATCACGCTCGCTCGTGTAAAGGAGGTAGGCCAGAGCAGTCATGTATGCCTTCGACAGTCCAATATGGACCATAGGTTGTCTAGACAAAATATATCCAACGACTGCTGCTTAGATAACCAGTGCACGACTTACAGAATAAAAGGCTGCACGGAGACCCTCGAGCGTCAGCCCGCTGTTCACAACACACTTGATAGGACTCACCGAATCGAGGAAATGTATTAGGTTCATGACCATAAATGAAGTGAGCACGAAGCCACTGGCCACAGTCCCTGGGATATATGAGTTATCGAAGTATTGGCGAGGCTCGATGGCAGTCTTACCAGTCAAGAGCTTGCGGCAGAGTCGACCTGGCTCGGAGTCTTGTGAAGGCAAAATGAAACACTAAGTTGCAAGTTGAGTATTTACGCATGCGATCAATACACGAGACAGTGCCTGACCTTTGGGACCATGAAGCCACAGCAAGCGAGACAGATGCCCAGGGAGACGCCGAATATCAAGGTGAGAAGCAATACAAGCTGTACTCGTGCTGTCTGCGAGTTGACATTAAAGGCAGCTATCCAAAAGGCTGCAATGACTGGAGGGTGATGAGCTGATAGCAATAATGTCATTGAGGAGTGGAATCAAGTCACAAGGTTGGAGGATTTCGTAGCCTAGGACACAGGGTACCGTGAGGATAGGCAGACGTGTTGCGAGGTCCTTCATATGGCATATCAGCATCGTCTGCATAACAAAGGCTGTGACAAGCTGCGTGATGTTCAGCATAATGGGTTTGTAAACCAATACATGAACCAGCCGACCTGAGAGCCAAGATCTTGACAATTGTACACATTGTGGTAGATAGGTTATTGTACGTTAGTACGCTGCGTAATTTATGGGTTGGTGATACCTACAAGCCAAATAATCTGGAGAGGCGATGAGTGAGCGCATGTGTGCCACACAAAGGTTCTTACACGTCGTGTCATGGAAGAGAGATGCTGATCCGGAGTTGCCAAGGAGCTGGATGACGCATATAGATTCTAATGCGAAGGTGACAAGAATACCAACGATGGGGAATAAATACTGTGCATATAGGCTTTTAATACTCCGATGCAAGGGCAAGATACCAATTAAAGGCTCACAAACGCAGTATCTAAATGTGGAGACGATCTGAAAATATATGTCTGTAGGTCATCATCTGCAGTGAGGACGAACGGCTGACTACCTTCTGTTGAGACCAATGGGAGAACAAGCAAGCCCACTGCCGAGCAGGCTAGTCCACACTAAATTCACTACCAACACAACAAGCATCACGCCTTCCCTGGAGGAAGCGCATGAGCACCTCTCGGTCTCTCAAAAACGCGAGGACTCTTACCATGATGTCAATGTTGGTGGCTGCAGGGTGCTGAGGTTAGGCGCCGAGGCGATCGACTCAGATGTTTGGACGATGAGAGTTGCCATAGTAGAGCACACGGAAGGGATCAAGGAGAGACGTCAAAGCGTGAAAGGAGCGACTTTGCACTCGCGAGAGTGACTCAGGGCTGGAACAAGAGTGGCTGCTGGTGGACCGCGTTCGCTCCGATTTATATGGCCGACCTACGGCGCACTACTGACAGACGGCGGGATCCTCAGACACGAGCCTCGAAAAAGATGCAAATGCGCCGCGATCGATGGAGGAAGGCAGGGCGTCATATGCGTATATGTTCATTGCGAGGCCACTTGCGCTCACGAAATTGTCACGAAGTTGTCTCTGAACACCAATCAGCTGGGTCAATCTACGGATTAAGAAGGGGGAAGTACCAGCCTCAGGGTCTGCGCGCCTTCTCATCGGACACGTTTCGGCTGCACAGCGACCTGCCGATTATCTTCGCCAACATCGTGACCGAGGGGAGACCGGTGCGAGTAATGGCAAAGTCTATCTGAGGTGTGCATACCGGCATAGATTAGCCTCGAGACAAACTGCTCGTTTTCGGAAGGAGTTTCGACCTTTGCGACCAGAATGCTTGGAGCATGATGAAATGCTACCCCGTGGAACACGACGTTAGTACTAGTGTCGCTGGGGACAACTCTCTGATCTAATATGACAAGGCTGATGGGAGAGGACGTACAATACCTCTGCGAGCTTCGAGACCATTTCGTTCACGACCACCAGATCATATAAAGATGGGCGCAACATTGATTGATGACGTCTGCAATGTACAATACACTTTGATTCCTTAGATTATCCTTGATACTTCGACGCACCTGCGACGAACGATACAACATGAACACAACAAGCGCAAGCAATCGAGGAAAGCACAGCAAGGGACTGACCGACAAACACACCCACTAATCCACCTGCCCCGCATCCTGGAACTCGTCGGATACTTCCTCCGTCTCCTCTCCCTTCCCCGTGTCGTCCCGGATGCCGCCCTCCGAAAAGTTCAGGATGCCCGCGACGTCGAGCAACCTCACGACCTCCTCTGCCTCCGTGATGCGTATGTCTCCAAGGACTTTGTTGACCGCGTCCAGGCTCTGTGATGCCAACGCATCCTGCAACGGCTTGTTGAATCCCTGAAACACGTCCCACCGCATCTGCAGCGCGCGCCGGACGTCATCGATGTTAACGCCCTCCAGCCCCTCGCCTTCGAGCTGGATATGCTCAGGTGGGGGCCCATCGGGCACGTTGAACGAGATCGTCTGGTCCGGGTTCTCCGGCACGAGCTGGATCTGCTCCCCAGGTCCCGCCGCGGCCTCCTCTGCCTTCGAAATGCGTACCCGCTCGACAAGGTGCATGTAGGTGTCCGCTACGTCCTTCTCAAAGACGGCTGTGGCACGCGGGTCGTGATCCACCATTCTTCGAGAACGCTATCAGCAGCGACAAGGGGAGCTGTGCATGTAACTCACTTGCGGAAGAAGACCCTCACACCATCAGCGCCTAGTTTGTCGCAGTACTGGAGCAGCAGACTTTGGTGTACACATTTCTGCGCGGACTCGGACTGCCCAGCGCTCTGCGCTCGGAACGCCGCTACAAGAAGCGCATCAGACGCGCCCGGCACGATAACGTCCCGGTGTTGTTTGATGAACTCCCAGGATTGCTCGTATCCGCGCAGAGGCAAGCGAGAGAATCCCTCGAGGGACGGCGTCAATTCTGGTAGCTCATCATCACCATCACCGTCTGGAGGTACGGCTGTTGAAGGTGATGATGCGGATTCTGCTGCTTCGACGCCCTTTGAGTTGAGCACCTCAAACTCGGTGGCAGTGGTCGTTATTTTCTTCTTCGTCCCTGCTTCCGGCTTTACGCCTTTGAGTGGCGGAGGTGCGGGTTTTGGTGGGACGTACTGCAGGGGCTGCTTAGAGCCAAGTATACCCGAGATAACGCGACCACGTACATGTGAATCAAACCCGTCGTGCAAATCGTCGCTCGTGATCTTCCCCTTCGCTTCCTCCTCCAGCTTCGCAAGTTCTTGCCTCAACTGCTCCTGGTGCTCTGACATCTTCACCGTATGCTTCTTTAGCCCTTCTACGAGTGCATCGCCCAGCCGTGGGTCGTCCTTGTCGATCCCCTGGTTCTTTGTCTCCTCCCATACTCGAAGCATGAGTGCGAGCAGCATCGCATCATAAGTCGGCTGTTCGGGCGCATTGGTAGGGGGCGCGTCTGGTGATGGTGAGGTTTGGAAACGCTCAACGAGCGAGGAGAAATGCGCGGAGCCTTGTGACGCGACTTCGATCATGATCTCGCGCAATCTCGGGTTAAGGACGTCGTTGCAAGCGATATCAGCTTTCAATTGAGCGATTCGGTGCTTGCGCATTTCACGCTTCTCGTGGATGTCGCGCTGCTTCCATCTGACGTGCAAAATGGGTCAAAGAAACATGCCTGAACAGTCTGTGATGCGACGCACCGTACCAATGACTTGTGGTCGACGTTCGGGTGCCCCTCGATGTCTGAATCATCAGAAATCTGAACAGGGATCAATACACATTAGACGGTGCACGACTGGCAATACTTACCTCAAGTTTGTCCCACTTCGAGTAATTTAGCGGCATGGTGGTGGCGAGTAGACAAAGAGATGGTGAGAGCACCAGACGCGACTTGCCTTCTATAACAAGCAACCCTAATAGACGTCTTAAATGGAAATTCTTGTACTTACCGTGATCGAAGTTTCTCGAAGCGACTCGACTAAGGATAAACCGAACCGACGATCGTACAAGGACAAAGCAATCCGGTTTCATCCTGAGTACTTATCATTGCGAATCTAAACGCTTTGAAGAGCAGGTATTGTTCAATCAGACCAGGACGTGGACATAGCGGCTGCAGGCTGCAGGCGCAACATGCTTATATTGTGTTTGCAACTGGTATCAGTGCGGACTCTATAGAAACGCCCCAACACTGCTGGCAAATATATGTTGCTCGATTCTACCTCGCGTGAGTTCATTTCGCCCATGCAATGTTATACTCATTGATGTATTTGCAAATGCATCCCAGTTATCTACTTTGCAAAATACTACAGGCGTTATGTGTTGACTGAAAGGCTATCGTCGCCCGAAAGGCACAAAGTGGCCAAGCTAGAATCTCGATAACGCTCTTATGAAGGCTTAGGGCAAGGCACTTCGCGTGAGGCACATGCCCATGGCATAATAAAGACGCGACATTTCATGGGATAGCTCGAGGCCCATCCCATTGTCCTCCACCACCGTCTCTCATGACGACCGCGCTTGACTCGCGAGACAAGTATTAAAGCCCTTAGTCCTCCCTTTCTACAGCAGTACCCACTGGTGCGGATCCTCCAGACGTTGAGAGCGAGTCTTGCCGCCGGCCTCGTCGTCAGGTCCATTCGGCAGAATTAGGCTCAGGTAAAAATCCATCGATCATCATGTTGCTCTCCCCAAACGCCTTCGTAATGATCGACTTCACGTCGTTCACTAACCCTAAGCGGAAGAGCTCCTCCGATGAGAGGGACTCTGGAACGTCTTCCCACTCGCCATCTAGCCCTGTGGAGGCTCCCGCACAGCGCCACAACCGCCCAATGTCGCTCGCACCTGCTGCGTATAGCAAGCGAAAGCTGACTTCATTCAAGAGATCAACGAGCGTGATGCTGGGTCTTGACGACAGAGTGAATTCTCAGTAGGCAGTTCTATATCATTATATCGACGTCTGCTATATATTAAATTTGAAGGAACAGACGCTCTACCTCTAAGTCGTCCGACGCAGATACTAGACATGAGGGGAGCTCTCAGCAGTCCTCGGGGTCGGATCCGCTAGCAGACAGTCGAGGGCATCTCTCCCCAGCGACGGTGCGCCACGAGTTCGTCGGTTAGCGAACAATGTATTGATGACTGGACTTTCATTGCTAGAGTGCAAGCGGCAGCGTGGGTCATGTGTTCAGAGAACCTTACTCACATTCTAGTGATGGTCACTCGTTGGATAGCGAACTAGCCAACGTCGAAGAGCTACGCGAACTGTACCGGAAGTCGCAGGCTAGAGAGTCAAACTTCGCCAAACGCAATGGGAAGAAGCTTCATCGATACCCAACACACGATGTCCCTTACCCAAGAAGCTTCGACAGAGAGGTGATCGACCTGTGAGCATCTTGGCGCCCCTCCCCTTCCCCGCCTTGGTGACACTTTTTGCCAGAGATGTCTGGTGCATGATCTGGGGACATCAACTCGTTGGAGAAGTTGCACTGCGCGGGGAAAAGGGTTATCCAGACAAAATGTCAGATTTTTCGCGAGTGTCACAGGCCATTTGGCGGCTAATCACACCATCGAACCTTGCAGTTTAGACTTGGGATGCGGTACGCCCCCGTTTTAGTTATGAATGTGCGTGGATCGACCGATCACTCGATCGCGTCCCACAGGCACCGGCTCATGGATACTAAATGCAAGCATGAAGTGGAAGGTGTGTGTAAGCATAAACACTCAAGATCACAGATCCCCTTGACACCACTTTACAGACAACTCACTTCGTTGGCAAGTATCGCAAGAGATTGTGAAGACGCATGTGCTAAGGTAGCTGCACATCAACAGGTTTAGACATCGTGCCTCTGCATCCGGATCTGGAAGATATAGATCCAGATCTGGCTGCTCGCATTACATGGGTGCAAGCGAATTTGTAAGTCGTTCCGCTTATATACAATATTACCTGCGCGTCAAACATTCTGCAAATGACAGCTTGGAACGCCTGCCATTTCCTGACCAGGAGTTCGACTTCGTGTAAGTTCATACCCTCTGTCCCAACTTCGCCGCGTTGATGTTGACAAGAGCTATTAGATATGCAAGGCGTATAGCCCGCGGCGTCCCTGAGGATAAGGTGAGCATCGCTACCTCTCATTGTACTTCCACGTCACCAATCATTGGCAAAAGTGGGACTATATACTCGAGGCCAGTTCTACAACTAGCTAGCCCCGTATCTGTCAACCTAACCTCCATCTAGGAGATCCTACGAGTATTGAAGCCCGGAGGAAGCGTACAGGTAACTGAGCCTACCGCTTATCATCCCAAGGGCCACAACTCACCAGACTGAGCAACAGATTACGGAGGAAGATTTGTATTTCCCTGGGATACAGCACATGACAGCGACAGTGAGAAATATTGCCCCAGAGCTTGCGCCCACGATCACTTCGCCACGCTCGCCTTCTCCGTTCACACCTCCAACTGCGGTCCAGTCACTGCCAGCATTTGATGAGGTTGTCCTTTCGGACGACATTACACGAACTTCCGATGGTCATTTAGTCACTGACGACAACCATGTTCATTTCTTCAGTCAACACAATCCTCCCGTGGACCCTCGTGATCATTCCTTGCTCGAGCATATTTACAACGAGATGCATGCCGCGAGGTTCATCAATCTTACCCCAACCTCTATTCTCAGCAACACGCTGCCTCTTTACTTCGCCGGTAAGCTGTGGTGTACTCAGCGTTGATTTGGACTAACATCGAATACAGGATTGCGTTTACATCCCCCTCTACTCTCCATGTTTCCGATGCAAGAGCGCGGGCCTGACGCCTCCTTGGCGACCCCCCGCTCTCTCGCCTTGTCCCTCAGCAACTCATCCAACCTAAAGTCACACAACGCCCAGATGCGCTCAAACCAAGAGTTCTATATCGAGCAGGAAACCATCATCCAGCGCGCCGACCGCCTCGACTTCGCGCTCACACATCCCCAGCCAGATCGACTTCGCCCTTTCCTCAACGTCCCGCAGCTCATATCCGGCAAAAGTCTCTACGCACGAGCAGACATGGAGCGCTACAACGCATACGGCCCGCGCTCGATCTTCCCGCCAAGCGAGTTCCAGCGACATCACTTCGAGGGGGTTGACCCCACGCTCATGCGCTCGGCCGCCGCGCAGAAGGCATATTCACGCACGCCTGGTATAAAAGAGAGCGCTGATCGCCTGTCGGTCGACTCAATCCGCTACGACTTGCGCACGCTCAACCTGCAGCTCGCCCTGCGCGTGCAGGAGGTGCTCTCGTGCTCGGAGGCTATGTGGGATTTCGTTGTTGAATTCCAGACCGCGCACGTCTCCGCCGAGCAACCCCCCGCTGAGGCGCAAGGTGTACGGGGGAAAACTTCACGACAGAACTCCGACATGGGGCTCCCGACAGCTCACCGCGGATCTGTGCTGGATCCAATGGAAATCATGATAATGCAATTGACAAGACAGCAGTTCGATTTTCTGCTACGGCGCTTCAAGTTGTGAGTAGTTCCTCTGGCAGAGTAGTTTCTCCGCTGACATATTTTATGCTACTTTTGATCATATGGCAGCGATGTGCAGGACTACATGGATTTGACCGACGTACTGGAGAACCGTCTGCATTGGGGCCCTGTCTCTCTGTGTCGAACCGACGAGCGAAAGGAGTTTGACGTCCTCTGTGAAGCATGGGAGCAATATCAAGCAGAGCTGCAAGCAGGCGCCGTGCGCCGACCCAGCGCTCGCGCAAGCACAGCATCGAACCTCCCCTCCAAACGCTCGCATGAGGCCAGGAGCTACGGTGACGACGGCTTGGGGACCAGCAGGCCACATGCTCGCACCTCCCTTAACACCGCACGCCAAGACGGACACAGCGCGCCTCCTCATGAATCCGAGTCTGCCACGGCAGCACACAAACTCGCCTCGGCGCGCCGGTCCGCTCCCAGTCCCAACGCCGTTCCCGTCCACGAGCGGCTCTCCCGCACCATCCGCACCTTCGTGGCTTACAAGGCCTAGAAGCGGCTGCTTTTCCCGAATGGGGCAGCGCAGATTGTGTGCTCGGTGCCGAGGCGGCCTCATACTGCCTCCGTTCGCCTGGCTCCGTAGCGCCTCTCCGGACCCTCTTCCTTCATTTGTCTCCTGCCCCCACGCAGACCATACATGGTTTAGCTCACGATATGCATAAGCACGGGATATTTACAGCGAACATGCACTCGCTGCGGCAGAAGGCTCGCGCAGCGACTTCTCTCAGGACGGACCTGTCTTCACTGCCTCAGCCTCCGGTGTATGGGAAGCGGCCAATTCATTGACGACCGCGTTATCTATGAACTCTAGATCTTGCCTCCTACCAACCGGGTCGTGCGCAAGCCCGACTCTGCTCCATTCTCTGTTGTACCCTCAATACCCGCATTATAGCGTCAACGATGTATTCTTCCATATTATTCATGTCCTGTAGACTTATGCCCCTCCCATGAGTTGACGTGTACCCTCCATACTGCGCTCATTATTATTGCTGGAAGGCCTAGGTGTGCTAGCTCGTTAGAATCGACAATGGTCCCTCGGCGAGCACAGGAGCAGACAGTCCTGCTAGGGCCGCTATTAGAAGACGTCCTCGGACATGGGCACTGTTGCAAGCCCCACGGGATGAGTTAGCAAACAGCTTCTTCAGGGGTAGGCCATCGTGCACAGATGGCACCCGACAGCGTTCGTCAACTTACACAACAAAGTTCCCCATTGTTCGGGGGCTAACATTGTTGCTGTGAGAACGGACCGCGCGGGTCAGCCTGCACCTTGGCGGGTTCTGATCGCGCAATCGAGATGTCCTGTAGCACAACTGCAGGAAATGAGGCGCGTCCGTCCAGCATTCTCCATGATGCTCGAGACGAGACCACTATCTTTCTTCCCCTTATAAGGTTCGCCGACTGCCTTTCCGGGTCCAAAGTTGCCTTTCTGGTGCGCATGCGCATTCCCGCCGCACTTCACACGTTGGGGTTGAATTGGCGATGCATGATTGCAAAGCAGCCCCTATGTGCGGCCCACTGGCCGGGCTCTCCGCGTTCTGAGCGCAAGCTGGTGGGGCAGCGACGCCATTAATATGATATTCCTCGCGCAGCTTCCCAAGCGCGCCACTGACAGGGCAGTCCATGACCAATTCGCCCGCAGCTGCAGCGCGTGGCTGCATCGTTCGTTCCCAGCTGAACGTGCGCACCTGCCAACGCTGAGATCAGGATATGGTGCTGGGATGCGTTCCGATCGCTCGATATCAAAAGCAGCCCGGGGCTTGTGGCACTCGACAGTGAACGCCATCTCCGACCACAGATCTGCGTCCTCGTGCGGTCCGCGTTCACCACCCCGACGTGAGGGTGTCTGGCGTGCGCATCTCCGCTCGGGTTCACAGCGCAAACCTGCATCCGCTTCCTTCTGCGAGCTTCCTGCACCTCTGTCCTCGAACGTGTAGCTTATCCAGCCCGTGCCTCGCGGGGGAAGACGGAAGTGCTCCTGTCACCAACAAGCTCGCGCTGGACGGGTGCAATCTGTAATACCGTCGCTGCACGCATCTCAGAAGCCTCTCAGCACTCGCTCGGACATCCCGCGCGCGAACATCAGCCTTCCCTTTATCACTCCCCGCTCTCGGCTCCCAGCCGCAGACAATGGCGTCGGAGAGCCTTCCCGAAGCGGCGGACAATGCAGCCCCCGCGCATCGTGGGCCCCGTGCGCACCCTTTCCATCAATGGCAGACCCTGAGGGTGCCCTGCGAGCTTGATGCTGTGGCGGTGGCGTTGATGCTCGTGCGGAGAACCAATCGCGTGCGTGTGTGCCGAGGACAAGCCCAAGCTCAAGATTAGGGCCCGCTTCTATCACTGAGATCCGGCGCCAGGGACGCTGAGGCTGAAGGACAGACGATGCGATCATTTATGTCGTGCGGGATGAATTCTGTGGGGGCCCGTGGCGCGCATGATGCATGCCAATACCAATACTGTGCTTCCTAGGAGAGCAGCCCTGTTAACGGGTATTTCACGAGGTTCGTCCTGGTCTGATGAAAAACGGCCGTGCGCACGTATGTACAAAAGCCTGCCGCTTTCAATACTCATCAGGAACAAGAAGTCCGTCCGTTGCTACGACGGACACACTATAACGAAGAGGTCTCTCCCGTCAGACTGGGCCTCTTCGAGACCCTTTCCCCAAGCTCACCCTCGGGGACGTCCAGCTGCAATGACTTAACTTCGGCGATTCGGTCTGGATCCTAGGATAGACCAATCTAGTGCCCGGACAGAATTCATTGCGGAGATGCCGTAAAACGCCGTACTGCAGCTGACGGCAGGGAATTTCGGCCGATGCAATACAAACAAGGGGTCTGTTCAAGGGAATCTGTATCGCGGGTACTGTCCAAGTTGGGTAGGAGTATGTCCGCTTTGGGAAGCCGGCGCTGCGGACAGCCGAGCCCCAAGCTCACGACGACGAACTCTACCGAGGAAGTCAGGGCCAGTTCGGTGGCAAGCGGTTCGACGAGGACTATCAGAGTTTCGAATTGCCAACCCTGCCTACTATAGGGATTGACAGAGATGCGCATACACCGTCTAGCCTCCTTCCAAAGAGCTCACGAGGCACAGTTCGCATCAGATTCATATTGGTCCGCGCGCTCCGCCCACGAGTCAGGCCTCAGGTACCGCATCCGGACAATGACTGATAGACGGCAGACATGACCGCTCGACGCGAGGGAGCGGTCGATTGACAGCACCATCTAGGGCTGCATCGGGAACTGCGCCCAGCTGGTGGCATCGCCGTACGGACAGCCTGGATCTGCCACCGCTACCGCTGCGGGCGCGCTGCCAGGGCTCACTCTGATCGCGCATCGCGTGCCCGGCTGTCCGGCTATGGCCACTACGCTACTATGTGGAAATCCATCCATCTGCCAGCGAGGTGATATAGGCTTGCATAGCCTGGCCGAGGTCTGAGGTCTGGCTGCGTCGGATGGAACGCATCTCTGAACAGAACAGGTGTATGGTCACCTCCCCTCGCAGAACAACCGAGACAAATGCGAGCCTTCGCATCTTCTCCATCGGACAAGGTCTGGCCTCCCACTATGATATGAACGCATATGGCAGGTCCGTATCCGCATGCCGACACTACAAGTGATATGGCGCGAAAGTACATGATATCGCGCACCAATACCAATTTATATGCGCGAGGTGCTTGGAAATGGAAGACGGCCCGCATATCATTAATTGAATATTCCAGGCAGAAGACAGCCCGGTCGTACTTCAAGTGAGCTATCAGATGGGACCGCAGTCCGACAAGCAGACGAGGACAGCCTCTCAACCGCACATGACGGCCATCCCATCACAGTCCATCGGCCCCATCACGAGACCGCCCATCTCTGGCAGCTCGCAGCACCCCGCACCCCCTTCCCAGAATAAGGATGCAAATAGCCCTCCTCGGACGCGCGAGATCGCGCCCCCAAAAACGGGCCGCCGGCGGAGTCGGGTCGGCATGCAGGCGTCCGCGCGCCAAACACGGCATGTGGGCGGACAAATGCGACAGCACGAGGCGCCGCGCGGTCGCGAGCAGAAGCCTCGAGGACGGGCACGCCCTCCGGCCTCAGGGCGCGAGACAGCGCCCGGCGGATCCCCCGTCGAAGCGGTGGCGCCGACAGGCTTCGCAGGACGATCGGGCCCATGGCCAGGCGCCGGCAGCGTGCAAGGCGGGGGCCAGTGGGACGGCAAGCGGTGACGGATGACGTATCTGAGGGCGAGCTGCCCAGGCAGACCCAGAAGGGCGATGCACGACATTGGCGATGGCCTGATCAAGGGGAGATCGAGGGGGAGAAGGCGTGCGCGTGAATGCATGCATAAATGAGGGAATGAGGGAATGAATGGCGCACGAAGCGAGATAGCGATACGATACGACGCTGAGCATCTGTTGCGCTGTCACCACTGTCAATATCAACGCAGCACGAGCTCCCAGAGGGCGACGCGTGCGCCTTGAGCTTGAGCTTGGACACTTGAAAGGCCTGCGCGCTCGTCCCGGGTTGGCATTGCCCCGGTCATGCCCATTCCCATTCTGATCGAAGGCGCAGCTGTCAATGGGCGCCCGCAGCATCGAAATCGAATGTGGCCACCGCGCACGCCGCAATCTGAACGCGCGCGCGCGCGCTCCCCGCGCATCTGCACCAATCAGGGACGCGCCAATGCCGAGCCAGCGCCTCGCCGTTACCAGGGTCCTGCGATCGCACTCCCAGCCCCCGACAGGGGGTGGAAGCGAGCGAGACCGGTAGCGAGACGTCGTGCAAGGTCGAGCAACCGCGCGGGCGGTACGGCCTGGCAGTCGGTGCTTGGCGTGAGACGGGCGACAACACGCAGCCCAGAGTGCGGGCGAAGTGCGCAGATACAGAAGTATACTGTCGTACAGATAGCTACCCAGCGGGTTCGCGAAGGCTATTCGCGCGTGCCTCGGTGTTCTGAGACCTGCCTAAAACGGCTCGGGGCCGGATCTGGATGGCAGGCCCGCTTAGCGAAGCAAGAGAACCGAGGATGCAGCCATCACACAGATCATCGCATCGGCTCGCAGAGTCGTTTCTGCACCCTGAAGCTGGAGACGTGGCTGCGACTGCGCGACAAACCTGCGAGCGACACCTCGAAGCGCGAAAAGCGCACGGGATGACGGCAGCATTCTATTGCTGCAGCGCCACATCTTGTCCGGATGCCGTGCCATGCAGCGGACGGCGCACCTCGAGCTAGCGTGTCGCACCAGTACCTACGCGGCGTCCGAATGCAGGCATGATCTCAAGCCGGGTCCCGGACAGAGCAACGAGCAGCCCCGAGCCACCCATATCGAGGCACGCGCGGATCCCACAGTGGGCAGTAGCAAGCCAGATGATTGAATGTGCGCAATTTGCAATGCAGCGGGAACGGGGGGCAATCCCCCGCGGTGGGGGGGACCCGAGGATCCAGCCGAAGGGCCGCCACGGGCTCCGCACATTCGCACAGACGGGTGCGGTGCGGGGAGGAGAGCAGAGGAGAGGGGGGGGGAGGACAGCCTGACTGACAGCTGCACTCGAGGCGGACGGAGGGAGGACGGAGATGGGGCCGCGAAGCCGCGAAGGCAGCGCCACAGAAGGCAGGGCCCGCTGCGAGTATGCGCAGTGTACGTACACGGGAGGTGGGTATCGCGTTGCTGGAGACGTTGTGGAGACGCACCGTCCGAGGGCCGATGGGGTGTACTGAGAACGGGGGTGCTGTCGCGGCGGTTTAATGCAGCGCGTGGGCGTGTGCGCGCGTGCGGGCTAGGCTGGAGTCTGTGCCATTCCTGGGGAGCCCAGGCCGGGGTCGACGCCGGAAAGGGCAACCGCGCGACCTATCGCGGAAATAGATCCGCCCCGGGGACCATGCACAGGGCCTGCGGCGCCCACGGGAGGCTGCGGGTGCAGTGGTGTGCCGCCCGCGACGTCACATCGTTAGATGCGACTAGGCGGCCTACGTGCAGGTGCGATCCTCGAAAGTCGAGGGATCCCAGCTGTTCAATCTGGCCACCGGCGGCAGATCTAAGAGAGGAAGCTGCGCACCGGGCCCGTATTGGGGGGGCCGTGACAGTGTTGGTCGGGCGTGATGACAAATGGCCCGAAGGGGGAGGGGGAGAGCGCCCGGCTGGAGGAGGCAGGAGATTCGGATGCTGTGAGGGAGGTGATGATCAGAGGCCACGGAAAGTTTGGGCTAGTGCTAGTGAGGAAGGCGGGTGGGCGATGTGTTGGGCAGGGGGGCAGTGATGAGGCGCGAAGGACAAGGGGGCGTCGGGGTGCGTGGGATGGAATGGGGCAAGGAGCGGGGATGAGTCGGGGATGGGGCGACGAGCGAGGGAGGGCAGGGTTCAGAGGGAGGCGGCGGGAGCAGTCCTCGTGCGGCGATCTGATGCGGGCTTCCTGGCTTGGCGGAGGGCAGGGTGGAAATGACGATCCCCTGGTTTGGTCGACGCGCGCTCGGGACTCGCGCGAAGCGGCCAAATATAGCGATGGGGTTGCCATATGCGCTCCGTGCCTGACGGGGGCATTGGTCACCTGCATCGGCACGGCCGGACGCAGGACACGCGTCGCCCGATCGGGACGCACGTCCGTGTGGCTGGCGGGCGGGGCACGGCGGAGGGTGCGCGGGCCAGCTCGTAGTGCGCGGTGTGCGCTGCAGGGCAGGAAACGTGCGATGGGGATGCAGTAGTACCGGTGACGGACGGGGGGTTGGGCGAGGCCTGGTGCAGTGGCATGGTGGGCTGTGATGGGCGATAAGATAATGGAGGGCGCGGGGTGGCGTGGGAGGCGGCAAAGGGCGGATGGTTGTGTTTGGAGGGGGTGTCGGATATATAGGGCAGGTCACGAAAATGGGAATGGTGTTCCTCCCCCACTCCCATTTCCGGGCAAGACCTTTTCGGGCATCCAGAGGCGAAAGACAAAGACGCGTCTGCTGCTGCTGCTGCTGCTGCTGCTTGTCCTCTTCAACTCCCGGTCTCTTCACCAGGCCTCGTCGCATCCCTTTTGACTCCCCCTTTTTATGGCATATCGCCCGTCGTCCTCGACTGCCACTCAGCCACATCCCCAGCCGTACCCATCCCCGTATTCCAACCCCGCGGGTCCACCGCCTTCCCTTTCGGGTTCAGCCATGCCTCAGTCCCAAGACGCGACCTCTCCCGCCCTCGCCAACAAGCGACACGACCAGCAACACCCCCTTCCCGAAGACACCTTCATCCAGGACCATGATGCCCAGGAGTCGGGTGCCGATGACGACGAAGACGAGGAGAAGCCAAAGTCCGACAAGAAGGCGGGCCGTAGGAAAATCAAGATCGAGTTCATTCAAGACAAATCTCGTCGGCATATTACTTTCTCCAAGCGTAAAGCTGGGATCATGAAGAAGGTGCGTCGTCCCTCCCCCTAAGCCATGTCCATTGTCCACTCACTCGCGTCGCGTCGTGACCAGGCCTATGAGCTTTCGACCCTCACCGGCACCCAGGTCCTCCTCTTGGTCGTCTCCGAGACAGGCCTTGTATATACCTTCACAACAGCAAAGCTCCAGCCCCTCGTCACTCAGCCCGAGGGCAAGAACCTCATTCAGGCATGTCTGAATGCCCCTCACGGCACCCTACCCTCCTCGATGCCAGTCGGCGCACCCCTCGGCCGCTCGAATCCAATGTCGATGGGCGCCCACCACGGCCCGACCCCAGCGGCGCCCAACGTCCCCGGCGGGCTCTCGATCGCAGGCGGCTCGGCGGGAAAGGATGAAGGCGAGGAGGTGGAGCCCGAAGATGCTGTCGCCCCCGAGGGCGACCGTCCCCGCAAGCGCCGCCGTGCGTCCTCCTCCGCAGGCGCGCAGTCGAACCAAGCCTCGGGGGGCAATGCGCCCGGCCAGCAGCGCCAGAACCCGTCGCCAGGCGCCGTCCCCGCGTCCATACCAAGCACCTCGCCGCACGCCCGCACGCAGCCGATGCCTGCGGTCCCCGGTGCCCCGCCGGCGCTCTCCATCCCCCAGCCCGGCCAGTCCATGCAGCCCGGCCTCGAGCAGCACTCGCCCCGCCAGGGCCAGCCCGCGCCCGGCGTCCAGCCAACGTCGCCCAACTACAGCACGGGCAACGCGTACGGCGCGCCGCAGGGCGACCCCAACATGTATGGCGCGCCTGCACCAGGCGGGCACGCGGGCTACCCCGGTGCGCCCCCATACGGATATGATGCGAGCGCGCCGGGCGGCCAGGGTGGCGCGATGCCCGCGGCGCACGGAGGGGGGCCGTGGGGCGCCCCGCCGCAGGTGCAGCAAGGCAACCACTACGCACGACGATGAGCCGGGCCCTCCCCCTCCCCGCTCCAGCGTTGACGGACGGACGATGTATGCAGCGCTGCGCGAGCGGGGACGTGTGCGCGGAACATTGGCGGCCCGCGCGTCCTACCGTACCTAATGTCCTGATGCTGATGTCTGTGGTCCCCCCTCTTACCCCGAGCTGAAAAGCAGGTCTCACGTAACGTCCCTGTCCGCTGTACATGCTGGTGCCCCCGCTCCTTGTTTTCCTCTCCTCTCCTCTTCTCGCGTCTTTCTTGGTGCCCCCTGCCGGGGCGAGTCACGAACCCACGAACCCCCGCTGTCCCAGTCTGTCCGGTCCCCGTCCCTCCGCTCTTCCTCGCTACCGTTTACCGTTACCCGCACATCTGTCCCCGGCAGCGCGCCGCGCCGTGTTGTCTGTCCCCCATCTTGCTTGCGATCGTGCGTCCTCTAGTTAGTATTACGTAGTCAGCCCTCACGAACGCGATATGATAAGCCGTAGCCGTAGCCGTAGCCGTAGCCCGTAGTCCTGCCTCCGATTCCGCTCGTCCGAATGTCCAGTAGTGTGCCAAACAAAGTCGTCGAATCTCGCTGTATATTTAGGCTGCCGTGGTCTCTCCGTCGAAATCGAAACCGACTGTCGTTGGACACTCCCGATGGGCTGGGACTTGGATGTGCGCTTGGCCTGGATAAGCTGCGCTCGCGCAAGAAGAGTGAAGTGATCTCCGAGGATAAGGTACGTGCTTGATGTCGTCGTGAATGTGGTCTGGTCCTCAATCATCTGGAAAATGATAATGGCGCGAATTTAACAGTTGGGAAGTCTTTTTGAGGATGGCCTTCATGAAATCACGCAACTACTGGGCACCGCGAGGAGCCTGGGACATCAGTGTCTCTACCAAGTTCACTGCGAAAGCCGATGGGTTATCATCCGATTACTTTGAAAGCCTCAAACGAGACCCCTGTCTGCATACTACGGACGCTCGATGTAAGAAATTGCCGTATACTGGCTGTGACTACCAGCGGTGTACTACTCGCGTTGACGTTTGTGAAAATCGCTGAATCCCCTTCATGGTTTGCTCGATCGTCACATCCAGCATTTCGCGAAAACGAGTCTGTATACAATTGCGCAAAACGTAAAAACCAACAACTAAATCAGAGGCGCGTAACTACTGACTCGTGATAAGCATACTACACATGGTCCGACTACCATTCCAAATACATCGACAGCTACACCCTTCGACAATGGGCCATCAAGGGCGACGGTAGTCGCGACTAACCCAAAAACATATCGGCCTCCTTATTTCCCCGGCGACCCATGTCGGCCGGTGGCGCCTCGCGCTCTTCATGTATCCTCCACGAACATTCGCCACTATGCAGCGAGCAATGTCGGAGGGCAGATGCCGGCCATGGCGGGATGCTTGAGCGAGACCAGGGACGAGCCATTGCATTTACCCCAGTCCTAACGAAATCAACGCCTCAGAGACGCGCCCGTCAAAGCTGTTCGCCGGATTGCGCCGTCGCGCATCTTCCAGTGCTTTTTTGATATCGTTGGCATTATGTTGCGGCCCAGCCGAAGCCATGGCGTGTGCGCAGAGATATTGTGCAACCTCTTCATCTATCGGCCATCGCGTGGCAGAACAAACATGGAAAAGAACCAATGTAGGCGTTAGCAAACATGTGAGGCGGAACGATCTGCGTACCAGTAGGCTCAGTAGCAGGCAGTCTTGACAAATGCAGCGAGTCACATTCGTGATCTCGACATTCCCCTCCTCCTGGGATTTCATACTGACATATCTGTTTCAATGGATCTGCTAACCAAAATTTCATATGGGCGAGTCTCAGTGTTCGTAAGTCAATAGGTGTGGAAGTTGACGCCGACGAAGGCGTTGACGTTGTGTGCTCATGAGTAGGCATTGACGAAGGACCACCATTTGATAGAGGCTGTTGCTGTCTGCGTAACCGGAGCATGGGGAACCAATCCAGTGGAGATGAGTAAGCTGCAAACTCAGGCGGGTATTCCGTGTTTCGGCCGCGGTCTTGGTTATCATCTTGGCAAACGGAGGCCTGTGAACAGTAATAACAGGTCATGCCCATCAGTACATATCGAGACAATGATCTTTCTCGAACGGAAGATCCATTTAAACAAGGCTGGAGAACGACACGTACCTGAGCCGACGTCTCTGCATGTGTGCTGATGACGCCGACTTCACTCTGTTTGTCACGAGGGAGCGGTGCTTGATGTGAAGTTCCGTTGACCTAAAAGCGAGAACAGGAGGGGAAATAAAGAAAGAAGGCAGGGAGCAACGCATGAAAGTGAATGTAGGTAACGCAAAAAAAGAGTATGTCAATGTCTACTCAAACCAACCGCGATTGCGGAGAAAAAGAAGACTCTTGCCACTTGTTCATATCGAGCCTCTGCAGTCAACACTATGGGTCGGCAGAAAGGAAACGCAAGACGAGGCCAGGAAGATATAGGCGAACACAGAAAACAAGGCAGACGAATGAATTTGGGAAAGGAAGACAGCCAAAACGAGTATAAATCGGACATGTGAGGAAAACAACGCACTTCACGGTGATAGGAATGAAGTAACCACTCGCCTTTGTCGCCCGTGGTAGTGTGTTCGAAAACATTCGAAAGTACATCTGCAGCGGCCCCGAGAAGGCGAAAATCAAAGTCATCAGCACCGAGCCCAGAGAGAGCAAGACAGAGGAGAGAACCAATCGGAGTTGCTGCACTGCTCGTTGGCGCGGAGTTTGGTAATGAGATAGAAAGAGGTATATGTGCTATTCGCGAGGCTTCGGGCGTATTAGAGAGTTGAAAATGGTCGTATTCGAATTCGACGGACCATGCGGCGCTGCAAGAAAAGCTGGGTGTTGTTGATCTTGAGCAGTCCCATTGGAGCTGGTTGAAGAAGATCGCATATGCGCAAGAGAAGCTGATGCCGCAGAATCATCATCCTCCACCTTGACGGCCGGAACAGATACCGCATTGGCCCTGGTGTTGTTCCTCGATGTCGGGGGCGTGGACCTCGTGCCCTTATATCAAACTTGAGTGCTGATAGCTGCGGAGAACGTTTTAGGTAACTCACAGCTATCTTCTTCAACTCTCTCTCGCGCTCGCGCTGAGCGATCATCTCTCGCATCTTCCTGATCTCCTCCTCTTTGGCTTGGAGCGCAGCGGGAGAGAGTCTGCCTGAATGCGTTCCACCGGGAGACACCCTTCTAGTAGCGGCAGTTGGATGTAATGGGATGCTTCGACTCGAAGGTCGTTCGATCCGGACGGAGTCGGGCCGATATGGATTGGATTTGACATCCACCTCTCCCATCTCCTCATCTTCACTGTCGCTTAAGTGGATCACGCATCGGCGTTGCCCACCGAGACCCGCAAATACGGTTGTTTTACGTCTAACAGGCGCCTGATGGTAGGGAGAATTGTAGGAAGCGAAGCCATTCGCCAACTGCGTACGGGATGAGGCAGGTTCCATGTCGACGAAATCCGCCGCCACGGGGCGCTTGGTGCCACGACGTGAAGGTGCCACATTTGTGCTCGCCTTAGCCTGCTCTGTGCTGAGGCCAGGCACGACGTCCACATCCATGTCACTCTCGTTCGGAGGCGTAATCTGGGATGGCGAACGCACAAGTTCACGAGGCGGCGAAGAGTCGGAAGCGGCAGCAGAAGGAGCGCGCGCATCAGAGGAGACGGGTACAGTGCGTACGAACGATATCGCCGGCTGCGAGGTGAACGAAGACGACGCAGAAAGACCAGGAATCGGTTCGTCCACATCCATGTCGTCAAAAGAACTCAGTCGCGATGGTGGACTGGGTGCCTTGCTCGTCTCTGTTGAGGGCCCGATAGTCTTCAGAAAGTCTTCAACCGTTTTCGTTGGAATCGGCTCCACATCCATCTTCACGTCCTGCGGCTCGGGGGGAGCAGGCATCGCTGGGGTCGCTGTTGAAGATGTACTTGCGCTTGACGACACTAGCGCTTGCTGTCTCGCCTTACGAGAGGTGAGAACCGCCTTGCGAGCCAGGAGCTCCTGGCGTCGCTGCTGCTCCATATCTAGCAGGTTAGGTGTGGGCGCGTTGCCAGGAACAAAAGGAGTCGCAGCTGCTGACAAGGACTGGGGGGCAACTTCGGTGGCCTTAGTTGAAGAATGATTAGGTATCTGATCACTACGAGGGGCGGACTCGTTCTGCTGAGCATAGACGGATACAGTATCTAATCGTTGGGCTGAGGTGGACATGATTGTGGAGGGCATAGACGGTGGTGGTTCGTAGCGCGGAATGCCCGTAGTATCAAGGTTCTGGGGAAGGCGCAGGTTAAGTTCTACGAACACGTAGTAGACGATTTCTCGACTGAGGCCACAATCAACCAGATACTCAGGAGGGACGCCCCAACCAAGCAGATCCAGGACAATGTCTTTGGCCATGTCGTATTGTTCCTGCGTCACTGTGAAAAAAAAAACAAGAATGAGACGAATCAATACATTCATAATCGAAGACCTACTAGCTAATCCGGGCCGAACGTGGTTCGCATCGATGACAAACGGATATGTATCCCATGACAATTGCATCGACATCGAGGACGTCGAAACAACGCTGCTTGCTGGCTCGGAAGCTTTCGGGGAGATAGCTGTTCCAGTCCTGATGGGTGGCAATTTTGGCGGTGCAGGCAGTTTGTTGCTTTCTTTGATAGGTGGCTTCACATCGGCCAGGAGCCCTAGTTTGGGTTGCACAACCGGGGTTGCTGGAGGCTCCGAGTCGCTGATCTCGCCCTCCTCTCTTGCCTGGGCGTCATCCTCGTCCTTGGGCTCCGTCTTGACCGTGACCGATACTGATGGCGCTGTTGTGTCCGATGAAGCGATAGAAGACGCACCAGCAGGCTCGTCTTGACCATAGTCTAGTTCAAAACTCTGGGAAGGCACAGCCGCTGAACGAGATAGGGTATCGGGCAGTGTTCCTTGCTTGCGACGCTTAGATTTCAAAGTCATAAGTGCAGCAGCCCTAAGAGATGCTGTCGGATCGTCAGCTGCCGTAGATGAGGCCGCATCCTGTGCAGTCGTTGGGCCTGACATTGCAATAAGAGACAAGGAACCAATGTTGCCACAAGCTTAGAGGATGAAGGGAAGGGTCAAGATGGGAAACCACGCCAAGCGCACGCATGACACGCGCACGGACCACATGTGGCCCAGTTCTTCATTCTTCCTAATTGGTAGAAACTTACCCCAGACTTGCAAAAATAAATCAGACATTGTGGGTGTGGCTTTGCAGTGCTAAGGCACAGCCGAGGAAATTGATATTGATTCCACACTGTATCCGGCTCTACAATGCGCTCCTTTACATTCGATGCTCTTCTTGAGGCAAGCTCGACTCGTAGACTTGGATAGACTTCAGACCTTCGTAGGCTCATCTGGGAAATCTGCAACTCTCCTAGGCTTGGCACAGGTTTAAGCCTACACGTACAGTGAGGACTTCTATAGCTACATAGACGCTTGGCTGGTTTCGGCCTGTCGCAGCTGTTGACTAGTCAGTATACGCAGATCAAGAGACATCCACCGAGGTATATACATGCAAGCGTATCGCTCCTTCATGCGAGCGATTCAACAGGCAATAGGTCAAGCTTCAAGAGTCAGGACGCGCGGGTTTGTGGCGGGTGTGGTGACGCGCCCGTGTGAGAAGCGTGCTGCGCCGCGTAGTGCGACGAACTGCCTGGATGCTGACATGAACGCTTCCCAAGTACAGTCCTAGTTCGACGTCGCTTAGACTGCGAGCGGACAACCAAGGACGAACCCCACATCGTCCTTCAGAGCAAAAGCTCTCAGTGACCAAGAAAAAGCCCTTGGCACGCAGACATAGGTATGGGATTCTCATGCATCTCAATTGTCCCTGGAGTTGGCTTACATGTGTCCAGTCAGCCTGCGAGATGACGTCCGCGAACCGAGCGTTACAGGTGTATGATATTTGCGTCGAAGTCGTCAAGTACGCCTGCTTCTTGTACCCGGCCGCTGACAACGCCAGCGCGATGTCTTTCACGGACTGGGACTTCGGATCGAACGACAGAACGCTCGCACGACTCGCACGAACGAATCGAACGTTCTGTGAGCCTGCCCTGGATGCCTTATGGAGTGAATTGAATACTTTGAACCATTTGCTGAAGATATTGCGAAGCTCTTACGAGGAAAGGGCCATCGTAGGGCGTCCGGACAAGCCATGTGTATGTACCGAAGCGTCTTACCCTACTTGCTGCGTGACGTGCTGACAATCGCGGGTGATGTAGATGCTTAACGAGAACATTCATCAACGTGCGTGCTACGACTCGAGTGTTACGCATATCGTGTCCGTTCCCTCTCCATAGGGAATATTCTCACCTCTGTCCACCCCTCGGTCTATCCAATACTCGCGCAAGCAACCCAAAGACGCGTGCTATTTCCTCGCCTGACCACGCTCGAGTTTAACAAAGACAGGGTTATGGACTATGCCAGTATGCACTTCATTGCTCCATTGCTGGTGTCAACTACACTCCAAAAATTGGAACTCGCCTTACCTAAACCGCCGCGGTCAGAGATCACGCGGGACAATCTCTATGACATGCCCTCCGGGCCTGACGCAGTCGACCGAGAGGAAGTCGTGTCTAAGACCCTGGACCCTTTCAGCGTTGGCTGTCGGGAGTCACTCGTCCTTATCGTCGATACGGGCATGCAGCCTCTACCTTCCATGCGCCCGATCGCCAAATTCCAAAACCTTCAGACACTGGACGTCCGTTGCATTTCGGTCGCTGACGTCTTACGCTACGGATCCGAGATACCCACGCTCACGTCACTCAGCGTCATGCTCGTCTATGACCCGGCGGATGCTATGCAGTCGCAACCTGCTGTACAAACACAACCTGCTGCACAACCGCAGCCTGCTGCACAACCGCAACCCGCTACACAGCCGCAACCCTTGCCGTCCACATGTTTCTCCAAACCCCAGTCGCTTACCGTCACTGGCCGGGACTCGGAGGTAGTGAAGCTCATCGGAGGCCTTTCTCGCACGACGCTGCCATATCTGCACATCACAGTGGACCTTCAGCTTCCGCCTGACGGCAATGCATTCAGCGCTGCATTAGCTGCGAAATGTGCTACGATGACAGCACTACGAGGAATATCAATCTACTATCGCTCCCCTCAGGATCACCCCCTCTTAGGATCTCTCTTCAGCAATGTCGTACCCCTGCTGAGTCTGCATAATCTCGAAGACGTTACAATATCCTTCATCTCAGCAGCCTTGGATGTTACAGACGACGACATGCAAATGCTCGCTACTGCATGGTCAAAATTGAGGGTCCTGACGCTCTCCTGGGATGTTTTCGACAGGGAGGTGCAGTTGACGCCGACATCGACATCTCTTCTTGGATTCGCTCGTAGATGCCCTCAGCTTCGCAAGCTCGGCCTCAGTTATGTAGATCTGACCGACGTTGGGGAACCGGCTTCGTGGCCATCCGCCTCTCATTCCTTACAGCAGCTCGATGTTGAGTTTGGATATGATGATGATTACGCCGGACTAATCCAACAAGAATTAGATCCTGAGACGACCGCGAAATTCCTCAATTGTGTTTTTCCAACAGTGAAGCTAAGTCACAGCATATTCGACAGGCTCAAGAACTACGCGGATGTGTTAGGCGCAGCCTGGGAGGCGCTACAGCAAGAGAGAAAAACAGTTGTACAGGAAGTGATCGGGTGAAATTTTGACCAATTTTCATTGGTATCTATGAACGCGGTACCAGTGCATGGAAAGCGAGATGTAGTTACTAGATGGTATGACCTCGACGCGCGAGATTTAATTATTAGACACGATCAGATCAAGATCGACTCGCACGTTCCTTCCTGAGCAATAATAAGTACCGAGTACCCGCGTCTGACCAACTAGTTCACTTCTCGCACTCGCTTATAATCTGCAAAAACTGACAAACCTCAGCCTAACCCCTGAAAGCAACGAGAATAACGTGTCTGCATGATGGTAACTACCACACACTATTCGGTATGTCTGCAAACATCACTCTGTGCAGACAAGTAGATATAGACAGGCTTCCATGCGAACAGGTAGAATCCGGTTTCTTTGCACAGGATAACCCATCCGCGATCCCGGCGATCATAGGTGCGGTAAGTCAGCTATACCTATTGACCTTTATCGCGCCGTTTGCCACACACGGTTCAGCTTGAATACTGTAAATGAGAGGGATGTCCTCACAGACTCATGGTCTTCTGGTGTAGCTTCCCCCCCGCTTCGGACTTTTGGACGACTCGCCTGAGCGATGGCAGAGATTCAAGGACCGCATCGACTCACTAAACAGCAATGCGCCGCACGGTACTTCATACAAAGTCTTCTTCCTAGGAAGACACGGGCAAGGATTTCGTGAGTAGTCTGATATTTAACGATTGCCATACCTTACGGTGATACCTCTTCAGACAATGTCGCGGAGGAAAAGTACGGTACACAGGTATGCCATGAGTGACTCCTAACATTGAGGCCATGACCACTACTCATACACCACAAGGCATGGGACGAGTTGAGTACTTCTACAAACATCTCAATCAAGGCTGCTCACTGTTTTACCGATCTACAGTTACTACTCCAAACTCTACGGCGATTCCGAGATTACCTGGGGCCCCGACCCTCTTCTGACACCCCTCGGCATAAATCAAGCGGAGGCAGCACGTAACGCATGGCTCGCCGAACTGACATACGGTATTTGCCGGCCCGGGCGCTGCTACGCGAGCCCGCTGCATCGAGCATTGAGTACATGGGAGCTCACGTTCGGCGGCGACGACATCCTTCAGCCAGAAAAGAAGAAGGTGATGGTACTCGAGGTCGGCCTTGCACGTTACATCGAGAGAGTGAGGCATGCTCACCGTGTTCGTGGTGTTTGGTGTTTGTAGAACCTGCGCGAGGAGCACGGTGTGCACACATGCGACATGCGTGACCCTCTCTCCGCTATCCAACGCAATTTCCCTCCGCCTCTATACTCCTTTGAGCCTGGATTCTCCGAGGAAGACCTCATCTGGCAGCCCGATGTGCGCGAGACAAAGGAACACATCAAGAGAAGAGCACATGCAGTTCTAGATAAGATTTTCGGCGAGGCAGAAGAGCTATGTACGTATTTAAGCATCTCATCATCTCGCAGGATTTTAAGGCTGTGTGGACTTTATGGAACGACTAGACATCTCAGTCACTGCTCATGGCGGGATAATCAATGGCTTCTTGGCAGCAATGGGCCGCCCTCCTTATGGTCTTCCTACCGGTGGTGCGTGGAAATGGCTCTGCGCGTGAAAGAGGTGCTGAGTGTGGTTGGCTGCAGGTGTCTTACCTCTTGTGATTCGCTGCGAAACCTTGCAACATACTGTTTGACGAACACGATACCTGGTAATAATCGAGGGGGACACAACACAACATACATTCGCGGATATGGAGATTACCCAAGACAAGTAGGACTGTACGCTGGAGGGTATCCGGCTAAATCCCCATATTTTGGAAGTGTATGTGGACGTATGATCATCAGAGTTTGTGTGCGGATAACAACGTGATGCACGATCGACAAGATCTGCAAATCGACGCGCTTGCAACTCAAGATTTGTTATGTGCGCAGAACTCTTCCTTCAACCGCGACGCTTCCTCACCCTCCAAATCGCTCCTTCATGTACTCCTCGAAAGTCGCCCGCTTCACCTCCGGGAACAGGTCCCAATGGCAGTCCCACCGCGACCGGCGGAACGTCCCTGACCCCTGTATGCTCTTCACCACGAAGTAGAAATCGACGGGGATATTCGAGTTCGATGCGATCTCCGAGGGTGCCTCTTCGGGGTGCGCAACGAGGCGGTGCGCGTCCTGCTCCGAAAAATATCGCACGCTGACCTTGCGCCCCTTGGCGTACTTGCGGAACAGCTCAACGAGTGCGTTCTGGGAGAGCGTCTCGCTCGGAAAGTTGAGGTGTTTGTTGGCGGAAAGTGCGGGCCTGCTGAGAGACGCGACGACGTAGTTCGCAATATCTTGCATACAAGACCAGTCCGCAGGTGCGTTGCCGTCGCCGACAACGGGAACCTCATAAGACTCCTGGTCTCGGGCCCAAGGGCACCAGAAGGGCTCTGGCTCCTGTAGAAGATTAGTGGGTGTTAATACTCTCGAAAATGGGATCTTTACTTGATCATAGAGGTCGCCAGCGCCGATAAAGGTATATTCTATCTTTCCTGTCTCTACTGCTGGATTCAGTTTCAGGTGGATCGCAAAACGCTCCTTCTCGTCCCACAGCTATGATGCATGGCGCGTGTCACTACAATGTCGAAGCGCAAGGGGCAACAGTCTTACAGGCATGACACGAGCTCCAGGGTCCCCTGGTGCTCTGTAGGCTTGATGAAACCCATATTCGGAAGGGTAAAATCGCCGCACGCCTGTTCAATGGTTCTGACATCAGCGACCGACCTGAAAGCTCAGAGGTGTAGCGACTGACCGGTCTCTATGGCTGCATCGAGAATAGCATATTGCGATGCAACGCCAGGGCCATTCAGAACAGTAATAATGGCGTCGACGCCTTGCAGTTTGTCCACGAGGGCCGCACCGCCCTTGGGATAGTCGACCTCGACGGATTTCAGCTGTGAATAGGACTGCAACAAGGACTTGTCGAGCGATTTTCCGGGACGCATGAATGCGATGACCGTAGGTTTGTACTTGTCCACGGGTGGATTGAGGAGAGCTTTGAGGACGGCGCTCCCCAGCATGCCAGTCGCGCCGAAGAGGGCGATGGTGTTGAAAGGAGCAATGCTGTTCGTGGTCATAACTTGAAGATGTGTACTGGAGCATAGGATGTCTCGATGCTACCTTTTATACTCGGAAACTGTGACAGGCATGAGGCACTCACGTAAGTGATGTCGTCATGTGGATCTAGTTCAGGATGAAATGGGGTATCCTTGGGCTCGTTCTGCTGCTCGAAACACCGTCATTGTCTTTGAACAACTGAAGCTGTACATACAATGTATACGCGCTGTAAACAAAGTGGGCCCACTCGTTCTGCGAAGATGCGTTGCTAAGTGGACCCACTCGTGTCGCGATGAGTTGCTAAGTGCCAAGTGGACCCCACTCGTTCTGCGAAGGTGAGTTGCTATTGATCCCACGGGTCGGGGAGAGTGAGGTATGTGCATATAGGGAAATCATGATGTGGTATAGATCTGTTTTGAGTTTAAGCCCTTGGACAACTAGGAAGGCTCGATCCAACCAGAGAGAAAGCCAAACAGCGCGGTGAACGGAATAAAGCATGCCCACGCTTTGCAGGAGCTTTCGTGTAGTAAGTCATCTGCATCGCTACTGATACGACCATCATGACAGTTGAAGGAAAGCACTGCTGCTCTTACATCTGCAAGCTGCCTCGGTCCTGATACTGCTCAGGATAACCGTTGTCAAGGAGGACGGCGGGGTGATGCGCCATCAGCCCCGCCTTACAACCACGGACCAGGACCACGTGTTCATGTCATGGACGATGCCATTTTTGGAAACCAGGATCACTTTGGCGAGGATGAGGCGAGGGGTTGAAGAGCCCGCTGCCGGTGCGGGGACCTGCGAGGCTCTCTCTCCTGTCCTCCAGCCGCAGCGTCCTCAATATCGTTGCCTGCTCGCGCTCGCTGCCCAATATGATGTCGCTCATGATCTACGCTTTATCTTGCTTCATTGCATCTGCTCATGCTATACCCCTGCTCGTGCTCCATAAGGAGCGCGACGTAGTCGCCCCGCCTATCATTAGTCCCGCCGCCGGTACCATTTGGCATGTCGGCGAGACGCAGACGGTGACATGGTGCGGCCGTTGCCCTCGAAGACTGACGCGTTGAGATCTCATATGTACTTGCACCTTGCAGGAACACATCTTCAATTCCGTCCTCGGTCAATATCACGAATTCTGTTGGACAAATTGTTTTGGGGTATTCGACATGGCACAACGAGAACCTGATGTTTGGTACGCGATCTTCCTACGGAAGCTATCTCTGTTGTACTCATATACATGAACAGACAGCCCGCTCGCCTCCAACTTCCCCATCGAGGCGGGCAAAGTCTCGTTTGTGGTCCCTGACGTTCCGACTCGCGACAACTACATCGTCTGCTGTAAGCTTTCGTTCCTACCTTCCACATTCCTATCACTCATTCGACGCTTGCCAGTGTTCGGCGACTCCGGCGACATCAGCGGGAATTTCACCATCATTGGCTCATCGGCCTCATCGGCCTCTTCCGCTACCGCCGCAACAAGTAGCACTGCTGCTGCCTCTTCCGGTGTGTTGGCTGCGTCGTCGAGCACAGCTTCTTCTTCAGCCACGTCGTCCGTCAGCGTCGTACTCACGACTGAGGTAGTGACGTCCATGTCCGTAACGACTGTGCCCGGCTCCAGCACCGTCGCCGCGAGCTCGCCTGTGTCGAGCCCTGACGGCCCATCTGCGGCTACTACCCTCACCGCGTCTAACCCACCATCTACGGAATCCCCGAGTGCGGGCGACCCTCCGTCGAGTCCATCGGTCAGTGGGGAAAATCCGGCATCGTCCAGCTCGGCGTCATCGTCATCATCGGGCACTACTTCTGGCAACGCTGCGACCGGTGCCGCATTCTCCTGGAAGGCTTCCAATGGCTTCGTGTACTCGTCGACTTTGGGAGTTGTGTTCGCGTTGGCTGCGCTACTATTATGACGGGACCTCGGTGAATGATAATAATTCCCGGGTTACCCCGGCTGTACAATTCATGACGCTCTACTCTACCGTTGCAGCACCTTATTCCTGTCATGATTTCATGTCTGTGCTTCATGTCCATTCGCCGTTCGATGCTACCGTACTTGCATCCATCACACCCATATCATCAGTAATCTGGACCTTGCATAGTGTTCCGCGACTTCACGCCATGTAGTTATGTCGTGTCATTGTCAATTGACCTTTCCATGCATCCTTTCACATCGTGTGGCTGCACGCAAGCGTTTCTCGATGTGGTCATCCTATAGTCCCACGGCCGTCTTTGAACCCTATTCCTGCGTGCGCATAACACCACATAGGTCGACGCGTCTGTGGCCTCCGGGAATGCGCCGCGATTGTCTCGTACCCATCCCCCCGTATCCGCACCCACCACCGCGAAAAGGGGGTCTGGGGCAGTTAGATAGGCGCACCCCCCTGGATTAAGCGCCCTACAAGCGCCGGGTTATAACGGTCACAGTAGGCTTCTGGTACCTAGAAATGATGCGATCTTTGATCGCGTTCCAAATCCGGTGCTCACACCTAGCAGGTCGTGCTCGAGACTGGTGGACGCTACATTGTGGTCTGCCACAGAATCTCAAGTTTACTTGTTTCAAGCATCTTATATAAGCCTCACATACTATATCCACCAGCAACCTAAGTATTTAATGAGATATACCCCTCCAGTAACATCATGAGAATGCCACAGATACTGAAAGGAGAAGTTGCAGCTTTCATCATGATGCTTTCCACAAGATACTTCATTTGGTCATAGACTTACAGGCTGAGTTTTGCATAGATATTTTTTGTGTGGCCTTTCAAGTATTTTACAAGCTCGGGTATGCCTTTGTTGACACTTCCTCGAACACGACCTGCTAGGTGTGAGTACCGGATTTGGAACGCGATCAAAGATCGCATCATTTCTAGGTACCAGAAGCCTACTGTGACCGTTATAACCCGGCGCTTGTAGGGCGCTTAATCCAGGGGGGTGCGCCTATCTAACTGCCCCAGACCCCCTTTTCGCGGTGGTGGGGTGCGGATACGGGGGGATGGGTACGAGACAACGCCGCGACTTTGTTGCAACGTTCATTATACTTGATTGAAAATAGTTCTCATGTCGCGCAGAATGTGGTACATGTTGTTTGTCTTTGTCTTGAGAGCCTTCCCACATGCTGAAACGCGCACACGTCCAAGGCCTGTCGAGTCTGGTTGCCAAGCCTGCAGAGGAGTGGACGGTGGTTATTCAAGACAAACACTGCATTCTGCTCGACGCGGAAATCATTTTACACACTGTAAGTCGTACTGAATGTCATCCGGGGACCACAAGGGCCAGTACATTGAGATTAACTTCTTAAAAATCATTGATCTAACAATCTCATATATATGTCGAGCAACGATATTATCAAGAGGATCATAAGGTGTTTATTGACTTTTGACTAGTAGTGTACCAGCATTGAACAACTACAATACCCGAAAACCACGAGTATGGGAGAGGTACAATAGAGCACACTACACATAACCGCTAGGGTACACGGGCTCTTCGCCACAGCGCTAGGGGAGCAGCTTAGCATAAATACGCAGGAAGCCAGAGGCCGCGTGATAAATACGACAGCGCCGAGGTCATAACGAGCGAAAGCGGCGGGAAGAATTGTATGCGGTGCGAGGCGAGGCGCGGAGATGGCAGGATGGGCCTTTTACGGCGACCAGTCCTTGCTCATGAAGTGCCACTCGACAGTCTGGACACCCTGGCCGAGCGGGACGCCGAGCGACTCGAAGAGCGAGGGGCTCATGTCTGCATAAAAATGTAAGACACAAGTAGGGCGAGGCGTACAAACTGTATGGGACGTACCAATGGCAGTCGCAGCGCAGCCCATGCACTTGTCGCGCGTCTTGCCGTACTGCACCTGGCCGGTGCTCGGGTTCGTGATCTGCATCCACTGTAGGCGCATTGGTGAGCATGTGAAGTGCCGGCGACAACGGAGCATGCTTACCTGGTTGCAGTTGCCACCGCCACCGTAGATTTCGTGAGAGATGGCGACAATGGCGTCGCTGTCTACATCGTTGTACCCGCAGGCGCCAAGACCAACGTCATAATAGGTCCCCTGTACAGAGTATTTTAATGGCCGTGGGCATGTTGAAGTAGAGAAGATAGACATACACGGCCGGTGTGGGTGACGCGCTTATCGATGGGAGACGCCAAAACAGCGGCAGCCAGTGCGCAAAGCACGACAGAGAAGATGGACAGGCAGAACATTGTAAAGGGATGGATTATGAAGTGAATAATCTGAAAAGAATGGAGTGCTCGCTAGGAAGCGAAAGTGACACTAGGATGAAGGGGGAAAATACGAGTTGGAACTCGATGAAGTCCACCGCTGCCCGAGTGTCCCATTTATATTGAAAGGGGGCCACGGCTCGCTCGCAGGCGTGGGGACAGAAATGGCCTAGACCCAGCATCGCAAACGCAGGACGACGTCGGGCGTGCAAGATCAACCCTGAAATTAAAGTTAGAGGTTCAAGGTACCGAAAGCTCAAAACTATCGAGGGCGCACATATTTGCGAGAGAAAGATATTCCCCGGCAGTGAGTCCGCCGGCTCAAGGACTGCTCGGCGATCGAGGACGCAGCCAATCGGGTGCCGAGTTACATTGCCGAAGGTGCATTACGTAATCCGGGTCACATTTAACCACGAAGGGGTTGCGAAGAGTTCTGCACAAACGCCACAGCTGCCGAGAACATTGCGGGAGGTATTGCAAAGCAAGGGCGTAAGCCGAGGCTATGGGGATGACCGAGCAGAGGTCACTGGCTCCCATACAGCAGCAGTCTCAGCGCATCAGAGTACGCTGCCGCGGGGTACCGCATGTAAAACATTGTCGCGTCGTCTGGTGTCAATATCGTCAGTTTGTGACAAAGAACGGTCTGCAAGACTCTGTCCATCCAATGTACTAGGCTTCGCAAAATCTCATGGCATGGGCTCCCAATCTCGCCGTGCGCCTGCGATGTAGGACACTTCAGGCCGTCTTCTGAACCCGCGGAGCGGTTGAAGACATACTAATCATATGTACCGGATCCCTTGATGTCATCGAAGCAGCTATTTCGTCCAGGTTTCTTGTCGATTAGGCCTCGACCAGACGGGCCTCAGCAAGACATTGCCGAATAGGTGACATCGACGAGGCGTGAGCCGCTCCGGTGAATGATATAGTCCTTGCGGAAGAATGAGCCCGTAAACGGAGGGACTGCAGCGTGCTGGTACACCAGTAGGATTGCCAGACACCGCGGCCAACATAGTCCGACAACATACCATACCTTTGGAAAACAGCTTCTAATGCGAGATTGTTGTAACGGGCTGTAGAGAACTACCGCCGCTCGCATCGACGACACAATGACAGCCAATCCCATTCAACTTGGTGTGTGCCCAGATGGACTTCGGCTGTTTCTTCGATGCATCAAATCCCTGGCCCCTCCGTTGCTCCCCTCGCACTCCTTCACGTAGCAACACCTCCGTCGGAGAGGGATCGAGTGATCGAGCCTGTTGATGTTCACTCGTCAGCCGCATGGGCAACTGAGACATCGCACCAGGAGTAGGAACGACGTTGGCATCTGAGCGAAAGGGACCCGTTGCGAACATCGGGCCTGCGTGTCGCGGGTTGTATCGACTCGTGTGAGAAAGCATCCTCATCACCCGCAGACGAGAACCCGGGCTGAGGAATGAGTCGCATTTCGTCCATTTCTTCGTCATCTAGATCCTCGTCCACCATCCTCCGTTTGCCTTCTTTCAGCGGAGCGTCTGAAGACTGCACGTTGAATTCCGCCCATGTCGCATCTGGAATCAGGTCTCGCCTTGGGTCCTCGCCGATATGCCCTAATTCGATGTCTTCCGCGTTTTCCATAGAGTTCAATGTTAGCTGAAAATCCCCACAGAAATGAAGCAGGAGACGCTCCGCTTGCTCCTGGACCACTTTGAGGATAGAGGCAAGATCACCTTCGAGTGAGTAATACGCATCGAACATCCTTCGTTGTGTGGCTTTGATGAGACGAGCCATAGGCTGCATGACTTCATGGAGACAATCGGACACGTCTTCGCGCGGCGCTCGAATGTGAGTTACTCGGGCCTTGGACGAGTAAAACAATGCTGCTGCACGCTCCTGCTGCTTCATGTAATCACCGCGTCTCTCAACCTCAAGCGAGGGAGGTTGGCCTCCGACCTTGACGACGGACTTTGTGAAGACAAACCAGTTGAGGACCCACCAGATAGACTCGATATCATGCATGGGATTATAACGAAATTCGGGTATTGAGTTGAGTTCCGGAAGCGAGACACTGGGACCCCGACGATCCGCAAAATCGAATACATTTGCTCGCATCGCGCTTGACTTCGGCTTCTTCGTAGTGAAGAATTGATAACTCATCACGTCTACCTCAGCCGCCATGAAGTCAGTGGTACCCTGACGTTGGAGAATCAGTTTCTCTGCTCATAAAGTGTGAACGAATACACACACCGTGCGCATCTCGTGAGCACCCTTGTCATCACGCAAATATTGCTTCGCGTACTCGAGGTCAGAGAGCTTGACTACCAATTTCCCGTCTCGCTCATGAAATAAGATGTTGCCAACGCTGTTATCACGATGCACCCATCCAGCTTTATGCATGATACCAAGGGCTGCAATGGACGGTCAGTGATGCCATGGCCTGAATTGATAGCCTGGGCTTACCGATCAGTGCCTGTGTCAGTACCTCCGTGATACTCTTCAGGGACCTGAGATCACTGATGCATTGGCAGACTTCCTTGAAGACGATACGGTAGTGTGCCCTTGGCTTGTAGAGGGAAGGACGGCCGAGAAGCTGAGATGTGGATTCGGACGACCGATAATCCCCTGTGCCTGTACGCGATGGACTAGTGCCTCGTGACGTCTTTGCAGACGCGCTTTCGTTCTCTTGGACCTGTACTACGAACGTGGCATGATGTTCCGGTATGGGAAGCCCTCGGGTCATCAGCTGTCGTGTTTGATCAAGGCGGCCGTGAACATAAACGTCGCCGTGAGTTATGACAGAGAGAAAGCAGCGCTCGTAAAAGCTCTCTTTCTTTATTGCGACAAGGAAGTCGTAGATCTGTGCCAGAACAGAACCTTCTCACTGGCGGTCATCATCGATATACAAAACTTTGATGACAACATCTGGGCCCTCTTCCTTCTTTTCCCTGGTGCTCTCATTGACGACAAGCTTTTTGGCCTTCCAGACGCATGTCCCTCGCCTGCGCAGCCCATCGGCTCCAAAGTTGGATATTAGCTTGTTGGTGTGGTACCAGCTTTCCTTGCCATCTTTATATCACAAAACCTACAAACCCACCTTATAGCTTGATATTGAGGGGGGGAGATAATAGCACTTAAGTGTGGGGAGGTAATGCTGTTAAGCGCAACAACCAAGTGAATAGAACTGGGGGACAGGTTGCCCCAGGATGCTGCCTTATATACATGAGGGAAAACCCCCCAGGGACCGGTAATGGACCCCTGGTACCTAGCTGGGTAAGGATTACTAAGTATCATGTGCTCTATGATGTCATATATGATGTCATAGTCTGGCCCTGCCCTGCCCTGGGCCTAGGGTCCAGAATTGACCGGCCTATGGCCTAGTGCCTGAGCCTAGCTCCTACCTATGATGTCAGAATGATGTCATGGTCCAGAAGGAGTCTGGTTTCTATCTAGAAAAGGTCCGGCATCAGAGTCCAGCCTGATGTGTCCAGAACAAGATCATGTGTCGCTTATTTAAGCGGATAACCCCTTAGATATGTAGATGTACCCATATGCGGACGGATAAGTATGGATAAGTCCCTATACCCTTTGATATGTCCGCAGAAATAGCGGAAAAATTAGGTAAAATTAGGGAAACTGTGACACTTTATCCCGCACCAAGATATCCACACGCGGCGATTTATCCTCTGCAAGCTCGATCTCGTCCGCCACACTCTTCTTGCTCTTCATGCCTCTCCTGCCCTTGTCCTTTTGGATGACGTATATGATGGTAGGATCCCAGCCGACTGTGTGCTCCTCGGCATACATCAACGCCTGGAAGATATTCACAACAGTCTTATGATCCTATGTCAACCTGCTCAGCATAGAACTTTAGTTACTATTCGACCGCATTGCACTTACCTTCTGCCAATGAATCCTTTCGCTGACCAGCAGCTCTGCTCGACTAGCATACCATAGTCGCATAGTCGCATTTTCAATGGTCAGACCATATACGAATCGACGTCGGGCATCCTCGCGCATACACTGGCGCATACTCCAAACTACCTTGCACACGTTCTACGCCAAATGCCAGCGTCAGTAGGCAATACCTCCCACATCCGAATACCAACACACACCATTTCGGTCTTTTTTACTGGCATACGTTTTATACTCTGCGCAAAGTCCTATATCCATCCAACGTATCGCTCCTTCTGGTCGGTCAACCTTCACAAGATATCCATCGGGACGGGTCTTCGTTAGCCTTGTGTTGGCGCTTGGTGCTCGGGAGGATCCTGGCGGAGTGTTAAGAGTCGACTGCACTCGGCATGAGGGTTGACACTAGCGATAGCGTTCACAACATCCACAAGTGATTCAAAGTGATCGTCCTCCTTTTCAACAGCTTTAGCTGGATCACCTTTGAAGGATACCCAACAATCGTCCATAATGTGACCCTCGCGTTTGAGCTTCTCAACCGTTGCTACAGGGTCAAGGCCTTCGCGCAGCGGAGGGAGAAGAGCAGTGAAGAAGTAGTCCATTTGAACTTCGGATAGTGTCTTGCCAGCATCTTGCATGACTGCCTTATGTTGAGCGTCGATGTCGCTAGTCCTGTAGTCTGTCCCATCCATGACCTAAGGACGAGAGGGAGTCTCAGAGGATTTATGATCAAGGCTGAGTTGTGATTTGTGTTAAAGACTATTGATCAAGTAAGTCCGCAAGGAGAACTAGCTGAACTTGTGCATGCGGTTGACTTGGAGTTTCGAGCTGACAATGAGTTTGAACTTTTGAGCTTGGATCATCAAAGGCACCCATCACTGATGGCGATCGAAACGCGTCTGTGGCGCGGCGCCTACGCGTGACGTCGGACTCAGACGCGTCTTCGTTGCTTGTGCGAAAGTGTTCTCGCGCTTGTACACGAATAATGTAGTCGACTGACATACAGTGACTTGGACTTGGATCTGATTCGATTTGAGATTCAGATATGCCCTACGGACCACGGTCCAGACAATTCCGGTGACTGTACTTAGTGCGGCTATCTTTCCAGGCTCCTCTAGGGCTCTAAAGGGCCGTTTAGAGTAGGGCCAGCATAGTTGCACTTCAACTCAACAGGCATAAGTCTCCATCTCGAGTGAGGTGCTCACAGGCCCATACAATGTAGCTACCACTTGGGTCTCCGCATCGCCTTTTTCTGCGCGAGCGTCCCCCGACCCTTCGCTCCTCGCACTGTCTGCAGCTCCTTGAATTTCTTTTTCGCATAACTTTTAGCCTCTGCATCGTCGACTAGCTCGTCAATCAATGTTCGTTTTCTAGCCGTCTTGGCGAGGTTGTCCGCACTGGCTGCTCCGAATGGTGAATTAGTCGTTACAATAGTTCCGATCTAGAAATATCTCAATGTTCTACTCGGTGCGAGACGAGAGCATTACGAAGACACGTACAGCGAAATGTTTTGGTAGACCCTTGATGCCCTTGCCTTCCCCTTCCTCCTTTCGATAGAAGCGCTTGGGATCTAGCTGGTTGCGTAGTCGGAGAGCCTCCACTTCACGGTATAAATGAGGTAAATCAGCCTCAGCGGGTGCTGGGAGATCAAACCATCCTGAGCCAGCAGTCTTATTCTTGAGCTTCAGCGATACGTCAATAAAATACAACAGAAGGGTAAAGATATACGACGCACTTCTTTCTTCTCCTTTTTGGTCACCGGTTTGCCTTTCTCCGAGAGCTCTGGGGGAGGCGCCGGCTCTGCAGGGAGTATGCGCGAGGATGACGCCTTCTCCGCATGCTCTACATCATCGTCTCGAATCCTTAACGGGCCCGCCGTCTTCGAATCACTCAAGACAATGTATGGCGAAGGGAGCGAACCCGTATGCAGAGAGGGCAGCGGTCTGCAACAAGGGAGTGATGAGTGATGGAGGGGTAGAATGAGAAAGCACGACACACACAGTCCGTCTTTTTTCCTGTCATCCTCAAGACGTATCTCTTCCTCCTCCTGCGTCTCCTGCAAAGAAGAGCCGGACTCGTCTTGTTTCCGTGCTCTTACATTTTGCCTGGCTTTCTCGAGCAGATTATTCAGGAAATCTTCTGTAATCTCTTGTTCTGAATCGCTCTCTGAGGAGTCCGAGTCACTCTCCGAGGTGGAGTCTGAGCCATTGCTAGAGCTGGTATCTGAGTCTGACTCGTCTAACTCGTCTTCCGAGCTCGTCAGGGTCTGTGTAACAGGAGACTCGTCTGTGTCTTCATGTGCCGCTACTGCCTTCTCCTTTCCTTTCAGTGACGCAGCCATAGCAGAGAAGATCGGATGCTAGGAGTATTCAAGTCACGGAAGAATTTTCTGATGCTTAGTAGGCGTTCAGTATAGGAGTGTCGCAAGTCCTTCCTGGAATTGATCTCTGAACAGCAATCAACGACCCCGATCACTCACACCATGCTCTCTCGCACCGCTGGCCGGAGAGCGTGCCGGTCTTTTTCCTCTCTGAAGCAGGTCCGTCTCAACCATAATCAACCACAGAATGCACAGGACAATGCCCGAACCACACATTTTGGCTTTCAAACAGTTCCAGAAGAAACCAAGGAGTCTCTAGTGCGAAATGTCTTCGACTCGGTAGCGTCTTCGTACGACCTCATGAACGATGCAATGTCGCTTGGCGTGCACCGGCTCTGGAAAGACGAGTATATTGCGCTGTTGAAGCCAGGGGCCAAAGGTCCTGTGAAATGCATCGATGTCGCGGGTGGTACAGGCGACATTGCATTACGGATACTAGACTCCGCACGAGAACGTTATGCGGATAGGGAAACGAGCGTGGACGTCGTGGATATCAACACGGAGATGCTCAAGGAGGGTTACAAGCGTTTCAAGAAGACCATGTATCATAACAGTATGTTCATTGCATCTACCATCGTCTCTCGGTATTCACGGGGGGCGGACGCAGCGTCCCAAATTGCCTTCCACGAGGGTAATGCGCAAGCGCTGAACGAAGAGAAGTTTCCCTCCAATACATACGATCTGTATACCATCGCGTTCGGGATCAGGAACTGCACGTCCGTCCCGGATGTACTAAAAGAGGCCTACCGGGTTCTGAAGCCCGGCGGCACCTTCGCATGCCTCGAGTTCAGCAGAGTGAACAATCCGCTGTTTGGCGCGTAAGTGGTCTACTACCTTGTTGCGCTGTAGTTGATATCCCGACCGATGGAATAGCCTGTACGACCAGTACTCGTTCTCGGTCATACCACTGATCGGGACTATCCTGACCGGCGACCGCGCGTCGTACCAGTACCTGGTGGAGTCTATCCGAAAGTTTCCTCCTCAACCCGAGTTCGCGAAGATGATAGCAGACGCCGGCTTTACGACCGGCGGGATGTTCGAAGGCAAAGGTGGCGCTTGGAGAGACTTGTGGGGAGGCATTGCATCCATCCATACTGGCGTGAAGGTCTGATGCAGTAGCGGTCGTGTGCACCACCTCGCTTGTATTATTGCCTTGTGGTTGCTAGATTTCTGCACAATGCATTGCGTGCTGAACAACTCTGGAGACATGCTATTGTAGAAAGACAATAATGACAAGATATTTGAGTGAACGTTTGAGCTGCCGTAACACTTCGTAACACCCCTGTGACCCTTCGAAGACAGCTTGCTAAGCGCCGACATACCACGCCTCGTACGCGCTCATCTCCTCGTTCCTGTCGTCCCCTACATCCTACCCTCTCGCAACGCCAGATCCCAGGCGTCGCACATCGATACATCATGGCTAGCTCATCCTCGTCTACGCCCCCGGTGATGCCGCCGGCCAACGCCGACCTGGCGACGACATGGGCGTACCTCGAGGAGGGCGTCGACCACATTATGACCAAGCTGCAGACAGGCGTATCGTATTCGAAGTACATGAGCCTATACACGGTGTCGTACAACTACTGCACGTCGTCTAAGATGCACGGCGCAGGCGAGCAGGCGGGCCTCGGTCATCGTAGTAAGTCGCCTATGCTCTTGCCCTCCGCTGTGCTTGTTGACGGACCATAGCTGGAGCTAATCTGATGGGATCCGATTTGTACAACAATCTCATACGCTATTTCGTCAACCATCTGAAGACGCTGCGCACGGTGAGTGCAGGCGAATCATTGTGGCGGCCGAAATTGAAACCTCTGTAGCAATCGGACGCATTGCAAGACGAACCATTACTCCGATATTACGCACAGGAGTGGGATCGGTACACCACCGGCGCAAACTACATCAATAGATTGTTCACGTACTTGAATCGGCACTGGGTGAAGCGTGAGCGAGATGAGGGGCGAAAGGGCGTGTATCCGGTCTACACTGTAAGTCCACCCGGTGACCCTGGAAAGTGTCGGCACTGGATTCTATGGGATACGGATTCTGTTGCATGTTGTCTGGTTAGATCTTTTTTTGCGGCAGGCGGTTTGCAGATGTGCCATGGCAGCTGGCTTCGTGGGCAGGCCATGCTCACAACGCCTTTCTGTAATGACCAGTCAGCATGCAATTCGGTTACGGGTTAACTGTCGAGTCCATCCAAAACTCCCATAGAATTCTTTGCATAGACATATCTGATGATTCAGCTCGTGACTTTACTCATATGTTGCTTATATGGTGGCACAGCTTGCACTGGTCCAGTGGAAGACGAACTTCTTCCTCCATGTGCAGAGCAAGGGCCAGAAGCTTGCGGGCGCGATCCTTCGCCTGATTGAGCGACAACGAAATGGCGAAACAATTGATCAAACGCTGGTCAAGAAGGTGGTGGATTCGTTCGTCTCGCTCGGTCTCGACGAAGGAGACATCAACAAGGTGTCGTACGAGATTTACAAGGAGCACTTTGAAGTCCCTTTCCTCGAAGCTACCGAGAGATACTACCGCCAGGAATCAGAGGCATTCCTTGCGGAGAACACTGTAGCGGATTACCTCAAGAAGGCTGAGGAGCGCCTACGCGAGGAGGAGGATCGTGTCGAGCGATACCTGAATACCAATACGCGCAAAGGCCTGATCAGCAAATGCGAGCATGTCTTGATTCGCGAGCACGCTGAACTTATGTGGGACAACTTTCAAGAATTGCTTGACTACGATAAGGATGCAGACTTGCAGCGCATGTACGCCCTCCTTGCGCGCATCCCCGAGGGCCTGGAGCCTCTGCGGAAGCGTTTCGAGGAGCACGTTAAGCGTTCTGGCCTCGCGTCGGTGTCGAAGCTTGTCGGTGAGGGTGGCGGCGCCGCGGCGGAGAACATCGAACCTAAGGCCTATGTCGATGCCCTCCTTGAGGTGCACCAGAAGAACTCGGAGACGGTCACACGCAGCTTCCGTGGGGAAGCAGGCTTCGTCGCCAGTCTCGACAAGGCCTGCAGAGAGTTTGTCAACCGCAACACTGCCACTGGAACGTCAACAACGAAGTCGCCCGAGTTGTTGGCGAAGCACGCAGACGCCCTGCTCCGCAAAAATAATAAGATGGCCGAGGAGGAGGATTTGGAGAGCGCTCTTAACAAAGTGGTACGTCTTGCGCATGATATAATTGGTGATGCAGCTTATTTATACCCCTGTTCCTAGATGGTCATCTTCAAGTACATCGACGATAAGGATGTTTTCCAGACGTACTACACCACGAAGTTATCCAAGCGTCTCATTCACGGTGTATCGGCATCGGATGAGGCTGAGGCGAGCATGATCTCCAAGCTCAAGGAGGCATGCGGTTTCGAATACACGAACAAGCTGCAGCGCATGTTCACTGGTGCGTCATTCCATATCCACGTTCGCTACGGTGTCTAACAGGTATTCGCAGACATGAGCCTGAGTAAGGATCTCACTGATCAGTTCAAGGAGCGCATGCAGCAGAATGGTGAGGACTCCGACCTGAACTTCACCATCATGGTGCTCGGCACGAATTTCTGGCCGATCACCGCCACGAACAACGAATACATCATCCCGGCGGACATCCTGCCCACGTATGAGAAGTTCACGAAGTACTACCAGCAGAAGCACTCTGGGCGTAAGCTCACCTGGCTCTGGAACTATTCGAAGAACGAGCTCCGGACGAACTACACGAACTCGAAGTACATCCTCATGACGAGCTCGTGGCAGATGGCGGTCCTGCTCCAATACAATGACAACGATACGCTCTCGTTTGAAGAACTGGCCACAGCAACAGCTATTTCGAAGGACTACTTGAAGCAGGTCCTGGCCGTGCTAGTGAAGGCCAAGATTCTCATTAACGATGAGCAGGATCAGTATGATTTGAACCCTAGTGAGTTTACTTGCTTGTATTGTGTCTGGTACGTATATTGATAAGTTTTCAACAACAGGCTTCAAGTCAAAGAAGATCCGTATCAACCTGAATGCACCTATCAAGGCTGAGCAGAAGGCTGAATCTGCAGACGTGTTGAAGATTGTGGACGAGGATCGCAAATATGTGATTCAAGCTACGATTGTTCGGTCAGTAGAAGTGACAGCGGAATAAGGATGATGCACTAATACTGCGCTCTCGTTCCAGTATCATGAAAGCACGGAAGACGATGAAGAACAATTTACTTATTCAAGAAGTGATCTCGCAGATCTCGCAGCGATTCACGCCTAAGATCCCGGACATCAAGAAGGTGCGTCGGTGGTGTCCAATACAATTAATTGCACCCTCTAATCACACTTTCCCATATCCAGGCGATAGACCATCTGCTAGAGAAGGAGTATATTGAGCGGGTGGAAGGTACTAGGGATACCTTTGCTTACGTCGCGTAATTTCCGGTTGTTCGTCGTGTCTGCTTTGCTTTGCCATGTTTATGCCTCGAGTTTGTCCTACCCATCCTGAATTGTACATTGTAGCGTATTGGTACATATCAACTAGCATGTCTTGATCCTCGTAGACTGTCACCCATTGCATGCATAGACTTGTGCTGTGTGAGTAGAGAAATCATAGTATATTACATGACCACAGCCGAACCCGTTCCTACTGAATGTCGCAGGCCTGAAACTGAGTGAGAACATTGTTTTTCAATGCACACTCTGGACACTTGCTGCACTGACGCGCATCCCGCCGCTCGTACTTAAACGCTTAAGGGCATGGCGGAACTAGTCCAGGCCGCATCGGGTGTTGTCCAAACTGCTCGAACGGGACCGTCCTTACGACCGATGGCCTAGAAGAATACCTCATTGATCACATTGTTGACGCACGCCGCCAGGGCGGAAAAATCTCGTTCGGTGGTCCGGGTATGGACCAGAATACGATTCATGGCTCTCGCGCGCTGAACTCGACGACTGCGAGGCGTTGGACCGATGGGAGGCTCGGGAAGGGGGGCCTCCAACGCGGTAGCTTTTTCCCCCACCGGGTTTTCTTATGCACCCGTGCTGTGCCCAGGTTGTGTTGTATTGAATTCCTCTTTGCCTCTCAGACCAAGTTTTCTTTTCCCCATACCCCGGGAGGGTGTAAGCTTGGGCTTACCATACCTGCCGTTTCGAGACTGCGACACCTACTGACATCATCTGTTTGCACAACTGTCACGCTGTTTGGCGCCGTTTGCTACCGCGCACGCTCTCGAGCTGGTTGTTCATTCCTTTTCCTCTAACCACCACCATCACCACCACCACCACCACCTAGTACATCCTTTACAATACTTCGTTTACATTGTACGCGTACAATGACATCGCGGTTCTGATCGTTGTCCGAAAAGACCGTGCCGAGCTGCCGAGTGTAAGCCACAGAGATTCCCAAATTTGGCGAAGTCGACCAGGTCCCGCGCTGCGGACGTGTTTGCGCAAACGACCGCTCAGTCATCGGGACCAGGTCTGTCGGCCTTTCTATGGTTAGTCTCCAAGATCTTGATCTTCGCAAATTCATCCAGCATTAATGATTTACATCTTCCTTTCGATCTCGGATAATCACAGGATTCAACGTCATCAAGCGCATAAAACCTATACGCGGATACTGCCTCGTGCTGTCTCCACATTTGTGAGTCTGCCTTGAGGGAGGAGGGAGTAAGCAGTCCACTCAGATGGCTAACGGAGAGTCCTTTCAGGAGGCACGGCAACAACACCGTGAGGTGTGACCGAGGTGTGGGCTTTTCTCTCATTGTCTACCCCAGGTGGCTGAGATCCCGTAGTAGGATTCACTATTCATGCACCATGAGTCTACGGGACGCACTACTAGCCTCTCTTGCAGACGTGCCGGGAACGCGCGAGTTCCACATCCACGTCTTGGTTTCTTCGCCGCGCAAACGCTCGGATATCTATCCGTACGCCATCCCACGTCCCAAGGTTTATTTGCAGGACATCCTCATCCTCCTCTCAGAGCAACCCCCTCTGAGTGCGTCTCGTGTCCTCACGACCGCCATCGAGGCCTCGTTCCACAACATCCCCGCCACCTCCTGCGGGATACTGTACGTCTCCAAAGTCGACTCCTCCGGGCATGCTGCTAAGCCCTCCCCCACCACCGCACTCGTGAAAGGTCTGTTGGGATTCTATGCTGATCCTTCCGCCAGGCCGACACACGTGGATCACCTCTGGATCCAGCTCTTCGCACGCGCTCAGGGACAGTACCTGTTCCCTAATTCCGCCGACTTTCCCGGCAAACGGCCTCTGGCGGATCTCCAGCTCTGCTCGTGGTGGAAGCACGTTCTGTCCGACACCGCTGCAACAACGTTATCGCGGGAGAAGGGTCCGCCAAACGTCAAGCTATTCTATGTGCTCCCTGGTCTCAGTGAACTCGAGGCGACACACGCGCTCAATGCTGCTCGCGCGACACCGTCTGCTCACGCGTCGCTATCCTGGATCTATGGGCACCCTTACAACCAGTCTGAGATCCCGCTACCCTGCCCACCCATCAAGAACAACGCCCGGCGCAACTTGGGCCACTTTATCCCGTCCTTCGACGACGATCCCAAATCGCGTTTCATGGACGAGATTGCCCACACCATGAACGCGGACGCTGTGAGTTCGCCGAAACGCAAAAAGCCTCGGCCCCCCGACAGCCGCGCGTCTGATAGGGGTGCAGATGACAATGCAGCCACGGAGGAAGTCCAGGGCGAGCTGAGCAAGGTCAGCCCGGATGAGTTCTGGGAGCGCATGTCGTTCCGCCAGGAGTGCATCTCGGGCGTCGTGACCGCGTTCTTTGCGCTCGGCATCTCGGGCCCTGGCGGGCCTGACCAAAGCGCAGGCGCAGTCTCCCACTCGCCACTCGCGCCCCAGCCGGGCCAGGTGGCTCCGAGAATGGTCGAGCGCGTTATCGCAACGCTGATGAACCACCACGAGTTTTCGACGCGGGAGCGTGCGCTGCGCGCGACGGAAACGCTCGAGGGCGCGATCAAGGGCCTCTGCGAAGACCTCGCTGCTGTCCCCTCCTCGCCCACACTGACGCGGCACAGCGTGCGCGAGGCCACGCCGGAGCCGGGGCCGTCGCATTTGGAGGTGCCCAAGACGCCGCCGCGGCGCGCGGCGCAGCTCCCAGACATCTCGCCCAACCCCTTCCCGGAGCCCGTCGCGTCTCTGGAGACGTACCACTCGTTCATATACGGGTCTGTCGCGGTCGACAATCCGCTTCCACCGCCCAAGGATGCCGCGGCGACGGGGGCGCAGGGCGCAGGCGCGGGCGGCGAGAGGGCGGCGGGACCGCAGGTCACCATGCTGACTGCGCGAAAGAAGCGGAAGACCCCATCATGACCCCATGGGCCGCTGGAGTATGCATGGTGCGTGCCTCGCCGCTGATCATCGGCCGTTCGCTGACGGCGCCCCTGGGGCCTGATTCGCGTATGTGCGTGCAGATACCGTACGAGATATGCCAGCTATTTAGGCAATGCTTGTTCTTGGTCTGTTTTCGAATGGCGGACATGTGCAATGACAGGTGGAAGCGGATTGTGTTTTGCTCCAGACTCTGCTGGTTGGTGCCTTAGATGTTGTGTTGAACCTTCCTTTGAACTTCCGCAGACTCCGGATACGCGTGTCTGGGCCCAACTGAATACGTGGATTCACTGTACTGGTGTCTCGCTCTGTGGATCGAGCGCCGCGCATACTCCAAGCAAGCAGGTTCTTTGCTATACATTCTCGAGTGGTCATTGAGCTACGGGCGAGTCGCGAAGCATGCCCTTATTATTGGTGGCATCACGGGACTTGGAGAAGGTGATTATGAAGGGTGCACGAGGGGTGAGAAGGAGCGTCATCATTCTCAAGGCGAAGGCTAACGCGTGCTCGCGAGCGGATCTATTGGGCGAGAGCCGACGGCCATTGGGCAAGAAGTGCTCGTACGCGCTTCTGAAACGAGCACTTACGAGGGAGAAGCTGGCCATCGATACGAGCGTGCGTGCGTTCTAGTGGTTGTCTTGTCTCGCAAGCTTATTGCTCGGCGCGAGCTGCAGTATTAAGCTGAACATGTTGTTTGTACGGCTTAGATTGCCGCGATCAGCCGGGGTGGAGACGCGGTGGGTGCCAACGCGACAGACCGCCCGATGACAATCATACACATGTGGGCGAATGGTGGGTTCATGACAACTCCACATTGTGCGCAGGGTTCCGAGGAAAAGAAGGCTGTCGTGGGATCAATAGTGTCGTGGATTGGTGTCGAATGAAGTACTCTTGCTGTTAGCAGACTATTAATACGGGGGGTGCTCCTGTCGAGGAGGATGTGAATTTCGTGATTCGGGCTTCTTCTTCAATTATGGAGGCTTTGGATAGCCGAGGCAAGCTCGTGTAGGAATGGCCGAATCTTAAGCTTCGGCTGTGCCTCGTTGGTCGTCGGTGGCACATAGGCCGGATCGACGTCGGGGCCGCGTGGGGCCGAGTGTTTCATTGAGCGCGGAGGACGTTGCACGGGAGCGCGGGAAAGTGGCGGCGCTCCAGCCGAGCAATGACAAGTGAACCTTGTATTATTGACGGCTTCCTATCGGTCGAATTCCCTTTCTGATCCATTCCATCCAACTCTTGGGTCGCCGTCACCGTGCCTCTATCACTCCTCTTCCTCCTGCCCCTCCCTCTCCCTCTCCGCCCGAATGCCCGCTCGCTGTCCCCTCCTCCTCTAGCACGCCCGCGCTAGTCCTCCATGTCCGCAACGCGCGATCAAATGGCGACACAGCAGCCACAGTCGCTGCCCTCCTTCTCCCAGACCTTCAACGCCCCCTCGCTGAGCAGGCTCGCCTCGAACGACAACGCCCTGCCGCCCATTCACCGTCTCACCTCGCCGCATGGCCGCTCGCGTGGCTCCCCGTCTGCACGCATGTCCCCGCAGCGCACCGAAGATACCAGGCAGAACCAGCGGAAACGTCTGCACGCAGACACCTCGCCTGTAGAGGACCGGGATGGCGGGGCAGACTCAGAGTACGTCGTCGCCGTCCCTACAACTGTCATCGCTGTCCCTACCGCTGTTGTCGCTGACAATAGCACCAGGCAGAATCAACGGAGACGTCTGCACGCAGACACCTCGCCTGTAGAGGATCGAGATGGTGGGGCAGAATCCGAGTACGTCGTCGCCGTCCCTACAACTGTCATCGCTGTCCCCACCGCTGTTCTCGCTGTCCCTACCGCTGTTGTCGCTGACAATAGCACCAGGCAGAACCAACGGAGACGTCTGCACGCAGACACCTCGCCTGTAGAGGATCGAGATGGTGGGGCAGAGTCAGAGTACGTCGTTGCCGCCCCTGCCGCTGTCGTCGCTGACAAGAGCGCCGTCGGCAGTTCGCACCGATCCCCTCGGGCGGTGCGCATCAAAGCCAACGATACCAGGCAGAATCAACGGAAACGTCTGCACGCAGACACCTCGGCTGCAGAGGACAGAGATGGCCGGGCAGAGTCCGAGTACGTCGTCGCCGTCCCTACAACTGTCATCGCTGTCCCCACCGCTGTTCTCGCTGTCCCTACCGCT